ATATATATATATATATTTAGTATATATATATATATATTTAGTATATATATATATATATTTAGCATATATATATATATATTTAGCATATATATATATATATTTAGCATATATATATATATATTTAGCATATATATATATATTCTCAGCATATATATATATATATATATACTAAGTTATTTAAAATATTTAGTTAATAAATAAATTATTATTATTTAGAAGACTATTTTTAACTACCTATATTATTTATTTCCTTAATTACTAGTTATTACTATTTATTTACTAATTATTTCTTAAGTAATTATATAATAAGTTTCTTCTTTTTAATTTCTTTTTAAATAGTGTTAAGAGCTTAATTATAAGAATTAGTATTAATATTTATAATTATAACCTACTAAAGAGATAAACTCCTAGGTACTTAATAAGTATTTAGGAAATACTTATTAAATAATAAGACCTTCTTACCTTAAGTAGCCTTAAGAGGACTATAATCTTCTATATTAATTAGAAGAACTAGATCCTTAAGATTACTATTATTATAAAGGCTAATTAGTTAATAAAGCTATAATAATATTATTATTAACTAGCTCCTTATTTTATTATAATTATTAAGCTTTATTTACTAAAGTATATAAGTATTTAATAATTAATTAAAGATTATTTAATATACCCTATTTTTATATATTATAATAAAGATGCCCTATAGTTATTATTAAGCTATATTAATATTAGATATTATAATTATAATTTATCTAATATTACTATATATCTTAAGAATTAAGATTATAAGCCTTATTATTAGTTAATAAAGGCCTAAATAACTACTAATTAATTATAAAGTACTCTTAAACTACTTTTAAAATACTTAACTACTTTTCTTATATATTTAATTTATAATATATTCATTTAACTATATTAGTGTGTTTATAAATATAATTAAATATACTAAAAGGGAATTAAGAGTATGCTTTATTAAGACTTAAGTAAATATTTTTCTACTTTTTATACTGTGCCTAATTCTTAATAGAAATAGTAGGCTTATATTTTATAATAAAGTAATTAGTAAATAATTAATAAGTGACTAGAGGGTGTTTAGTAAACCTATAATAAAGTCTAGTATCTTTAGATAGGCCTCTTTAGTCTTAGTATATAAAATAGATGTCATTTAATTATCTATACTAGGATAATATTAATTAAATATTAATTTTTATAGAACTTATTAAATACCCTACTTAAAATAAATATAATAAAATAGAATTAAATGGGGCCTCTACTCCTCTATAGGAAGATGCTAAGGATCAATTTTATAAAGATAGTTTATAAGACTTAATAAATAAAATAAGTATTTATAGAATATTCTTTAATTATTTAGGGATTAATTAGGAATTATTTACTACTATATTATTTTATATTTATATTTATAATAATTACTTAAATACTATAACTATCCTATAAAGTAAAAGAGACTTTCTCTATATAATATAATTTTATCATATATTTAAAGATATATTTAAATAAAAGATAATATCCTTTATAAAAATCATAATTAATAATAATATAATAAAGGGTGATTACTAAATAATTAGTAGCTAATTAAGAAATAATTAAAGATTATTTAGCTTACCTTTTTTATTCTCTAGTAGATATTAAGTAAATATAACCTTATTTAGGTCTTTTTATTATAGTTATTTAAAGGATATATTTACTTTAAATAAATCTAGTATAATAAATAATTATATCTATTTAAGTAGTATATAAATAATTATAATATTATTTATATTTATAAAGATATCTTAAGTATAGTTCTAACCAGTTAGTAAATAATTATTATATAATTAAAGACTAATTACTATAGTTTACTAATTTTTTTCTAGCTTAAATAATAATCTATTTATATCTTAACTCTATAAATAATAAAGTAATTTCTACTTATAAATAATAAGAGATAATTAATTATAATTTATAAGGCTTTAATAAAGATTAATTAGAGATTTAGCTTAATACTTTTTATAAAGTTCTTTTAGAGTAAGGCTATATAGAAATTAGTCTAACTTAATTAATATAAATACTCTATAATTAATTAAGAAGTACTTATTAAGTGTTAATAAAGGTTTATTTAAACTTATTACTATCTTTAAGATACCCTTTATAATTAATACTAGGGGCTTTAAGGGGGGAGGTAGTAAATATAAATATATCTTAATAAAAATAAAGATATAAAAGAGGTAGGCCTTTAAATTAACTAGTATTAACTAATAATATATTATAGAGTATTAAACCATTTATAGAATACTATTACCTTAAATATAATTTATAGCTTAAAATAATTAGTAATTAATTATTATATAATTAGGGAATATTAAAAAATATATAATACTATTTACTCCTTATATTTAACCTCTTAATTATACTATACTTCTTAAATACTAATATAATCTTTTTATTAAAAAGATCTTTTAAGAAAGGAATATTAATCCTTCTATTAATAGAAATTTATTAATTAGTATAATAACTTATTAAGTTAATAAATATATTAATATATTTAATATAGGTCTTAGATTGGCCTTATAGATTCTAGAAGTAATTAAAGACTATTATCTAATTATTTATTAAATACTTATTAATTATAGAAGGTCTTTAATCACTACTTAATATATATTACCCTAATATAAGTAGTAATATAGTTTTGTGTTAAAAAATTTTTAAACTATATAATACTTATTATAATTATTTAGTAATTAATAAGTAAGTATTTATAAAGCACTTATTAATAAGCTTTATATTTTCTAGGATTAACCTTAAGGAAAGGGAGATTATATTATATCTTTTTAATTATATCCTAAGTATCTTTAGTTATATAATTATAATATAAAGACTTTAATATTAATAAAGCATATTTATATAACTTTACTCTAGTATATAAGTAGTAACTATATTTATATTAAATATTATTAAAGAATAATATTATCTAGGCTATCTAGTTTTAGTAACCTTATCTTATTAAATATTACATCTAGTATTAAAAGTGCTTAGTTATTAATTACTAAATAATTAAGAAGTACTTATACCTTTAATTATTTTCTTAATTATTAATTTTAATTAATTAGAGTATTAAATAATATATAAATAATCTTTAGGATATATTTAGAGATACTCTAGTAAATTATAAGTATATTTAATAAAGTAAGTTTAGAGTAGATTAATATATAACTATATAAGAAATATTTATATACTAAGTTATAAGTATTTAGGAATTAATTAGTAATTAACTAGCTAATAATTATTAATAAATCTTTATATTAAAAAAGCTTTTTAGGATGCTTGCCGCATCCTTTAAGTCTAAATTAATTCTAATAATATTATTTATAATAAAGAGATTAATTAGTAATTAATAGTAAATTAATTAGTAATTAATAGTAAATTAATTAGTAATTAATTAAGGGGTACTATTAGCCTTTTTATTATTCTTAAGTATTAAAGAAGAATAAAGTATTATAAGATAACTTATTATATTTATTTTATAATTTAACTATATATAGATGGTGGTTAATAATAGTAGAAAAATCTTTTTCTGCCATAGTGGACTGTCGTCTATGCATAGTTAAGATCCTCTAGGTCCTGGATGTTGGGCATCGGTCGGGCACCCATCAAGTACCCCACTTAGAGTTAGGATATATATAATCCCCCTAGATAGATACTAGGACCTCAAGTACTTTATCTTATTCTCTTATTAGACCTACCATAGACTTCTCATATCCCTAGACCTTACTATTATCCAGTTGTACTGACATCTCACCCATCAACCCCCAAGCAGTGTAAGGTCACTGCTTACATAAATACTTATTAATAGCTAAAATTTAGATAAAAAAAATATAAGTAGTTATTAAGTTATAAGATAGTAATAAAAAAGTAATTAAGCTAAGGTGCCCTATAAACTATTTATACCCTAAATATAGCTTACTTACTCTTACTTAACTATTAGCGTCTTGGCATAAGGCGCCTTGGCTTTTTTAAGGGGCGCCTGACCTGTAACCTGGCCGGGCTTATAGTACCCCACACTAACTTAATGTAGCATTATATTAATAGTTAATATGTATTAATAGTTAAGTAGTAATAGTTTATATTAAAATATTATATTAATTAAATACTACATCTTAATGCTATTCCATAACCCCCTGGCGACAATATCTCGGCTGGTGAATAATAAATCCTCCCCCCATTGCCTCTCCTCACACTCATTCCTGCTCAGTGTCGTCCAGGCAGTCGTTGCCGCCCAGTGCACAATCGGCGAGGAATCATCGTCCCTGCGTGTCTGCTGGTAATAGGGGAGACAGCGACAGACTGCCAGCGCGGCGGCCCGCTGCATGGAGACGTATTCGCCCTCGGTGCTGGACGCGGCCAGGATCTGCAGCACGTAGATGAGGGTTGTGTTGTAGAACATGAACATGATGGCTGCTGGCTGGTTGAGGAAGCCGAAATGAGTCTGGCCATGGTGGGATATTTCAACATAGGCATTCCGTCCATCGCCCTCCCAACGCTGCCTCCAGGCATCGAGGAAGAGCAGTAACTCCAGGGCTTCAGATTCGTTGTTGGCGAGAACCGTACAGTCCGCCAGGATGTCAAACAGGTCTTGTTCCTGCATCTCCTCCTCCGAGCAGGTCTCCCGCAGCGCCTGCTTCCATTCCGCCCTCGCCAGGATGGACGGCTTGCCCGTCCGCAGAGAGGCAAAGAGAATCATATGCCGCACACTCTTGAACAGCACGGCGGATAAGGGGGAGAATGATCTGGGCCCGCGCAGCTCCAGCAGTCGCTCCAGGCCCAGCATGTGTTGCAGGTAACTATTGGGGCTGGTGGGCACCAGAGACTCCAGAATCGCCAGGGTGGCGACGGTGAGGATGACCTCGTCGCGCGTGTAGCAGTGTTCCTCTGCCAGGGCCTTGTTTAGCTGTCTCAGCGCCACGCTGTACAGGGCGTATCCCCGGCCGACGATCGCCCGCTGGTCATGATGGGTGCCGAACAGGATGCTGCCGAAGCTGAGGATCGCCTGGGGGAAGATCCGGGTGTTTGTGCTTGCCACAAGCTCACTTGGGGACATTTTCTGCAGCGCCAGGTCGATCGCCGCGCCGCGACGAAGATACCTGCGTGAGAAGCAGATATAGACGTCGACTTGGCTCGGCGGAGATATCGCAATGATCTCATTCAATGGCGGATCGGGCCGCCTTGTAGATGTCTGACCACCCTCGGTTTGATCCTCCTTCATCCTCCTTCTTGACTTCACGATCGTTCCCTGGATGAAAGCCGTTTCCCGCGGCCCCTCACAGGCCAGACCACCCTTCTGGCACCGCTGGCATACCGGGCGAGTCTCATCTGGACGGGTTAGTCTGCTGCTGATGCTATCCAAATCCCACTTACCGCACTTGACTCGCCGTTGACGACACGTCGAGCAGCCTTTAGACCTCCCTCCCACATTCACCATGCTGAGTCTGCACAAGAATCATCCAGATTAAAGATAACTGCAGATAATGATAACGTGGACTATGGCGGACTGCAGCTACATGTAGTGCAGTCCGCCATAATGACTTATTATAATCAGATTGACTTATTATAATCAGATTAAAGATATTTATTTAACTATGAGTTCCCTACTTATATTATATAAGTATACATATTAGGTCCTTATTTCTAGTGATACTAATTAGTGAATTCTATTACTTATTAAGAATAGAATCTTATGCTAATGAGTCTGGCGCTAACCTCTTGCGGCTCATTGCGCGGAGCTTATTATTTTAGTCTTAGTGTAAAGGCCATAGAAAGATATAAGAAGACATTAAGTTCTACTTTATTTCATTAATTTATTTTCACTAATGATATTTCTTATAATACTTGACTATCCTAGATTCACTATTAAGTGTTTAAACCACTTCTCACAATGTACCATATTAGCACCAGCATTGAGATCTCGGCTTCTCCAGAAGCAGTACGGGAGAAGGTATTTATTATCAACACTATCTAATTTCATATACTGACATGTTCAGTTCCTGGACTTCTCCCAACTCCCCAATTACCATCCCAACGGCTTGTTCAAGGTTCTTGGTCCCCTCGTGCCGGGCGAGCCGCTCAACCCGGGGCTCAAAATGCACAATGAGCTGGACGGGATGACCTTTGAGCCGACTCTTCTTGTAGGTCGCATCTTCCCATCAATCTTTTGACTGTCTGCTGAGAAACAGGAAAACTCGCCCGCGTGTTTCCGGTGGCAAGGGAGCGGCCTGATGGGGACGTTCAAGGGTCAACACATCTTCCGCTTTGAGTCGAGCAAGACGACGCCAGGGGGGACGACCTTTACACATGAAGAGAAGTTCACGGGCCTGCTGTCTTTTATCATGAGTGAGGGTTCCGTTGCTCGATCAATCGGCTTGAGGGAGAAGACGCAGAACGGGTTCATCCAATATAATAACGACTTGAAGAAGTGGTGTGAATAGAAATAATATTTGATTATCCTTTTATGATAAAAGATCAACAATAGCAGACCCTTTTTCTAAACTAGACTTTGCCAACTCTAAAGCGTTCATCCCCAGGTCATCACGAAGAGAGGCATCGGCCTTGCCACGCAGCAGCTCAACAGCATGGATATTCCCCGCCGCCACAGCCAGATGCAAGGCTGTCCGCCCATGGATCCCACAGGGGAGATTGACGTGTTCTGCCGTTCCCCATTTCTCCAGCAGCTCGGCCATGATGTCTCGATTGACCATCATGTCGTATCCATGGCGTGTCACCGGGTCTTTCTTCTCTCCTCGATGCATGATACCCTTGTATGCCCAGGCGGCGCGATGGAGGGCACTCAGCTGTCGAGTCGGCTCGACGATGAAGTCGACAGAACACCGCAGCAGGTATCTCAGCCGGGGAATCGTATGCTGTGCAGACGCGGCGATGAGATGGCCGAGAACGCTGGTAGGGTATTCAAGAGACAAAAACCCGGCGTCACAGCACAGGGCGCTGACTTGTGCCCCGGCAGTCAACAATGAAGACGCCAGATCGAACACGTTGTGCTGGAGGGCCACCAGGAATGGACTCTCGGTCGAAGGCAATTCCTGGAGCGACAGCCCAGCCTTGAGCAAGTACGATATATCACCAAGGTCATGACCGGCTGTGGCGAGGATATGGAAGCCTGTCCAGGTGAGTTCATTCGTGAACGGATTCCTGGCCGAGGCAGTGATGTCCGCCCCGTGAGACAGCAGCAGCTCGACAATGTGTTTGCGGTTCCATCGGATGGCCTCGAGGACGGGCGTGCGACGATGGTCTGCGGCCGGCCGGTTGATGTCACGGCGAGTATACGCGCCGGAGAGAGCGTCTTGGTCGTCGTCCCCCGGTTGGGAGAGGAGATATTCCACCACTTCATCATGGGCTTCACTGACCGCAAAGAAGAGCAGACTCGTGTCGAAGCCGCCGATGCCAGAGCCGAAGACGATCGGCCGTGATCTCGCCAGACACACGTCCAGCGTCGCATGCAGTCGCTGGCGATACCGCGCGCCGTTGCGGAGGATCATGGAAAACGTGTCGGCCGCATGGACAGCTGCCGTCAGGATGGGCGCCATGCTATACCGTGCGCCTGCCTGGTCGAGCGCATCCATCAGGACTTGCAGACATTCGACGTGGTGGAAGAAGGCGGCATATTCCAGTGGTGACACGGCCCATTGACTGTCCCTCGTCTCGTCCAGCGCCACCCAGATGTTCTTGGATACCAGGAACCTGACAATGTCGGGCCGGTCATGATGGATGGCCCAAGTCAGAGGCGTTCCCGCAATCTGAAAGTCGACGTCTATCCCGGCTGGAAAGTCGGAGTATGCCACTCTTTCCCTTGTATATCCTCGCAGGGGGGCTCCTGTCTGCAACAAGGCCTCGCCGACAGCCTCAATGTCTTGAAAGGACACCAGCCAATGCAGACAGCTTTCGCCGTTGGCTGCAGCGATGGATGCGTCTGCGTTGAGTTGCACCAGACGCAAGACCGTCGCCAGTTGGCCTGCACGACACGCACACAACAGGGGAGTCTCTCCGGCCTCGTTCCGCTGGTTGATGTCGAGAGGAAATGCACCCAGCAGACTCTCGACGGCCTGGATGCGGCCTGTCGATGCCGCCAGATGCAGGATGCCGTCTCCCCGGCGGTTGACCTTGTGCTCGGCGATCTTCTGCAGCGGCCGCAGGTTCGTCACCAGCATCTCCGGCCGGTCAAAGGTGTATACCCACTGGCGATGCGCGAAGCCCAGCATGTTCGTGTCGTGGAAGAAGCTCGCGCCGACGCCGGCAAGGACATCACGCAGGATGGGCTGGCTCCAGGCGTATTGCGCGGGTGCCACGTCTTTCAGGTCGCAGAGGGCCGGACGGGAGCCTCGCAGCGCCATGACGGAGAGATTGTCGTAGTCGGCGGGCGTCATGGTGTATTCTGGATCCAGGGCTTTGACGATTCGATACGAATATGCCCGGGACGAGGGATGGTTGTATTCAGGCCGGGAGCAGCGTTCAAGCAGTCGACGTGCCGCTTGATGGTCGACCGCCGTGCCGTAGCCGTTGATGTAGTACGAGGCCAGCACGAAGCAGTCAGGACAGTTGATGACTTTACTGGACAGCATCTCCTCGACCTTGTGATAGAATGCATTGAAGATGAATGCCTGCACCCCCGGTTCCAGCTGGCGTGTCTGTTGCCATGAGAGCGTGTGGTTCTATAGTGGTGAGCATGTTGTGCACACATCGGGAGATCTGATACACACTTCATAGCTGAGATGGAGAATCTCTGGCTCAACATTCTGTTCAGTCTCCGGGTCCTTCCCCAGGCCATTCTGTAACGCTGCAATGGCTTCAGTCAGATCTCGTTTGGCTGGGTCCACACTCAGACATCTGTTCAATGCAGCAGGGAGGAGAGTGTAGAAGGCATCTGCCTTCAGATCGGCTGCAGATTCCTGCTGGTATTGGACAAACCATCTATCCAGGCCGGTGTTCTCGATCAAGACGTCCTCTTCCTTCATCCGGTCGATGGGCAACAAGCAGTCTATGAAGCCGAATGGGCTGTGTCCATCCGCCGCCAGTCGCCAGAGCAGCAGCCCGTATGAATAGACGTCTGTCGCTGCCATTCTCTCCCTCGCCACGCGATTCCGGGTCTCTGGAGCCTTCCAGGGCCGAGTGCCGCCCATGAAGACCTCCTCGGAGGCAGCCTCGCGCACCGTCGAGAAGCCAAAGTCAGACATCTTGGCGATGTATTCACGCTCCGCATGCCGGAAGATCAACACGTTCTCCGACTTGACGTCGCCATGCACGATCCCACAGCGATGCAGCATCTGCAGGCCTCGTCCGATGTCCAGCGCGAGACCGCGTTTGGCCGCCGGGGATAGCTTCGTTTGCGCCTGAAGCTCCGCCAGGCTGCCGTGCTCGGCGTACTCCACCACCAGAACCGGCAGACGATGCGTCGGATCGAACAAGTTGGCTCCCCACGCCAGCCCGAGCAGCTTGATGATGTTCGGATGTCTCTGCAGCGGCTCGTGCATCAGGGCGTACAGTTCCATCAGCGCGGCTTTCATCGCCGGCCGCGTCGCCGCAGTCGACACCCCCGTCGCCGTAAAGGCCACCCGGGCAACCTTGTAGACGACCTTCTCCGGGGCTTTGGACACGTTGCGCACAGTCAGCGACCAGTCGGCCATCTCTGCAGTCTGAGACCCTGTCGGGAGGGCCGGGATACTGCGCTGGAACGCGGTGAAGGACGCCCCATGGCCGATCACCACCGACTGGTCGACGGCCAGCGGTTCCAGATGCACGCTGGGGACGGACGAGCGCGAGTTGGCCGGTCTGTGGATGCCCACAAAGTCGAATACATGGGGGATGTATTGAGCGCCTTCTGATCTTGATGCTATCTCTGATGTTTCCCCTCGAGACGTCTCTGGCCGACCTGACATAGTAATATGAAGTAATATGAGTAATATGAAGTAATATGAGTAATATGAAGTAATATGAGTAATATGAAGTAATATGAGTAATATGAAGTAATATTGTCTAATATTATGTATGTGTCCATCCAGCGGATTATTAGGATTAAGTATTGGGTTGCTATAATTAGATCTGACATTATGTTTTATATATATTAATGACTAAAGAAGAATAGATGATATACTGTAGACTATATATTGTTCCTAGGATTATATATATTTCTATATTAACATAAATAAATAATATATCCTTGAACTTATTAAATATACTTGTATGCATCCTGTGTGCTGTATCTAATCTTAAACACTTGCAAAGTGAATTTTCTAAATAAATAATATATTTTTGAATAGAAATAATGTATTCTTAAATAGAACTGGTATACATCCTGTGTGTATCTAATCTTAACTTGTAAACTAAACTTTCTCAACACAATCCCCACCATGCCCATCCTGAAAAACTTCATTCTCCCAGCCTCCGCCAGGCTCCTCGCCCTGCCTGAAGCCCCCAAGGCGAAGCTCTTCATTGCGTTCATCGCCTCTGACGATCCGATCACCGGCCAGCCCTGGTGCCCCGACGTGCGGGCTGCGTGGCCCCATATCCAAGGCGCGTTCTTGGCCGAAGAGGCGCCAACCGTGGCTATTGTCGCCGTCGGACAGAGAGAAGAGTGCGTCGGAATCCGCTTTTTGTATTCAATACTGACTCCTTAGATGGAGAGATCCCAAGAATGTGTACCGCAGCAGCTGGAATGTCCATAATGTGCCTGTGCTGGCCCGGTACCAGCGGGTGGATGGGCGAGTCGTCGAGACTGGCCGGTTGACAGAGGGAGAAATCTTGGACTCGGCCAAAGTAGAGGGTTTAACTGGTGATATATGAAGTATTAATATTATATATATTCTATTCTATTCTATTCTATTCTATTCTATTCTATTCTATTCTATTCATTTCTGTATATCTTTTTATATTCTAATGTGCATTCTAAGAGCGGGGTAACCCACAACGTTTTAATCTATCCTCTTATGATCCCTCTTATGATATCCTCTTAATCTATCCTCTTATGATATCCTCATAATCTATCCTCTTATCATCTATCATTATAGATGGACCCCATAACAGCTGCCGGGCTGGCCCTGGCAATCCCCCCCCTGGCCTTCCAGGTGTTTGCCGGCTGCATCCAGGGCTTCACCACGCTGTCGTCGGCGCAGAATCTCGGCAAAGACGCCAGCTTCCTGCTCACGATGCTGACCGTCGAGGAGTACCGCTGTCTGCAGTGGGCAGACGCCGTCGGACTGACCACCACCAACTGCATCGCGCCGCAGGTCAACCAGCGCCTCGCCGAAGAGCTGCTCGTCCAGCTGCGCGACCGACTCGACAGTTCCAAGCTGCGGCAGCGATACTCGCTCGACCTGCTGGTCGACAGCCGCGAGGAGCCTCAAAAGGTGCCAGTGGAAGAACCCCTGCCCATGCTGGCCGTGTCGAGTCAACGCCGCGGGGAGATCCTCGCCCGGGCGCAGCTCATCCAGAGCCAGGCGTCGCTGCCGCGGCGGCTGTGGTGGGCGGCCGTCGACAAGGCCAAGTTCCAGGATCTCGTTCACGATCTGCGCCAGATCGTCGACGCCCTGTGGAATCTGCTGGAGCCGCTGCGCCTGCGCGAGCTGGCGCAAACCGTCGGCCACACGTTGACGGCCGTCGTGGACATGAGCCGGGATATCACCGCCCTCAAAGCCCTCCAGGCCAGCTGTACCCGGGCCACCGTCTTCCCCGGGGATGCCATCCTGGCCACCGCCGTGGGCCTGAAGGTGGAGCGCGCGCAGATGGAGAAGAAGGCCGGAGAAGATCCAGTCCATCCTCTGCATCGCAGCCTGCTCCAACGGTCGCCTGCGCGCGGTGTCTATCCGGGGGAGTACGAGGGCAAGACGGTCCTGTGTGAGTCGAAGCCGGTGCATCCCCGGCTCAAGGCGAAGCTGCGGCGACGGTCGGAGAACCTGGCGCGCCTCCTGTCCGGGCCTCGGGCGGGTTCGTTCATGACTCTGGCCTGTCTCGGGGTGGTGGAAGACGTCGACGAGTTCGTCTTTGTGTACGACTATCCCCCCGGCGCAGACATCACCGCCCATCCGCGCTCGCTGCACGATCTTCTACGCGACTCCAAGATGAGGGCGCCGAGTGTGACGGCCCGGGTCAGACTGGCGTTGGCGATCTGCCAGACCCTCTTGACCGTCCATACCTCTGGCTGGCTGCACAAGAACATCCGGTCAGAGAATATCCTCTTCTTCGCCCCCGATGCCACCCTACAACCGTATCTGGCGGGCTTCACGTTTGCGCGCGCCGACTCTCCCCTGGAGATCAGCGATCAGGCATCCGAAGACCCCCTGTCGGACGTCTACCGCCACCCACAGGCGCTGGGCGACCCTTCGTGCTCGTACGCCATGTACATGGACCTCTACTCGCTGGGGGCGGTCTTGCTGGAGATCGCCGAATGGAGACCGCTGAAACATATCGTGCGCAAACACATCGACGTGGCGGACAGGGAGTGTGATGTTTCCCTCGCCGCTCTGGCAGCCACTCAGGACTGGCTTGTCCGCGAGGTCGTCGATAGGGGTCTGCTCGAGTTCCGGATGGGAGACGTTTATGCCGCTGGGGTTGCGGGCTTTCTACGCGCCGAGACAGACAGGTCGTCGGCAGACCTTTTGGCTTTGCAGAGTTTTGTCCATAACCTGGCCGGTTGTTGTATATAGAGTATATACTAATGCAGTTCAATCTCAATAACGGCATCCGCCGAAGCAAGACTCTCCTGCTTCCAGATGTTCACCACCTGCAGCCGTGGATCGGCCATTTGCACCAGCTGCTGCCACTGCCGGGCATTGCGTTGCTTGCCATTTCCCCCCAGCAGCGCCATGATATCCGTCGCGTTGACAAAGGGCATGCTGTCGCCGCCGATCAGATCAGGCACGACACAGTCGATGATGAGGATGCGCGATCTGCCCGCTTCCATCGCGGGTGCCACCCCACGCAGGATCTTGCAGGCCACCGAGTCGGTGAAGCCATGCATGCAGTGCCGGATCATGTATACCTCGGCCCCCTGCACGGTTTGCGCATCGAACAGCCCCAACTCCTGCCATTCCAGCGGGAGATGGCGGAGTTCCTTGTTTTCCTTGCCTGCCGCCAGGGCCTCGCCGCTGTCCTGCACGATGAACCGCAGATGCGGGTGCTGCTTGGCGATGTTGGCCGAGACGTGGCCGCTGCCGCCGCCCATGTCGACCACCACGGCGCCTGGGGAGAGACGGTCGAACGGATAGGGGAAGTCGGCGAACATGGAGGTCGTGTTGAAGGCCGACATGGACATGGCGGCGCGGCGGCCGCGTTCGGCGTCGACTTCGAAGTAATACTCGAATTGATTCAGGTTGGCTTGCATCGTCAGTGTCGGGAAGAGAAGAAGGGGGATGGATGCATACTTTTGAATGCTTTGGAAAAGGCACAGCTCCCACTCTCCACGGGAATCTGGAAGTTGTTTTCTTTCAGCAGGGGCAGCAGGGCGGCCGATGCTTGCAGGATGTCGTCGGTGCTGTTCATCGTTAGTCCTCATAGATGGTCAAATACATACTCTCAATTCTACAGACCTGACTGCCACCCAAGCTTCTACTCCGGGCAGCTGCAGCGTCTCCGAGGCCGCGTTCTGGATGTACTGGCCGGGCGCCACCTCCTCGAAGATGTATTTCTGCGTCAGGATGCGAAGGACGCGCCCTGGAGAGTAAGCATACGGACGGCAGGGAGGGAGAAAGGTCATGTACAGATTAGTTCCTCTTGCGCTCCCGTCGCGGCAGCAAGGTCCCTGAGAGACGAGGGACGACTGGCATCTGCCGAGACATGATGCGGCAGCCGCAGGGCGACGGCGATGGAAGCAACGGCGGAAACGACATATCCGGCCGTCTCGACAAAGATGCGTTCAAACGGCGTCTGGACCAGGGAGACGATCTTCTCGCAGGCACGCACCACCTCGCGTTTGGACTCCTCGCGGTTCTCCTCGCCGAGATAGCTGTCTAGACGGGTCGTCAAGATCTTGGCCAGGGATGCCAGATCGCGAGTGTCGGAAACCCGAGCGGGATTGCCGACCGTCATGATGTGTAGGTATGACTGAGGGGTATGGTATACACTATCAAGTAGACAGTATATAGTGTAGACAGTATATAGTGTAGTGTATATATAGTGTAGACGTGATATGAAGAGTCGGTGTATCGGAGGCCGAAGCGGTCTTCTACACCAAACCCTAAACCCTAAACCCTAACCCTAAACCCTGAAACCCTAACTACAATTCTACTACTCTACACTATTCTACTATACTGCTATACGACTATAGTAGATGTGTTACTATCTACAATCTCTGGAATACAATGCAACCCCCCCCTTCCCCCCCCCCTCGGTAAACCCCTGGGCGACAAACGGCTTGCCATCTTCCGCCAGGTAATAGAGAGACGCCAGGCCCGCCTGCTGGGCCACCTCGGCGGCCCAGGCCAGCATGCGGCTGCAGAGACCGACGCCCCGGAATTTAGGGTGGACAGCGAAGCAGGCCAGCTGGGCGCCGGACGGGGAGGCCTGCATCCCCCGGCGGGCGTCCTGCTGGCGGGCCAGGAGCGTCGTGAAGCGGCGGTGCACCTCTGCGGCCTGTTTGTTGGGCCAGATCTGGATATCCTGGATGGAATTGAGCAGGCGGGTCTTGTAAAACGCGAGTCCTACCTATTCTTAGCAACCTGATAGTCAAGAATGTATCTCCATAGCTCACCCTGTGGCACATGGCCGGGCTCGTCAAGCAGTATACAGAACCAGCCCACGATACGCGGCCCGTACGTCCGCACCGAGCTCTTGGCCGTGAACTCGAGCACATACACCAGCTTCGCCGGGTCGACCAGCGCCCGTGGCAGCGCCCAGTCGAGGTAATCCTCCATCTCGAGCTCGCCAAACACCAGCCCGTCGCCAAACTCGCCCTCGGTGAACAGCGGCGTCAGGAAGCTCTTCAGGGCGGGCACGTCGGGGGGGGCTGCCCGCCGCACGCCGAACATTTCGTCTGACATGTATAGATAGATATATATATACTTATGGATAGATAGATATATATATAGATAGATATATATATACTTATGGATAGATAGATATATATATACATATATAGATAGATATATAGATAGATATAGAAATATATATACATATAAGATATATAGATCTATACTTAGAACTATCGGCCCCCGGTCGGCGACCGTAGGATACATAATACTCAGCATACTTAAGATGCTTAAGCTAAGAGTATAGTGGATATACTGATATATGATATGATATTATGGACACACTCTGGTATTTCGCCTACGGATCCAACATCAGCCATGACAAGTTCGTGGGCAGCCGCGGCATCCACCCGCTGGCCGAAGCCCACGTCCGCCTCCCCGGCTGGGCGCTGGAGATGAGCATCCCCGGGTTTCCGTATCGCGAGCCGGCCTTTGCCTCCATCCAGCCGGGGAGAGACGGGCATGACGGCAAACAGACAATCGACGTGCAGGGCACCGCCTATCTCGTCACCCGCGCGCAGTATGCGTCCATCATCGCCTCCGAGGGGGGCGGCATCGCCTATCGCGAGGTGGTGGTCTGGGCCGAAGCCCTGCACGACGAGGATGTCCAGCATCTCGGCGGACAGCGGATCATGGTCTACACGTTGACCAACGCCATGACGCGCATTCCCCAGGGCAGAGCCAGCATGAGATATTTAGTATGTTAATTCTCTACTTTTCATAATTATGCAGTGATTAATGAGAAAGCATATGATTACTTCTGCCGCAGAGGATATCCCCTTTGATGAAGCATATCACAAGTTTCTCGCTGCTCTCCGCCCATATACACCCCCCCAGACACGCAAACAGAAGGCCGGGGCCGCCATGTTCTGGCTGCTGTGGACGCCGATCATCACGATGATGGAGAAGACCATTGCCCGCACCGTCGATCTGGACAAGGGAGGCAACGCGCCCAACTGGGTGGCTGTCCTCATGCGCTTTGTCGTGGCCGCCCTCTGGTTCTCGCACGACTGGGTCTTTGCGCCGCTGTTTGGGCGGGGAGACGGAGTGGATGAGGCTGGACTGGATTATGACTTACTTGATGCATCTCGACTGCCACTGCCACTGCCACTGCCTTGGACTGGGTGTTGATATTCATAACCAACCAACCTTGAATTGTTACCTATATGAAAGAGACATTTATGTATACAATGAACAGCTCCGCCGGCGAAAAGCCACAAACGAATCTGTATTAGGCATCAGATTCATCCCCCGCGGCCAGTCCACAGGCTTCCCCTTTCGCTCGGGCACGAATTTCATCTCGTAATCCATCACCAGCCGGGCAAAGACCATCTTGGCCGCCATCACGCCGAAGAAACGGCCGGGACACGTTTGATTGCCGTAGCCGAACCTAGACTCGTTAAACCAAGCAATTGAATCAAGATAAAGACCTACACTGTGTAATCCAGGGTCTGCGTGACTGTCTGGTGCTGGCTTTGCAGGAACCGATAGGGATCGAACCGGTCAGGATCAGGATAGATCTCTGGATCCTGCAGGATGCCACGCGTGGGCACCATGACGTTGTCGCCGGGCTGGAGGACCGTCCCGTCGGAGAGGACAATAGGTTCCATCGCTTTGCGCTGGATCGTACAGATGATAGGCGGACTCAATCGGAGTGTCTCCCGGAGGAAACTGTCGAGCTTGGGCAACTGGTGAGCACTCCTCCGAGTCCAGTTGTCGCCCGCAGCAGCCAATTCCTCGCGCAGCTCGGCTTCGTACTGCGGATGGCCCAGGATATTGAGCAGCAACTGGGAGAGCACGACGGCGAAGAGATCCGCCCCGGCGAACAGCACAAAGAGCAGCTGGTTGACGATCTCCGCCAGGGCTTCGTCGTCCTGTGCATCCGGCGCCGACAGCTTCACCAGCCCGGCGAGAACGGATCGGGACTCCACGGCAGCATCGTCTCCCTGGTCTGCGAGTAACTTGCGGATCTCCGGCAGCACCAGCCGGCGCGTCTCGGCCAGATGATGGCGCACAGCTCGGCCAGGGGGCAGCACGTACGACGACGCCGAATACAGAGAGGAGGGCAGCAGGAACTTGAGCGCCACCCAGACGGGGATTGTCTGGGTGTATCCTCGGGCGTGGGCGACGTATTCCTTCGAGAACCCCAGCTCCGGGCCCACGAGGATAGGAGCCATGATGTTATGCGAGACGTCGAGCATTGCCTCCCATACATTCACCACTCGCCAGCCTGGAAGATTAGCAGGATACAGCAAGATGATCGACAAATGACATACCGTTTGCATTCTCTGGAGGCGCCAGACGATCCATCAGCGCCTTGTCCGTGGCAGGAGAGATCAGATCCCCCATATCAGCTAAAATCATTAGTTGGCCAACCGATGTGTCGGAGTAGACATACGCAGATTGGGAATCATATACTTCTTCATGGCTGTGATGTGATGGCGTTGCTTGAGGGTGCCTCCCGTATGGACATCCCACATGAACAGGCCATCCACCACGCCCATGAAGCTCATCTTGGCTGGCGGGATGCCCTTGAGCTCCTCCAGACGGGACTTGGGGAAGACGTGGAACAGTTCGTCAAACACCCACGTCGCCCAGATTTCGTTGTTGAGGCTGTACTGGAACACGATCAGCGCAAGTTCAATCCGATTCTGTTTACTTCATACCCGTTCGTATCCCTCCAAGACCAACCCAACCATGTCCTGCGAGAAGCGCGAGACGAGCCATGCTTTGCGCCGCCACCAGGCCCGGTGGCCCAGGATAGGGACACGGGGGCGCGCGATCTTGCTGGTCAGGTATTCGACGCTGTACAGGGCTACCACCAGGCCGAGCACCGAGACGGTGGCTCTGAATAGGAATGACTCCATCTTGGTGGAAGTTGTTTCTTTGTTGTTTGTTGTTTCTTTGTTGTTCTTTGTTGTATTTCAACCGGCCTCCGTTCGGATGCCGATAGATAACTACAGTACTATACATATCGCGAACTACCTTCATCCTCAATATTGATTTCCTCTATTATTCTGTTCCATCAAGATGACAGTAGAAACCCCTTCCACGGCCGAAGCCCTCCGGCTCGCCAATGCTTCCACCACCGCTGAAGTCCTGCGGCTCGCCAATGCGATCCAAGAGGCCGCCCAGCGCCTGGCTGCGCTGCGCGACGAGTCCAGCCCCGACGACGTCCTCTCCGAACACGAGCAACTGCGCCAGCAGCTCATCGGCCGCATGGCGCACGCCAGCCGGCTGCTGCAGAACCCCATCGACTATCTAAAGGGGTTGACCCAGGGCGGGGTATGCTCGTCCCGGAGTATGTCCAAGAGGGAAGCTGACGATATAGGCACTGGATGTAGGCGTGGTACGGGCTCTGGTGCTGCTCGGGGTGCCTAAAGCAGTCCCTCTTACAGGGGGCATCCCCCTGGAAGCCCTCGCCGGGACGGTCAAGGTCGACGTCTCCACGCTGGGGCGTCTCCTCGACTACGCCGGGACGTTGGGATTGTTCACGGTGTCCGATGAGCAGCTTGTTCGACACTCTCGTCTCTCCGCCGGTCTGGCGCAGGGGACTTATGCCCCCATTGTAGAATGGGACGTCACCATCCCGCCCGTGTCGGCGCTGCGCCTGTACGAAGCGCTGCGGGCAAACGGGAACTGCGAGGGCGCCGAACGGGCGTCCTTTCAGTTCGGGATGGAGACAAACGAGACCTTCTACGAGTGGCACAAGGCGAATCCGAAATACGCGGCGTTCTTCCGTCTGGGCATGGAGAGCGAAAAGGAGGATCCGCGCACGGCGCCCCAGAACCTGGCGCGGATCTATGACTGGACTGTGTTTGATGGCAAGACAGTGATTGACGTATATTCCTTGTTGACCCTTATTTACTGACTATCACTTACTGACTGGTTCAGCTCGGCGGTTCGACCGGGCATGTCGCCCGACTCGTGGCAGACAAATACCCCGGCATCGACTGGATCATTCAGGATCTCCCCGAGACGATCAAGCCTCTGCCCCCCTCGGACAGGGCGAATATGCGCTTTGAAGAGCACGATTTCTTCCACACGCAGCCTCGCAGCGTGGACGGCTACTTCCTGCGCTACATCTTCCACAACTGGGCGGACAGCGACTGCCGGCGCATTCTCGCCGGGCTGAAGCCCGCTCTGCGGCCCGGCGCCCGCCTGCTGGTCGCGGAGATGGTGCAGCCTGTGCCGACGGCGGCGAGAGAGGATGGCTGGGTGGAGGAGCGGCTGTTCACGCGGCGGGACATGCAGATGATGAGCTATGTCGGCGCTCACGAACGCACGGTGGACGAGTATCGCCGGCTGGTGGATGGAGTCATTCCCGGGCTGCGTTTCCTGGGCTGCCACAAGCCGATGGGCAGCACCGTCGGCATTCTCGAGTGGATTTACACAGCAGAATGAATATATCCTAGTGTTGTTTATAATCAGTACTGTATAGTAAGACTGTGTGGTATAGTAAGACTCATGTCGGCCACCGAAACGTACGCCGATAAGAGTAGAAGTAGAGAGTAAGACAGTGGAATGAACTTGTCTATCACGAATCTCACTGAATCTCGATGGACAAAACACTCAACGTGCAGACCGTGGCAGTGCCACCGGTCAAGTATGGCAACATCGCCTACTCTGGCGCTCCAATCATCTATGTGGTGAAGGGTATCAAGTTGCGGCGTCTTGACGTTGGTTGAACATGATGCTGATCATGTACAGCAACCAAAACCTCATATATCAACTATATGAAAGTGCTGATGCTCGCCGCCGAGCTGGGCATCGACCATGAGATCGCCGTCATCTCCACCAAGGACGAATGGTACCAGCCCGTCCATCCAGAGCGATACGTGCCCGCCATCGCCGACCGGGACCCAGCCACCGGCGAGGATTTCTACGTGTTTGAAAGCACCTCGTGTCTGCACCATCTGGCCGACACGTACGACACAGCCGGGCTCTGGCGAGGCCGGACGGTGCGCGAGCGGGCGCAAGTGCAGAACTGGACGGCGTACCAGACAGCAGGATTAGGGTATGTATATGTATCCCCTGGGAGGAGACTGATAGGCATCGCTAAATAGGCAGGGCAACGTCGAAATACTGGCTCTACTTTAGCAACATCTGTCCAGACAAACAGCCCAAAACCATTGAAAAGTATCTCCTCTTCCATAAGTCTCCAAGGTCTGTATATCATGCTAATTCCAGGCTCTACGATAACTGCCTCAAGCAGTGGGATATCCTCGAAGCCCGCCTCTCAGCCCCCGGGCAGGACTACATCGCCCTGCCGGACCGCCCAACCGTGGCCGACATCGCCTATTTCCCCTTTGCCATGCCCTACATGTTCCAGTTTATGGGCGTCGAGATGGCCCGCTGGCCGCGTCTGCAGGGCTGGGCGGCCCGCATGGCGGCTCGGCCGGCCATCCAGCATATCTTGGAGTTTGCGCCGACTATCGGCAGTGACTAGACTTGATGTCACAGGAAGACTAGATAATAGCAAGAGTATTCTATCCTCTTAATACTATTACTCTCTTTACTTTACTCTCTTTACTTTACTCTCTTTACTCTGCTATACAGAAATATCAATTTCTTGGCGCCAAGATGTAATGTTCAGAATAAGCTAATCATATTTAGGAATGTCTATATTTTCTCTCTTTTCTTCTTATTATCGAGGTAAGTTTTTAATTCAGCTTTCAATAGAGTATATATACTAATTTCTAGGCTAATTCTTATATCAATTCCTATAATTCCTGCGTCGATTCCTAGGTGATTCCCTAGGTCCTACATTGATTCTAGGCGAGGGTATCAGGCTCGTTTAGAGCTTAAGTTAAAATTATACTGTGGCGTCGGCAATTATCACCAGTTAACCACCTCTATTTATTACCTAACACTTTCTTTCTCCTTTCTCTCTCTTTCTCTCTCTTTTTCATTTCTCCTTTCTCTTGTTTCTCCCATTGAACATGAAACTCATGAAGCTATTCCGAACTGCCATCCTGGCAGGCCTCCTGCAGAGGGCCTGGGCCTCATGCTCCCCCAACCTGCTGACGAATGGCGACTTTGAGACAGGCACGATGGAAGGCTGGACACAAGGCATCGGCACCTTGTCCATGGCTTCCGACGACGGGTCGTCGTATTACCTCGTCGGCGCAGACGCCGTCGTCTCCATCTCCGAATGGCAGGTCTACTTCTACCAGACCGTCGACGCCATCGTCGAGGGGACGGAATACACCATCAGCTTCGACATGCGCTTCACGCAGTCCTACACGACCAACGTTGTGTTGACGGCACGAATCGGCACCACCCTCGCTGGCTCGACCACTCTCTCCCCTGCCACCGTGGGATTGGACTGGGTCACCTACTCGTATAGCATCACGCCGGCCACCACAAGTCAGGCCTTTTATATCTCTGTCTCCACCGTCAGGTCCATGACCTTTGACTTTGACAATATCTCTCTCGTCGAGGCCAACGTTGTCTGTCCGACTTCCACCGTTGCCGCCACCTCGTCTACTGCTTCTGTTGCTTCTGTTGCAAGCTCTATTGCTTCTGTCTCTAGCTCGATTGCTTCTGTCTCGTCTACTGCTTCTGCCGTATCTTCAGCTATTCCATCAGCCAGCTCATCCCAGCTCACAGCCATCTCATCCCAGCTCACAGCCATCTCATCCCAGCTCACAGCCATCTCATCCCAGCTCACAGCCATCTCATCTCCCATCTCATCGATGGTTCCGGCAAGTGCCAGTGCAGTGCCTGCTTCCAGCTCTTCGGTCATAACCCCGGTTGGATCTTCCAGTTCTTTCCCTTTCACCGTCTCTTCCAGCAGCTCTTCTACACTCTCTGTCAGCACTTCCAGCTCTGTCGGCACTTCCAGCTCAGCTGGCCTCTCCAGCAAAGGCACAGCAGCAGTGTCTGTCTCTCCCACAGTATTCACCGAGACTCAAACTGTCCTAAAAACAGAGATTGTCACTGTCAGCACTGCCTGTGCACATGAATTATAGTAATGTGATGATATTTAAAATATAAGACTATTCGACTTCAATTCTATTTCTAATTCTGTTTCTTCTTCAATCCGCTCTATCCTTACTCAGCCAGGCAAGTCTTGGTCAGCGCTTTACATAGTGACACTCCCAAACATGTTAGAATAAGATATAAGAATCCTGCTGCTGATTCAAACCAGTTATCATACATCTTGACGGTACAGTGTGGACGAGGGGATCATTCTCGTCCACGGGACGAGAAGCTCCTCGCTGATCTCAGACGGCGTGGTGTTGACCAGCAGGTGTGGGATCATACCATGGTGTTGATGGCTAGAATATAGAACTGAAATACCACAATAACAGGCCTTATTCTATAATCCTTCAACTTAAGCTCTTCCCAGCTATTTGGCATAATCTCTAGTACTTGTATAGAGATTTAATGAGAATAGTACATATTATTATCTATTTATTTCTATTTCTATAGTGTTATTTCTATAGTGTTATTTCTATAGTGTTATTTCTATAGTGTTAATCGATAACATAAATCTATCAATCGGCAGCCGATCGCATCCCGAATGTACATCTTATGGAGAATCCCCCCTCTTCTTCCACCACGCAACAATGAACGACTCGGTAGACAGCCCATACACTCAGCCCCTGGGCACCCCTAACAGTGCCTTCAGCTCCCTATGGCCCGGACTGCTGGTGGTGGCCGCGCTGTACCTCTACGGGCAGGTCAGCGACTGGCGACAGCGACGCAACCAGGGCAACCGGCCGGTGCTGGGCGACTGTTCGTGGTGGCGGCGCCGGACGTTTTTCCTGTGTCGGTGGATGGCGGATTCGTTGAATCTGTGTTTCGAAGGATACACAAAGGTACTCTGGCTGGGTGGTGTTGCCTATCTCAAGCTCATTCGCATAGTATAGCAAGAACAACGCCGTCTGGTCCACATGGACGTTCGACGAGCTGATCTACGTCTATCCGCCCAGCATGGTCGACGAGATCAAGGCGTATCCCCCGGACCAGCTCAACTTTAGCGAGATCGTCGAGGACCAGTTCCTCTGGCATCTGTACATGGGCAACACCCTCACCGAGCGCAAATACGTGCACGCCGTGCAGAAGCATCTCATCTCGAATCTCCCGGACATGACCGAGTATCTGGCCCAGACCGTCCAGGAGGCGTTGATCCAGCGACTGGCGCCTCCGGAGCACTCGAACGGTGAGTCCCAATAGCCCCGACCCTTGTGATATCCGTCATTCTTGCTCATACCATGACTTAGGCTGGCGGGTGGTGATGCTCTGGGACGCGTTGATTGATGTCGCCAACATGACCGTCGGCCATGCCATGGTGGGCGAGGAGATGGTGTCTCACCCCGACTATCTCAAGCATGCCACGGGCTACATCGACACCGTGACGGGCCACTCGGTGACCATGTTCCTGTTGCCTGCCGTCCTGCGCGAGCCGTATTTCTGGCTCAGCAGCTGGGGCCGCCGGGCACGCAGCCACCTGCACGCCGTCAAACGCATGGTGATCCCGGAGCTGGGCAGGCTGCAGCGCGAGGGCAAGAGTGGTCCCAGCCGGGCGATGGTCGAGAAGATGCTCGCCAAACCCGTGGACGAGATGACGCCCAAGGAGGCCGACGAGATCGTCAACCAGATGCTCATCCTGACCTTTGCCGCGGCGGGCATGTGGTGCATGATCCAGTGCCAGATCGTGCTCACCTATCTCGCGCATCCGGAATTCGCCCACGAGCTGCGCCAGGAGATCACCCAACAGCTGGCCATCCACGGCGGCTGGACTCGCCAGGCCGTTGCTGCCATGCCGAAACTCGACAGTTTTCTCCGTGAGACCCTGCGCTGCTCGCCTCCCATCATCTGTACGCTCCCCTTCTCCCCTACACAAAGATCCTGCTAAGTGATAGATACCATCCAGCGCAAGGCGATGAAGGAGCTCGTCCTGTCCGACGGCTCTGTCCTCCCCCCCGGCCAGAAGCTGATGATCCCCACGTTGTCGCTGCTGCGCGATCCAGCCATCTATCCAGACCCGGACACATTCAACCCGTGGCGATGGTATGACGCCAAAGAGAACAAGACCAAACTGCAGGCCGTCACGCAAACGGCGGAATTCCCAGTGTAAGACAAATGGTTCGATGAACAGAGGCGTATTTACTGATCCACGGCAGCTTCGGCTTCGGCAACCAGACATGTCCAGGCCGTTTCTTTGGCCTCCTTCTCACGAAACTCACCTTTGCCCAGCTCATCATCGACTATGAAGTCAAGTTTGTGCCGGAACGCAAGGGGAAGCCCGTCGACTGGCCTATTGGGGCGGCCTTGATGCCTAACCTGGACACTTTTGTAGCGATGAGAAGATTACCAGGCCATAGATAGTATATTCTCTATTGTCTCACTAATATCAACATTAAATCAACATTAAATCAACATTAATATCAACTACTAGTACCTAAGCTAATAATGTCGGATGCCGATCAGGTATGTTTGGATTGTGTAACACTATCCCTTCTTTCGACCTTTCTCATTCTTCTCTTTCTCTTCTCTCTTTTCTCTTCTCTCTTCATCTTCATCTTCCACAATGAACATCGTCCATGGCATCCTCCATAGCTTCAACACCCACACCCGCTGGATCTGGGCAACGGTCCTGCTGGCGGCCTGGGCCAACTTCCTCGACCAGGTCCAGAGCCTGATGGTGAACCTCGCCCTACGAGACATCTCCCACGCCGTCCATCTCACCCCCTACGAGAGCAACTGGCCTCTCCTCTCCTACTCGGTCGGTTATGCCGCCGTGCTCTTCGTTGCGGGTGCCCTCATCGACAAGACAGGCCTGCGCTTTACTTTCCTCCTGGGGATCGCCATCCTGGTCGGCGCCAATGCGTTGTGTGCCTGGGCGCCCAACAAAGATGCCCTCATCGTGGGGAGAGCCATCGCCGGGCTGGGAGGGGGAATCAATGTACGTCCGTCCCATCAACCGAGTCTGTCTCCTGCTCTGAAGCTAAATGATAGACCGTCTGTCTGATCCCGTTGATTACGAGCTCCTTGCCCGACGCAAAGGACCGGAATCGAGGCTTGACCCTGCTGTTTGTCTCGGGACCGCTGGGCATGGTGTGTGGGATTATAATCGGGGCGCTGGTGACCGGTACGGCATGAATGAGAATCAGAGAGCGTGATGGATGCTGATGGATATAGAATCGTCTGTTGGCTGGCGAGGCATCTTCTGGATCACCATGATCCTCTGTGCCGTCCTCTTCGTCCTCGCCGTTCTTCTCGTGCCCAGTCGGGCACAGGAGCCAGTCAAGGAGTGCCGCGAGAGCGTGGAAGAGGCCGGTGAAGCCCGTTCCCAGTGCCAGCAGTCACAGAACCCGCCCTTTGACTATATCGGCGTCATCCTCGCCTGCGTCGGCATCCCCTGCCTCATCTACGGCCTCAACGACGGCCCCAACCGCGGCTGGACCGACCCGGCCGTGCTGTCGACGCTCGTCATCGGCGGCGTCTGTATCCTCGCCCTGCCTGTCTACGACGGCTGGTTCTGTCTGACGGCCGACCCCTTCATCCCGCGCGAGATGCTGCACTCGGTCAATATGATCCTCATGACCTTCAACTTCCTCTTCAACGGCGGAGGCATCACCGCCTGGTGGTATCTCGTCACCCAGACTCTCCTCAATGGACTGCAGTATTCGCCCATCCGCTCTGCTCTGTACTTACTGGTAAGACCTACTGACAGGAAGGAAGATACACGCTGACAATATCGTGAATAGCCCGCCGCCTTTGCCTGTCTGGCCTCTGCCCCCGTGGCCGGCTTCCTCGCCAGCAAGCTATCGGAACGCACGCAAATCACCGGCGCCTGGGTCTGGATGGCTGCCTTTTTGATCCCCTGGGCCCTGATCCCAGAGCACGTCAGCCCGGCCTGGCCCATCGTGTTTGCCATGTGCTATATCGTCGCCAATGTGCCCGGCATTGTGCGCGCCCAGGCCGCCGTGCTCTCCACCATTCCGCAGTCGCAACATGCTCGGATTGGATCCCTGCTCGCCATCGTCTTCCAGGTCGGCGGGAGCACCCTGATCGCCTTGATGAATGTGCTCGTCGCGGCCACCTCGTCGAACGATTCGCCTGCCTCCGTCCTACACGGCTACCACAATGCCGCATGGTTGCTGTGTGGTGTCATGGCCGCGTCGGCTGTCCTTTTTGTTCTCTTGTACCGTAAGCCGAGGGACACAGATGTGCTGGCAGGGAGTGAGGCGGAAAGAAATGAGGGTGAAAAAGTGGAAGAATTAGGTGAAGTGGAAGAATGAGGTGAAGTAGATAAAATAGGTAAAGTAAAAGAATGAGGGTGAAAAAGTAGATGAAATAGGTGAAGTGGAAGAAGGAGGATAAACTTGAGTATTTACTATATTTTATATCTTATTATTTGTTATATTTAATTTATAACTATTAACTAAGGATTTAATACTTAGCTAGATACACTTCTATACCCCCAATATATATATATATATATTAATAATATATATCTAAAACACCACATTACCCAATTTAATTATATCTATTGAAAATTTTAGAAGACAGAGATTATAATGGATTATATATATATAATAATTATAGATTATAAGGTGATAACTTTAACTAGGCTACTAATTTAAATTCTATGGTTAGGAACTTTGGCTGGGACTATATACTAAATCATGCCCCTTAAAGTCATACTTAAGACTATACCAGTATTATAGCTATTTCAGTCCAGTGCCCTGATATTTATGTATATACCTCAAGAAGAAAGCATCTGCTACTGTGATACACCTTCATGCTCACTGGCCATTTGGTTACACGAGCATGTCCCCGATCCACGCCGGCATCCTGGTTACATCCATCTATTCGGCGTCTGAGCGATTGCCGAGTCGCGATTTAAATAGCAGTCATCCAGAGCACTGTTTCTCTCGAGATACTACAATCATCATCGTCATCATGGCCGTCACTGAGATGCTGTACCAGCAAGACTGGGACAACGCCGGACCAGCCCCCTACTACCGCACCGACCCCAAGCCAGGCTTCGAAGTCAAGAATTTCGACTGGAACCCCCGCCAGGTCACCGTCGAGGATGCCCGTCCTGCCCGAGACTCCTTCACTCTCGACACGCACGGCTTCACCTTCGCCGACGACGTGCGCGGGGGCAACCCGGCTCTGCTGCAGAGCATCCGGGACATCGACACCGGCAGGATCGAGAGCGAGTACTACGACGCCGTGAGGGAGCTGGTGACTCGGGTGACGGGCGCCCACAAGGTCATCATCTTCAACCACTCCATCCGGAAGCGGGATCCGGCCTTGGGCATGTTTGGCAAGCCGGGGCGCCAGCAGCCGGGGAAGACAGTAAGTCAAGCCTATATATACATGTACTTGCACTGACAGTCAGGTCCACTGCGATCAGTACGTACGAAACACGGACGAAGAGAGATACTGACCGTCAGAACGCCGACAGGAGCCCTCCGTCGGGCTAGACAGTATGCCGGCGACGAGGCCGAGCAGCTGCTCCAGGGCCGATTCCGCATCATCAAGTACCTCTATCCTTCTGCTACATGTCTGCTATACTGACTTGTCTCTGCAGTGTGTGGCGGCCGATCAACGGGCCCGTGGACGACTGGCCGTTGGGCCTCATGGACGGCCGCACGCTCGACGCGGCGAATCTGCATGCGATGGAGCTCTGGAAGCACGAATGGGAGCCGCTGGGCTCGTCGTACAACATCAGCTACGGCGAGGGCCAGAAATGGCATTTTCTGGCCGGCCATCGCACCGACGAGGCGACTCTCATCAAGATCTACGACTCGGCGGACGTGCCTGCGAAACGTATGTAGACTCTGGGATTTCCAGTCTCCCTTGCTGCATCTTGCTGATCATCAGTATGCCCCCATTGCGCGTTTGAGCATCCCGATACCCCTGCCGAGGCGCCCAAGAGGGAGAGCATCGAAGTGCGGTGTCTGGTGTTTGGCTGATCGGTCACCGACGGAGGCCGATATAGCTATTACTCTGTCATTATAGTGTTGCCATGTTGATGTGTTTACATTGTGTTTACATTGATTACCAAGATAACTATCTGAAATGAAAGAACCTACATCGGATAGCCTCGAGTATGCGTCTCGATCCAATAGATTCAAAGCTCGCTGGGCGGCCCTCGCCGTCGGCTTCATCATCATCACCACCTACACGTTTCGTAACCAGTGGACATCGCCTCGCCTATTGATCGGTGTGTCTCCATCTCATACTTATGATTCTATGTATTGATGATTAGACGGCCACAATGACTTTCCCATCTGGATCCGTGCCTTCTGGGGCAACCACATCTACCAGGGCAACTTCAGCGCCGACCAGGAGCTGTACGGGCAGGTCGACTTTGTCCGTCTGCAGCAGGGGGGAGTCACCGGCCAGTTCTGGAGTGTCTACGTGCCGTGGTATGAGCATTATCATTATAAGCATATCGTTATAGGACTAATTATTGAGTCCGTCCGACACGTCCATGACCGACGAGTCGTACGGGGTCTCGGTGCGGGATACCCTGCAACAGATCGATCTGGTCCAGCGCCTGGCGACAGCGTACCCAGGACATATACGGCCAGTACGGACAGCCGGCGAGATGGCGACGGTGATGCGCAAACACAGGACCGGCATCGCCAGTCTGCTCGGCGTCGAGGGCCTCCACCAGATCGGCAACAGCGCCAGTGTGCTGCGAGTATACCACCAGCTGGGCGTGCGGTACATCACCCTCACGCACAGCTGCCACAACCCGTACGCCGACAGCTGCGCGCCGTCGACGCCGCTGCACGGCGGCCTGTCGCCCGCCGGGGAGGCGATGGTGCGCGAGATGAACCGCGTCGGGATGATGGTCGATCTGTCGCATACCTCTGCCGCGACGCAGCGTGCCAGTCTGGCGCTCAGCAAGGCGCCGGTGCTCTTCTCGCATTCCTCGGCGTACGCCCTCTGCGCGCACCGGCGCAACGTGCAGGACGACGTGCTCGATCTGCTGCCGCGCAACGGGGGGCTCGTCATGATCAACTTCACGCCCGAGTTCTTGCGCCAGGACGAAGGAAACGCCTCTCTCGCCGACGTGGCGGACCATATCGTCTACGTCGGCGAGCGCATCGGCTACGCCCACGTCGGCCTCGGCGCAGACTACGACGGCATGGGCTTCGGACAGGCGCCGCGCGGGCTGGAGGACGTGGCCTCGTATCCAGCCCTCATGGCGGAGCTGCAGCGTCGGGGAGTCGCCAGGGAGGACAGGCTGGCTGTTGCCGGAGGGAATGTCCTGCGTGTCTTGGGGGAGGTCGAGAGAGTGGCTGCCAGCATGGCCGACGAGCCTTTGGAGGATGATGTCAAGTCTTTTTTTACTGAGCATACAGTAGTGTAGACAGAATACGGCTGTCTTGGCTGTATGATTGTTCTATAGATATTCGAGTTATTATTGGCCACGCTACATCGACTGCTTCTCCCACATCTGCTTGTACTGGCCCTCGCGGCGCAACAGCTCACTGTGCGTGCCGGTCTCGACGATGCGGCCCTGCTGCAGCACGACGATTTTGTCGCAGTGGACAATCGTCGACAGGCGGTGGCTGTGATGGTCAGATGTGAATAAGCCATGTGTCTAGATCAGACTTACGCAATGGTGATGGTGGTGCGTCCCCTGCTGACGTCGGCCAGGGAGGCCTGGATGGCCTGTTCGGTGGCCGAGTCGAGCGAGGAGGTCGCCTCGTCCATGAAGATGATCTGGGGTGCTTTGAGAATGGCGCGGGCTATGGAGAGCTGCAGTAGAATTAGAAACAGCTCAGAATGAACAGTCAGAATGAACAGTCAGAATGAACAGTCAGAATGAACATCAGAATGAACAGTCAGAATGAACAGTCAGAATGAACAGTCAGAATGAACAGTCAGAATGAACAGTCAGAATGAACAGCTCAGATAGTCACTTACTCGCTGCTTCTCCCCCCCCGAAAGACGGAGGCCTCTTTCGCCAACCTGGGTGAGGTATCCGTCCGGGAAGGCGAGGATCTTGTCGTGCAGACTGGCGGCTTTGCAGGCGGCATAGACCTGGTCGTCGGTGGCCGAGGGCCGCGCATAGCGGATGTTGTAGAGCAGGGTGTCGTTGAAGAGCATCGTCTCCTGCGGGACGACGCCGATGTGGCTGCGCAGGCTCTGGATGGTGAGCTGCTCGACGGGGGTGCCGTCGAGCAGGATCTGGCCGGCCGAGACGTTGTAGAAGCGGAAGAGCAGCCGCAGCAGCGACGACTTGCCGCTGCCGGTCTCGCCCACCACGGCGAGCGAGGTGCCCGGCGCGACGGTGAGGGTGATGTTGTGCAGCACGGTGCGCCGGCCGTCGTAGGAGAAGGAGACATCGCGCAACTCCAACGCGCCCTGGCAGTCGACCAGATCGACGGCGTCTGGAGCGTCGACGACAGTCGGCTCCTCGTCGAACAGCGCCAGCATGCGCTCGGCGTCGACCAGGTTGTTCTGCATCTGCGTGTAGCAGCTGCCGAAGAAGTTCAACGGCGCCTGCAGCTGGGTGAGGTAGGAGATGAGAGTGACGAAGACGGCGATGGTCTCGCGGCCGCCGGCGACGTTGTAGGCCGACAGCAAGCAGGTGAGGGCGACCCCCAGGGTGAAGATGACGTTCTGCGCGGCGTTGAGCAGGTTGAGCAGCCTCATGACGACATACTCGGCGCGTTGGTAGAAGGAGACGCGGTCGGCGAAGCGGGCCAGCTCGGCGGCGACGGCGTCGTTGTAGTGCACGACCTCATACGAGATGAGGCCGTCGGCCTTGACGGCGTCCATCTCGCGGTCGCAGGCGGTCATCTCGCGGCGGGCGCGCGCCCGGAACTTGGACAGGTAGATGGTGGTGAAGATGTAGGCCCAGCCCATGGCGATGACGATCAAGCAGTAGAACGGGTCGAAGGTGGCGAGCAGGTAGGCCGCGGCAACGCCCAGATCGGCCAGCATGGGGAACAGGGTGAACAGCAGCGTCACCAGGAAGGTGTTGAGCGCGGCGCCCTTGGTCAGCGCGCTCATCACCTCGCCCAGCCGCTTGCCCAGGTGGAAGTCGAGCGACAGCGACAGCACATGGGCAAACGCCGCGGCGCTGAGCTGGCGGTACGTCGCCTGTCCGATGGGGATCCAGAGATGCGCGCGCACACAGCCGATCACCCCCTGTTCGCCCTGCAGCGCTCGCAGCGCGGCGTACCACACAATCGCCTGGACGGGGAGCGACCCGGGCGCCAGCGAGCGCACAATCACCCCGAGCTGCAGCGGCACCAGCACGTTGACGACGCGCTGCACGGCCAGCAGCAGCAGACACACGACGGCGCGGAGCTGCAGGGCGGGCGACTCGCTCGGCCAGATCAGCCGGAAGACCTTGACGAAGTTGATCACATAGTCTACCCAGTCTGTCTCGGGGGGGCTGGTTGTGTCTGGAGGGGAGGGGATGGTTCCGTATCGGACTTCATCGCCGGTGAGGAGAGACTGTTTGGGAGCGGAGAGATACAGAAACACCACGCCGAGGGAGAGGCAGAGGACGCGAGTGGCGGCGAGACAGAGCGAGACGATGTCCAGCAGGTCCAGGGCAGTCAAGGCCAACACGGTGCGGGCCTGCCAGACGGCCAGGGCCGTCTCGAAGCCGGTGGCGAGGAGCCAGACGATGCCGCTCGCCGGCGACGGTCTATACGGCTGTTCGGGGTCGGGGAGGATGGAGGCGAGGAAGAAGAAGAGCACGGCGACTTGGTGGGCCTGCCGGGTCAGCAAGAGGGGATGCGTATAGCCGAGAGAGATCAACACACCAGGTAGGGCTGCGACTCCCACCACCGGCCGTCTGCGTCGCGCGTGGCGATGCCGACAATAGAGAGAACAATACTCGACAGCAAGGAGAGACAGAGCAGAGAGAGAGACGACAGCACGGTGTGGACTCGTCGCGGTGCCCAGTCTGCGCGCGTCCACAGCCTCACGATGAGATGCGAGGCCGTGTAGGCGACGACCAGGGCAGTCGGATAGACCAGACAGACGGTGCTGATTCCTGCATCAGCCATCTTGATGTGGTGGGAATGAAGCGATTGCCCGTTCTTTTGTAGTCTTTCGGCATCCGACGGTGGCCGAAAACTCATTATAGAAACGAGATAGCAATAGTGTATAGGCAAGTATAGCAATAGACTATACTCAAGTATGGCAATCGTGAGAAACTCATTATAGTAATCGAAGATAGCAATAGACTATATTCTATTAAGAATCTAGTGGTTATACACAGGCAGCTTCAATCCGACGCAATCCCTCTGCCAGAGCATCCCCTTCCAAGGCAAAGCTCAGTCGATACCAGCCCGGCTGCTGGCTGGAATACGATCGACCGGCACTGACGGCCACGCCGTGATCCGCCAGCCGTTTCTGCAGCGCCGTCTCCTGCTCCCAGGTGGTGATGGTCTTGTCCAGACGCGCCCAGACGTACATGCCCGCCCAGGCCGGGATATACTCCATCTCGTGGGCGCGGAGGAAGCGCCGCATGGCTGCGTACGCGGTCTGCAGTCTCGTCCGGCTCAGCTTCAAGATCTGCTCCAGCTGGGCCTCGTTGGTGAGCAGGCTGGTCATCGCGATGGCCGTCAATGCCGACACCTGCGTGTTGGCTCCCAGAGCCACTGCCAGCGCCACCTGCGGGTTTCTACTGACAAACGTGCCCTAAACGGTCACCCCCTCTCCTCTGCATATCCATGATCTTCTCCTCTGCATATCCAGGCAATGGCACTCACCAGTCGTAATCCGTTACACGCCAGATCCTTGCTGATGCTCCAGGCCATGTGGACGCGCGAGACATCGACCCCCAGAGCCGGCAGGTCCAGCGCCAGCACCGAGGTGAACGGCTCCGGCGCCGGGCAGTCCTCCGACTCGTACGTCGACAGCGCATACACCTCGTCGGAGAGATAGTGCAGCTCCCTGGCCTGGCAGAAGAGCAGCAGCGCCGTGAGCACGTCGCGCGTGAAGCACTGGCCCAGCGGGTTGTGCGGGTTGCAGCCCACGACGGCCCTGACGCGGCGGCCGGCGCGAGTCTGCTCTGCCAGGGCCGTTTCCAGCATGCCGGCTATCTCGCCTGGATCGTCGCAGGAGACATGGACGGGGATGATGGTCACGTCGGGTCTGACCTCGAACTGGAAGCTGAAGCCGCCTGGTCGTTAGCAGGTATCCCGTCCATACGACAGTCAGGAAAAGTCAAGCAATACTCCAGTAAGGCGCCAGCACGAGCATCGCGTCGCCAACATCGCCCACACTGAACGCAAAGGAATCGATGATGGCGCCGCCGCCAGGCCCGACCACCACCTCGCTGGCCTGGACGGGGACCAGAGCGTGGAAGCGCGTGGAGAACAGATGCGCCAGGGCAGCCTGGAGGCGAGGGTCGCCGGCGAATCCTTTCTGATACGACAGGTCCTGTCCCTTAGAATAGCTTTTTTGATAGTACACACAGCACTTACTGCCACGGTGAGGTTGTCCTGGATGGCCTGCTTGATGATCTCCACCATCTCATGGCGGATCAGCCGGTTCTCGGCCGTGCCCAGGTCGATGGGGGGGACGTCGGCGCTGCGCTGGGCGACCTGGACGGCGATCTTGGGCATGAAGCTGTCCACATTTTTCTGCATGCGATTGGAGAGCATGGCTAGATAGAATAGTAGAAGTAGAAGTAGAAGTAGAAGTAGAAGTGTATAGTAAGTGGTATAGATATAGTAGAGGTATAGATATAGTAGAGGTATAGATATAGTAGAGGTATAGTAGTCATTCGGCCACCGATCGGCTGGACTATGACTGTATGAGTGTTACTATAATACTAATATAACCTGTATATAAGCCGTACATATGGCCAAGCTGCGCATCCTGGAGATTCAATTCATCTAGCAATTTAAAGCTATTATCTTTAGCTAATAAGCCTATAATCAACTTCATCATCCCTTGGACTATATAGCCTGGCTGTAGGATAAGCTGATGCTTTAACTTTAACTCTTTAATATTATCAACTATTAAGTATATAATGCCTTATTTCATTATATATTAAAATATGTATATACTTTTTTTATCTAATCAAGGCCCTAAATATTACGCTTAAAGACTATTATATTTAACTAAGATATTAAATATTTTTTAGCTTATAAGAACTGATCATATATTTTTCTTTAGAAATAATAATATTATTATAAGAATTATAAAGTATAGTCTCTAAAAGTTAAAGATATATACTACTTTCTGTATGCATGGCTTATATATGGGTTATCTACTAGCTGTATGATTATGACTGCTACTGCTATACTGTATGACTGTATTTATGACTGCTACTGCTATGACCTTCCTGACAAGACAAGCAGAAGAGCGGCAAAAGAAATGACTCCCGCCGAGATATACAGCCACTCCCCCTCGGCCAGGCGTGTCTGGGCCGCCCCGATGAGCAGCGGCGAGAGCAGCGATCCGACGCTCTCCTGGACGGCCAGGGCCGGCATCACATCTGCACGCCCCGGGATACACAGCACGGCGTAGCCCTTGATATACGTGCTGGACGCGAGACCGATGGAGAAGAGCATGATGGCCGGATACACCAGGCGAGCGTTGTCGATGCGTGCCAGCAGGATCAACGACGCCGCAAACACCCCCATCGTGGCCACCGCCATGGCGAGATTGAACTGTCGGCGAGGGATCGATCCCCGGCAGCGCTCGACCGCCCCCAGCGCCGAGGGCACCGCCATGAGGGCCACCGCCGAAGTGCCCGCCGCCAGCGACAGCATCCAGCCGTTCTCGCGGCCCGTGAAGCCAAACCGCAGCGCCGTGTGCACCATCAGCGCCGGGAAGACGTAGCCCTGCGCCATGGTGTACAGCAGCAGACTCACGCCGGGCAGGAGCAGCGCCGGCTCAGCCAGCACACGCACATGGTCCAGCAGGCTCCTTTTCGGCACTTCCGGTGCTGTCTCTTGGGTGTCGTCGGTGCTGGGTGTGTGGTGGATGGTAAACCTCACCCAGATCAACGATGTATACCCGCCCGCAATGACAAACACCACCACGGCAAACACAAAGCTGGTACGGAAGTTGGTCGACAGGCCGGCCAGGATGGGCCCCAGCGCCGAGCCAAACAGGTAGACCGCCATGGAGTGGCCCATGACGGCGGAGAAGTGCTTCTCGCTCGGCAGACGGGCGTAGACGGCCCCTAGCCCATACTGCAGGATGTTGTCCGTGGCCAGGCCCTCGAGCACCTTGCTGGCGATGGCGATAGGGATGCTCCGCAGGGCGACGGCCCCCGAGAGCACCGCAACGCTGGCCCCGCGCGCCCCGAACCACAGCAGCAGGCTGGCGACCGCGTTGCGGCGGCCGAGCAGGTGCAGGGGGCCGACCGCCAGGATGGCGCACACGTTGGCGACGGTGGTGGCCAGGGCCAGGGTGCCCGCGTACGCCGCGCGCTCTTCATTCTGGCAGTGCGTGGGATCGGCGCACAGCAGGTACGCATACGCAAACACCGAGGTCGCGGCCGTGGCGGTGATGCCGAGAGAGGCCAACAGGGCGATGGGGAGCAGCAGTCGGGCGTGGCCGACGGTCAGCCCGTTCTTTTGCAGCAGCGGTTGGGATTCTGTTTCGTGCATTGCATTGATTGACCCTTGATCGTTCATCAATGCTCTGTTGGGCATACTTAACCTTGCATCGGGCACCGAGGCGTCGGCGACTTTCGGAGACATTTGATGCATGAAAATATTATTATACATATACTATACTACTACTATACTATACATCTATACTATACTACATCTATACTACTACTATACTCTATACTACACAATGACACGGCTGTTAGATTGTGTGATTGTCGGCGGAGGCCCGGCCGGCCTCTCTGTCGCCCTGGGCCTGTGTCGGGTGCGGCGCACGGCGGTGATTCTCGACTCTGCCGAGTATCGCAACGCCCATTCCCCCGAGATGCACAATGTCCTCACCTGGGACCACCAGAACCCGGCGGCTTACCGAGCGGCTGCCCTGCGCCAGATCGTCGACGGCCGCTACGACACGGTGCAGTATGCCCAGACCCGCGTCGAGTCGGTCGTCCAGGACGGCGAGGGCGTCTTCGTCGCCACGGACAGCACGGGCACGACCTGGTTAGGGCGCACGCTGGTCATCGCCACGGGCATCACCGATGTCATGCCGGGGATCCCGGGCTTCCGCGAGTGCTGGAAGAACATGAACATGTAAGACGAGAGTTTGATAGTAGACGAGAGCTCGATGCTGAGAAACAGATATCATTGTCCCTTCTGCCACGGATATGAGAATTCCGGCGCGGAATCCGCGGCCATCATCGCCGTCGACAATATGGCCTCTCCCATGGGCGCCCATTTTGCCAAGCTGTTCTCGCGCTTCGCCAACAAGATCGCCGTCTACACCCACGGCAACGAGGCCATCGAGCCGACCTTTGCGGCCGTCGTCGCCGCCAACCCAGCCATCCAGCTCGATCACCGGCGGCTCGCCCGTTTGATCCCCAGCGCAGAGCCGGGCGGCAAACCCTCCGTCCAGCTCGAGACCGGCGAGGTCGTCACCCACGACTTCTTCTCGCACCAGCCCACGGCATCGCCCAACATCGCCTTTGCCAAGGGGCTCAATCTCGCCCTGGCAGACAGCCAAACCGAGCTGAAAACAGACCAGCCTTTCTTCCAGACCAATGTGCCCGGCTGTTTTGCCTTGGGCGACATCGCCTCCCCTTTCCGGACCGTCACCGCCGCGGTTTCAGCAGGCTCGGCCGTCGCGGGGGGGATTGCCAATCGTCTATAGTTTATATACCAGATTTGTCGAAAGGTCTATATAGGAATACCATGGTGAACGTATATAGTGACTGAACAGCTAGTTATTTAGAAGCTGTATCATGCCATGAGTACAGAATAAACCGTAAATACACATCAACTAGACACTTGAAAGATCCCTTCTATACTCCAACTATACCTACCTGCATCTAGTAGTATATTTCATCCCCAATATATAACATTAAGCTCTACCTACAGGGAAAGCTATCGACCGATAATGGTGATATCACCACAGCCTGACTACCCCCTACATTATATTCCTCTTCAAGATTATACTTGGATTGAAATATTATACTACCTCACTATTAGTATTTATTATAATTTTATATACTAGGCTTATTAAAGGCATTAATTACCAAGGGGCCTATACTTATAATTAGGCTAGAAATTATCTACCGCCAGGTGATTCCTTAATTAATTCTGTGATTAATTCCTTAGGTGATTTCTTAGGCAGCACCTAGGCAATTATAGTACTCCCTAATTATTATGTTTAGGGCATAACATCTTTCCTGCGCGCGAATTTTTTGACATATATATTAAGAATAATGATGATTTCTAAAGTAATCATATCTCTATAGAAACGCCTCTTTTTAAATTTTATTAATTAAATAGATTATAAATAATAGTAGGATCATGGTTATACATCAAGGAATAGTCACTACACCATTATTGGGCCTATGGATTTCTACTTAGGTAGTATCCATCATGGTCTAAATCTACATTTATAGGACATGATTATAACACTTGACCTCCAGCCAAATCATGCAGTAAACTATTAGATAATAGGCATATTAAGCACTCCTTACAGTTAAAATATAGATAAATTGTTTATAGTAGATTATAGTAATATCTAGGTCACATTCTTAGATGATAAACAATTAACAAAATAACACATGAATAACGGTTCCATAGCTTGGATAATTTTACCGGTTTCAATCTCACCTACAGCAGTAGACCAGATCTGTCTGCACAATACAAGGATCTTAGACTGCCACGCCGTGACTTGTTCCTGTCGAGTCGGTGTAGCCATATCGGCTGTCTCCGCGGAGTACTCCGATACATTTCTGCACCATCTCAATAGCGAACCAATAACCACAATGTCATCATGGACATGACGGTACTTATTCAAACCGCCTGTCGGCATATACTCCGTACTTCCATATTGAGGCTTGCATCCAGCTGTCGACCTCGTAAAGTTGGCGATCCGTCTAGCCTGTTCCAGTGAGACCCCATGGCGATCTTCTCAGTCGGGTCATACAGCCTCTGCAATAGTTCCCACCCAGGCGGAATCGAAATCACGACCATCCGTAGTATCTGTGCAGTAGCTGGTCTCGTTTCCCCCTGAGTAAGGCGCCCAACTAAGCCTGATTTTGAAGCTCAGGCGTAATAGCAACCGAGAGAGTGGGAAGCACCATCCGCCATATTTAAACGACGTCTTCTCCCTCCGTCAACCCCGCCTTGGTTGCATTTTAAGCTCCTGTCTTCTTCAGCCCGCCACGGGACACGCCCTCTCCTCACGTCATGCAGTGTCGCATTCCCAGAAAAACAAGAGACAGATGGAATTCTGTGTGACGGCGCCAAGAGGTTGATTCAAACCCCAACAAACCACCGTCGAACCGTCGGTGTGCAAGATATAGGCGTCATGACTTTGATGTAGAGGATGATCGGGCACTGCCATATACATTTATTGAAGTGTGGACCTGTATTTGTTGTGGTCAGATCTCGGCTGCACCGCAGTGGGTATCAGACAGCTGAAGGTCGACTGACTGCCAACACCGTTCAAGGGATGGAATGCAGCTCGTTGATTGCCCATGTCCGACCCATGAATGATGTCGAGGCGAGCTGTCTGTCCTTCCCCCCCTCTTCTAAATAGCCGACTCCCTCTGCAAGATGAGAGAATAAACCCGCTTTCTTTCGCCATCTCCGCGCATCGTGACAGGCTGGGACTATCGACTGTGTTTAGAGAGAGACATGGACAGCCCTGACGATCTGCTCAACCACCACCATCACAACCACTCATCACCAGCAGGGTGGGTTTCCCTTTTGAGTTTTGCCCCCCCATCTCCATTTCCCATGAAATGTTCCACTGAGCCCGTGTGTCCAATCAGGGGGTTCGGCAGGAGCAACAATGCGAGGCCGTATCGACTCCGCGCCGCCTGCGACAACTGCCACAACGCCAAGGTGAGAGTCCTCTTTTATCAGTGTGTGGCCGTACTCATCCGTCAGGTGAAATGTAACGGCAAGAAACCGGTCTGTGGTCGCTGTGCCAGTACCCAGCAGGAATGCACCTACAGTATCTCCATGGCGGGCAAAGTCCAGGGGAAACGGAAACGATCTGTCCCGGCGGGCAACACGACGACCACCACAGTGTCCGAGGAAGGGAGACGGGTGGCCGGCACGCTCCTAACCCCAACCAGCAGCTCTTTAACTTCAACCCTGCCCAGCATCGGCGATTCGGGCGAGCTGTTGGGGCCCAGCCTGGGGCTGGAGGAGATGGATAGCTCCGCGTTTGATCTCGACTCCTTTTCGGGAGCCCCAGAGTCCTATTCGCGAGATCTATTCAGTACCGCCTTGATCGAATCCGGAGGAGGAGGGGGGCCAGCAGGAGAAGGAGGGGAGTCCGATCTGATCGGTCTACCAGACAGCGACAGTGCCTCGCAGACGGGGTCCCACCAGACGGGACTGTTCTCAGCCTACGACACGGCCAGCTCGTGGACAACAGACGGAGCAAGCATCAGCAGCGGCGGCAAGGATGCGACGACCACGGCGGGGGTGGCGGCGGCAGCCCCGCGGGGCGGCCCGCCCGGGAGCAGCCGGCCGGAGTCACGAGTGCCGTGCGGCGGGCTGGAGCTGGACGAGGACGACGGACGGGACGGGCCGGCAACGCTGGGAGTTGCCGACCGGGGCCCTGGCAGGGACGGCGGGGACGCCCTGGTGAACAACCACCATAGCAGCTGCAGCGGCGAGGATGACACAGTGGCGGCCGCGACGGCGATGAGCTGGATCACCCTGTTCCGCAAGCTGCAGCAGAACCGGCGGGCGACGCCGACGCCAACGCTGGACGTGGTGATGGCGCTGAACCGGATGGCAATGGTGAAGATCCAGCGCTTGCTGCACGAGTGGAAGAAGCCGACCTCGCTGCCGGCCACTGCAGCAGACGACGAGGGCGAGCTGACGCTGTGTATGATCCTCCAGTGCATGCAGGAGATCGCGGACAGCTACGGCCAGGCGCTGTGCAGTCTCGACCGCAGCGAGCAGGGCCGCCACCACCACCACGGGGGATCAGGTCCCCAGCAGCCGGAAGGGTTGAGTCTGCGATTTGGCGTCTTCCACTTCCGCCCACAGGATGTGCAGGCCTTTTCGGCGCATCTACTGCTTCTGGAGATCCAGGCGGCCATCGCGCTCAACCGCCAGATCTGGACGGTGTTTCAGCAGGCGCATGCCGGCGATCCCGCCGTCTGGAGCCAGGCAAAGGACGCCTTGAGCCAGATCCTGGCGCAGCTGAAGACGCTTGGCCGGCAGAGCACGTCGGCCAGTTACCGGCCTGAGTTGTGATGTTCAAGGGTTTCTAAACCCTAAGTATTTCCTGTGATATAGATTTATTAGAAAATATGCTACGCCCTCGCGGCAATCACCTCCTGCCTCGTCTTCTCATCCCACATCGGCTCAATCTCATCCAGCAACATCGGCTGCTTCTCCGTCTGAAGCTTCCCTGCCACCGCGTCGATCTCCTCCCACACCCGTAGCAGATTGAGGCCGGCAACCCGCCGCACGCTCTCCTCCGATAACCCCCGGCGCAGCAGCTCTGCAATCAACTGCGGATAGCACGCAACGTCGTCTGTCCCGCGCGCCGTATGCATCGTGCCGTCAAAGTCCGAGCCGATGCCGACGTGCTCGTAGCCGATACGCTCGCCAACGTGGACGATATGGTCTGCCACGCGGGCGAGGGTCTGTCGTTGCGGCTGCTCGTCGGTCAGCTTGGGCAGGAAGGAGATCATGATCAGGCCACGGTTCTGGTGCAGCATGTCAAGCACTGGATCTGACACATTGCGGAGATGGTGGCTTAGCGAGGTGCTGTTGACGTTAGTCATGTTGAAAGCGTATGGTCTATGGAATACCTACCACGATGAATGGGAGAAGATGACTGGTGCGACAGATAAGCCGAGAACCTGCTGCTGCACGGCCTCTGATGTATGGGAGAGATCGATCATCCTGGAGGTCAGTAAAGAAAGATCTACCAAGGGTAGACAATACTTACATTCCAATCCGGTTCATCTCCTGCACCATCTTGCGGCCTTGGATGGAAAGACCTCCATGTGCCTGATCAGACGCCAGCTAATCGGCGTTAGAGACATGCCTTGTCAGGATGATAGATATGATATATCACCTACCGCCGCATCTGCATAGAGATTGTTGCTGTTATGCGTGAGAGTGATGTACCGCACCCCCAGCCGATAGAACATCCGCAAGACGCTCGCGCTGTTGGCGATCTGGTGCAAGCCCTCGACCCCGATCATGCTGGCGACCCTGCCAGAGCGGAAGACAGTCCAGACCTCGCGTGGCGAGCAGGCCAGCCCCAGTTGAGCCGGGTACAGCTCTACCAGGGCGTGGATCAGGTCTATCTGCTGTAGAGTCTGGTGGAGGGCGTCGTGGTGGACAGAGAGGGAGAAATTATTCTCTGCGTTTGGGGGAGGACTATCAATAGCGATATGTCAGTTACAAGATTCTAAATGAACAATGGCAGATAATAAGTGTATACTTACCAAGGAACATAGGCACTCCAGAACTGCCCTCCCACCTGCCCTCGTCTCAGTCGCGTCCAGTCGGTATGGAAGAGAGGCATCTTGTGGGCGTCGAGGCCATCGTAGAGCTTGCTCTGGTGCCAGCCACGGATCATCAGAGGGAAGTCATTGTGTCCGTCTGGTGGTGAGTATACAGATGGTTACTTGGTCTGTCCATCACTTACCGATCAGCGGCACCTCGGAGAGGAGACGCCGTGCAGCGTCTTCATACCCGTCAACAGTCATGGCGATGGTGTATAGACTTGATCTACAAACATCCTCCTCTCTATATGCTGCCATCGGCGTTTGGCTCGGCTACCGATAGCCATAGTAGCTGTCTTGTAGATCTCTGCTGAACATATGGCTGTGTTGACATGCATGTCAGTCCATTGTATACGTACTATCGATGCTCTGCCGAACGATGCTTTCTCTATAGATCGTATCCATGTTATCCATGTTATCCATGTTATCCATGTTATCCATGTTATCCATGTTATCCATGTTATCCATGTTATATGCTATAGTCCAAGAGCCCCTCCATCCGCTTCAACCCTTCAAGCAACTGCGCCCTGGGCAAGGCAAACGAGACGCGGAACCAGCCCGCCTCACGCTCGGCGTATTCCCATCCTGGCCCTACACGCACGCCGGCATCGACAAGCCGCTGCTGGAGTGCAGTCTCCGACTCGCGCGTGGCGGTATTCCCGCCCAGACGGGCCCAGATGTAGACGCCCGCAATCGGCCGGTAGCAGGGGATGTGGTGCTTGAGCATGAAGGCGACGACCAGGTCTGCAGCGGCTCGGAGGCTCTCACGGCTCTGACGGAGGATGCAGTCGAGGGTGTCGTTGTCGCTGAAGAGGCGCGCCACCACCAGTGCCGTCATGTTGGACACTTTGGCGTTGTTGTATATCGACATGGCGAAGCGGAGGGCGGCGTTTGCTTGCGTGACGAGGAAGCCCTGCATTAGAATGAGAGTCACACTCGAAGAATACAGTGATCTGGATTAACACGAGGAAGAAGAGAATCATACCATCCGTAGCCCACTGCTGCCGAGATCCTTGCTGACGCTGGTGATGACATGGATACGTGCTCTGTCTGCCTCCTCGACGTCTATAGAGAGGACGGAGACGAAACTGAAGGTGGGAGGTTCTACCAGCATGGTGTTTCTTTGTGAATCATGATCCCCGAATTCAAACTGGGACAAGGCATAGATCTCGTCCGAGATCAAGTGCAATTTCTCCGTCTTGCAGAAGTGCAGCAGCGCCTTGATTTCCTCCGCTGGATAGAGCTGGCCGCGCGGGTTCTGCGGGTTACAGAAGAGGGCCGCCTTGATGGGATATGGGGATGAGCGGAGGGCATTCTGATAGGCTTCAATCATGTTGTCGCTGCTCGTATAGACTGGCACGAGATGGACATTGTTGCGCAGCACTCCATAGGCCGAAAAGCTTCCTATACATTGTTATATTGCATTGTCATTCTTCTTGTACGAAAGACCAGCTCACCCCAAAAAGGCGCTTCGACAAGAACCCCCTCCCCCTCGCCACAGAGACTATACAGCAACGAGTCAAGAATGCCACTGCACCCAGCGCCGGTAACGATATGGTCCGGCAGGACAGGCACTCGCGGCGCAAAGAACCGGTTAAAGAAGCCCGCGGCAGCCTCCAACACCGGCGCACTCCCGCCGAGACCACTGCTATACGACAGATGCTCGGCGCTCAGCTCGCGGGCGACGGCGTCTTTGGCGGCCGCGATCATTTCCCCGCGCACCAGCCAGTTCTCGGCAATGGTCATGTCGATGGCAGGGAGGGTCGTGGAGCTCGCATGTCCGATCTGGCGTGCGAACTGCGACTTGAACCAGGTCATATTCTCCGTGGCGCGGGTAGACAGCATTGTATAGATAGTACGTATAGTACAATATAGGACACTGAATAGACACTGAATAGACACTGAATAGACACTGAAGACACTGAATATAGTATGTAATACGTATAGTACATTCGGCATCCGGAATATCCTCATCTAATCTCCATCGCCCGCCACGAGTCCTTCTCGGCATACGGCTTGACCACCCCCGGCAGCGTCGCCATCCGGTCTCTCCAGGCCACCAGCGCCGGCCACTGCTCCATCGGCATGCCGATGCGGGCGGTCGTCTCGACGTCGGCAAAGGGGTAGGTGGCGATGTCTGCAATGGTGGGCCGGTCTTTGGCGCCCAGCCAGTGTTGCCCGGGCTCGCTCAGGCGGGCGTTGATGATGCCGTACTGCACCCGGAGATCATTGAACAGCCTGTCATTAGCATCTGCTCATCCATGGTAGGGATAGTCTTACTTCTCCTGCGCGGCAGGGTTGACGGCCTCGCCGGTTCGCATCTCATACCACACCCAGTACTTTGCCGTCGGTCTATTCGTCAGCAACCATAGATAGTATATAGCACATTATGAAATACCCTAGGGATGCCGTCTCAAACGTAAGCCAGTTGCGGATCTCGTTCTTCTCGCACATGTCTCGCCCGCTCCATGCGTGCGCTGTATCGTACCGCTCCGCCAGGTACTCGAGCATGGCCGAGCTGTCCCATACATACGTGCGCTGGCCATCTACTCCGTCGAGCAGAGCAGGCACGTAGCGTTGCGGATGCAGCGCCGTGAACCAGTCGGTGCGTGTCGTTGGCCCGTCAAGCACGACGACGTCGTGTGGGATCCCCAGCGATTCCAGCAGGATCAGCGGCTTGATCCAGTTCTGGTACCGGCCCTCGACGGTGAACACCAGCGGGCGATCGGGGACATCGTTGCTGATAGATGCGCTGGACGTGAGTTGAATTGGCATGGTTATAGTGTATCATCCGTAGGTAGTATCTACATAGTATCTAGGTAGACATTTACATAGATAGTATCTAGATATATGTCAATACGAGTATGGAAGTTCGGCCACCGAGATGCAAGGACAAGGTTTAGTATTTATTCAATCCAGTGCAAGTTGCTTCTTCTGCCACCACCACCATGGAAGACCAGTCCGAGTTCTGGTACTTTGCGTATGGGTCCAACATGCGCCGGTCGACCATGACCGGCCGCGGCATCACCCCGCAGGCGACCGCCGTCGTCGAGGTGCGCACCCACTATCTCACCTTCGACATCTTCGGCATCCCGTACTCGGAGCCCGCGTACGCCAGCATCGCCCCGTTCCCCGCCCCGGGCTCGGCGTCCGTTTCGGTCTCGCTGGTCGGCGGGGGCGCCACCCCCGCCCCCGGGGCGGACCGCCCCCCGGGAGGCGTCGCGGTCCCCGCCGTGATGGGGGTCGCGTACCGTCTCTCCGCCGAGGACCGGCTCCGGCTGCTGGTGAGCGAGGGCAGCGGCGTCGTCTACAACTGGGTGCAGGTCGAGGGACACGTCGTGGATGAGGGAGAGGGGAAGACCATCACGGCGTGGACGTTGCAGGCGAAACATCCACAGCGCCCAAATGGGCTGCCCAGCAGGCGATACATGGTATGTCTTTACTCATTTGTCTCATATCTTGTCTGATGTGAATCATTATAGAACCTCTTTCGTGCCGGCGCCAAGGAATACAACCTCCCGGCTTCATACATCGAGTACCTCAACTGGCTGCCCTGCTATGAAGCACCGTCCAAGGACCGCGCCTGGCCAATGGGCCAGTATCTCTTTGAATATGGCTGGCGACCACTGGCACGGCAGGTTATCCGGTTGACGACCAGAACCGATGAACGCGGAAACTGCTCGCCGCTCCTTGCCCAATGTATTGTTGCGCTGTATCGCGGCATGTGGAGGTATCACGACAGCCTGCATGTCCATCTCTTTGGCCGAGGGGATGGAGGGAAGCTAGTCTACAAGATCTAGAGCATGAACATCATCAGGTATTATCATCAGGTATTATGATCGGCATCTTCGGTTGCCGGTCGGCGTGTAGGGAGAATATATTGAGTCGTCTACTCGTAGTCAGAACCCATCAACTCACCATGGACTCCATCACCGCCACTCTGCAAGACGCCCGCCAGAAGGTCGACGAGGCGATCGCCGCCCTCCAGGCGCCGCAAGTCGCCGCCGTGCTCGACAATGCCCTGCACAACCCGGAGCAGCTGCCGGACCCGGCGCTGATGCAGCTCAGCGGCGACGTGGTCGACCGGCTGGAACAGTTGCAGATGCTGCTGATTCCGTCGGTCTCGCTTCTGGCCGATGGTTTCTTTGGTAAAACCACCTATCCTTTCTATGGCAATCACTGAGAATCACAGGCTATCTCCTCACCAAAGCGCTGTGGACGGCGATCGACGCCCGGGTCGCCGATCACCTCCAGCAGGGCCCGATGACGGCAGCCGCCCTGGGGGAGAAATGCGGCGTGCAGCCGGTGCGTCTGGCGCAGGTGCTGGACACGCTGGTCAACTTCGGCATCTTCAGCTTCGAGGCCGCGACGGGCGTCTACGCCAACAACCGGGCGTCGGCGCTCGTCACGCACGACCACTGGACGCAGTGGCACCGCTGGAGCGATCTGTACGGCACCGACATCTTCGACGTCAGCCGCGCGATGCCCGCCGCCGTGCGCGCCGGCGAGACACGCTCCGCCGTGCAGATCGCCTACAACACCGACCTCAGCATGTTCGAGTACCTGGCGGCCCAGGGGCGCATCGCCAAGTTCCACGCCACCCTGGGCGCCGGCGCGGTCGCCCAGGCCCCGGGCCTGGCGGTCGACTACCCCTGGGCGGAGGTGGCGCACACCACCGTGGTGGACATTGGCGCCGGGTCGGGCGAGTTCCTGGCGGGCCTGATGCGCGCCCAGCCGGCGATGCGCGGCGTCTACTTTGACCTGCCGCACGCCGTGGAGATGGTGCAGCCGCACTTCTTCGGCGAGGGGGCCAAGTTCGCTGATCTTGCGGGCCGCATGGATGGCGTCGTGGCCGGCTCCTTTCTCGACTCCGTGCCCGCCTCGTCGGTGTACACGATGAAATGGTGTCTGCACGACTGGCTGGACGACGAGGTCGTGCGCATCCTGCAGACGGTGCGCGCCAGCATCGTCGTCGCCCCGGGCAGTCGTCTCGTCGTGCTTGAGGGCGTCAAGAAGCCCGGCCGCAGTGCCCGCATCCCCAACTACGGCGACCTGGTCATGATGATCACCGCCAACGGCAAGGAGCGCTCGGAGCAGGACTGGGCGGCCCTCGCCGGCCGCGCCGGCTGGACCCTGCATCGCATCCATCCCATCCGGAGGGCCTGGCTGTGTGCTATTGACTTGCGGCCGGCTTGACCTTATAAGATGACTACTCATTATACACTAGCTGTCACAGGAATATATGACCATATAAGGCTCTAATTAACATCTGGACATTCTTAGTGGCTCAGTGGTCTAGTGGCCCCTAGCTTTGTCTAATTTAATCAAAGTATATCTATTAGATATTAGATATCTGAGATATCTGAGATATCTACTAAGACATATTACAGATATCTATAAATATATCATTAGAGAATATGTTTTCAATGGAATATCAATGACAGAGTATCTATATCATAGAATATCCATTATATCCATTAGATAATTCTATTTAATGTGATGAAATATGTAGAGATAGTATTATTCACCCTATAACATGATAGAAGTATTATCCTTTCTTTTCTACCCTTAGTATATCTTTATTGATGTCATATTAAGCAAAACACAAGGCCTACATATGTCTATTCACACTCATCACCCGCACCTTTGTATCCGGCAAGCCAATCCAGCTCTCCTCCTTGACGCAAATCTCCCCCCCCTCCGTCTGCATGTCGAAGGAGAGCACCATCTCCGCCGCAATGGTGCGCAACAGCCGGTCAGCGACATTCCGTCCCAGACACTTTCTTGGACCGACCCCGAACCGCCACAGATTATAGCGCAGCTGGTCGCTGGGCAGGACGGCAAAGCGGTGCGGGTCGTACCCTGTTGCGTTGGAGCCCCAAAAGGGGTTGTCCACGTTGATGGCATGGGTATCGACAATGACATCGACCTAGAGACCAGTGGACGCAGGTTTAGTATGAACCATCAGATAATTGGAAGACATACATTTTTAGGAACCAGATATCCGTCGATGATATGGTCGGTCATTGCAGACTCGGGGTTCGAAAACGCTATTCATTCATTAGGACAGTCTGGAGACAGAGGAGGTATGGCTTACGCAAGATAGGCTTCAATCTGGCAGACTCGTAGACACACCAGGCGAGCAATGTATCGTCACGATTGAGATACTGGCGGTACTGGTCATCGTCATCCTTCACCGGGGCCAGCTGCTGCCGTAGCTCATCCTGAATGGCGGGATGAAGAGCCAGATGGATGATCATCCACGAGACAGCAATCGCAGTCACGTCGAGGTTGGCAAATAGCGACTCGTCGAGGGTTTGCAGCAGCTATTAGGGTTAACAACGGTTTATGGATAGAGGGTTAGGGGTTAGGGTTAGGAGTTAGGGTTTTAGGACTGCCATGAGTAGGATGGGTTACCTCGGCCTTGGAAATCCTCCCCTCGGCGACTGCATCCCACAAGACAACGATAGGAGAGGCAAGCTTTTGTCGCTGGGCATGGCTATACCCCTCCAGAACCAGCGTCTCCCACTGGCGCTGAAACTGCTGCAGATCTGCATTCGCCGAACCCGGCCAGTGGCGGAGGATGGGATAGCGGTTCACCCCCCCCTGGAAGGCATGTTTGAACAGCCCCTCGCGGATGGGGGCGATCTTTTCCAACGCGAGTCTCTGCTTGAGCGATAGCTCGCCGAAGAAGATCTCTGCCACGACGAAGAAGGCACAGGCTTTCAGGTCGTTGACCGGGTCGAGGATCCTCTCCTCGTCCTGGAACGGATGGAGGAAGCGCCGGACGTTGCTTATAATCATGGCGGTATGGTTCATGGCTGCTGGGCGGGTGAAGGGCCCGTCAACCTCCTTGCGCAGGTTACGCCATTGATCGCGGCTCACCACGCCGACGCAGCTGCCCAGCAGTTCGTGGAAGAGCCAGCCGGCGTTGTTGTCGCTGGACTTGACGTGGTCGTGCGAGTGGCGGAAGTATTGCTGCAGATGGTGTGGTTGTGTCAGGACTCTAGACGATTAGCATATTTCAAACACTCTCCTATTGTCTCCATACATCTCAGGGCTTGTGCCGTCCCAGATACGGTACAGACGGCCTAATTCCCTGCGCCAGCGGACGGCCGCCTTGTGTCCGTCGAAGAATTTGGCTGTTCCCTGTCCGTTCGGCCAGCTGAAGCGGGCACTGGGCATGCTGGAAAAGCCATGCCGGAGGGCGTAGCGGAGGGACAGGAAGATCTGATGTTAATAGGTTAGTTGTGCATAGGAACCCTAGGGTTATGTTGAAAACCCTAGGGTTATTTCAGGGTAGGGTTATGGTAGGACATGTAACCCTAGGGTTACTCCAGGGTAGGGTTAGGGTAGCTTACATTGAGAATGAAAGATACCGGCCACAGCCAGAGAAACAACACCTTGTTTTCCATCATGAAATGGCATTGAGCAGTCCAGAAACACTCTTCAACAATGTTATCCTCCTATACTCATCGGCTACGAGCCAGGAAGCAAGGGAGCTGTCATCGGCCACCGACTGGGTTGATCGGAGAATGTCTAGGCGGAGGCCGAACCGTGATGTCCAGCGTTACTATGTATAGGTTTACGGGCGGGTCCTTTTGTATGGATCGACATCTATAGATAGAGTCTATTCTCATCCTCGGGGAGGGTGAGGCAGTGTTGACATCTTCACCATGGCCAATCCGTACACGATCGATGGCCTCTTCACCGAGACGGTCCACGCAGTCCCCGACTGCCTCGCCGTCGACCATCCAGACGGCCCCCTCACGTACGCCCAGCTGGATGGCGTCTCGACGACTCTGGCAGAGACCCTGCAGCAGCGCCACGGCGTAAAACACGGCGCTCTTGTGCTACTTGTGACCGGCCATGGCATCCGGAACGTCGTCGCCATTCTCGCCATCCTCAAGGCAGGCGGGTGTTATATCCCCATTGACCGGGAGAAGGCCTCACCGGCGGCCCTGGAGGTCATTCTGGACACTGTCGACGCTGCCCTGCTGCTGAACACGACGCGGGAGGTGTTTACGCATCCAGACCCGACAGTTCCAGCTCTACACTTGACAGAGATTCCACATGGGAATCCGGCGTCAGGCATCACCCTCGCTCCCAGCAATCCCCAAGATGCAGCCTGCATCATCTTCACGAGCGGCAGCACCGGCAAGCCGAAAGGCGTGGTGATCCCCCATGAAGCTCTCGCATACTACGCCAAATGCGAGCCGTACAACATGAACGTCCAGCCGGGCGATCGAGTCTTACACATTCTGAATGTTGCCTTTGACGGTATGTTGGTTTATCCTAAGTCTGGAATGCCAGCTAATCCACAGCCTGCTCTTGTATTCTCTTCTCCACCATCCTCAACGGAGGCACGCTCGTTCCCTCGTCGGCGGCACACATGTTCGACCGCGCCGCCACCTGTACCATCTTCGCCGCCACCCCGTCCATTCTAGAGACCTTCCCGGCGCCAGACCAGCACCCAGCCCTCCACACGGTGCTTCTGGGCGGCGAGACCCCGTCACCGGCCCTCCTGACCACCTGGTTGGGCGCTGGGATCCGCGTGCTGAACGGGTACGGCCCGACGGAAGCCGCCTCGGGAGGCGCCATCCACACCGTGACGGATCCGGCCCGCAACGCCATCATCGGCATGCCGATGCCGGAATCTCCTGTCTTCTTGCTGGATGCCGAGCTGAATCCCATCGTGGAAGACGGTGTCGACGGGGAGATCGCCATTGGCGGCCGCAGTCTCGCACAGGGATACTACAAGGACCCTGTTCGCACGGCGGCCGCGTTCATCACCCACCACGACGGCCAGCGCTTATACCGGACCAACGACCATGCCTGCTGGGTGACTACCGAGACGGGGCGGCGCGTGCTGGAGTTCCGTGGGCGGCACGACCGACAGGTCAAGAACCGCGGGTTCCTCGTCAATCTGGAGGCGGATGTCGAGGGCCCGATTCTGGGTGCCGCGGGGGCATCGTTTGGTGTCCGCCAGGCACATGCGACGCTGTATCGCAAACGCCTGGTGGTGGTGTGCTCGCCGGCGACAGTCGATGCGGCAGGGTTACAGGCCTCGCTGGCGTCGCAGCTGTGTGCGTTCCGTGTGCCGGACCAGGTGGTTCCCATCGACTCGCTGCCTCTGTCGCCGAACGGGAAGATCATCCCCTCAAGGATACACGAGATTCTCGCCGAGAAGGACAGGGTGAATGCTGCCGAACAGGAGGAAGGGGATGGCCGCTTCTCGGACCCCATCACGCAGGCTGTGGCAGAGTGTATGGCGGCCGTGCTGGAGCGCGACATCGTCCATGTCCAAGCTAACTTCTTCGGCCTCGGCGGCCAGTCGCTGGCAGCGTTGAAGCTGGTCTCGCGCTGTCGGGAACGCCGTCTCTCGCTCACCCTGGCGGATGTGTATCGCCTGCAGACTGTCGAGGAGATTGCCCGGCATTGTCGGGAGCATCCACAATCCCTCTGCAAAGAAGGTCAACGAGAGCAAGCAACACAGCAGTCAAAAGATGAGCAAGAGCCAATTCAGGCACCTCTGACCCGCCTCCAGCTTGAATTCATCCTCCCTACTATCGAGTCCGACGGCGCCAACACGAATCAGCTGGTGCTCACGTACAGCAGCCAGGATGTCGAGGCCATCACGGCCGCCTGGCAGCATGTCCACGCCACAGAGCCGGTGTTTTCCACGCAGATCCGACTCGACATCGACCAGGGGGTCCAGGCGATCCATCCGGGCTCCTCGACGCTGCATTCGACGTCTTTCACGAACCGGGAGCAGTACCTCCAGGCGGTGCAGTCCGTGCCGATGGAGGTGGGATTAGGGAGTCGGCTGGATCTGATTCATTACTCAACACAGGCTTCAGAAGACTCGGAGCTGACCGTCGTCTTGACAATCCACCATGCTCTGATGGATGGATACTCGGCCGGTCTTTTGCGTCGTAAAGTCTCGCGCCTCGCCCAGGGAGCCAGTCTGCCGCCTTCGCCTTCATTCCTGACTGCCGCCCAGAGACTCATCGCCATACAGGAGGCGCGAGATGCCGAGGCGCGCGCCTTTTGGGAGAGATACCTCGAAGGATACAGCGAGACAGAGAACGACACCAGGAGTGGCAAAGAAGAGACACTGGCCTTCTCCATCGACACATCCATGGAACAGCTGCAGTGCTTCGCTGCCAAAACACACGTCTCCCTCGCCACGCTGTACTATACCGCATGGGCGCTGGCACTGTCTCAGCACGAAGACACCGACGAGATCCTCGTCGGCGCAGTCTTTGCCGGCCACGAGATCATCGCGCCGTCAGCCGTGGAAGCCATCGGCCCCTTACTAGCCACTCTGCCGCTGCGGGTGCGTCTATCGGATCCAGATCTCTCTGTCGAAGGTCTGCTGCAGCAGACCATGGCAGGGTTGGCAGAGTGCAGCCAGTACATCTGGAGCCGACCAGACCAGATCGCACGGCGGCCACGCAATCTCCTGGCGATGCAGTGCGATCTGCCCGTGGAAGAGGGCGGCATCGCCCCTGTATCTGTGGGCGGGCGCGAACGGTCGAGCTTCGGCCTGAACCTGTTAGTTAAAGCCGGGGGGCAATGCGAACTCTCTGGGCGGTATCCCCCGGGGACTCTCTGCCGGCTGCGGGATGCCTTCAAGACAGCCCTACAGGCGTTGCTGGACGAGGACACTGTAGGGGGCTGTCGGGGGGGGGTGCCTGTACCGGCCTTGGGCCCGGCAGCCCAGTCCCTGGCAGCATCGGAGTCCCTGGAAGTCTCTGGGCCCCCGGCAGTCTCTGGGCCCCCGGCAGTCTCTGGGCCCCTGGAAGTCTCTGAACCCCCGGCAGTCTCTAAGCCCCCGGCAGTCTCTGAGCCCCCGGCAGCCTCTGAACCCCCGGCAGTCTCTAAGCCCCCGGCAGTCTCTGAGCCCCCGGCAGCCTCTGAACCCCCGGCAGTCTCTAAGCCCCCGGCAGTCTCTGAGCCCCCGGCAGCCTCTGAACCCCCGGCAGCCTCTGAACCCCCGGCAGTCTCTGGGCCTCTGGAATTCTTTGGGCCCCCGGCAGTCTCTGAACCCCCGGCAACCTTTAAACCCCCGGCAGTCTCTGAACCCCCGGCAGCCTCTGAGTCCCTGGAAATATTGGACAGCACTGAGCTCGACAGCACTGAAATCACCCCCCAGTCAATGCTCGACTATTCCACAGTGACTGCTGCCTTTGCTGCTGCGGTGGCCCAGTATGGCTCCTCCGTGGCCGTCGAGGATACAGTCAACGGCCGGGCATGCATCACTTACACTGAGCTGAACCAGCGTGCCGCCTGCGTGGCCTCCAAACTGCGCCGCCATGCCCCGGCCCTAGCCCCTAAGGCGACTGCTACAGCCCCTACAAACACCCCCGTGGTAGCCATCTACGCCGACCGGTCCCTGGAGTGGATTGTCGGCGTGCTGGGCATCCTCCAGGCCGGGGCGGCGTATTGTCCGCTGGACCCTGCCTGGCCCGAGGAACGTCGCCAGGCCGTCTGTCGACTTAGCGAGGCGTACGCAATGCTGGTCCCGCGAGAGGATCAGTTGGTTCATGCCCAGGGTGTGGATGTGCCGGTTATAGTGATTGACACTGACATGCCTATTGACACTGACATGCCTATTGATACTGACACGCCTATTGACACCGACACCGACACTGACACTGACACTGACACTCACACTGACACTATTGATGATGCTGTCGACTCGATGATGTTTCTGGTCTTCACCTCCGGCACAACAGGACAGCCCAAAGGCGTCCCCGTCAGCCATAGAGGCTTCCTTGCTCTCCAATCCAACCCTGTTGCCCGGTTCTTTGTCGAACCAGGCCATCGCATCGCCCAGTTCATGTCCCCCGCCTTTGACTGCTGTGCGAATGAGATATTCTCTGCCCTCCTCCATGGGGCGACACTGGTGCTCATGGACCCTGACCATCCGTACGCGCACCTCAAACACGTCGACATCGCCAACCTCACACCGTCCGTCTTGGGGGTTCTGGATGAGACGGAATATGGCAACATCAAGATTGTACGTCGTCTTCCTTTTTTTACATCACCTTTACTAACAGCGCAGTTGTACTCTTCCGGCGAGGCCGTCACTCCAGGGCTGGTCACTCGATTCGGACACAATAGGCTCTTCTACAATGGATACGGGCCTGCAGAGGTATCTTATTCTCTTCTCTTATTCACTGATTCTCTTCCACTCTCCATTCACTCACTCTACTCTCTCAGTGCTCCGTCTTTGCTTCATTTACACGTCTCCTCCCCGGAACGCCAGTGACGATTGGCAACGGCACAGCCACAGTCCGTGTATACGTCCTGGACGAGCAGATGCAGCCCACAGCCGACGGGGAGAGCGGCGAGATCTTCGTGGCGGGCGTGCAGGTCATGGCCGGCTACGTCGGAGCCCCCCAGGAGACGGCGTACCGGCTGGGAAGCGACCCCTGGCACCCCGGCGAGGCCATGTTCCGCACAGGCGACTACGGCCGCCGCCAGCCAGACTCCGGCGAGGTGGAATACATCGGGCGTGTCGACCGGATGGTGAAGCTGCGCGGCACGCGCATCCAGCTGCCCGCCGTGGAGCAGCATCTGTACGACTGCGACGAGCGCATCACCCTCGCCGCCGTGGCGGTGTTGAACGACGTGCTCGTCGCCTTCATCACTCCCGGCGGCGTGGATGTCGACGCCGTGCGTGCCCGTCTCGCGGGCCACGTCGTGCCCGGCTGGGTGCCGCAGATCATGCTCGCCGTCGACGATCTGCCCATGACAGTCAACAAGAAGATCGACTACCGGCAGCTGCCGGCGTTGTTTGCCTCCAAAACGGCCCCTAGGAATGACTGCGCCGATAAGCCCTGCCTGCAGGACCCCCTGGAGCTGCAGATCGCACAGGAATGGCGCTCCCTGCTCAAGCTCGACGAGGAGGTCCCGCTCTTCGCCGACGACCACTTCTTCCAGCGCGGCGGCCACTCTGTGCTGCAGATGCTGCTGGCTGCCCGGCTGGCCTCTTTGTTCGGCGTCGACGTCTCCACGCGAGACATGGTGCTGAACCCCATGCTGGCCGACCAGGCCATCCTCATCCGCCGGCTCCAAGGCTGTTCTGGTGAAAGGGAACAAGAAACACGGCCGGCAGAGGTTGAGGCCGTGCCCTGGACGCAGTGTACGGAGCTGGAGACCTATGTCTGGGCGCAGTATCAAGCCGCCACGGCGAGATCAACCTTCAATATCCCCCTCGCGCTCGAGCTCACCGGCGCAGTCGACGTCGTCCGGCTGCAGCGCGCCGTCAACTCGGCGCTGGCGGCGCATCCCGTGCTGCGAAGCAATTTCATCGCCGGTCAAGAAGACGGCGGCGTCCCTCTCCAACGCGTGCTGCGCCGGGAATCTCCCCGTGTGCAGCTGGTCGACGATCTGGACCTGACGGCCGAGATCAACCGGCCGTTCGACCTCGCCGCCGACGAGCTGATCCGCATCTACCTGTGCCAGGCGGACCAGCGGGTGATTCTGCTGATCATCACGACGCACGTCCTGACCGACCGCTTGGGGCTCCAGGCTCTCCTGCAAGACGTGACGGCAGCGTATCTCAACCCGCTCCCCCCGGCCCCCGACACCACCCTCGTCCATCTGCAGTCGCCCATCTGGAAGCGGCGCATCACCGCCGACGAGGCCCAGTTCTGGCGCCAGACATTGTCGGGGATCCCCCGCTCGCTGAACCTGCACCGGCGCTCCTCGTCCGCCCGCTTCGAGGGCTCGTCGCACTGGCAGCGTCTCTCGGGCGCACACATCGCCCGGCTCTCACAGCGCGCGCGCACCCTCGGCGTCACAAAACACCAGGTTGGCCTCGCCGCCGCCGCCCTCGCCCTCTCCTGGCTGACAGGCAGCCCGGACGTCGTGCTCGGGTGTCCCTGGGACAACCGACCGTCCGCCGCCGAACGGGGCTCGGCCGCCCAGTTCCTCGACCGACTGCCTGTTCGCATCCCGCGCGGGCGAGCAAGTGATGCCTGCAGCGAGATCCTCCTTCACGCGCGCCAGGCGAGCCAGAACGCCGTGGCGCATGCCGTGCGCTTCTCGCAGATCCTCGAGCTACTAGACCAGCACGATTCTCCCGGCACAGGCAGGGCACAGCACCATCCCGTCTTCGAGTGCGTGGTGACCTTCCATCTGCGCCATGGCTGGTCCCAGCACCTCTCTCTCCCGGGCTGCACCGTCACCGAGCACCCGCTGGCCGCGCGCGGAGCCAAGTTCCTCCTCGTGCTGGAGTGGACGGAGCTGGCGGACGAGGAGTGGATGCTGCGCATTGAATACGACCACTCGCAGCTGGCGTGGGCGACCATCGAGGCCCTGAGCGCCGGCATTCGCGAGATCGTCGCCGGTCTCGCCGAGGGGGCTTCGCGGGCGGAGATTCAGGGCCGCTTGGAGGGTTTGGAACGGCTGGGGGGGGCTCCGACTTCGTCTAAAGAGGGAGGCTCTTTGTTGGCGTTGGAGAGCAGTCGGGTGGTGAATTTAGTTTAGCATTAAGATATTAGTGATAGTCTAGTCAATGATGGTTTACCTGGGTAGGGAAAACAGAAGATTAAGGAATGTAGGGCTTACAATATCAAGGAATATAGGCTGACCTTGTTTATATAGTAATTGATGAAATAGAGGTACTCCTGATTGATTGACCCCGATCGATTGATCGATTGATCGATTCATCGATCTGTTGTTTGATCGCTTCTCGATTGATCGATTGATCGATCTGTTGTTTGATCGCTTCTCAATTGATCGATTCATCGATCTGTTGTTTGATCGCTTCTCGATTGATCGATTGATCGATCTGTTGTTTGATCGCTTCTCGATTGATCGATTCATCGATCTGTTGTTTGATCGCTTCTCGATTGATCGATTGATCGATCTGTTGTTTGATCGCTTCTCGATTGATCGATTCATCGATCTGTTGTTTGATCGCCTCTCGATTGATCGATTCATCGATCTGTTGTTTGATCGCTTCTCGATCCTTGATCCTTGTTGATAATCCATCAATTCCTATTTCCAAATTCTAATCTTAATCTCAGGTAACACTTACACTGTATTATATTGCAATGTCATTCTCTACTTGAATGATTTATATCTAGAGTCACCATTACAGCACCCAGTCTTGTGGAGGTAATAATATCTACATAGAGTATTATAACTAGTAGCTACTCTAGCTACAGCCCTCCACTCACTGGAATAAAGAAGTAATTACCCTAATCTAAGCCTTAATTTCTATATAAGATAGTCATATAATGCTCACTTTAATAAGCTAATAGAAGCTTTAATTAGTAACTAATAAGAGTAGAGCTTAACTAATTATAACTTTAAGTAAATTATATTACTGTTGCAGAGCTTCACTCTGAAAATATAGAAAATAATTATTTATTATAGGGCTCAATATAAGTTCCAGTAGATCTTGAATTCTCAGTTCCCCATGACGGAGTAGCCACATGGTGATACAATGTGGTATGAATATATGTATCTAAGTTATATATCAGAATACCCCATACCAAGCACAACAACTCTAGATATCATAAATGCTCTTAATATAATCAGCGTCGCTCAGTCAAGGTGGACTGAGCTTTGGCAATGGCTTCATTGGTGAGTTGCAAGCCCACAACAGCTCCCGCGCGGACACCTACAGGGTCAGCCAACATATAGCAAGAGGAAGGCAAGGGAAAATACATACCGGCACCCTGTGCGATGGCCACCTGCTTGATGCCGTCCATTGTGTCACCGGCGACGATGCACCCCTTGACGCTGGACTCGAGGAAAACAGGGTCGACCTTGACTTCGCCGCCGGGGGTCAACTCCAGCCCGAGCTGGTCGAAGAGCGGCTGCCCACGGTTACGCGTCGCGGGACGATGAACAAGAAAGCCCAGGGTGACGCTGGGGCCCGTCTCGAACTCGACAGTGACGCCCGCATCAGCTCCCGGCCCGTTATTGACCAGGCGCACAATGCGACGCTCGTCGATGCGTGTGCCGGGCACGGCGAGAACGGTGGCGATCCCCTTGGCGATGGCCGGGTCGGTAGACCGTGGACCGTTGGTGAAGATGGTCAGGTCTGTGTTTAGCTGCAGCGCCATGAAGGAGAGATGTAGATATGCCGGGTGGTCAAAGGCCAGCACGCCGATGGGGCGGTGCTTCTGCTCGAGGCCGTCGCACAAAAGACACTGATAGCTTGTACAGTTAGCCATGTAGATCTACCAACACGGTTCAGGGGCAGGGTAGGGTAGGGTAGGTTTGTTTTATACATATGTTCAGGCCAGTTGGCCGCATATCCCTCCAGATCAGGCATGATATCTTCTGTCCCCGTCGCAAGCACTAATCGTCGGCCCCGAAAGACCTGCCCCGTGCTGTCTGTGAGCGTGAAGCCGCCGTCGTCCGTCTTTGCCACAGCGACGACAGTCTCGGCGCGGAAGGAGATGAGCGGGTACTTTGCCTCGATCTGGGCCTGGGACAGACGGCGGAACTCACCTGGCGGCGTCCCGTCCCGCGACAGCACCGTGTGCATCGCGGGGGCCCCTTGGTTGCGATACTGCTGGGAGTCCACGACGAGCGCCGTGCGGTTGGCCCGGCCCATGGCCAGCGCGGTGGCGAGGCCGGCAGGGCCGCCGCCGACAATCAAACAGTCAAACGAGTCGGACATTTACCTAATTGAATCAAGAATACGATATAAAGATGTGAATTCAATCGAACATGGACTCATGTAATATACTTCCTCGTGTCTACTCGGTCACCGAGCGCACGCCGAGGATCCCATCAGGCTGGGAGCTGCCGATCTGCCGCAGGATGACATCAACGTCCTTCTCGGCCTCCTGCCAGGCCATCTCGATCCGCGTCTTGTGCTGCGGACTGCGCGGTGAGAAACGGGCCTCGAACGGCGTCGGCCGCGCCAGGAGCCCGTCGGTGATGTCGTGCGGGTCAGTCGATTGGCCTGGCACCCCCGAGATGTCAAACCCCCACAGCAGCCGGGCCGTGATGAGGCGGATCGAGCTGTGTGCCAGATGCTGCCCGGGGCAGATGCGACGCCCGTACCCGAAGTTGGACATGGGGAGCGTCGGGTCCTGCAGCCAGCGGTCCGGGCGGAAGCTCCAGGGGTCGCCAAAGGTCTCCTCGTCGAAGCCCAGCGAGTGGTTGTTGGTCACCACCGCCGTGCCCCGGGGGATGCTGTAGCCCTCGTACACGTCGTCCTCCTGCGCTGCGTGGAAGGCCCCGAACGCCGGCGAGGTTGGGAACATGCGATACACCTCCAGGAGGAAGGCATCCAGCCGGGGGAGCCGGTCCAGATCTTCCCAGCCCGGGAGGTCGTCGCCGCGCAGGATGGAGCTGATTTCCTCCTGCACCTGGCGCACCGCCTCAGGATATAACACACACGCGCGGATCACAAACTCGAGCGACAGAGTCGTGGTGTCGCTGGCCGCTTCGAAGGTGATGCCCGTCACCCACGCCCGCTCGGCCGCGCTCATTGCCTGCGCCTCGCGCGTGCGCGAGGCCGCCAGCGTCCAGTTCCACGAGGGGGTCTCCATCGCGGTGGCCCCGAGAGCGAGAAACAGCTGCTGCTGGGCGTCGTGGAGCCGGGCGGCCGCCCGCCGCCAGGGGGCCAGCCAGGCCGGCAGGGCGCTCAGCAGCGGGAACGCCGCCAACACAGGGTTCACGGCCTGGAACAGCTCGCGGACAATGCGCTCGATGGCCTGGACCTCGGGCTCGTCGCCGCGGGCGATGCGCCGGCCGTACGCGAGCGAGAAGGCCAGGCTGGCGCTGTAGCGGTGGAAGCGGGCCGCAAAGTCGTTGGAAGTGAGCAGCTCGGCCAGCACCTGGCGCGACTCGACGTCCTGCAGCGGCCGGTACCGGGTTGTCTGGCGTGAGGCCAGGAAGGAGGCGTGGATGCGGCGGTGGGCGCGCCACCGGGGCCCTGTTGGGAGGAACAGCGTGTGCGGCGTGCCGCCGCCCAGCTGGCTGAACAGCTCTGGCCGGCTGCTGTAGGTCTTGCTGCGCCGGTCCAGGAAGGCCTGGGCGATGCGGTAGTTGCCCAGGATGATCATCTGGCGCTGGCCGAAGCGGATGCTCACCAGAGGGCCGTAGCGCTTGTGCCAGGCCCGGAACCGGCGCCAGGGCTGTTTGGCGGGGATCTGGTGGAGGTTGCCTATAAGGGGGAGGCCCCGGGGGCCGGGGGGGAGGTTGGACTTTTTGCGGGCATAGAGGGGGAGTAGGAGGAGGAATAGCAATAATAGGAAGAGGATCATGATGACAGCAGGGATAGTAAAAAGGTGAAGAAGAGTAATGTTAGGGAATGGTTTTATAGAGGTTCTCAGGATCATTTAAATCTAGCTTCTAATCATCATGTAAGGGGGTAACATTGACTAAGGATCTACATAGTTAATACATCTGTAGATAAAACCTGTCTGATATCTAGTAGATCTGTATATGAAGAGCTCTATTGTTTCAAGTATTCTATTATAAGCTTCAATTAATGCTTCAATCAATTAAGATAATTAAACAGGACATTGAGAATCATGCCACGGCCATGCCCGGGGCCAGTCCCAGCTTGCGCCAGCCCAGCCCCAGGGCGATGACGGTGGCGACGCCCGCGAGAACAGTGTCGAGGAGGAACTGGGCCTTGAGACCGTCCATGTAGGCGTCCAGCACATGCGACAGGGTGGCGGCGTCCAGGGTCTGGCTGAGGCCCGTGGCCCCCGCGTTGATGACCGTCTGCGGGCTGACCCCCGGGGCGTGGCGGGCAAGGGCGTGCACCAGGAAATTGTCAAAGACAGCCTGGGCGCCCTGGACCCAGATGGCGCCCGCCAGGAACTGGAAGAACAGGGTGATGGCGGTGATGGTGGAGATGTCGGCCAGCGGCACGCTGGCCTGGCTGACCACCACGGGCATCTGGATGGCCATCCCGACGCCGATGCCCGCCAGGGCCTGGTAGCCGATCCACTGCGCCGGCGGGGAGCCCCTGTCCATGGTATACAGCAGGCCGCAGGCGATGGTGGTGAGGATGCCGGCGCCCAGCATCAGCGGCAGCGGCCGGCTGCCGATCAGCGGCAAGATCAGGCCCGTCAGCATGGACAGGATGCCGACGCCCAGCACCAGCGGCAGCGTGCGGATGCCGGACTCGGCGGCCGACACGCCGGCGATCGCCTGGAAGTAGATGGGCAGGAAGTAGAGGATGGCGAAGAAGCAGCCCGGGAAGACAAACACAAACGCACAGCTGACGCCCACCAGCCGGTTGCCCCGGAACAGGCGCCCCGGGAACATGGGCCGCCGGCGCCAGGCCATCTCCTTGGCGATGAACAGCAGCGTCAGCACCCCGAAGCCCACCAGCGTGCCGATCACGGCGGCGTCGCTCCAGGCCTTGGTGACGCCCCCCCACTGCACGGCCAGCAGGTAGCAGAGCAGCGCCCCGAGCAGCAGCACGAAGCCGACCGGGTCCAGCAGCAGCAGGAGCTCGCCCACGCCGACCTTGTCCGGGCGGGCATGGGCGGGCGGGTGGAACAGCAGCAGGATGATCACCACAGCGACGCCGCCAATCGGGAGGTTGACCCAGAAGCACCAGCGCCAGGTGGTCTCCGAGGTGAAGGCGCCGCCGATCAGGGGCCCGGCGAAGCTGGCGATCGAGAAGGTCGCCCCCAGCACGCCCATGTAGGCCGGGCGGCGGGCGGGGGCCACCGACAGGCCCATGATGATGTACACGCCCGCCATGACGCCCGAGCCGCCCATGCCCGTGATGGCGCGGCCGACGATCAGCGAGGTGGAGGAGTGGGCGACGGCGCAGACGAGCGAGCCCAGCTCGAGGGCGGCGATGGTGGTAATGAAGGTCGCTTTCAGCGGGCAGTGGCGGTACAGCGTGCCCCAGACGTGCTGGAACAGCGCCATGGTGAGAAAGAAGGCGGAGCCGTACCAGCCCACGTCCGTCAGGGAGTGGAAATCCGCCGTGATCTGCGGGATGGCGGTCGAGATGATGGTCGAGTCGAGCGCGACGAGGAACATGCTCAGCATCAACGCCATCAGCACGCCCAGCACCCGGATCCCATGCAGGTATTCGACGTCTCCGTCTCCGTTTCCATCTTCTCGCTCCTCTTCTGCCGTGCGGGTATGGGAGGAGGAGAGCTCAAGGGCAGTGCCCTCATGCTGGCTCCCTTCTCCTTCTCCTTTCTCTGACTTTTCACTCATCGTGTAGAATGTTTTGTTAGAATAGATTGAGGATCATGAGTGAATGTGGCGGAAGTTAAATGGACCAAGGTGTAGGAAGGGAGAGCAAGGGATGGAAAGAGTATGCTCAGAGATGAAGCTCGGAGAGTTTCGGAGACTTTCTTTTATTTGTTTATCACATTGTCCTGAGATCAGCATACTGACTATCAATTAGAATATTCAACTCAGATGAATATAGTCTTGACTATTAGATTCAATTAATCTGTGTAGTCAGTCTTGTAGGCTGTGGCGTTGATATAGAACTAGTCTTATATTACTCAACCATGACATTCTTAAGCTGACATAGTTCTGGTATGTATATCCTAAGACTAAATATAAAAGAATAACTATATATAATCACTTTCAGTTGTGTTTTCTAAAGACAGATAGAGAAGCAATTCTTTATCATTTAGCAAAATGACAGACATACCTTATCCTTCTTTAGGGTTAGAATGAAGATACAGAGCTTTAGTACTTAGAACAGGCAGAAAATATACTCTACTTATAAAAATAGTATTAGGTAATTCAACTATAAAGTCAGTAAGAAATGACTGCAAATATATATCTAGTAGGTCAGACTAACCTGTTTAGGTTCCCGACACAATGACATGACAGCCATAAATAGCCTTCTTAACCCGCAATACGAGTATCTCAAAACTAATCAGCTGAAAAAGCCATGGAGAGAACAACATATGGACTGTCAGATCTTGACAAGGGAGGTCTCACGAAGAGTGTGCAATTTGTGTTGTTTTATGCCCTGCCAGCCACTACTGACCTTCAGAAGGTGATCTCCTCCTTATTGGCAGGAGTAGAAAATGCCACACATCACTTGCCTTTGATGGCAGGGAATCTCCAGTTCGTTGAGTCTGGAAAGCTCGCCATTTTGAGCCCCCCAGGCAGCTCAATCGACGTCAAGATATGCCGGTTGGAAGACAGTCAGTCCTTCTCGGCCCTGGCCAAGGACTTGTTCTCCCCCAACGATCTAGACCTCTCTCCATTTCTACCCAGTGAAGCATCACCAGGCAAGCCGTCCCCGGTATGCCTGATTCAGCTGAGTCTCATTGAGGGGGGTATCCTCATGGGCCTGAGAGTGAGCCATGCCGCCGCCGACTGGACCTCCCTCGACACATTTCTCACTCTCATCTGTCAAGGCAGCCAGGCCTTCCATCACCAGAAGGCCATGCCCCCCAGCCCCCTAGACCTCGCCCGGGACCTCAATAGGGCCCCTTATAACACTCCGGCACCAGACCCGGCCTTCTCACAACAAGACCGACTCGCCCATCTACCGCTATTCCATATCATGGAGAAGAGCCAGTTCCAATTCAAACCACCCCCTGTGACGCGCGCCGGCATCTACCGCATTTCAGAGCCCACCATCCAGCAACTCAAGACTCAATGCAGCCCCCATCTAGATCAGGTGGACTACATTACCTCCTACGACTGCATCGCCGCACTGATCTGGACAGCCCTGACCCGGGCCCGTCTGCGCGTCCGCCCCGGCCAGGAAAACGCTGTATCCCGCTTTGTCCACCCGATTGACGTCCGCTCTCGCGACCCAGAGCACAGAACCTCGCCCCGGTACTTTGGCAACGCCGTGATCGGCTCCCTGGCGGGGCCTGTCCCTGCCCACGTCCTTGCCACGCCGGGGGTCCGCGGCCTGGCCGCTGCAGCCACGCAGATCCGCCAGTCCATCCACGCCGTCGACGTGTCTACAATCGGGCACTTTACCGCGCTACAGGCCTCGCTATCAGACACGCAGATGCTTCTCCCGAACGCCGACTTTGCTGACATGGATCTCTTCATGAACACCTGGGCTACAGGGAACGCGGCCAAATACGAGCTTGGGTCGGTGGGGAGGCCTGTGGCTTTCCGGGTCAAGGTCGACATGCCGGCCGCGTGTGCGATGATCCTGCCTGATCTCTCTGGGGATGAGGCAAGAGTGTTTGATATTCTTGTGCAGGCACCAATGCCAGAGTATCAAGTGCTAACAAGGGATCCACAGTTTTTGAGGTATTTTGAGCCTGTGGTATAGTGAATATAATTACATATATAGTAAGTGTGATGATGAGGTATACTGATGATTTAAATGCCATGTTGAATGTTATATTTCTCTCATTATATAGTGCTAAGATAGACCCTATTTAGTGTCTAGCTGTAGTGGGATAAAATTAATCCTCAACTTTAATCCATATAAATATATATTTTGACTCTCTTCTATATCTGAGAGTCAATCTAAGATAAATCACAGTTTTCTGGAATCTAGGTCTGGGTAAGCCCCTGTGTTTGCAGGATAGCAGGGATAAGAAATAAAAGGACCAGGAATAGGACTTCTAAAGAGTATACAGGGCTATAATAGCCAGTTAAATATTTGTAATAGCTAATACTATCAGTGAATACTTTAATGTAAAGAGATCTTTTCCTCATAATATCAAAATAGGAATCTATGAAGTTAATCATGGAGCCCTGCAGCCTGATGAGATGGCCTAGGCAGTAAGTAAGACCTGTGCTGTGGCTGATGAGCTCATAAATCTTGCCCTTTATCTCCCTGCCTTATCTATTGTCTATCTACACGTCAGTATTGCTTACATCCTGGCCCACCAGATTAACAAGGTAGTTTAGGGCACAGTGAAAAGAGGTGGGTGTGCATAGGAGGGTCAGTGACTGGGTGAGAGTATAATTGACCTGGTAAATTAGATTTATATCAGGCCACTCTTAGCATATTAGGGCCTTTCCTTAAGAGCTGAATACAGCAGGCTATAATAGTTATATTATAAATAAAGTTAAATATAGGCTAGAGCTCAGATATAACTTACTATATAAGTAATATATTCTTCCCCCTACTAGATTACTTTAAATCTGTTTGGGCCTCTTTAGTAGAGAAAGACATATTTAAACTTATAATAGAACTTATCTGACATTATACTGGCACCATAGGATAGCTGTTCTGAAATCCATATTGGTACTATCTTCACAGATATTTTTTCCACATTAAATGCTATGGAGCCTTTCCTCTTGGTTGCAGGTTATTGACTGTGTCCAGGCACTACCCAGACAGATTCTAAAACATTCAAGAGAGGAGGCCTGTCATCCATGTACCTCTAGTGTCCCTATTAATCCATCTGTGCCTCAAAAGGCTTAATTAGAAGCCATGTCTTCCCGTATGACTGCTGAAAAGAGGGGATGAGAAGGAAGTGACATGACAGGCAGTCAGTATATATGATGCAATCACCTGGACCAGTAGTCTATAACTATTGGGAATACCAATAATGCCATTGGTATAAAGTTTACCGTTTCGAATATGGAACATCCAATGATAAGAATCTAGAAGTCTGGAGAAGGACATGATCTAGAGACTCACTATGAAATCAAGATAAAGAGTCCGTACTTTTGTAGGGATCTCCACGCAGATCTCAGAATATCTAACAAAAAGAGAGCAGCAATTCTGTCGATCTGAAGACAATCTAAAATGTAGGTAGCACCCATTTATCTCAGTATAGTTGTTAGTTGTCTATTTCATATCCGCTAATAATTTCCATCTAGTTGCTTCATATTTACATGCACAATTCTACTTCCTGGTTACGTACTACAACCTTCAAAATGTAAATTCAACCAACCCTCCCGAAAGGCCACCCAGACTCCTGTGGCCAACATGAGAGTGCGCAGTTGATCGCCGACAATAGCCTCCCCAGGCTGCGCAGGCCGGTCGTAAATATCTAACTGGGAGAGGGTTAGGGAGGCGAGCACTGGATGGCGCCGGGTCGCAGGGTCGATCACACTGAAGGTGAACCGGCGCTCCTGGTCCATCCCAGGACGGAGCACCCATCGAACAATTGTTTGCAGACAATCCTTCTGTTGATTATCATGATCCTGGTCGTGTTCGTGTTCGTGTTCGGGGTGGTGTTTGTGCAGAAGGAATTCGTACGTGCCGTTAGCGACGGAAGCTTGACAGATGAGCCCTGCCGCGAGAACAATACTATTCGCCGCGATGCTTGCGATGGGCTCTTGCTGATCAGGGGCGACGAGGAGCAGCAGGGGTGGCTCGGGACTGCTCAGACCCTGGCGCCGGCGGTGCCGCCGGCGCGAGAACCAGTTCCGTGACAGCGACGGGCTCCGGACAATGTCAAACAGCGGGATGGGCCGCGGGCAGTCCGAGACCTGCTGCACCTGCTGGATCTGCAGCAGAAGGCGCCGGCAGCGGCCATGGCCCGCTGGACGGGCGAGCTGGTAGCAGGTCCGGGGCCGAGAACGGCGCCGCTGTTCGTCGGAGGTGTCAGAGAGAGCGCGAGATCGGGGGCCTGTTGTGGTTGGTGTGTGAGGAGGGATGGCTGTGGCTGGCCGGAGAGCGACCGACATGATTTAAGATAGATATGGTTGATAAGAATGCTAGATAATCTCCCTTAAAAGGATTAATAAATGAGGAATTATGGCTAGGCAGAATCATTAAATAAATATGTTGCCTGCAATTTGCTCTCGTATTTTCTTTCATGCAGGATTAAGAAGTCTGACCCGCTTAACCCTGAGGCAGCAGTAAATATATACAATTCTGACCAAGGAATACCCAATCTCACTGACAAAAATATACCAAATGGGAAAGGCTGAAATTATCTATGGCTGACAGCAGAAACTTCGGTACGGTTGAGTAAACAGGGTAGATCAAACTAACCAGGTCTGGAGATCGGTACGAGAATTATGGAATCGTATCATGCTCCTTGAAGGGAAGGAGTTACGAGCCTAGCTAAAAAAACCATTAGCTATAAATCTGAGGGTAGAATACTACATAATGAGAGACTTTAGTAAAACAGCTATAGAGTACTAACTAAATAATAAGGAAAAGGAGTAGGTAAAGGGTGATTAGAGGCTGCCTAGTTGCAACCTCTTAATTACCCCTCACTACTACCCCTGTACCCCTAATAACACAGCCCCTGCCTGGTTCTTGAATAAGTATAGTGGAATTTAGAGTTGGTGTAGTCACAGCCCTATTTTTTTAGGTATGATCTATTTTAACTAATAAAGCCCCTGATAATAAGGAGTACATGCTAGAATAATAATATGTACCACATAGTCTACAACATCTATACTCTACAGCTATAAACCTAAAATAACACTACAGCTATTCTAGTAACTTCCCTACTACGGAGTAACTAACTGGTTACTATTACTATGGCCCTAATGCAAGGCTAGGCCTCTAGGGGCCCAGCTAGCCCAATCTATCATACCGCCTGCTATATGTGATGCGCTTTTCTGCTGACATAAAGGATATCGCGACATGATGCCTTCTGCTGATGCCCCTGATGCTTGATTTATTCCCCTAATGCATGAATATTAATGCCTAGAATATTAATACCTGTTATGTTCATGCCTGCCGAATTGACGCCTGGCTGACATCAATGCCCAAGACACCGCCTAAGCAATATAATCACCTTGATCATGATGCATATATTGAAATCCAATGTCTACATAATCCCAGCCCAGACTATGATATATCATATATTCAATAAATTGTAAGCGCCCAGAAGCACTTTGCTTAATATACGTTTAGCTTGTATAAATCCAAGGGGTGACTATTGTCTAGGAACTTCTAGTAAAGGAGGGAAACATTAAAGGTGATGCTGGGTAGTATAGGGACAAATAACAGGATTCTCCCATCATATTATTCAGGCTATATTTATATCTAGTTATATCATATCGCCCCTTTGCCTCCCCCGCAGGTGGCCTTGTATACTCTGTCCGGAGTAGTCTTCGAAGCGGGGCCTAGACCCCAGGTTCTTGATTCATTAAGGCTCAATGAGAACCAAAATCATAGTGACCATACTTCAATCATTATAGTGGCAAGAGCATTTTTGGATGGCCCAATATTGTCTATATCTCGCCTCAAGATGCCCAAGATCGATGTTCGCTTAGGGCCCTAACATATATATATTCAGTACAACTGGCAACCCGACACAAGCCTCAATGTGTGATCCTAAAGTTATTGAAAAATTAAATGAATGATAATATTTATATCTATATTATCACAGCCATAGCCCAGAGCGCGCGTTTGCGGATGGTGTGGCTGGCTCACTGCCTTCCTATTCGGTTAGCCGAGGGCGCACAAAGGATCGAGATGTCGTACTCCGTAGTTCTAACTGGCTACATACCTATTGTAAATATGGCTATGCCTATTTGGGAACTTTGGGGGTGTGCCATTAGTGGTGAGGGGTGTGGCTAGAAACTCACTAGATTAAATAAGACGATCAACCACGTCATGACAACCTATCAGGTTAGAGCCAGTACTGTTGAGTTCTTCAAGTGAAACTAGCAAATAGAGTTAAATTCCCTAACCTGTCCCTGATAGCTTAGCCATTTCCAGGGCTCAAGCATCGTGTTATCCGCCATTCTCCAACAACGAGTGTTAATGACTAGTGACTAGTCGAGTATCTGAAATGCTCAATTAAATTGCATAATAGCTCCAAGATGATGGCCACCCGCCGAACGCATCAGAAATCGCGCCACGGATGCACCAGCTGCAAACAGCGCCGAGTCAAGGTAAAACAGGCCGGCCAACCATTTCCAATCAAGTAACTAACAGCATAGTGCGATGAGAAACGACCGGTCTGCACGCGATGTCGCCAGCGCCAGGAGACCTGCGTGTTCAACACGCCCGCCCCTTTGATCTTCGTCCCACAGTCGAGGCCTCCGTCGGGGCCTCCATCGGGTCCTCCATCCATGAGGTCATCATCAACACCCCCCCATTCGTCTCTAAACGGGACTCTCCCCAGCTTAAACGCCACCACCCCCACAACATCATCAACAAGCGCCCCCACGATATTACACATGGACCAGCTGGAGCTGGAGATGCAGTGGCTCATGCACACGCACAAGCTGTTTGCTCGCGACGAGGAGACCCGCCGGATCTGGGAGGTGCTGGTGCTACAAGAGGCCCTTCGGGCCCCGTTCCTCATGCACGGCGTCCTGGCCCTATCGGCGCTACATTTGGCCTCCCAGCCTGGGGAGAAGCGGCGGGACAAATGGCTGGCGATGGCGATCTCGCACAAGAGCACCGCCTTGGCCCTGTTCACTGACCAGTTGGCGGGCTTGACAGCAGAAACGACAGCAGAGGGTCCCCCGGAAGTGCAGGTGAACCCCGAAGCGATGATGAGCTTCGCCGGGATCGTGGTGGCCTTCAGCTTCGCCAGTGCGATCACCGCCCCCGCCGACGAGGGTCCCAGCCTGTCGGGCCTGGTGGACATCTTCACTTTGGCCCGAGGGATCGGCGCCATTTTCGTCTCCAAGGCGGACCAGCTGCGGACCGGCTCGTTTGGGCCTCTTTATAACATTCATACTTCTTCATCCGCCGTACCCGATCACGTCCGTGTCGCGTTTGACCGACTCGGACAGCTGAATGTCTGCTGCAACCAGCAGGAACCGGATCTCGTCTCCCTCTACGAAAAGGTCATCACCACTCTGCGTGATCTCGCCTCCTTTGCGTACCTACATCCCAGCAGTCTGACGCTCGTCGGCGGCTGGGCCATCCGTGTCCCAGAAGGCTATTTCGACGAGCTGATACTCCACCGTCCGCTGGCCCTGGTCGTGCTGGCTCATTACTGTGTCTATCTCGATCTGGCGCGCGATAACTGGTGTATTGGGCCCTGGGGAGGGATCGTCATTACGGAGATCTCGACTCTTTTGACTCCAGAGTGGTTGGTTTATGTTCAGTGGGCGCGGGACCAAATATACCGGATAAGCAGTTAAATACACTCTTTTATGACAACTTGTCATATCAGCTCTGAATATACTTACTATAGTCCAGGAGACATACCTGGCTTAATCATGGCTCTCAGCACAATTCTCAACAGGTTGTTTCTGATGAAGAAACATACTATCATACTTGGAGACAAAGGAGCTGCAGAAAGATATATACATAGTATTAAGATTTAGATTAATATTAGACCTCTTACCAGTAAGGGCAATGTGATGCACCATTATAAATTTCTCACTACTGACTAATGAAATCAAATGGGGCCATAAGATTTATAGAGTTATATAATTTTTTGAGTAGTTATATTACTTACACTATAAGCTAGTCTTACTCATGATTACAGTGAGCAGGTTACTATTTTTGGTTAAACCAGTGTTGATGCTGACTGTTCAGGGCTGTACAAGATCCTGGTAAGCCCACTTGATCCAAGTATATGCACTCCCGGAGCCACTCGAGCTGGTTGCTGCTCTAGGTATGGCCTTCGCCCCAACCGAGCACGATGGAAGAGAAAGATAAATGACGTTGCGGCTGACAGGAGGGAAAGGGGATATAGAGGAGCCTACACAGGATTGTATGTATAGGATAGGGCAGAGTGGATAAAGGCATTGGTATTTAATAGGGCTGTGGCTTGAATACTTGGAACTTATATTGAATTAGAAAATCACTGTGAAGTGAAAAAATAAGATAGGGATTTGTATGCAATGGGCGTTGAATTATAGATAAGATTCATGACTTATGGCTTAATATATATCAACTTTATAGAAGGATACTATTGAATAAAAGGGTATCATTAAACCTCAAAGTAATGAAGAATCATTTACTGAAATATTTTAATATGCATGTTGTAGCTATTATATAAAATTATATATAAGTACAAATCCTACATATACTGCTATATATACTGCTATATACTGCTATATAATACAGTCGTGTAGAACACTGTAATAGTGTACTAAGCTACCAAGATGAGAATCTCGTAGGCAGAGCTGAACTCCACTGTAAACACTCCTGCTTCCCCCTGAAGAGCGGTAGTAGTGACACTGCTGGTCTCCCCCCCCAGCGCCGCCAGGTTGTTGATACTGTCCGCTTCAGGCGCGGAGAAGGAGATGAGCGTCGCGGTGTCGGCGGAAGAGCCCTCCAAAGTGACAGACACGGCACTGTCCGCGCCGGTCTCGCCGTCATAGTTGACCAGCTTGAGGATGGTATGGGAGGTGTTGGTGGTGGCCGACCAGTACACCGGGGCGAGCTCACCGTCCGTAGCGGTCACAGGGAGGGTGCTGGAGCCCATGTTGGCGGCGAACAGCTGCTGGACGTAGAAGCTCATCGAGTAGAGCACCTCGGAGGCCGTCTGCTTGATCACGGCGACGGTGTCGGGGGCTTCGTTGTAGTTCTTGATCAGGGCGCCGTAGGCAGAGCCCACCACGACGTCCGAGTTGCGCTCGCAGCCCAGCAGGAAGACAGCCTCGGCGCAGGCCATGCTCAGCGTCTGGGCGCCGATCTGGGAGGCCGAGTTGCTGCCCGTGTTGGTCGCCGCGTACTCGTTCACAAACACCGGGTACGAGCGGCTGGCCTGGTCGAAGGCGTTGAAGAGCGTGACAAAGTAGTCTGCGTCGCCGTACAGATGCAGATCGACAGGGCTGCCGTCTGTGGTGACGGGACTCGGGTTGATCGTCGAGATGAGGCTGATGTCCGGGTACGTGGCGTGAATGGCGTCGTAGAAGGCTGTGAAGCGGTAGTCATCGTACGAGGTTGTTCCACCGTTCAAGTAGTCCTCATTGCCGATTTCGATGTAGTTGATGGTAAACGCGCCGTATCCCAGCGCTTCTCTCTGTGCGCCGTACGTCGTGGAGGAGTCGCCCTGTGATATGATTAGTATAGGTCTAAAACCCTAACCCTAAACCCTAGGGTTTAGGGTTAGGGTTATGGTAGGTACGTACGAGTAAAAACTCCAGCTCGTCCATGACGGAATCAACGTATGGCTGGAGATCGGCTTCAGCAACCACAGTCCCGTCCAGGTACAGGCCTGCCCACACGCCCAGAATCACCTCCAGCCCCATATCGTCCGCCATGAGCATCATCTCGATCAAGCCGAAGCCGTCTGTGTTGTAGTCTCCCCAGGTGCCCGGTCTGCCCGGCCGCTCCGTCAGCGAGCCCAGCGTCTCGTTCCACTTCCAGTAATACGGCGCGTACAGGCCCTCCATGTTGTTCCCCCCGGGCAGCCGGATGTATTTGGTGCCCAACGCCGCGACGGCCTCGGCCATGTCTGTTCGCAGCCCGTTGGCCCGGTTGTTGTACGTCTGCTTGAACACGCTCAGCACGTTGAAGTACAGGCTCTCTCCGGCCAGCTGGGCACCGTCTTCGAAGACAAAGTAGAAGGTATTGTTGGCGTTGCTGGCCGTCGTGGTCGGGTAGAAGGTGGGCGAGTAGGTCTGCACCCAGCCGTCGCTCTCTGTCTGGTCGAGGCTGATGGTCGTCGATCCCAGGATGGTGTCGCTGGTCGTGCTGTAGAAGTAGCACGTCACGTCGCCCGTGTAGTTGCCGTACACGTACATGCTGGCGATGTACCGCTGCGACGCATCCACATCGAAGCCCCAGAAGCCGTCATTGTAGAAGCCCACCGCTGTCGTCGTGTCCTCGGGCACCTCCATGCGCAGCTGAGCAGGGAGACTCGAGGATAGAGGAGTTGTTTCGGTGTCGACCGACAGCGTCACGCCGCCCACCTCGGTCCAGAAGTCCGTCGTGCGATCCAGGCTCACCACGCCGTCGACAGAGGAGCCCTGGAAGGCCCGGTTGCGGATCATCTCGCCGTAGAGACCGCCGTCGCCGGAGTGGTAGATGTCTTCGAACAGCAGGCCATATTGAAGAGTACTGGACGTGTTGCCCCCGGACGAGGAGACCGTCAGGTTCAGGGCGGCACTCTTGGAGAGGAGAGAGAGAAGGAGAAGAGGAAGCATGATGTAGGATGCTTCAAGTTCTTCTGAATGTATTGTTGAAGATAATCATTCGGTACATCTGGCTTGTGTTACTTATAGACACTAGATAGACGTTGATTGTACTCCATGTCACTCGGGAAGAGCTCCCCCGATGTGTAGATCAGGGGTTGATTGATGAAGCCCAAAACTACAATTCTCCGTGGAGATGCCAAGACTGCCTGCCAACCAAGATTTTATGCCAAGCTTGCGGGGCCCCTGATTATTCTTGATTAAATTTTAATGCTGTCGATGCATCTGATGCAGGATACTCAATAGGTTTACTACCATATGTCGGATAATACCTATATCAGAATATAACTAAATTAAAGATGAATGATAACTTTTAAATGACAAAATGGACTCATTGTATGACTATATCTACTGCACCATACTATCTACTGGCCAATCAACATGCTGCCCACATGGTTCATCACATGGCGTGGCTTGGCCGCTCACAAAACCTGCTTTGCCCACCGGGATTTCGCCCAACGCAGTACCAGGGCTCGGGGTAGTCCAACCCGAGTGGCCCCAGACCCCCGGAGTACTTATCCTGACTGACTTCTCCACCAGAGCTGTTCCCCAGAGATATTCCCCAGACCCCCACTGTTGTATCGGAGCATCCAAAGTATCTTCAATTGAGTATACACCTTGTCCGATACTATGTTCCCTCCCAAAGTCTACCAGTTCCTCGTCGGGCTGTTTGCTGCCCTGGGCTCGTTTCTGTACGGCTATGACCTGACCATTGTCGCCGAGGGTATTTCTTCCGTCTTCTCTATCATTCGACGTTTATTAATGAAGTAGTCGTTGCCAGCCACTCCTTCCTGGATTACTTCGACCCCTCCACCACGCAGGTCGGCCTGGTCGCCTCGCTGCTCACTGCCGGGGCGGTAGTGGGCGCCGGCATCGCGTACCCCTGCTCCGACCGGTTTGGCCGCCGGGCCACCATCTTGGCGGGGGGGATCGTCTTCTGCCTGGGCGGGGGCTTACAGACAGGGGCTCGCAACTATAGTTACATTATGGGAGGGCGCTTCATTGCGGGAATTGCGTAAGCCCTACTTATCTAAACCCTAACCCTAAACCCTCATGCTACACCCATGCCATCTATGCCACCCATGCCACTCATGCTACACCTGCTACACCTGCTAACATGCTAACCTGCGACCTGCTAGGATCGGCATCCTGACAATGATCATCCCCCTATACCAGGCAGAGCTGGTCCATCCCGACATCCGTGGCTTGGTGACTGGTCTGCAGCAGTTTGTGCTGGGCGTTGGCGGCGTGTGTGGCAGCTGGATCAGTTACGGCACCTTCGTCTCCTTCACTGATAACCGACAATGGCGCATCCCCCTCGGCATCCAGATCGCCCCCGCCGCGCTCCTGTCGGCGCTGATCCTGCTGTTCCCCGAGTCCCCGCGCTGGCTGATCAGCAACGGCCAGGCGGACAAGGGACTGGCCACCCTCGCCAAGCTGCACGCCAACGGCAACACGCAGGATCCCTGGGTGCTGGCCGAGTTCGAGCAGATCCAGCTGCAGGTGGGCGAGGAGCAGGAGCTGAGGAAGCTCTCCATCCTCCAGCTCTTCTCCAACAAGGCCAATTTCCGCCGTCTGTTGCTCGCCTGTGCCATGCAGGCCGCCACGCAGATGACGGGCGTCTCCGCCATCCAGTACTACTCGGTCACCATCTTCGAGCAGATCGGCATCGACAGCACCAACACCCTGCGCTACCAGGCCATCAACTCCATCATCGGTCTGCTCGGCGAGCTCCTGCTCATGCTAATCGTCGACCGTATCGGCCGTCGCAAGCTGATCATCGGCGGCAACCTCGCCATGTGTCTGACCTATATCATCAGCACCATCCTCATGGCCCAGTTCCCCCCTCAAGTCGACAATAAAAGCGCCCATTGGGGGTTCATCATCATGACTTGGCTCTATAACTTTTGCTTTGCTAGCATGGGCTCATTATGTATTTCCCTCCTTCTGTTCTATTCTCCTTACATATTGTCCTTACTCATCTCTATAGCTTGGATGATTCCCGCCGAGATCTTCGACACGGCCACCAGAGCCATGGGTGTCGCCATGGGTTGTATGGTTTCTTTTGCAGTCAAGTATGTTACTCTCCCTTCCCTTGTTTTCTTCCATGCTAATGACAATGATCAGTACCATGATCGGCCAGGTTACTCCTATCGGGATGGCCCATTCAGGATGGAAGTTCTACCTTCTGTTTGTTGTGAGTTTCCCTTCATCTGAACTGGTATCAACCAGATTATCTCCATATTGACCCTATGCCAGGTCTGCAATTTCACAAACGCCGTCTTTTTCTGGGCCATGCTCCCTGAAACCAAGATGCTCCCCCTGGAGGAGATGAAGGAACTGTTCACCCGCTCGCCCTGGTTCGTGGGAAGCATGGATACCACCAAATTCCACGGCGAGAGCATCGAAGAGCGGGCTCACCAGATTGCCGCCAAGGAGACCCCCGAGCATGCAGAGGAGGTTTAGACAGTCTTGCCAACTTTTCCACTATCCTCAAGTGTGATCTATCATCTCAGGTTGCTGCTATATAGTCTTTAATTATACTCGCCAGTAGTATATTAGCTGTATACTTCCCCCATGAATGTACTATCATAAGGAGTGTCATAAGTATTCCAAAGGTTGATATTAAGTCAAGTCAGTGCATCTTGATGAGCAATCCTTGTAGTATAACGGGAGACTGTCTAGAGACACTCTAACTCCAGTTCAAGAGGGCTGTTTGGCGGCCTACTCGCTACAGGGGAGATTAAGAGAATCAATCCCGAGCAAGCAATTTCAGGTTACTCCTTGATATATTGGGCTTAGCTCTATACTATACTCTAGGATATGCTATTTTTGAAGATCACTTAACTAAAGTGTGAGCCCACTTTTATAGTCCTTGTCATATTGATATTGACATGCCCCTTAATTTAGAGATACCATAGTGCAGGCAATGGTGCTACTGATAGGAAGATATCTTGCCACCTAACTCCCTTACTAGTAGGCTATATAGTAGAGAAGAGGCCCTCGGGGGTTTCAAGTGCACATTGTATTATGACCAGAGTCCTGGGGTAGAATACATCCATTCCCTGTATACATGACATGCTGCGATTTGTAGACCAGCTCATATGGTGGTATAGTATTTTCTTGAACATTATGAAGATTATATACGCTAGCAATATAACTTGTATACCCTTAATACTCCTTTCTAATGAATGCTTTATTGTTACCTTTGCTAGGAAAGGATTCATGCTATTCAGCCGCGGAACGGGCCGTCTGCACTTGGCTGAGCTCTAGTCTGCAGAATACATATTCCCTGTCAATAGGTAGGTAGTATTAATTTCTACATTAATTTGTCATGTGGATTGAGATGCTACTTTACTGGTTACTTTATTATCCTAGTTGAGGTATAATCTCTGCCTACATTCATATGGCTCCATCCTGCTCAATGATCTCATCTTATAATGGCTGGAAACAGTAGCTTCATAAAGATTTCATAGTCTAGAATCACTGATAATGCTAGGGTGTTATTTCTCCATTATCACCCGAGTACATTCATTAAACAAAACAATTGGACCCGAGACAGAAACAGCGGATACTAACTAATATGTCTAACAATAACACACCTTATTATAGACTTCTCCAGATTAAAGATCTCCTCTGGTTTCAGTCTCATTGCGTGTCGCAGCCAGGAAAGGTTTAGTCTCCGCAACCGAGTAAACGACGCGTCCGAATGTCGACCCTCTTCTCGATGAGGTTGATAGTGGAACGGTGGTGAGGTGATCTTTTCCGAATCCCTTCGTCCTGTGGTCTCTCATTCGCCAACCTAAAATAAGAGTTTGCAGAGAACGTCACAACTAAAGGACTTACTTCCACATATAAATGTCTTTGTTTCTTGTGGAATTCTTCACTATCACTTTCTTCAATACCATAACCTCATACCTCAAAACCGTTAGTACTATCTCATTGCACACATGAAGAGTCTGGCTATAGCAGGCAGCATGGCAGCTGGCGCTGCTGCTGCAGCTGCAGCTACCGGGTGCACCCCGGAAGTGTTCACTCCCTATCTGTCGTCCAACGCATCGATCGTGTACGCCCGGGTGTTCACCGCCGACCAGACATTCGTGGGCCCGATGGGCAACTACACAAACCTGCCCGAGTACTGCGCGGTGTACGTGAACGTGAGCTCGTCGGCGACCTCGTCGTACGAGTTTGCCGTGTGGCTGCCCACGCAGACGTGGAACGGCCGGTATCTGGCGTACGGCAACGGCGGCTTCACGGGCCAGATCGCGTTCGCCGACATGGCGCCCGGGCTGGAGTACGGGTTCGCGACGGTGTCGACCAACACCGGGCACAACTCGACGGTGCAGGAGGCGGGCGATGCCGGATGGGCGCTGAACGACCCCGAGACGCGGACTGACTGGGGCTGGCGGGCGCTGCACGGCACCGTGGCCCTGGGCAAGACGCTGACGGAGGCGTACTACAACGAGACGATCGCGTATTCCTACTACTCGGGCTGCTCGACGGGCGGCCGGCAGGGCCTGAAGGAGGTGCAGATGTTCCCCGACGACTTTGACGGCGTGCTGGCGGGCGCGTGTGCCTGGTGGACCACCCACCAGCAGAACTGGGATCTCAAGGTGGCCGTCGACAACCTGCCCAACAACGCCAGCCACCACGTCACCAGCGAGCTGATGGACGTGCTGGCCGACGAGGTGCTGCGCCAGTGCGACGGCGCCGACGGCCTGCGCGACGGCATCATCATGAACGGCTATGCGTGCCAGTTCCGGCCGGAGACGCTGCTCTGTGACGGCTCGAACACGACCAACACGTCCACCTGCTTCACCCCGGCCCAGATCGACACCATCTACAAGGTCTACGGCGCCTGGGTCGAGACCAACCAGACCTTTGTCTTCCCCTCGTTTGCCTGGGGTTCCGAGGCCCAGGTGGCCGAGATGATCCTCACGGACGACGACGAGCAGGGTTCCCCCAGCGGGATTGCCTACCCGCGCGACTTTGTCTACAACGACGCCGACTGGGCCTGGCAGAACCTGGATCTTGCCACGATCCAGCTCTCCGACTCGCTGGACCCGGGCAATGCCACCGCCGGCGACTTTGATCTGCGGCCCTTTTACAACAGGGGCGGCAAGCTCCTCCACTACCACGGCTTCGCCGACGGGGAGATCCCCACGGGGTCGTCCATCTACTACTACCGACACGTCCAGGAGACGCTGGTCCCGCTCGGCATCGATCTGGATGATTTCTACCGATTCTTCCTCATCCCGGGCATGGAGCACTGTTTAGATTCCGTTCATGATGCCCCCTGGTACATTGCCACCGCCAACCAGCCAGGCGGCCTCGTTGCCGAATCCTCCAACGACACCATCTGGGGGGTCCCCGGGTACCGCGACGCCAAGCACGACGCTCTGCTGGCCATCATGGCGTGGGTTGAGAACGGAACCGCCCCGGAGGAGCTGGTGGCCACCAAGTATGTCGACGATACTCCCTCCCTGGGCGTTCAGGCCCAGCGGGTGATTTGTCCGTATCCCAAGCAGGCCGAGTATGTGGGTGGGGATTGGAACACCACCGAGTCATTTACTTGTTCGGGGTATTATTAGAGGAGAAGCAGCATATTAGATTGTATAACATGTATATAATGTGTATCATGGGTAGAGTATCAGTAGCAACGCTAGTTAGACAATCAAAGTCCTATACATGTGAGGTTGATAGTGAGGTTGATAGTGAGGTTAGGGTTAGGGTTAGGGTTAGGGTTTAGGGTTTAGGGTTTAGGGTTAAATCAATATTAGGGTTACTGCTGGTCATACCACTACATGTAAGTAGCTAGTAACTAACTGACTAGTTAATAACTGGTGAGAATGCCCCAGGTTAGGGTTAGAGTTACCGCTGGCATACCACTACATATAACTTAGGATTGCTAGGGTTAACTTCATCTCTGCTACTGAGTAAGATCTCTAGTGTGTGCACTACGATGGATAAGCCAGGCACCTGAACAGAGTACCCTCCAATCGGATCGTCGGAAAACTCGGCCCGCCAACCTTATATGCAACATGGCATTGGATAAGACCGCATTCATATCTCGGACATTGAGCCCAGTGGAGATGCCTCGGAGGAGCATCCTGTTTGGGTAGGAAATGCTGTTTTTCTTTCCCGCGTATTTAAATGCCCCTATCCCCATTTCTTGACCTTTTCCGCCGCCCGACTCTCCTCCTTCGCCCACCCCCATGTCGAAATTCAGGCTGATCTTCGACCAAGGCCATGTGGCCGAGGCGATCGTCCACCACGACCATCCCGGCGCCGGCACGGACGAGGATCCGTACCAGGTGATGTGGCTGGAGCATGACGACCCGCGCAACCCGTTGACGTTTTCGCCCGTGGCCAAATGGGCCATCACCTTCCTGGTCGGCATGGCCACGCTGGCGGTCGCCCTGGTCTCGTCGGCCTACTCGGGCAGTCTGGAGCAGGTCATCGAGGAGTTCGGCGTCAGCGAGGAGCTCTCGCTGCTGGGCATCTCGCTGTTTGTCATCGGCTTCGCCGTCGGCCCCCTGTTCTGGGCGCCGCTGAGCGAGATCTACGGCCGCCGCTCCGTGATGGTCGCCAGCGCCACAGGGCTCACCGTCTTCACTGCGGGCGCCGCGGGCGCCCCCAACATCCAGACCCTGATCATCCTGCGCTTCTTCGCCGGCAGCCTGGGCTCGGCGCCCTTTGCCGTCGCCGGGGGGGTCATCGCCGACTGCTTCCCGGCCATCAGCCGCGGCCTGGCCAGCGGCCTGTACTGCGCGGCGCCCTTCCTGGGGCCGACCCTGGGGCCCATTGTGGGCGGCTTCCTGGCCCAGTCGGCGGGCTGGCGATGGGTCGAGGGCCTGGTCGCGACGTTTGCCGGCCTCATCGGCCTCATCACCTTCTGCGCCCTGCCGGAGACGTATGCGCCGGTGCTGTTGAGCAAACGCGCCGCCCGGCTGTCGGCCCTCACCGGCAAGGTCTATCGCAGCAAAGTCGAGGTCGAACAGGGGCCGATCAAGCCGTCGGTCGTGTTGACAACCGCTCTCTGCCGGCCCTGGCTGTTGCTCTTCCGCGAGCCGATTGTGCTCCTCCTCTCCATCTATCTGTCCATCATCTACGGAATGTAAGTTGGGACTTGTTTCCATCCTCTCAATCGTATCTCTCTTCTAATGAACAGTCTCTACCTCCTCTTCGCCGCCCTCCCCATCGTGTACGAGGAGAAACGCGGCTGGAGCGAAGGCATGTCCGGCCTCGCCTTCCTCGGCATCCTCGTCGGCATCTTCATCTCCGTCCTGGCCACCTTCCCCATGTACTTCCGCTACAAGAAGAAGGTCGTCGCCGCCCACGGCCGCATCGTGCCCGAAGCCCGCCTGCCCGACGCCTTCATCGGCGCCATCGCCCTGCCCGCCGGCCTCTTCTGGTTCGCCTGGACCAACTCGCCCGACATCCACTGGCTGGCCTCGGTGGCCGCCGGCGTCCCCTTTGGCTTCGGCATGGTCATGGTCTTCCTCCCCGTGCTCAACTACCTCATCGACGCCTATACCATCTACGCCGCCTCGGTGCTGGCCGCCAACGCCGCCATGCGCTCCGTGTTTGGCGCCGCCTTCCCCCTCTTCACCACGTACATGTACCAGAATCTCGGCATCCACTGGGCCTCCTCCATCCCGGCCTTTCTCTCGCTCGCCTGTGTGCCCATGCCGTTTCTCTTCTATCGCTATGGCGCCCGCATCCGCAGCAACTGCCATTTCGCCGCTCAGTCCGAGGCGTTTATGGAGAAGATCCTCGGCCGTGTTGCCTCCAAGGAGGAGGCGTAACTTGACCATGACTGCGACGAGAATGGAATTTAATATTTAATATTTAGACTGGATATCTTGATAAACCAACATTAAACCACTATTTTAGTATTCAATATACTATTTCTATTAGTATAATTATACAGTATATATCCATTCTAATCTACTATACAGGCCTGTTCCATCCCACCCACGGCCCTGCAGGCCCAACCATCTCAGGCCTCAACTCATCCACCGTCGAGGCCCCGATATTGCGCATGGTATTCGTGATTTCTTCTTGCATGACTGCTCATTAGCATCGAGTATACTTCATAGTATACGATCTCTATCACTCACTCATTGCAGCCCGCTCAACACCCTCCTGCCCATGCGTGCCATTGGCATAGAGAAACGGCCGCCCCAGCCCGACGGCTTTGGCGCCCATAGCCAACGCCTTGACGACGTCAGCCCCGGTGCGAATACCCCCGTCGATCATGACGTCGATCTTGTCGAAGAGATCCGGGCGGTGCGTGCGTATTTCGTAGAGGATGTCGACGGGGGCAGGGGCGTAGTCTGCTTGTCTGCCGCCGTGGTTGGACTGTTGGATATAAGTCTGTATTCAGTCGAGTAGTATAGAGTACACTCACAAGGATGACGCCTTCTACGCCGTGGTCAACGCAGAGTTGTACATCTTCTAGGCTCTGCACTCCTTTGACGATAATCGGGAGCTTCGTGTGTTCCTAGTCATGAGAATGAGAATGATAGAAGACAGGTGAAAGGTGAAAGGTGATGTACTCTGATAAAAGTGATGTCCTTCCAGGTCAGATTGGTATCCTGGTATCCCGAGATCGACTCGGACACCGACTTGGCCTTCTGGACCGGCTGGTCAGTCTTTCGCGTGGGATTCTGCATCGCCTTGTATCGCACATCTCGCGTCCGTTTCGACTGGCGGGCAACATCGACCGTGAAGACGATCGCTTTGGCGCCGAGATTGTCGACCTTGCGGATGAGCGCTGCGGATTCCTCGCGGTTCTTGTTCAGGTAGATCTGGAAGAAGAGCGCCTGTCCAGGCTGTTTGGCCTCGAACAGCTCCTCCACGCTGCAGCTTGCATTGCAGGAGATCTAGACGTCAGCCTTTTATTCAATATAGCACCGTAATCAAGCAAGTGTAAGAGAATATACCATCTGGACAATCCCACACTCGGCCGCCGCTTTGGTCAGATTGACTTCGCCTAGCGGATGTCCCAGTTTCGCCATGGCAGCCGGCGAGATGAAGACGGGCATGGACGTCTCGACGCCCATGAAGCTGGTCTCGGTGCTCCCCGTCGACATGTCGCGCAGCACTCGCGGCCGGAAGAAATACCGGCGGAACGCATTGCGGTTCTCCATGAAGCTGTTCTCCCCGTCCGCCGCCGAGCGGTAATACGCCCACGCCGTCCCGCTGAGCACACGCTCTGCCCAGGCTTCAAAGTCGTCCAGGAGAAGCATATCTGCTGCTTCGGGCATCTCTTCGCGGGCTTCCTCCTGCAGGATTTCCTCCTCGGTCAACACCCGCTCTTCTTCTGTCGGCATTGTGGACGCATCGACGGGGCCGAGGTTCGCGCTGGGGGGGAGCGTCGAAAGCGCCGTGGGAGGGTGTAACATTGTGAACAGGTTTCTATCTTTTTCTTAGTGTTTCATTCTACGCCTCTGATACTGCCTGCATCTTACGTGACGTCTTTCCCTGCTTGGGCGAGGATGGCCTCTTGGCCTCCCGGGTGGGTTTGCAACAGGGCTGTCACATCGTATACATGGCCCTGCAGCAGTTGTTAGTATAGAATATGTCGCAGATACAAAAATATAATACCTTGATAATAACCCAGCAGTCGTGGAGAGAAGTATGTTTCTGGACCTCCTCGTACGAGATCAACGGCGATTCCTGGGCGTAATCCAGGCGAATCGGAGGATGGAGAGTGCATGCTGTCTGTACTGGTTAATAAAAAAAACAGTAACATTATCAATAAAAACATACCGTGGCCACTGTAGCCACTGTAGCCACTGCAAGAACTCCCCAGATCCTCGGTTTGGTGGCTGTAGAGGAGAATGGGCGGGCAAGAGGCCGGAGAGACGCCCGGAGAGACGGTCTCTGTCGGGCAAGTCTTAAAAGGGGGCGTGTGAACATCGTGAGAGTGTAAGACAAATTCTTAGACCTCAATTAATCCGGGGTTTGGGATATGGGGTTATATATGGGGATCTTAAAGGCCGGGCCAGTGTCGATCCGGAGATTCGCCGGCGGAGATTCGCCGGGAGAACCAGGGTATTACTAATATCATACTTAATTAATGTTACAGGAATATATCACTATATAAGGCTCTAATTAATCTCTAGACATTTTTAGTGGCTTAGTGGTCTAGTGGCCCCCTAAATTTTGTCAAAATTAAACTGTCTAACCAGATAGTCTAGTGATTATATACTATGCTCTATTTATGCATAGGATAATAACCGCAATGCACACTTTAATCATGCTGACCACCCATAACACAGTCAAGAATGAACCTCCGCTCCTCACAAAGATCCCCCCCAGGACCGTGCCCAGCAACAGGCTGATGATCGCCCCAGCGCGTCTCCCCTGCTGGAGGTGATTCAGACCAGGCAGATTCATGAACAGGTCGCAGTAGATGCTCGTCAGGACCACGCTGGTCAGACTGGTGCATTCCAACACGCGGCTGAGCACTGCCTGCCCGGCACTTTGGAACGAGACCAGCGCCAAAGAGACGTAGAGCTGCCAGGATGTATCGTTTTTGGTGTCATGTTGGACAGCATGGGTTTGTAGGATACACGCCGCGAGAATCAGACACACCGTCTGGAGGAGGAACGAGAGGGAAACCAGACTTCCTCTCTGTCCGGAATGACGGCGATGCAGCTGGGCAAAACAGAAGGAGCCTGTACAGAATCCAGCGATGGAGATTCCGGCCTTGATCCATCTGGGAGAGGGGGAAGTAGCAGTGGTTTCCAGTCCGGCAAGTCCGAGGCCGAGATATACGGTATTTCCAGTCTGCATGCTCGCGAATGAGCCAAGGAGCGAGACGGCTGAGCTGTCGAGGAAGCCGGTGATCGCATAGCAGGCGAGCAGGAGCCTGGCATTTGCATTTTCATTTGTATTGGATGTTGGAGTATTTCCAAGAAGGGGGGTTCTTTCAGACATTTTAGAAGTTTAGAGTTGTATACATTATATAGGAAATTGTATAGGAAATTATTTTTGAAGAACTGATTAGCCTAATTTCAAATTTTCCTTGTGCTACTTGAAATATGACGTCATCTGTACAACAAATACAATATGATATTAATATTATATTCTCTATACTCACTTTCTACCATTTCACCAGAAAAGTGATGCTTAGCGAAGGATTGACATCACCATCTCTAGATACAATGGCAGGATGGAGACTAGACGAGCTTCTAGTTTGGAACAGGTAAGAGGCAACTCGCTTTTTCTATGTAAATTTGTGAGTGCAGAGTAATTAATAAGTTAGAGTGTGGACTTATGCAGGGGAACTGCATGTTTAATTAGATAGATGTACTACTAGTATTCAGCATGTAGTATGCAATCTATAGCATGCTGCAGCCTAGACAGTGTATATAGTGAATGATAGATGATAGATAGTATACTTGACAACTCCTTTAACTTAATGCCAGTTTATCATACTTCTATGGAGCACAGTACACTACGTGAGAACCATACTCCAAACTCATTAGATCTATATGAACTGATATAAACGCCACATGTATTCTTCATGAAACACAAGCAGGCTTAGCATGATTTTCCCCCCTAATTGGCCATGATGTAATGAGTCCCTGCCAGCACGGTGCCATGGTGAGATCATGTCGCTTAGCCATGTCACGGCCTCACCACTGTCTACCTTGCGATTCAGCCTCAAGTTGGTCTAGAAGACGGACTACGGAGTATACAAAGAGTATGTCCTGGATGGCAAATTTGAGAGTATCTTTATTCAGTAATTACTCTCAAGAGATGAATAGTTATCAGCCTGTATGAGGTCTATAATCCTGATATAGATATAGAGATTGACTCATTTCGAGAAGGTGGGCTGGGATTTAATTGAGTCCTGCATTCGAGTACATTAGTCATAGTATACTATGATTATCACTTACTTGTATACTTAATATATTATAAGCTGTACTTCTATCAATTAGCCCATGCTCTGATATCATTAGACGGATAATGTAAGAAAGCCAATGAATGCAATTGATCTAGCATAAGAAGGCAATAACAGTCTATCCTATCTGACAGGTCTGACCTGTTAGAGAAATGTTGCCTGCTACAGCCTGTTCAACGTCTGCAGGTGAGCGAGGAACAACTTCCACCCACCAGACCTCAATAGCCCGTCTCTTCTTCCACTCAGCCGCTTTCCCTGCATCTGACGTCTTTTTTGTTCTCCTCTTCCTGCACTTCCTTTTCGCCCATCTCCTGCTCCCCCTATCCATTCCAATCTCCTCGTTGTCGTTTTCTTCTTTCTCTTCATCGTCATCATCATTATCCTGAAAATACAAATCCTATAGGATGCCTAGTTTCCGGAGCATGTTAGTAGGAATATACCTAAGTCTTATGCTGCTTAGAATGGACATTGAGCATCGAAGTACAATAATAGAGGCACCACGCCACAGTTTGGCGGATTGTATGCCAATGATGTTGAGGGATGATATCCTATGGCTAGTAGAGACCACCAAAATCTTCAAGGAGATCTAGCTATTCTGCAGCTAGTATGGGGCATACTTCCTCGCTATTGACACCATTATGTGGCAACTAGAATTCACCTTTATTCATCCATAGCTCCTAGTACTTTATGCTTTTAAAAGAGGTCTAATGGGCTATTTTTTAGTTTTAGAGTGTATAATATAGAAGAAACTACCAGCCAGAAGAGAAACTGAAGGTGTGTCTTTAGTTTGTTAATATAAGAAGCTGTGATGAGATGTATACTAAAGTTGCTTATACTATATAAATATATCACCACTAGAAACATGGTTAGTACTATAATGGCCTAGGATCTTCCACCATGACTTATATCTTTTGATAAAATCTTGGGGGCCACTAGACCGCTGAGCCACTAAAAATGTCCAGACATTAATTAGGGCTTTATATGGTCATATATTCTGTGACATATCTTTAGTGACTACTAGGTACTTTCTACTGACTGTCTATGTTATCTGTGCTGTTCCATATTGGAAATACCATCCCAAAGTCGTACTCAATGCTGCTATCTAGAATTGACATAGAATTACAGCCAGCAGTCAGTAAATATACTTAGCGTATCAAAGGTTCAATTCAAACTAGGACACTACGCTGTAAATCATAGAGAGGAACTTATTAACTGTGACATCTATACCAAGTTATTGAAGGAGTTATTAAATATATTCTGCTAAACTATGCTTAACTCTAGTTGTTTTCATGCATAATTCACCTCTTAATAGGTGCTTATTATAATTATAGATGATGTGGGCTATCTATACCTTAATTAAGATAGTAAAGTTAATCACTATATCATAATAAAATTATTGATATCTATAGTTAATGATATGTACTCTACCTATATGTACCTACATTGTGTATATATCCCTTAACTATATCCTCTAATATAGCCTAGTTTAAGGCTCTTCTATAGTCTCTAGTCTAGTGGCTGAAGCAAAGCCACAGCTCCCACTAGATTAATAACTCGTATATCAAGACTTGACGCATTTCAAGCTAGTGCATTTTCTAGATAGCCCTATACTAGCTGGAATTCTACCTTAAACCTATTCTTTGGCCCACCAGGCTCTATGTTAGGCACAGACCTAGGAGTAAAGGACTCATTTCTGGTATATCAGGGTAGAGGTTATAAAGTAGGATAGAAACTATACTATATACTATCCTGAAACTATACTACATACATGGGCATCTACATACATTCCTATAAGCCGCAAGCTTGTTAACTCGTGCTGCCTAATGTCGTCTATTCGACCACCGGCAAAAAGGCAAAAAGAAGCCGAACGCGGGGGTCGAACCCGCAGCCTTGAGATCGCAAGATATAAGAGTCTCACGCTCTACCGATTGAGCTAGCCCGGCTAATCCATGAAGCCAGATCTACATCTGAATATTGATTCTCTTAGTTTGCAGTAGTGTATTGTGGCTGATTCCCCGCCTTGTGGGGGATCTTCTCCACGATCAGGGTTTATTGGAAGTATTGTATTTATTAATCTTGTTTCATTCATTCTTAAATATGTTCATCGATTATACTTCTTTTGGAATAAGTGCCGCCCTGGCATGGTCATCCAGTCCATCCAGGCCATCGACACTGCCGCCATCGTCATCGTCGACAAAGTCAGACCCAAAATCAGATCCATCAGATCTATCCCGCTCGTCCTCTTCATCGAGGCCCATCTCCCCGCCTAGATCAAAGTCGTCGGCTTCCAGCTGGTTGTATTCTCGTCGACGCCGCCAGATGACCCACGCCGCGATGATCATCACCCAGATGAACAGTCCAATGCCGATGCCTAGCAGCACGGATGTATTGTTTGACATGGTTTCTTTTTTGTCTGTGTTGGTGTCTGTGTCGGTGTCTGCCACTGTATCTGTGACTGCATCTGTGTCTGTATCTGTGACTGTATCTGTGACTGTATCTGCAACTGAATCAGTGCCTCCTTCTCCGTCTTCGTCCTCGTCTGTTAGAGGAAGAGCAACGAATGAGGAATCCAATTGGTTGTACATGTCGTGGGCGACCAACACTTCCGTCATGTTCAGCTCGATCACCTCTGTGGACCGCAGGACAGCGCCGTGTTTATCCACGGCTTCGGCCCAGAGATACTGCACGTCCGTTTTATCCGTGGGGATCGACAGTTTGGTCTCGAAGCCGGTGCGAGGAGAGCTCGCCACGACTTCTCCCTCCTCGTGTCTCTTCACCATCTCATCCGACGATGCTCTGACCACCCACTGCGCCACCTCCGTCGCTCCGTTCCAGCTGACGTAGACCACCAGCTCGCCCTTGGGGGTTTTGCGCGGCGCAATGGCCGGATCCCACCAGGGAACGCCGCGCCAGTCCATCTTGTAGGCGCGGTAGTTGTCGAGGGCGTCCGGGATGGCGTCGCTGTGCCAGGGAGAGAACTGCACGTCCATGATGGTCTCGCCGGTGGATTTGTGCTCGGTGAAGGTCGGACAGCGGCCCCAGCCGATAAACACGTTGCCCAGGTCGACCTGGCCGTCGGCGGCGAGGGAGGGCGCCAGCGGCTGCACGCTGCCCTGGCTCTGGGCCTGCAGGTGCGCCGGGTGGAAGAACTCGCGCAGCAGCTGGACGGTTGGCGGCGAGACGCTGTCGTCGATGGCAATGTGGATGCCGCGCGAGCACTCGGTGTCGCATTCGCCGTGGGTGGTCTCGCGCACGCGGTTGTCGAACAGAGTGAGCTGCTTCTCGTCCGTGCCGGGCACAAACCGCGCGTGGTGCTGCCAGCGCATGCTCAGCACGGTTTGCGGCGCATACTTGCCCTCGCTGCCGGTGCTGGTGTTGACGGCCGGCGGCAGCTCGACAAACTCGTTGCGGCGCCCGCCCATGGTCCAGATGATGTCGCCTGTTTGGCCGTCGATGAGGTACAGCGAGTGCGTATGGCGCATGGAGATGAGGTAGTTGCCTGCTCGAGTCTGACCGGTCAGTACTTTCGATGGAGCGGTACAATGCGTGGGAGGTTACCTTTTCGATACTGTTCAGATGGTAGGTATCCCAGCCATGCCCCGTCGGCTCGTACGAGTCCATCGGGTTGACGTGGTCCTTGGCGCGCCAGTCGAAGAGCACCTCGTTGCTCTCGAGATCGATCTCCTGGAAGACGGCGTCGAGCAGTTCAAACCGCCGCGGCCCCCGCCAGCCGGGGACATCCCCGCGCTGGGCCTGGAGGCGGTTGACGCCCGTCACCAGCGCCGTGCCGTTGCCCGTAAAGGCAAACTCGTGCAGGTCGCTGTGGACGCGCATGTTCTGCGCCCAGACCTTGTAGGCCAGCCGGTAGTTCTCGTCAAAGGCCAGCCCGTAGCCGTCGCCGATGCCGTCGCCCTTCTCGCCCTCCCAGAAGGTGAGGTAGCGGCGCCCGTGGTTCTCCTGCACCCGGGTGCCAAACACGTTCTTGAACGAGCGGTTCATGTACACGGCGCTCAGGTCGTGCGCGTCGAGCACCAGCGGCGACGCCAGCGGCGAGCTGGCGTTGCCGTCATGGCGCAGGAAGATGTGCGAGCCCGTGTCGGCGATCGCCTCGCGGTCCCAGATGGTCGCCTGCAGCACAGGCGCGTACTCGCTGCTCGAGTGGAATTCCAGATGAGGCCGATGGCCCAGCTCGCCCTCGTTGTAGCCCTCGTAGTCGGTCGAGACGAAATCGCCGCTCACCGGCACGCCACACCACACCACCACCACCAGCAGCAGGGAGACAAACAGCGGCCAGACACGAGCCATGATGAGCCTCCTCCGACACTCGACATTTCCCAACAGGATGACGAGCTTCTGGTCCCCCGTCCGCTTATATCGAGCCCGTGAAACCCAACGCTCACGTGGCAACAACCGGCTGAAGAAGGGATTTGCGCGCGGCCGTGGGGAGCATACGCGGCCTGGCTGCCGGCCATGACGTGTCGTGCCTCACCTGTGGAAGGGGGGGATATCGAATTGCTACGCTGGAAGCAGCTAGCATTGGTAGCGGCCAGCCAGTGAAATGGATGCCCCTATCGCCCAGCGCCCTGTGGACTCCGCAGCAGAACGGCACCGGCTAACCAAGTGCTGACAGAGGAAGGCTTGGCCGAGACAGCAGCCAGAAACAAGCACACGCGGTGCTGAGCCGCAGCCGTGCCCAGACACGCAAGCATCGCTCGTCTTATTTTAGCTGCTTGACCTGTTTGATCATCCATCATCAATAATCCTCTCGTCGTCATCGCATCAGGGGAGACACAGCCGCCATCGTGTGGCGTGAAGGATGCGCTAGTCATTGGACACTAGGCTAGACTAGGCTAGCTAGGCTAGACTAGGGCTGTGAACTTGTTAGGGTTAGGTTAGGGTTTGAGTTAGGGTTAGAGTGTCACATGATATGATCACATGTAGTCACATGACATGATCACATGTAGTCACATGACATGATCACATGTAGTCACATGACTTGATCACATGATAAGGTATAAACACCTTAGGCAACAATAGCTGCTCTTCATGATTAGGGTTAGGGTTAGGGTTTGTGTCAGATCTTATAAGTACGCTCACTATATCTTCAACATCATAGTCTTATCAAGAATCAGATTAAGATGTCCTATTGCAGGAATAAGGTCTTACTACTAAACATATTCTAGTAATTGTACTAACTAAGATATATATATTTCTACACAATACTAATAAGCAACAGACATGATAACCTGAGAGCAGGTGATATGGAGAGTTTCTATCCCCTGAAATCACTGTATGAGTCCTACTGTCATCGACAAAACGCATGCGCCGTCCATCTGGAAAAGTTCTTCCACAAGACACTGGATATCCCCAACGTTGGAGCAGAGGATCTGTTGGCCGAGCTGGAAATGCTGAGGTCCAGCGAGTGCCGCAACCTTGATCGGATCAGAGCAGTATACGAATGCTTGAATGGTATGATCAAGAAACTGTCTCCAATATCTGCTGATCTTATCCGGTGAGCCCTTTATGCTATGTGAAAGCCCGGAATTCTTATACTCACTTTTGAAGAAAACGGTTCTCCGATAGCCCTCTCGTCTACGTTGATACACGCTGGTATACCATCTCCCAGTGTCTATGGTCGACTAGGATCTCTATCCTGGGTAAAGCTGTGCTTGAGGAGTCCCTTTACAGTCTCAAGTCGTTCTTTGTCGATTTTCTCCATGTAGAAAGCCTAACATTGCAGATGCTGGTAGACCGACTCCGAGACTGCCGGGTCTTCCCCGTCCGGTATCCCGACGGTCAGGTAAGGTTGGAAACGATGAATACACCATTCGTGATCGCAGACCGCAAACGCCTGTTCACCCTGTTTAGTCCAGTGGCCAGGATTCTCGACTTTAACGTTGATGAAGTCGTGCAGCTTAGCTATTTCCTCTACCGGGTAGGGTTGAGTAAAGAATACATGTCGCAGCAAGTGGAAGAGATCACAGCCCTAAAGAAAGGAGATGCTGGTCGGCCGTTGTCAGATCTTACTCTTGATATCCGCTCCAAGGCACATGGACTGCTCCGGTAAGTAGGACCTTTTATTTCTCCTTCTGTTCACCTTTAGTTTCTAACCCTAAACCCTATATAGTCTTGCTGTCCACTTTCAAAGTCCGCGAGCATTGCACGACAAGGAGGCCCTGTACAGGACGCTTAGGACCATTGAAATCAGAGAGACAGACAAAATCTCATCCAAAATAACTCTATACCAGATTGGAAACGAGGCAACGGTCGAGGTTGTACCTGGTGAACTACACCTTGACAATAATGACGGAAGACTCACGGTGTATGTGACAAAGGACCAGCCCTCACGAGACATTTGCTTTCTGGACCGCGTCCCCCAGGTTCTTATGGAATGGATAATGGTGGAGCCATTGAACGTTCAGCATGATGGATTGGAGATTTAATTGGTGCAGATGGTTCTACAGTCGCCCATCCAGTACATCTCGGCCATTCTAGACAGGGCTGGTATTGTATCCGTGACAATAGTGACTGGGGAGGATGGTGATGGATAGTCCCGTTGATACCAATAAGCCCTCTAAAGACGACGACAACGCGCTGACGGGATGTCTCATGAGTGATCTATATTTTCTTTTATATAGATAATGAAAAATACTCCAACTTTTGAAAGATATGTTAATCTTTCATTTCCAGCAGGTGGCGGTGTTTCTCTCCCATACACGGAGTAAGCAAAAGCTTATGGAACGAGTCCAGCCTATCGTGAATCTTGCCCTCCCCCCAGGCCCTGGAGAAATCACCATAGAGCACGGTAGAGGAGTGTCGACTAGACTCGTCGAGCCAGGAGGCATCCGTGCAGGCATTCCATAAGCCTGGCTCTGGCGTAAAGGGAAGCAGACTGAGAGCAGGGACAACGGTGCAGTATCCCATCTTGAGGACAGAGAAAAGGCCGTCGATGAGGATGGAGAGGATGACGGTGCGGCGGAGACTCTCAGCAAAGACCCAGGCATGCCATGTTGTCGTTGAGGGAGTGAGAAGATGATTCTGCTCGTCCGCAAGGATCTGCAGCTGTATAGTCCATTGTCGGAGGGTGTCTGCGTTCTGCTCGGCGATTACTCGCTGGCGGATATCACCGTCGAAGAGCTGAATAATATGGAAGAGCAGTAGGGATTGAACGGCAGCTAGGAGGTCTGACAAAGATATTCGATCAAAGTCTTGGTGCTGCTGTATGAGACGAGCGGTCTTTGCTTCCAAGATGCGAAAGATCATATCTTCCGTCTCGGCGGACTTTGTCGCATAGGCCACCGAGACGGCAAAAGCATCTTGGATAGCCTCAGGCAGATCGTCATCATAGAGACGGGCATGGATGAATGGGGTCCGTCGATGCCGGGCAAACAACCTGGGATAACTCTTGATACTCCGCAGCAGCTGGCTGATGGACCATCTGTCCAGCGAGACGACCTGCGGATACAAAAGCGAGGGGAAAATACCGCTACCACCATACGGCGATGGAATTTCCATCAATGAGAAGGCGAGATCAACATCAAGTGGTGAGAATCGAGACGGTTCCAGATGAGTCACATCCTTGTACAAACATTCCACGCCTCGCCGTCGACAACGCGCGCATTGCGGAGTTTGACGATCGCAGCGGCGTTTTCCCTGTGCACAGGCGATACATGATTTCTGCTTTGATAACATGGCAATAGTAGTGATGATGATGATGAAGATGATTGTAGGGTGAGGATGGTGAGATGACATCCGGCAATGCCGAAGTCCGCATTATTAGTAATGACAGCCAATGAGATGGACATCAAGTCCGCAAGTCCGCAAGTCTGCAAGTAATATAGTGAATATAGAGTAAGATGGATGATTAAGATGGATGAGTAAGATGAGTAAGATAGACAGTATATAAAGTGCTATAATGTAGGATACTCCATCTCCATCAACACATAGTAACTCAAGATTAATACAATGCCCTTTACAGAACTCATCTTCCCCTCCGTCAAACCGGACAAAGCGTCCATTGCAGAGATCGAAAGCAACTGGCCACGGTTTGCGAAACAATTGACTGTTCCTAATCCTGGACTGATATGTGCCTTTCGTGGATGGATCACATTTGAAGATGGACAAGATGTGCGCGATGATTTCAAGGAGTTTCTTCTCTTCGGTATTTCACCTTCTCTTACTCTTGCTTACTCCTACTTACTCTCTTTAGAATGGAATAAGAAAGAATCCTTTGATTTGTTCGTGGGTTCGGAGCAGTTCAAGACCTTTCAAGGGATGATCCGTCATCTGCTTAATGGACCACCAATGCTACAACTCTACGAGACGAACGTCAGTCCGCACGATGCAGCAGCAGCGTCGCGCGTGGAGATCGTCCGGGTGACTCTTGAGAAAGAAGGGGATGCAGTGCGGGAAGTGATGGAGAAGATGGAAGAAGGTGGTGTGGGTGTATATGGACAGACTATCAACCTGGAGGAGGAGAAGGTGGTTGTTGGGATTCTAGAAGATGAAGAGACAGCGGACAAGATCTCGTCTTCTCTTGGAGAGTACGGACGGGTGTCTCGACTGGTGGTTGACATTTCTCCCATGCCATTCGGTGATGAGTTGTAGTATTGTTCTTGACTTTAGTTAATCTGATGTTATTCAGGGATAATACCATGTAGTAACGGCGATGATCACATAAACCAATACACACTGCCCTCCCTCGAGATAGTTCGACTTGCCGTCGCGCAGAAAGTTGCCAACGACCAGGATCGACAGAACCAGCAGGACGATCATGAAGAGGTCGAAGTCGAGGTCCATCTTTTTGTCTATAGCCCAGCCAACAATCACCGCCAGGGGGGCGTTCAACAGGGCTGTCTGGATGGATGGACCGAGACAGTGGAAGAGGGCGAAATTGATTTGATTATCCCTGAGAGTAGAAATGAATACAAGAGTCACAGAGAAGGAAGAGAAGATGCTTACCACGCCTCGTCAATGGCTGTGAGATGCTCGGCCGCTTTCTCAACCAGCGGCACAAGGATCAAGCCGATGAAGTTATCCGACACCCCGAGGGCGACGATGGAGTCGATCTCCTCCACCAGAAAGATGGCACACATACACACGGCCGCCAGGGCGATGATGATGGCCAGCAGACATTCCGGCATGGTCAGCTTTGCCCGCTGCAGCTCCCTCTCGCCATCTTCGTCTTGTGTCTCGTCAAAACGAAGCACGTCGTCGAAGATGCTGTGGTGACTGTGCAGGTTGAAAAAGAGGTACCTAATTACCGATAAGCATGGCAATACCGCGAGAGGGGGTATAGATGGTATAAGGTGTTACATTAAGAATGCAATGAGAAGAATCACCGCGGTCGATCGGCTGATAGTCAAGGTATCGGCAGCCAACACATCGGCGCTGATACTTTCCGAATCATCGCTATTATTATTGCGCAAGGCTGCCGAAAAGGCCGACGGGATCAACAGGCCAAACCCAGCAACGAGAAGCAGGCCACAGCCGACCTCACTGACTGCCTCGTGGAAGGTTTGTTCGTTCCGGCGCAGCCCGCCGCAGAAGAGACACAGCCCGAGACAGAGCAGCAGGTTGGCCAGGATGGAGCCCAGGATGGCCGCCTGGATGACCGGGATGAGGCTGCCGTCCTGGTCGTTGTGCAGCAGCAGCATGAACAGCACGATCTCGACCAGCGAGGTGAGCGTGGTCTCCAGCAGGATGCCCAGCACGCGCGGCAGCTTCTTGGCCAGCTCCGAGCCGGCAAACCCCAGCAGGTTCGCCGCGGGCACCATCGCGATATAATTCAGGCTGAAGATCCAGACGTGCAGGTCTGGCCGCGCGAAATGGAGGGCGATGGCGGCGGGCACCACCGGCCACAGCACATTCACCAGCATCGACAGCGTGCATGTGCTGCGGAAACACACGCGGAGGAAGTGGCCGGGGTGGATGCCATGGCGGCCGCTCTCTCCGGCTGTCGCTGTGCGGAGAAGCTGACGAGGGAGCATAATAGCACTCTGGATGGCGAGAGCAGGGTGAATGGGAATCTGAAGAAAGCAAGAGGCACAATCACAGAGGGGAAGATTTGACGCCGACGCTGACGCCCCACTGCTTGGCTATTCGTGTCGACTTGGCATGATTGACCGACATTTCAAGTCTAGGATAAAGAAGGGAGGTAAACAGAGGTATGAGATAGGATCTGGAGAATGATATGTTACATAGATGCTAAATATATAGCGGGACGGAGCGGAACCGGAGATCGATTAATAACAGAATGGGGAGGCCGGCCACTAAGATTATTGAGGCATCATTAGGGTGGGTTAGGGTTAGGGTTTAGGGTTTAGGGTTTAGGGTTTTCAGTAAGAAATTGAGAAACCCCCTGATTAAAACATAGTGTTGGATTAGGGTTTAGGGTAGGGTTTGTTGAACAAAATGAAAACCGCCCAGCCAATGATTAAAACATTAGGGTTGTGCAAGGGCTAGGGTTAGGGTCATCTATTATTCTGTTTATTAGAATGAGTGAGTGTATATACATAGACCTTATTCAAGTGTAACTGATTGCATAGTACATCCATATTAGGAAAATTAAAAGGCCATGAAAGTATATTATTAAACATGGGTTACCACTACTCTGTAATCTTACTCATAAATGGCACCCATAAGCACCAGTACTCCTCAACGATCAATCATCCTCAACATGTCCATCGCGATCATCGGCGGCGGCCCTGGCGGCCTCACCCTAGCCCTTCTACTGCATAGAAAAAACATCCCCTTCACCGTGTACGAACGACGGGCGAGACCAACCGCCGCCGAACTGGCCTCTCCGTCTGGCATGCTCGACATGCACGATGAGTCGGGGCTGGCGGCCTTGCGCGAGTGCGGGGTATACGACGACTTTTTCAATCTCACCACCGAATGCTCCGAGGCCCAAAAAGTGGCCGACAAGGAGGGCAACATTCTGTACGATGAAAACACTTACGATACTTCTGCTCCGATTGATACGCATCGACCGGAAATCTCCCGACACGCACTCGTCGGCCTGTTACTCTCCCGCCTGCCCGAGGGGAGCATCAAATGGAACCATAGAGTGGAGGACATCTCTATTGAAAACAAGACAAATGATAGAATCAAGATCACCTTTAATTCGTCGCCCACTGTTCACGTCGACATCCTCATCGGCGCCGACGGGGCCTGGTCGACGGTTCGCAAGGCTCTGACCCCCTCGCAGCCAATCTACAGCGGTATTCAGAACGTAACAGCCACTGTCCGCAATGTACGGCAGCGGTATCCTTCTCTCGCCGCGCTGGTAGGAACAGGCAGCTTTGCGGCGCTGGGAATGCGACACAGCGTGATGACCCAGCGGGGGCCGCAGGACTCGGTGCGCGTGTATCTCATGATTTCTTCTCCGGAGGAGGATTTCCCTTCTACCAGCGGCATGAAGGGGGAGACGGCAGAGCATGTCGCGACAGAGATTCTGTTGAAGCAGGATTCCCTTTTTGCAACCTGGGGGGATAATGTGAAGGAATTGATTGCTGTCGCGTGCAGGGAGGAGACTCTTGATCATCCAGGAGAGCCTGTGGATGTCAAGCCTCTGTATCGCCTGCCGGTCGGTTTGGAATGGAATCATGTCCCTGGCGTTACACTTATCGGGGATGCCGCTCATCTCATGTGTCCCTGGGCAGGTGAAGGAGTGAATCTCGCCATGTGGGATGCCCTGTCGCTTGCAGAAGTCATCGGGAAAGCCTATGGTGGTAAACATTTGGCTAACTTTGATCCCCTCTTGAAACAATTCGAGGTTGACATGATCGCTAGAGCAAAGGAAAAGGCACAAGAAACCTTGCAGAATGGAGAGTGGATGTTTGGCGACGATGGAGCAAGGATCTTTGCGGACTTCTTTCGCAATATGGCGGAAGGTAACTAATACTACAATGTAACTACGAACTACTATTAAATATGTCATAGAAACGAGTTATCCTTTAGCTAGCATCAAAGCAATATATCAAGTGAAAAAAGCATGGCAGTCCGAAGAAACCAAGGAAAAAACCACGGAGAAACAGAAAACCACAACACAAAACAAGAAATGAAGTCACTCTGCAAGGTCAAGGAGACTCTTCTCGAGAGCATCGCGAAGTTTAAGAGCCTCAGCCCGACGATCAGCGATGCGAGGCGACTCAGCAGCCAGACGCAGCAGATCCTCATCGGTGTATTCCAGCACGGTCATCGGATTGAACCCATCGGCCAGATGAGCGAGGAGGTGCCGTTCAACCACCTGCCGGCAGACGTTGTCGACAAACGTCTTGCGGGAGACTTTATAATATGCCTTGAGGTCTGTCAGGGCGTCGGCACACGCCTGCTTGCCCATGTCGACGATTGTGTGCCGCTGCAGCGAGGCTACCAGCCGGTTAATCTCCGCAATCGAGTTCTGGAAGTGCAATACGCCGCCCCAGTCTTTGTCGATGGCCTGCCGTACCGTCTTTTGCAGCGCGGCCTTCGACTGATCGTGGCGGCTTTTCTGGATATTGTCGGTGTAATAATGGTTGTATGTGATGGGCTGGCGCGCTTCGTCTTCAAGCAGTCTTTCCAGCTCTTCCTCCGCAGCCCGGAGGTTACTTTGGAGGACACCGCGAATGAAACGGCTCAGATTCTCCCGAACTTGCGAGTCCTTGACTACATACCCCAGTGCCCTTTCCATGAACTTGGTCACCGTCCGGGAGATAACCTGGACGTGTTCTCGGGCGATCTGGGCCCAGAGACAGGACTGCTCGTGGAACAGCTCAGTCAACAGCGCCGGGTTGTAGTTGCCTGGCAGCTCTTGGCCTCTGGTGCGATGATAGACCTGCAGTGGTGTATGAGTGAGTATTTGATATTGGATATAAAACATGAGGTCTTCAAACCTGTTCAATCCAGCTTGTCATTTCCTTCTCCGTGACGAAGAGCTGAGATCCCTCCTGCTGGCTTTCTTGCTCTGAATCATCTTCACCAAATGTGGAGCCCATCTTCCTTTTCTCGCCATAATCGAGAATATGGTTCGCGAACTTCTCGTTCTCCAGATGGATCTCGGCTCGGAGACGGACAAACATCTCGTCGTCTTCAATCTGGAAGAATTTTGCGTCACGGCCACCGTAGTTGCCTTCCACACCCGCTTTCACGAGATTGGAATAATCCGTGCTTGTGCGAGTCAAGTACATGCGGATCTGGCCCGGTGACTTGCGCTCTGTACCGAGCTCGTTCAGCTCGCGGGTGACATTGTTGAGAAGCTGTTGTACCTCTTTGCGAACCTTGGGCATCTCTCGCTGGATGTGGCTATCCAGGAGGTCTTGCAGATATGTGCGAAGATTATCGATTCCGATGCGGGAGGAATCAAGTCCCTGTTCCGTCCAGACGGGGCTGGAAAAGAAATCCATTTCGACCTTGCGGCGCTGCGACAAAGTCATGCCAGCCTGAAGCTGACTGGGACTGGGATTCTTGAGGATGAAGAAACCCAGGTTGAGCTTAGTCCGATCTTGGTTCAACGCCAGACGAGCCACGCGAGACTCCGTACCGGCGTTGATAAGATCGGGCTTAGTTATGATTCCCACGGTGCGGACACCTTCCTGGTCGAAGCGACGAGCACGCTGGATGATGCCCTGCGTGTCGACGTCACTGCTTGCGGGAACCACTGCGAGGATGATGCTTCGTGGGTTCTTGAGGTACGAGTCGACCAGCCTCTCCACGGTTGCCACATCTTCCTCATTGTCCGACACGGCGATCAATCCTGGGAGATCAACGATTGTGAGATGCAGCCCGGTATTTCCCACCAGCTCAAGTCGGAGGACATCGGCAGCGAACGCTGGTGCATCACCGTCTGCGTCAGAGTCCGATTCAGTGTTGGAGCCAGTGTCAGACCCGCCGCGAGAGCCACGCAGTCCCATCAGCCTGGCTGCCTGGTCAATGATGTCTGGCAGGGTCGAAAAGTCCTTCAGCTCGTGCCGGAACGCTCCGAGACGGACTTTCTCCTCCTCACTCCGGGAGCGATGCGGAATGATACTGGCTGTGATTCGGGGGTCACTGGGATCATGGCGCAGAATGATCTCCGTCGCAAACCGCGTGCAGAGGTCATCCTGGCGAGGAAAGGGAATCCCGCTGATGCCTTCGAGGACGGAGCTCTTGCCAGCAGACTGGTCCCCGCCGACCACCAGCTGCGGCAAGGCAATGCGGTCGCCGACCCCATTGGCGCGGATTCTGTCAATTTGATTCAAACGGCTAGAAGTTTTGGAAGACTGCAGGCCCATGTCTCTTCCTAGAGGTCCAGGATCAAGTGTCACCCATCCCTTGTCCGGCGGGGAGGCCATGTTCGATGACTATAACCTGGCAAGCGAGAGAGGTTAGAGAAAAGCAGAGAGAACGAACGAGTCAAGGAAACAAGGAAAGCAAAGGCAAGTTGCTGTATCAATGACAGACTCACCAGGGCTGGATGGCCTTTAATAGTAATTGAGAGACACTCCTGGTCGCGACATGTCTGGCCTGCAGTAACCAAAACCTAGCCGTTTGAATCAAATTGGCACCATTCGCGCCAATGGGTTTTGCATTCTTGGAGAGGAATGAGACCTTGGCTCTTGCCTGCGAGGGGAATCTCGCTTTAAATACCTCAAACTGCATCCCTTGCATATGTCCGAGCCAAGGGTGGATGAGAAATCGAGAAGAGGTGGATTCTCCAGCAGACGAGGTATCATGAGACCGAACTCGGTGCAGGAAGAGACGATGAGCTGAGCGGAATGAGGTTGTGTTGTGTTTGGGATTGTGTCTGAGGTTATTCGGAGTGGTGCAAGTGCGGCCTGAGGCAGCCATAGTAAACATGTGACGTCACCTGATAATTGCTGCCTCAGGCAGAGTGCTCACTCCCCACTGCGTCACTTCCCACTGTCAGTGACGACGATGTCGTCGTACCACGACAATAGTTGCAATTCTATTAATAAATCCCTGTATGACTACCAGCTACGAATGATGTCTCCCATAAGAAGAGGCTGGGGAGGCTGGGATTGCCTCATCTCACCCAATTCTCTCTCTCTCGCTCTTAATGGCCGCCAACTTCCCAACCTCCTCGACCCACCGCAGGCTAAGCTTTCCCACGCAATCGACAACGCGAAGTTTGTGCCTCGTGGCGGCGAAATAAATATGAATTTGCTGCCGTTCCCGGGCGCTGATCTCCTGGCATTCCATTCCAGCCTCTTTGGGCCCTCTTGATCATGTCGTGGATGCTCTTGGCGCTGGCTGCGGCCTCGTTCACTGCAGCGCAGACCTACACTGACTGCGATCCGTTAGACGGTACGTTATATCTCTACTTGATATAGATTATAAGACGATTGCTGACTCTTCAGAAACATGCTCGGCCGACAACGGAACGACGGCGTCCTACATCAGCTACGATCTCACACAGAGCACGGATCTTGCGGAATGGACTGTAGTCGCCGACACGGTCACGGCGACGTCGCAGGGCGCCGAGTTCACGATCAGCGAGGAGGGAGATGCTCCTACAATTGAGACGGCCTTCTACATCATGTTCGGCGAGGTGTCAGTCACTCTGAAGGCTGCGCCGGGGCAAGGAATCGTCAGCTCGATAGTCTTGGAATCAGATGATCTCGACGAGGTCGACTGGGTAGATACTTTTCCCTCCAATATAGCTGCCTACAGGTAATGAGAATGGCTGAGTACTAATGCTGGTGCCTAGGAAATCCTGGGCAGCTACACCACAAAACTACAGACGGATTACTACGGCAAAGGCGACAGCGCCGACTACGACCGCTGGACGTGGGTCGCCCTCTCAAACCCACAGGAGGAATACTACACCTACACCTGGACCTGGACGGCCGCACAGCTCACCTGGGCGATCAACGGGACCACAGTTCGCACTCTCACCTACGACGAAGCCGTCAACGGCACCCGGTACCCGCAGACACCCTGCCGCGTACGCATTGGGATCTGGGCAGGCGGCGATCCTGACAACGCCAACGGCACGATCGAGTGGGCGGGAGGTGTCACAGACTACGATGATGGTCCGTACAGCATGTACGTTACCACAGTCGATATCACCAACTACAATCCAGCTGTCTCGTACACGTACACCGATGAGACGGGCGACTGGGAGAGTATCGAACTCACCCTTGCCAACGGCACCACCACGACGGTCTCGGGCGACAGTGCCGCTACGACCACCTCGCCGGCAAAGGTCAACTGGGCGACCTATTTTCCTAGTGCCGGCGGTCGGATGGAGGTTCCAACGGGGTTTTATTTCTACGCTGCTTGTTTCGCTCTTGTTGCAGTCTTGTTTTGATGATCTTGATGATTTATGTTTGCTTTAGCGTCAGCATTATGGGGTACGATTTATGAGATTTCGGTATTATAGAAATTGTGAAATAGTTTATACCATCTAGTCTGAATTGAACAGGGTATATATCACCCATACTACTATTCTACTGATAGAGTTTCTTGATTTATAGGACAGTTGCCACATCTACGTTGCTGACAATCTACACAACAGTCCTATTTCAGAGGATTATAATGATACCTGCATGCACATTACAATACTATTAGTGGAGCTATCACTCTGTACATCAATTAAAGAGTTACGCGAAGATGCTAATAATGATCTGTTTAATGTTAGTTTACACTACAGAACAGCCTCTCGCTGCCTCGGGAGGTCAATAATGAGACTGGACTGCAATACGCCGACGCGGCAACGGCCTGTTTAACCTCATCAATTAGTGGAATCCCTGATTTTGACGATGAAGATTCTGAAGACGTGTTCAAGTCAGTCGTCGTTCCTCTTCTCAGAAAATTAGATGCCTTGAATGGCAAGGTATATTAGTTATATCAATTCCATTGAGACTGAATATTCTTAAGCAAGAGTGTAATTATTTACCTTCCTGTCTTTACTCTGAAATACCCAGTATACCCACATATATACTGTTTGATATGCTTTATCCACGAACTATAGGATAACATCATCATATACTGTGAATGGCTAGAGTGTACAAAATTTCATAAATCAAGATCTCTCTAAATAATGTAAATATGACAAACTAAAAGGTTGAGGCAGATGACTTCAACCTCACGACTTCTAACTCTCACCTCCTCTTGATTCTTTCAATTACTTGCATTCTGTCTCCTCTCCAAGGATTTCTAACGTCTCTCATGTTTTGATTGATATCATTGGCACGGATGAGACCTGAAGGCCATAGATGATCTCGCTGTATCCCAACAGGCCCAGGGAACCAGGGAAGAGAAAGATAACCTCGTCTCAAGACCAATTTCAGCAGCTAACTGTGACCAAACACCTTAGGTGCATCCAATTTCCCTCCTACAAACGCTTCAAGCAGCGGAAGCTCCGGCAGACTCCCTCCTTTCTCTAAAACCAGTCGACGGTATCGTCTCCCTTCAGCTGCGTCCAGCGGGTTCCTCCTAAACCGAGCGTTGAACATGATCCTTGAGTATACCGTTCCCCTTGACAATTAGCATCTAGCTAGCATGTTTTACTTCTATTTAACTTACAAGATGTAGCAATAGTATCCCGCCGCGTACCCTCCGAGAATATGATGTAACTTCACATAACCTGCCCCCCAGTGATCACCCTTCTCCTTCGGACCGAGAAGAGGCGTGCATTCGCTGTGTAGTCGGTTATAAAGCTCAGGCAGATTCTGTTTTTGGCTGGCACCGTGCGCCATCATGTCGAAGAAGACTGGGTTGGGTAGGAGGAAAGGAAGCGACCAGGGCGACGCTGGGATGATGGAGCGTTCCGTCGGTGTTTTGGAAACCCTGAAATATACATAGTCAGATGGGAGAAGCCGTTCATTGAAAAATGACTCTGCTTACTCACCGGCGCAAAAGTGATGTTGCAGTTGCTGTTGACTTTCCCCGGCCGCTGGAACAGGTCAAGATACAAATATCCCAGGAAGTCTCCTCCCATTGATTCCTCATTCCACACGCTATATATTCTGACATCTTCATGCCAGATGGGAGTGTCTTCTTCAAACTCACAGAACTGCAGACCAAAGAGCTGCTCAAAGATCTGCAGCAGCCCGGCCACTGTTTGTTGCACGGGAAAATACTCGGAGAGCTTCTCTTCGTTAAAGTGGTAGAGTGACTCCTTGGTCCGTTGCGAATAGTAGTCGAGATCCCAAACATGCATTCTGAGAGCTGTCTCCCCAGACTCTTGTTGTGCGAGATGCTGACGGTTCGTCTCCATCAGGACCGCTCTCTCTTTCCCAGCTCGATCGGCCACTTGGTCCTTGACATTGTGGAGAAAATCATTCACCTCAGTCACATCCAACATGCGGTTTTGGATCACATAGTCTGCATATGACGTGTATCCCAGGAGAACAGCCGTTTGAGCACGACACTCGACCAGCTCGTCGACCAGCGCCACGTTCTGCGGGCACTTGTTGTCTGCTGCGATGAAGACACGCTCGCGAGTCGTTCCATTAGCAGCCTGCTTCATTATCACCTCCATGTCCGCTTGTTTTAGCCCAACAAAGCGCATTCCTTCATTGTTGCGCTTCAACCGAGACAGATATGTCTCCGGGACACCTTCTAGTTCGCTCTCAGTGAACCATACTCCCGTAGAATCCTCTGCCAGGTTGCTTCTACATTCTGCGGCAAGGTGCTCCATGCGCTGCTGCAAGGTCTGGAACGTCTTCTTCTTCTCCGCGTCAAGATGAACCCCGTTACGACGATAGGTACCGTACAGCCGGTCCAGATAATGGCTCTCTGCGGCATTCAACGAGCCGGAAGCCTCTTGGGACTTCTTGACTGCCTCGATTCCCCGGAAGAGGTCCTCCCGCGAAGTCACCTCGCTCGCAAAGCTGTACCACTGCTCTGTTGCGGCCCGTGAAGCGTCGCGAAGCTCTTTTTCAGGTTCGACGTACTGGTATATCTCGACGAACGAAGATTGAAGCAGACGCTCATTCTCATCTTGAGCGAGTGGGACAATGAACTCTTCAAATGTCCATTCTGTCTCTGGGAGGGCGGCAATTCGGTCCAAACGTGCGCCAGAAGCCTCAAGCCCCGTGTTGGTGATTTCCCATAATTGCTCAGACGAATGATTCAATGAATAGGGGGCTTGAGGGGGGATTTTATCCAATGTCATTTTGGTCTGCTCATGTAGTCTTGTGTGACTACAGATCGTCGACTGGCAGACATCATGTTAGTATCCTACTTGGATGAGGGGTAAGCATCGACAGATGAGACACGCCATCGCTTATTCTTATCAATAGCTAGCTTGCATCCTGTCGAATCCTTCGTGATGTAACCTTATGAGACTCCGGCTTTAGCTTGAGCATCGTCATGATTTGATGGGATATTCTGCTTTCTCCACTGTTTCGTCTCCTCTTCTCATAGTATGTAGTACATAACACTACCGTCAGATGAGAGGATGCTATTTCAAGTTACAACATAGCAGTTCTAGAATCTAAACCAAGAACCACAACCCTTTTCGGCCCATAGATGTGCGTATGATAGATCTTCTCAGAGAAGTGCAACATATGCCACAAGGAAAGTATATAGCTTGCTTAATTATATAAATAGAAAAGGCTTGAGTTTACCAATCTTGATATCTTGTAGTCCGAAATATATTGACTAGTGGTTTGGATGACTATAAGGTACATATATATTACTGGGCAAGATTTATATAATTGAATATCAATCACTCCCACAATACCTGAAAGGCATTCGAGCTCTTTTGCTTCTCATGCTCATTGTACTGCTCCTCCATCCCATCAAACTCATCCAAACCGGATGTCAAATCTACCTGGTGCGGGGAATACAGCCAGGGATCACTCCAGTGCAGTACACGATGCACGAGATAAACAAATATAAAGATGACCAAACCGACGTACGCGGTTAAGAAAGATGAGACGGACCAGTTTCCCGGGAAGAAGACATGGAATCCATTACAGAGCAACAACACCGGGAAAGCAACCGTAGCCAGCCAGGCGAGATAAGGCTGCAATCTCGAATGGTACGGTAAACTGTCGACAGTTACAGACTGGACACGACATGCTTTGCGAAACCGATGAAAGATGACGCAGCAACAGGTCCACGAGATGAAGCCCGCCGTATTCGTCAGGCTGACTAGCCAGTTGAAGACGGTGCTCGTACCGGCACTGCAGTTCATATACGCAAGCAACGCAAAGACCGAACTCGACAGCACTGCATAGACTGGAACACCGTGACGATTGCACCGTGTGAAGATTGAAGGGGCTCCACCAGCTACGGCGAGCGAGTACAGCGACCGACTAGACATGTAGAGCGATGAATTGCCAGCTGACCAGGCGGAGGTGATGATGACTGCATTGATGACGCTGTCGAGGCCGTGGATCCCAGCGCTTTTGATAGCAATGACAAAAGGAGACGCTGCGACCCCTGAACCGTTGGTTAACCCAGGCGCGTTGCTCGGGCAGATGACCCCGACAGCAAGAACAGAGCCGATGTAGAAGACAAGCAAGCGGTAGAAGAACATCTTGGCTGTTCTGGGAAGATTCTGACGGGGATTCTGCATCTCTGCAGACGCGATGACAAGCAATTCCGGGGCGAAGTTGAACGCAAAAGCTGAATAGCAAAGGACGTAGAGGAAAGCGCAGAAGCGGCCAGAATCGCCTTGTACCAGGTACGCATTGATGGCGCCAGGATCTTTCCAATAGTGAAAGCCGAGTCGTTTATGATCCGGTCCACCCCCGAAGAACAAGACGACTGATAAAATGAGGAGGCCGAGAATCATGAAGACTTTGAGAGATGCAAACCAGAACTCCGCCTCGCCATAGACACGAACAGGCAGGAGATTCAACAAGACCACGACAGCCAGCATGACGGTGACTAACGCCGCGATCGGGATCTCGTTGGGCCAGTAGTGAATCACAACGGACGCGGCGGTGATCTCGTAGCCGACAATGACACCAAATGCAACCCAGTAGAGATATCCCATTGCACAGCCGAGACTAGGCGACACAAAGCGCGTGCCGTAGTAGGCCATTGAACACCCGGAGATGGGGAGGTATGCATTTATCTCGCATGTTGCCGTCAGAATGCTGTATACCAACAGGCACATTATGAGATAGCCCAGCAGTACCGACAGAGGACCGCCGACTGCAAGTGCTTCCCCGACACCCACAAACAGACCGGTACCGATCGTTCCACCGATGGCCATCATCTGGGAGTGGCGGGACTTGATGCCGCGATGAGTCTGAGGGTTCGGCTTGGTCATGTTGGCATGCTCTCTGACACTTTCTTCTGGTTTTCGGGACGTGTTTTCCGCATCTTGTTGACTGATGAGTCGAGTTGGACATGTAAGGGGTATGGTTACACAGTTCAAGGGCCATGACTGGGAGGTGGAGTACTCTATGTATACCATTGTACCATGGGTTGTATGACTGTGGATTGTACTCCATAGAAGAAGTGATCGTAGCCTCCAGTCAGAGAATACTGCCGAACCTTCAGTCCGAATAAAGTCCTTCAATCGTGGATTTCTTGCCAAAAAGTATATATATATATGAAGCCAGGCTGATAAACTCCTCAGCAAACTCCATCGCTGGCGCTCGCCAAGGAGCAAAAATTGAAATGCAATTGAATCGTTGAATCGTCATCTCTCTCCCCCAGTGTCTCGCTCCAGTACGCCCAACTACCTCGCATCCCCGTGGATGTGATATCTCGTCACGAGTATTTTATATAGCCTCAAGATATATATATATATATATCGATCACGCCCTCTCTATTTCTTTCCCTGTTCAACATAGTTGGGGAAACAATCCGAAAGCTTCATATTGTCGTGCTTGTTGACTGCGTGCTGGGTTAGGGCGGGGGCGCGCACTGTGCTGAGGAAAGGCTGCCGGCAGATCTTGCACTGGATGTCCATGGCCTTCTCATTCTGTTCCATCAAATTGATTAGTTTAGTTGAGTTCTCATGTAGGAATCGAGTCGACGTACGGCTTTCAGCTGCGAAGTGCCTCCCTTGCCAGCGTTCTTGCCGTTGAGCTTTTGCTTGCGGCGCTGGGCTTCGCATCCCTATTTTCTTAGTTGGTTTTCAATAATCCTCTAAGTGAAAGAAGCTCTCACATTCGTCATCTTGGCGGCTAAGAATAGATCCTGTGGGAAGATTGAATACTGAAGAGAGATGCTGAGGGAGAAAATCGAAGTCTTGCGGAGGAACTTTTTTGGTGGGGAAAATTTGGGCGTGGCGGCAGGAGCGACTTTGATAGGCCTTTTAAGTAAGGCAGCTTTTGTTGCCTTAGGCATTATTTTCAAATGAGGCTGCTCTAGACGCCCTTACTCCAAGAAATGTTTCAGGTACTATTACCCCGTATGGGGAAGATTAACTGTCAGCCAGTCAACGCTGCCCCTCATCATCATTACTTTTTGCAGCACTATTCAAACAATCGATCAATGCTTTTCATAGACTTGACATGGATGGCTTATCTTATCGTTACCGCCCCAGCAAACAATCGATCAGTTGGCAGGCGCCTATGTAAACTACCTCCTGATACCCCTACATACCTGGGTGGGTATAACCCATTTCCCCTCCCCAGATCGTGTTTCTATTTGATGATTTCCCCAATGGTTGATTCGCTGTGGGTTAGTCGCCATCCAAAAATAAACCGATCTTCTGTTCAGCCGCAGCGCTTAAAATTGTTGGTGGAGGTGAGGGGAATAATTTGGATTGGAAGGGGGCAGTCCAAATGTGGCCTAGCGCTTTACGGAACTTTGTCGGGCCGCCTCTTGTCAGGTGGTATAGGCGCCGTCCCCGATTAGGCAGGTGCGACCCTCAGCCACCCTAAGCCTTTCCTTCCAATTCCTTGACTCTTTCTTTGCATTCTCACACAACTCAGATAATCTCATTTCTACGGCCATAAACTACAGTCCCCAATACTACATTCACATAATGGTAGGGTCAAGGAACCGCCTCTATACTTTGGCGTGGCTCTGCGCGCTGCCGGTAGAGCTGGCCGCCGCGGAAGCAATGCTTGATGAAACACATCCCGACCTTCCCTCAGCCACCACCGCCAATACCACGTACTCTCTTGGGAAGATCGCAGGCCATAATATTGTCGTTGCGTGCCTGCCATCCGGAGTCTATGGAATGACATCGGCAACAGCAGTTGTCTCACATCTCCAAGCCATCTTTCCCAATCTTCGATACGGACTGATGGTTGGCATCGGCGGTGGTGTACCGAGCGCCGTGGCTGACATTCGATTGGGGGATATTGTGGTGAGCAGGCCAACTGGCAGCTTGGGCGGTGTCATTCAATATGACTTTGGAAAGGCTGTCGGTGGCGGAGATCTTCAGCCTACTGGTGTACTCAACCAGCCGCCGACTATTCTGTTAACTGCCGTCTCGCAATTAGAAGCAAATGGGATGCGGAAAAAGGATTTTTTAATGTCGGCGAAGATCACCGAACTGCTTCACAAGTATCCGGAGATGATACCCAGGTTTTCGAGACCACTGGAAGAGGATTCTCTCATTCACAGCGCCACCGAGCGGCCAATTGCTCGCCCTATACGCAATTCAGAGGAGCCAATAGTCCACCATGGGATCATTGCATCTGGAAATCGTGTCATCAAAGACGGTCTGGAACGAGACCGAATCGCCCAACAGTTCAATGCGCTGTGCTTTGAAATGGAAGCTGCCGGGATCATGAACCATCTCCCTTGCCTTGTCATCCGCGGGATCTCCGACTATTGCGATTCACGCAAGAGTAAGAACTGGCAAGGATATGCGGCACTTGTTGCGGCAATCTATGCGAGGAATCTCCTCGCTGTCGTGCCAGTGAATCGGCCTCTCAAACACGCCCTAGATCGTGGGTGCTGGATGGTCCCATTTGACCGCAATCCACGATTTGTCGGTCGAAATAACACGGTCAATCAACTCAGTCATCAAATTCTATCCAAAGACCATGCACGCAGGGCAGCAATCTCTGGGCTGGGAGGCGTGGGTAAAACACAGATAGCATTAGAACTGGCCTATAATATCCGCAACCTGGATCCTGCGCGATCGATTTTCTGGATTCCATCTACAAGTGTTGCGGCCATTGAACAAGCATTCATGACTATCAGTGCACAGCTGGGGTTAAATGACATAACTCCTGCCAATGTCAAGTCCGAGCTGCAAATGTTCTTGAGCTCCGAACGTGCTGGGTCTTGGTTGCTTATCATTGATAATGCGGATGACCAGGATATGTGGATAAAACCGAGTGCCTCTTCGCCTGCACTCAAAACGTTTCTTCCTCGGATTAATAGTCACCAAGGATTCATTCTGTTCACGACACGGAACCAACGACTCGCTACTCAATTGGCTGGGCCCGATGTTATCAAAGTGTCAGAACTAGACGATGAGGCCGCTTTTGATTTGCTACAAGGAGCATTGGTGGAGAAGGATTTGACGAAAGATCAGACGTCGGTCACAATGCTCATTCACCAACTCTGTGGTTTGCCCCTGGCCCTGATTCAGGCTGCAAGCTTCATCAACGAGAACGCAATGTCCCTGGAGGCCTACGTATCTCTCCTTACTCAACAGGAAAACACCGAATTGCTCAGCCAAGACTTTGATGACGATTATCGGTATCCAGATATCCAGAATCCGATCACCGCGACATGGCTTATGTCCTTTGAGCAAGTCCAAAAGTCTTGTGCTCTTGCAGCGGAATATCTCTCGTTTATCGCATGTATTGATGCGCGGGATATTCCGCTATCCCTTCTCCCACCAGCGTCAGGGCTCGCACAGCAGAAGGCCCTCGGAACACTCAAGGCTTATTCCTTTGTAACCGCCCAAACCAATAATCAGTTCATCAGTACCCATCGCCTAGTCCATCTTGCTATTCGGAACTGGCTAAGAAAGGAGCATTTGTTGCAGAAGTGGACAACGAAAACCGCAGAGCATCTCAACAAGGTGTTCCCGTCAGATGAGCACTGCAATCGGACTCTATGGCGACAGTATCTACCACATGCTCAGTTTCTTATAGAGAGCAAGGAATTCCAGCCAATGACCGATACCCGAGAGGAATTTCTAAAGAAAGTCGGAGAATGTCTGCACAGTGATGGAAGATACAAAGAAGCTGAGATGATCTTCCAAGAACTATACGAATACCAGCGGCATGGAGCCGATGAGGAGAAAACGCTCATGAGCATGACCTTGCTAGCACTGACCTTCTGGAGTCAAGGTCGATGGAAGGAGTCTGAAGAAATCGATTCAAAAGTCCTAGAGGCAAGAAGGGCTCTTCTAGGCGTTGAACATCCTGATACATTAATCAGTATGCGCAATCTCGCAGGAACGTACCACTCTCTGGGGGAATGGAAAAAGGCCGAGGAACTCAACATTGAAGCACTGGAGATATCAAAGAGGGTGCTTGGTGTTGAACACCCTCATACGCTGATATCTATGGGCAGCCTTGCAACGACATTCTGGAATATGGGGCGATACTCTGAATCCGAAGAACTTGAGATAGAAGGATTGGAGATTTTGATAAGAGTACGAGGCCTGGAACACCCCGAAACATTGCTTGGTATGCGTAACCTTGCGTCAACGTTTTCAGAGCAAGGAAGATACAGCGAGGCCGAAAAGCTCGACTTGCAGGTCCTAGAGATATCGAGGAGGGTGCTAGGTGATGAACACCCGGACACGCTGGCTAGTCTGCACAGCCTTATAGTCGGATACCAAAATCAAGGCCGCTGGGATGAGGCCGAAAAGCTTGGAGATATACAGCTCGTGGAAACGTCAAAGAAGGTGCTAGGTGCTGACCATCCTGACACCTTATCCAATATGGTCAGCCTCGCAACAAGATTTCGAAACCAGGAGCGCTGGAAAGAGGTTGAAGGGCTTGAGAGAACAGTGATGGAGACAAGGAAAATAGCGCTCGGTATCGACCACCCTGATACGTTGGTCTGCATGGGTAATCTGGCGTCAACGCTTTGGGTTCTAGAGCGCCGGAAGGAAGCTGAGCAGCTTGAAAGAACGGTTGTGCAGACCAGAGAAAGAGTTCTTGGTGTGGAACACGCCGACACCTTGGACAGTATGGCTAGCCTTGCGTCAAGACTCTGGAATATGGACCGTCACCAAGAGGCCGAAGAGCTTGAGCGGAAGGTGATGGAGACAAGACAACAGGTGCTCGGCGATGAGCATCCGGATACCTTAACATCCATGGCGAATCTTGCAATGACACTCACAACTTTGAAGCATTGGAACGAAGCCAAAGAGATGCAGCAAATGGTCCTGGAGACAAGGAAAAGAACGCTTGGTGCCAAGCATCCGGACACCCTATCCAGCATGGTTGAGCTTGCAGCGACACTCTGGAACCTGAAGGATTGGGAAGAAGCCCATGAATTCGAAATCATGATTCTAGAAACAAGAATGGAAGTGCTTGGCGATCAACACCCGGATACGTGGGAAAGCATGGGCACCGTGGCGTTGATCCGGCTGGGGGAGGGGCGTTGGAAAGAGGCCGAGGACCTGGAGCGAAAGGTTCTGGAAACAAGGAAGAAGGTGCTGGGAGCAGACCACCCTGAAAGCGTCACCAACATGCTCCATTTTGCATCGACGCTTGCGCTTCTGAAGCGTTGGAAGGAGGTTGCAGAGCTGGAATCCGCGGTCGTGGAGAAGAGGATACAGCTACTGGGCGAGGGTCACCCGCAAACTCTGGTCAGCATGTCAATGCTGGCCAATACTTTGAATCACCTCAGGCGTCAGAATGAAGCCATTGCCATGATTGAGCGCTGCAGACAACTGGAAGAGAAGTACCTCGGCGCCGACCATCCAGACACGATTGGCACCGTGAGATTGTTGGAAGAGTGGCGAGCCAGCGCTCTCAGTGCAACTGGCCAGGGAACTGCAAGCTGGAATGTCCCCGGCTGGACTCAACGGCACCAAAATCTATTGCCATCTTTTCATCCGATCCTATCCCTGTTGAAATCTTCCAACAGCAGTTTCCCGGATGACGACGATATTGATTGACGAAATACGAATGACAACATCTTGCATGATTCGCCATTCAGCGTATATATTGTCTATAATTGATTGTTTATATTATGCTGTTGAATGATGAAATGAAAATTACACACTTGGTAATATAACTTCCTAGTCCATTCACATGGTCCATTCATGGGTATCAAGATCCCTGCTGATCCAACCATGTTGCTCGGATACGGCTGATAGACGACTGTGTTATCTTTGTTTACTCGGAGTCCGACGGCGATGACAGTAGATACAAGGTAGTATAATAGTCTCAGTCTCCATACCATCCACGATACAGGTATAGCTCATAACTACCCCTATACTACTACAGTATACTTCAAACATGTTGTACACATACGCCATTCCCAGCAGCATCGCAGAGACCGTCCTCTCGGCCAAGACGACGCATGCCACCGTCTCGTTCCACCCGATCGAGATCTACATGACAGGCACGCTGGAGCGGCCAGACGAAGAGCACGACGCGTGGCGGGTGAGCGTGTCTAATGTGCCCAACCCGCTGGCTCATCCGAATGAAAACGCCGTCCTGCATCTGACGCAGGGGGAGTTGGGGAAGCCGTTGGGAAGCGTCGAATTGGGGGCTGCACGATCTGCCGAGGTATTTATACGTTATAAGTTGATATTACAGAGGATGGAATACTGATCTTGCTGTATTAGATATCTTGAGTCCACTCTTCTGCAGTGGCTGATAAGTACCTGCATTAGTGAGCATCTATCAACAGCTAAAGACGCGTACTTTATATTGTGTACTCTGTAATCTATCCTATAAGTAGTACTAATAGAGTCTTCTTCCTTGCTGCTATTGTTGGATTCCTCTTCCTCATTCCTCATTCATTATTCCTTCATCATTCCTTATTCATCATTCATTCATTAAGATAATGAAACTCTCTCTGTCTCTCTCTTTCTCCCTCTCAGTCCTTCCTGTCTTCTCCCTCCTCCATGACTTCCAAGTCCATCCGCCGACTCTCATCCCCGCCGTGGGCAATGGGAGCAACCCGTACGGCTGCGTGGTTACGCAGACCCTGATGGCCTACGACTTTGCCAATAGTTACGGCGTGCCTTTTGTTGGTATGAATCACTGATGAACAGATTGAATTGAGTCTGATTGAAGCAACATAGGCGAATATACTCCTCCGTCCTGCAGCTTCAACCGGGTTGTCATCAACTTCACTCTGGACACGAAAGGCGTGTAAGAATGGACTTTTTGTTATGTTTCAGATGGGTGTTGATATGAGTAGACAATACGACCGTCTGGCCGTCATGTACTTCAACTCGACGGAGATCTGGCGCACGTCAACCGCCGAGCCGACCACGGATGGCATCATCTACTCCTACGCCAAGGAGATGCAGCAGTACCTCGCTCTGTGGAAGCAGCCGCAGAAGATCATCTTCGACCTGGCAAACATCGTGGACAGCACGTACACGGGGATCCTCAACACCACGCTGACGGCGACCTTCTTCACCATCCCCGACGAGGAGGGTTCCGCTGTTGTTGCGGACGAGATCCTGCCCATCTCCATGCTGCACGGGGGCGACGATGCCTCCAGCATGGCGGAGCTGCCCAGCGACACGCTGCAAGTGGCCTATACGCTGCCACGCAACATGAAGCGCGCGGTGATCAGTATCTCGGCGTGTGGACAGGCAGACGAGGAGTTCTGGTACACCAATGTGTTCTCGACCGATGTCGATACCTTTGCCGACGAGACGGGCGATCTGTACGGATACGGGCCCTGGCGAGAGGTCCAGGTCTGGATCGATGGCTTCCTCGCCGGCGTCTCCTGGCCGTTCCCCGTCATCTTCACCGGAGGTGAGTTCTTGAGCTGTTGAGATATTTGACGCAATGCTAATGGGGCAAGGAATCGTGCCGGGCTTCTGGAGACCGATTGTCGGCATCGATGCGTTTGATCTGCGCGAACACGAGATCGACATCACGCGTGAGTAGGACAGAGAGCGAGATGATCTTCTTCTTCTGATCTTTTGACAGCCTTCATCCCGTATCTCTCCGATGGAAAAGCGCACACGTTCCAGATGATCGCGGCGGGAGTGAACAACAACAACGTGACGGCGTCGGTGTCGAATGTGACCAACGACTCGTGGTATGTGACCGGCAAGATCTTCGTCTTCCTCGACGAGGCAGGCAGCGTGACGACAGGGACGATGCCGACCATCTCTGCGCCAGACCCGACGTTCCGCATCGCGCGCAGCGTCCTCACCAACAGCACGGGAGCCAACGAGACGCTGGTCGAGTCCATCAGCGCCACACGCTCGCTCTTCATCTCCAGCACGATCAAGACTTCCGCCGGCGAGGAGGACGTCTCGTGGTCCCAGGAGCTGCAGTACGTCAACCACGACGTCCTGCCCGACTACGGCTGGCAGCAGGTCACCTTCCAGAACACAATCGGCGTGGACAAGACGGGCCCCGGCATCGGATACGTGAATGGATACGAGTACCCGATCAACTGCACGTACGGGTACGCCGAGACAACCGACTCGCTCACCATCTGGGGGGAGCTCCGTCGCACGCTGGTCTTCAACGTCTCGGGCCCGGCCGTCTTCCCCAACGGACTGCAGCCCATCCAGCTGGCCCGGCTCGCCAACCAGAGCATCCCGGCGGGCTCTCTGGATCTAGACACAGAAAGCACCGGTTCCATCCTGTCGACCACCCAGACGGGAACGGCGTATTATTACGACAGCACCGACGGGGGGGAGAGCTTCGGCAGCACCAACCAGACCATGACCTTTGAGGCTGTTGGAGACAAGACCGGCGAGCTGTATCAGCGAACGGTGGGGGCTGTCAATTCCTCGGTCGTCTTTGACGACGTCGTTTTCAAGCTGGGATCCGTAGTATAAGCGTGCAATCAGAAGATACATTCCATCAGAACAGTAGATCATTCCATTCCCACGTCCAATCAGTCCATTCATCAATGGACAATACCCCATGCCGATCGAGAAGCAGCTGGATAAACACCGGTGCAGAGACAGTCTCTGTCCTTGCGCACTTCTGCCACGCCTCTATCGTCAAGTCACCCAACGCCGTAAAGAAAGAACCGTGAGCAGTCTGCTCCACCGGTATCAGCTCCGGATGAGCATCGTATATCCTTTCCACCAGCCGCCAGGCCAAAGAGACGTCCTCCCCAGCTGCTCGCTCTCGCAACTCACTCAGCACATAGATCAAGGGATCCATCTGTACGCGGGTTGTCAGGTGGACCAAGAGCGGCGTCGAAAAGGGAGCTGTTGCCAGCATGGTGTCCAGCGTCTCTAGGACCGTCAGAGCAGTGCGGAAGAGCATCTCCTTTCGCTGTTTCGGGAGCTGTGCTTTCTCCTGCCAGCGTGGATGGTGCACTTTGAAGCGCAGCCGGGCGACGTTCAGCCGGGCGACAGTGACTGCCAGTCTATGGATGGGGATGCGGATGTCTAACCGACGATGGTTGTGGAGGTATATCGCTTCCAGCTGGTCGATCGCTGCATCTTTCACCTCTGTTGCAAGGGTCTGCGTTGGATTGAGAAAATCAAAGATCTTGAGATTGCCACTCTGCAGCCAGACGGTGACCTGCAGTTTCATCAGCACAAAGACCATCTCCGTCGGGCCGGCGGGTTCCAGCGGCGCGTCCGTCATGTCCGGGTGCAGATCTGCATCATTCACATTCAGTGGCAGACGGATCCCCAGCTCGGGAGGTGAGTGGGAGGCAGAAGACACAGACACCGGCCGACATCTCGCATCCAGCCCGCACAGCTGCCACCACAGCCGGATGCGCATTTCCCGTTCAAAGAAGGAGGAAGACAGCCTGGGCTCGTCCCGGTGGAGGCCCATTTTCTGCCCGATCCGCAGCGCTGCACTGGTGAGCGTCGCCGCCAGCTCCGACTCGCAGTCTGCAAAGAGATACAGGACAAAGGCCTGCAGGACTTCCAAGTCCCTGGTGGTGAGGAAGTCGGCGGCGACCAGCGCGCGGAGCGTTGCGTTTCGGTATCGGGTTACCAGCTCGTCTCTGGGTTCCTTGAACAGAGACAGACACTCCTCTGGCGAGAGAGCAGTCACTGCGAGCATGTAGATGGAGAACAGCATCGCCGAGAGCGAAGCCGACAGATCGGCGACATCCCCGTCCAGCACTCGCTGCTGCAGGGTCGGAACATGCACGATCTTGATGAGCGGGTTGACTCGCTCGACAAACGTCTGCCACAGTCGGTAGAGATGACGTGGTTCGGGATGCAGCGTGTGAAGCTCTGGTTGTGCTGTAATCATGATACTTGATAGATGGAATGGTGGGATGTCTTTCAGCGTTTGTATGGGGGGGTGTTTTAACTTAACCACTATTCAGTATACATTCATATACATTCATATTCATATACATTCAATAGAGACTCACCTCTGGGCAGAGAGTCGACCATAACGAGCTGGGAATTAGCCGATTCCTTCAAGCTGGAATATACTTACAGCTCAGTTTCCGTCTCCGTGGAACTGGAACACGACACCCACGTGTTTGCATACGGGGCAAAATCGATATGATGCCTCCTCATCAGCTGTTCATAGCGAGCTATACGAGCGAGCAGTTCCTCGTCTGCTGCTCTCTTGCGTGGGCGCTGTGGTGCCGGGGCCTCGTAGACACACGGAGTCTGGGCCTTGAGGCAGTTGGCGCAGGGGGAGCCTTTGTCGCATTTTACCTTGCGACGGGCACAGACCGAGCAGGCTTTCATAGATGTGAGGAGAAGAGGAGAAGAGGAGAAGAGGAGATGAAGAAGAGATGAAGAAGAGATGAAGAGATGAAGAGATGAAGAGATGAAGGAAGAAGAGATGAAGAGAGGAGTCGGAGATCTCGGGGCTCAAAAGAGACTAGCGTTTCCGGCTCGGAATTAAAAGGGTTAGCTTCGGACGGTAATTAGGGTTGTGTTAGGGTTAGGGTTTAGGGTTATGAGATGTAAGTTTAGGGTTAGGGTTTGGGTCGGAGATCTCGGGGCTTAAAAAAGTTAGCTTCGGATGAGGGTTACTGGATCGAGGCGGTAATTAGGGCAATATAAAGAAAAGTGGACGGCCATTAGTAGTATGAAGAAGAGTAGGGTAAGAGAATATTCATACTCAACATTGCTATGGAAAAGATCAATCTTCTCGTGATAGCCTCCATCTTTGTGGCCATGTTCTTGGTCACCTTGGTATGGTCTACCTCTCTATTGTATCCATCCTGCTAATGATATAGGACCGCCTCATCATTTCCACTGCCATCCCCCAAATCACAAACGAATTCCACTCCACCGGCGATATCGGCTGGTACGGCACAGCATACCTGCTCACCAGCTGTTCCGTCCAGCTGGTGTTTGGCAAGATCTACACCCTGTTCAGCGTCAAGACGACTCTCCTGGCGACGATTCTGCTCTTTGAAGCCGGTTCCGCTCTGTGTGCCGCTGCTCCCTCGTCTCTTGTCTTCATTATCGGACGAGCTCTGGCCGGTCTAGGCGCCGGGGGGGTTCTCTCGGGTGTTGTAAGACCTGCCTTTTCCCCATTTTACGACACTCTTCATTGATCTTATGTATCCAGATGGTGGTCGTCGTCTATACCATCCCGTTAAACAAACGCCCTCAATATCAAGGCTTCTTCGGCGCCGTCGTGGGCATCTCCTCCGTCACTGGCCCGTTGATCGGAGGCGCCTTCACCTCGAATATCACCTGGCGATGGTGTTTCTACCTCAACCTGCCTCTCGGAGGTCTCGTCTTTGTCTTGATCCTGTTCCTGCTGCATCTCCCTGATCGGCCAGAGACGAAGATCAGCCTGAGAGAGAAGCTGGTGCAGTTGAACGTCTGGGGCCTGCTCGTTCTCCTCCCGGGAGTCGTCTGTTTATGTCTTGCGCTGCAGTGGTCGTCAGTGGGTTTCTACTATCTCCTATCTACCCTTGCTATCCACACTCTGACTACTCAGTATCGACGGATCATCCTCTCAGTCTTCGCTACTCTCTTGATTCTCGCCTTCATCTCCATCCAGATCTGGAGACCTGACCAGGCCATTGTTCCCCCGCGCGTCTTCCTCCAGCGCAGCATTGTCTCAGGCGTGTGGGTGAGCGCTTGTCTAGGGCATATGATGTTAATCGGTAGGAAGAATAACCACCCTTGTTGCAACGATACGCTCTAATTAATAGTATACTTCCTCCCCCTCTGGTTTCAAGGCATCCAATCCCTGTCTGCAGTACAGAGCGGCATCCATCTCCTCCCAACGTTGGTCCCGATGGTCGCCGCGTCGATAGTAACAGGCCACCTCGTCTCACGGATAGGATACTATACTCCGTTTCTCATCGGCGGGACCTGTCTAGCATCTATTGGAACCGGTCTCTTCACCACGCTAGACGTGCAGAGTACTCTATCGCAGTGGGTAGGGTATCAGATCCTCTACGGCTTCGGACTGGGGATGTCCTCGCAGGCTCCGAATATGGCCGCCCAGACAGTTCTACAGCGCACGGAGGCTGCGATGGGGATCTCGCTGATGTTCTTTGCCCAGCTGCTTTTCGGCTCTGTCTTCCTTTCCATAGGAGAGACCGTTCTACAGGACCAGCTGGTTACCAGACTGGGAGAGATTGCCGGTTTACACATGGACATTACCCTCCAGCAGGTTGAGAATATGGGCGCAACGGAGTTGATGCAGATGATCCCGGATGCGTACCGTCAGGAGGCGCTTGTTGCGTATAATGACTCTCTGGGGGCGTGTTTCCAGATTGCCCTCATTCTTGCCTGTCTCTCTGTTGGAGGGGGGATCTTTATGGAGTGGCGGAGTGTGAGAGAAAGAGGTAAAGAGGAGAAAGAGGAAAATAAGAAAGAGGAGAAAGAGAAAGAGGAGAAAGAGAAAGAGGAGGGTAAAGAGAACAAGACTGTCTGTTGAATATATAGAGATTATACTGTATATCTAGATTAGAGTATAAAGATGCATGCAACGTCAGTAGTACAACTTATACTTCAAATGAATATATTCTATATCTATAATGAGAAGAAAGGAGAGAGAAAGAAAAATTAATGCAGGTCCTCCTTGAATTCCTGCAGACGCAACGTCTGTTCACAGCACAGCTTGGCCGGGTTGAGGATATACGACTGAAGGAGACTAGAAAGTTAGCATGATCAACAGTTCTGTCAAGCAATGGAAGACTCACGCCTGGTAGCGGCCGATGTTCTGGATCTCCTGCTGGGTCAAGGCCTGGATAGCCATCTGGATATCTCTGACGAGAGCGTCACAACGGCCCTGGGAGAACTCTTCGCGCACGACGACCCGCATCATGCTCATGCGCTGGCAGTCCGCCGCCATGGTGTACGCGGGCACGATCCAGCCACGCTCACGCAGCTTGCGCGACACGGCGTACTCGTCGTACAGCATCGCCTGGGTGGGACTCAGCCGGAAGGCGACGAGGGGGAGGCCATCGCCCTTCCCGTCGCTCATGATGATGAAGCCCAGGTCGCGCAGTCGGGCGGCCAGATAGTCTGCGGCGCGCGTCAGGTTGGTCATGATGGCCGTGAAGCCACGCCGGCCCAGGCGAATCATCTGGTAGTACTGGCCGATGATGTGCGAGGCGGGTTTGGAGAAGTTGAGGGTGAAGTTGAGCTGATCGGCACCGAGGTAGTTGATGTTGAAGACCAGTTCTTTGGGCAGATGCTCGATGCTTCTCCAGAGCGCCCATCCAATGCCGGGATATACCTTGTACTTGGCCTTAGCTTTCATGTTGTATAGATATAGTATAGTATACTATAGTATACTATAGTATATATGGTATATATAGTATATATATACTTACCAACCCATATTTATGCCCAGATACATTGATCGAAGCCACCTTGGGCAGGCGAAAGTCCCAGACCAGACTCTCGTTGACAAACGGCGCGACAAAGCCGCCACTCGCGGCGTCGACATGGATCGGCACGTCGAGATTCTGGGCGACGAGCAGGTCGTTGATGGCCTTGACATCCTCGTACTGCCCCGTGTACGTCGTGCCCAGGATGGCACAGATGCCGATGGTGTTCTCGTCGACGAGATTCACGGCCTGCGCAGGATCAATCACGTACCGGTTCTCGGCCACGGGCACACAGCGCTCCTCGATCTCAAAGTACAGCGCCGCCTTCTCCCAGCAAACCTGCACCGCCGAGCTCATGACGATGTTCGGGCGTGAGGCGTCCTTGTTGGCTGCCCGGCGCGCCTTTTGCCACCGTTTCTTCATCGCCAGCACGGCCAGCATGATGGCTTCCGATGACCCGATGGTCGACGTGCCCACGGCCGCGGTGCGGCCGTTGGCCCCCGTGGGAGCGTGGAACAGGTCGGCCAGGATGGACAGGCACCGGCTCTCGATCTCGACGGATTTGGGGTATTCCTCGTGGTCGATGAAGTTCTTGCTGCTGGCCTCCATGATGAGCTTTTCCGCTTCATCTTCCTGTCTCTGTTACTATGTAGGTATACAAAGAACTATCAGTGGGTGTATACCATGTATGTGGTGACGAAACTGGCCAGACTGTAGACGTTAGTAAGGATAACAGACCCAAGAGCAAGCTCTTACTTCAGCATCGGGATGGTGTCCTGGATGAGATCATCCTTGATCATGCGATACGCAACATCTCTCGGCATCTCATGATCAGGCAACTTGCAGGGCATGCCTTGCGATGCATACCGCGAGCCATACACCGACGGACAGTCTGTTTCCATGGTCAATAGAAGGATGAACTGAATAGAATAGAATGATAGGTAATGATAATGCTAATAGAGAATAGGAATATCTCAGAAAGAAAGTATTTATACGGCAAAAATCGCTCATCGCTGTTACAATCCAGGAGTTGTGGCATGACGACAGGAGACATGAGACAGAACAGGAGATTACCCCTATTGATTCATTCTACTTCTCTTTTCTATTATTATTTTATTATTTCTCTCTCAATATTTGTATGAGATATTTGTTTGAGATATTTGTGCTCCATATGCCGATCTGCGCGATTATCCCTGCAGTCCACGGCCACCTGCAGAAAGGGACTGGTATAGACGGTATTACAATATATATACTATAATATATATCTATATATTACAGTACTTTATAGACAGTCCAAGTATTACCAGGTCAATGCAGCTGCATGTAGCCTCACTCTGTTAACAAATCCCTGCCCAACGTACTCTGTACCCAAGAACCAGTCACAAGCCAGAAAGAACAGGCTGAAGCAAGAATATACACGGAGTAATACTTATCAGATGTCTAACATGGTTTGCGACCATGTAACTGAGCTAAGGATAGGTCTACACTTACTCTTATGAGAAATATAAACGTAGATGATTAATGATGCCAGGTGGCATATTACTATTGAGGGTTAGGGTTATGAGACAGCAAGGGTTATGGCCTTCCAAGCATCTATTGGCCGTCTGCCACCGGTACTCCGTAATGTAAAGATAGATGTTTAGACTAGGGTTAGGTTAGGGTTATGAGACAGAATTAGGGTAAGGCCTTTTCAGCATCTATTGAGCAGTATTAGACGTCTGCCACAGATGTTTAGACTAGGGTTAGGGTTTAGGGTTTAGGGTTTAGGGTTTAGAAGACAAAATTAGGGTTATGGCCTTCTACGCATCTATTGAGCAGTATTAGAGACGTCTGCCGCCAGTAATGTAAAGATAGATGTTTAGACCAAGGTTAGACTAGGGTTAGGGTTAGGGTTAAGGCCTTCTACTTATATAAAGACATACTCTAATATACACGTACTACTGGTGTTGCCTGTATGAGTCGCATTGAAACCCCAAGTCTATGCCAACTCCCTTTCAGAGTCAGGCTGGACTGCCAGGAATCAATAATTAAGCTGTTATACCTATAGATCACTAGAATTCCTGTTAAGATGCTTGCTAACCAGGATCCATGAGGGGTAATGCGCGCTTAACTTTTTAAACTCTCCATATCTTTCATCCCCTTCACACTCCATCATTTAACTTGAAATTTCTTTCTAGTGCTTATCTTCTATTCTCCATCATGGAGATTCAAAACTGCCTTGCCAAAGTCCAAGAACTGGCCACTGCCGACGCATCCCCAAATGCCTCCCCAGACACACACCGCAACCTGCTACAGGCCATCCGGGCGCTGCAGCTCGCCGCCGAGACGCCTAATGAGACGACCTCCAGATTGGATTTTCAGGTTTCCTCCATTTCTTCTTTTCCAATAATATATATATCTGTACTGATCCATTAGATTGTGCATAATATCGCCATCCGAGTGGCCGTCGAGAAACGGTTCCTGCATGAGATCGTCGCCGAGGGGCCGGTCTCCGCGTCGAGACTGGCCGAGAAGACAGACAGCGACGAACTATTCGTGGGTGAGTCTTCCATCCAGAGCATTTCCTATTGAAGACTCATTGAAGCTCGCATTCTTCGCATGCTCTGCGCCATCGGGTTCTGCGATGAGGTCGAGGGGGGATACGCGCCTAACCAGGTCACTCGGTTCAAAACCCTGCCTGGTTCGATTGCTGCAGAGAAACATCAGTAAGTTGAAGCATTCATGTTATTGTGTGTACTTCTACTGACCGACAGCTTTGATATTGATTTTCCAATTGTACGTGAAATCTTCACTACTCATCTACCTGTACTGAGTATCTAGGGCGGCCAACTGGTCAAGTACATGCGCGGGTCGGGAATCGACCAGTTTGGCGAATCTGGTCCGACTATATTCAAATACGCGCACGGCACACACTCGATCTTCGGCCTCATCGAACGCGACACAGAGCACAAGGAGGCGTTTGATACGTACATGACTGCCAGGCGGTTGGTCGATGCGCCGCAGTGGTTCGACATCTTTCCTGCAGAAGAGAAGCTGGCAAGCGTACCAAAAGAGGGACAGGAAGTGCTTCTTGTGGATATCGGCGGAGGAGCAGGCCATGAACTGGCCAAATTCCACGCTCGCTTCCCCCATCTTTCTGGCCGGTTGATTCTGCAGGATCTGCCGCTGACTCTGGATCGATTCGGTCCGCTTCCTGGCATTGAGAAGATGGAACATGATTTCTTCCTTCCGCAGCCAATAAAAGGTCTCTCTCTCCTCTTCGATTTTCCACCTATTCCCTTTATATTCTCTAACGCGTGCAGGGGCACGAGTCTATTATCTCCGAAGTGTTCTGCACGACTGGTCTGACAAGAAGAGCGAGGAGATCCTCTCTCACATAGTCAACGCAATGACCCAGGATTCCCTCCTCATCATCGACGATTTCGTTCTACCGGATTCCGGCGCTGATCTGAGAGGCGTCGAGATGGATATCCTCATGTGGCTGCACACGGCGGGACTGGAACGCACAGCCTCGCAGTGGAGGGCTCTCTTGACTCGCGCCGGACTGGACGTTGTTCACATCTGGGATGCGAAGAGGGGGGTGGAGTCTGTTCTCGAGTGTCGGTTGAGAGCTATATAAGTCTAGGTATCTAGTAGATTGACATGGTTATATCGAAATATCACTCTATTTGTAGAGAGAGAAAAGACATATTTTTATGCAAAGTATGCATAAACACACTAACCATTCCTGGTTAGTCTATTAGATATCTTCCATTGAGTCATTTTCTTTCTATCTTATTATCTTATTATTATATTATTTTATGATCTTATTCTCTTATTATATTATTCTCTTCAAATGATCTCCTTCATCACAGGAAATAAAAACAAATTCGCCGAGGCAGAGGCCATCCTCGGCCTCCCCCTCGTCCAGCAGCCTCTCGATCTGGAAGAGATCCAGGGCTCGCTCGAAGAGATCGCCAAGCACAAATGCATTCTCGCTGCTGAACTGGTATTCTCTGAATAGATTCCATCTTCGACTTCTATATCTAACTTCTTAGACAAACGGTCCTGTTCTGGTGGAAGACAGTGCTCTGGAATTCACTGCGTGGGGGACTCTCCCAGGCCCATACATGTACATTGCTTGACTGAAGGATCTATTGCTCATATCTAACGGCTATAGTAAATGGTTCTACAATTCTCTCGGCAATGAAGGGCTCTGTACCGCTCTCAAAGGCTTTCAAGACCACTCCGCCACCTCGGTCTGCACGTACGCTTATTCTCGTGGGCCGGGCAGTGAGCCCATTCTCTTCCAGGGACGGGTCAAGGGGACGATCGTTTCCCCGCGGGGGAAGAATGGATTCGGTGAGCTCTCTTCATGCACTTTTTCTCAATTTTGTTTCTAATTCGTAAGCGTTTGATCCTATTTTCGAGGTGGACGGCCAGACGTATGCGGAGATGGAGCCTGATGTCAAGGTATGTCTCTTCGATATTGATATCAGTACATGCTAATTGATAGAATGCTCTTTCCGAGCGGTACCTTGCTCTGATGGAGTTCAAAAGGTGGATTACAAAGGTATGAGTATAGGTATAGAGTAAACTAGAATATCATTGTTCAATCTTCCTCAAAAACCCAGTCACTCGCCCGAAAAAGTCTGTCATTGTCTTCTCCGGCGATCCCTCAAGCGTATGCGTTGCCCCCAGGATCACGCCCGAGAACTCTTCGTCCACTGCCGAGTTCCCTCTCCGACTGGCGTCCACCCAGCGCTGAACCAGCTTTTCCTTGTCGACAGTGGCGGGCACGAACTGATCGTTCCCCGAGTAGAAGATACATAGCGGGGTGCTGGCAGGCAATGCGCCAAATGTGCGGGCTAGTTGCTCATCACTTAGATCCGAACTGAACATGTCGTCTTCGCTGTCGTGGTTCGGACTGGCGAGACTCAAGAACCGCCTCGCGGTCATCGGCGTGGTCATGAATTTCGGTAGATGTTCTTTCGGCACAATCTCTTCCGGCATGCCCCTGTCGACTAATGCCTGGGCGGCGTCGACGGCGATCTTCATCTGTTCCGCCGTCACGAACATTCCCATCGCCTCCCGGTCACTCGCAGACGCCTGCAACATTCCCCCCTGCACGGCCGGGGAATCGGCTTTTAACAGATACGTCATGATATCCTGACACCCTGTCGAACAGCCCAGGAGAGCAATAGTCTTCTTCTTCTGTTTTGTCCGGAAGTAAGACACACACTCTGCCACCTCTTGGGCGTCGGTCTGCAGAGAAGCACAGCCGAAGCCCTCGTATGAACTCGCGAGCAATGGTTGCGCCAGCGTCCAGTGCTTAGGCAGACTCTGTGCCAGCAGAGTCGTGTAAGGGGTTGTCAGCAGTCCATCGGTCAAACCGCCAATGTACAGCAGGAGATGCTCCTGGGCGTCTGGAGAATCCTTAGTAGCGTGTTCGAATGCCACATGGCGGGCGTTCTATTCAGTGAGCTATCAGTATACTACTCTGCCAGATTCATGGAAAAACTTACATATTTATGTAAAGTCCCGTTGATCGCCATTGTAGTATAATGAGAGGCAGAATTGTCAATGATTCAAGATCATCGAGGGGCGGTTCATGTTAATAATGACATCCATGGATCTCATCCTCCAGGACCAAATGGCTGCTCGGATGACGCTAAACCCCATTCAGCGCCCAGATTGGCCCCCAGCAGTACCTGGTCTAACCTGAGATGGTATAGTGTCTCGCTTCAGTTGTCCGATCAGAAATCAATGAAGCTATCAGCAGCTTCTGATTGGCTACTCTTGGGTTATTGATGCTATCTCCTGGTGATAGTAAGGGAGCTTGATAAATACTAACTGCATTGTCAGCGTGGACAGTCATGCGACGGCCTCGCAGAGCCCCGCATATGCGACCGATTATCTGACACGGACGCAAAGTCAAAGATATATACTGCATTTCTGTTGGAGGACTCCAAGCGGTACATCAACAGAGGTCTGTGATCTCGCCTCGGGGGTGGTAATCTGCTTCAACCTCACAATGAGTTAGGTATTCCCAAGCTCATTGCATTTCAGAAGCACTTACTGGCATCTTGTGTCAAAATCGCAAGGTATAGAGAGCAAAGAAACTTTTGTCAACAACTATCGGTGCAGAGTGGACTCTGTGGAAAACTGTCGCATTACTCGGTGTCGGCAGATCGTCCACCAGAAGACCGACAAAGAGGAACGATGGACTGGTATCGGTCTTTCAACTATCGAGTGAATATGATATACAGACGAGAAGGTACTGGCGAGGAGACCTAGCAGCAATTCGACTCTTGACTTTATCAGCACTCATACAATGAGTTCCGAGACCACGGTACACTCACTTCATGGCTGTAACCCCGGCTTCCAGAAGATCGTGGCAGCTCCATCTCACAAGAATCTGCTGGCAGCAGGCTCTGCCAGCTCTTCCCTGTCTTGGAGCCAGGAAGGCAGTCGTAGACGTGTCGACACTATTCCATGGGAAGCAAGATCAATATACTGCTTAACCAGCAAGGTCTCAGTTCATCATAGACTCACCTGGTCGTTGTAGAGTAGACGAAAGCCCCATCTCCAACAGTCAAGAAGTTGTTGAGGTGAAGTCGAAGTGTCGAGGAGGATCACCTGATATTCCCCCCACGTGATGACACGCTAGTCTTGAGCGTTTTCGATTCTGCTTCTCTTCTTCTTCTTCTTCTTCCTCTGGAATCACCCCTTCTCAGCGAATTTCTGCTTCACCAACGTGGATCTTTGCGATAGCGATCGTCATGGACGTTTCACATTCTCAGCCTCGGCGGCTAAACGGTCAGCCTCGTTCTCAGCCTGCAGACGAGACCATACATAACACGAACTTCCCCTCCTCCGCCCCCCCACCGAACGCTTCAGCCTCAGCTCTCAGAACTGGCCATCCAGCATGACATTCTTGAACCCTCTCTCGCGGCCAGCAGACATCGGTGACCTTGTCCAGCGAATACAAGATGAAGAGCGGTTCAAAGTCGAGAAGAAAGGGCTGGAGGCGCTGGTGCGACAGATGGTGCAGCGGTTTCGCGATCGCCCGCTGCCAAGCTACTACACGGACGCCTCTCGACTATCCGACGTGACGGACGCGGGGCAATACAATGATTTGATGCGGAAGTTTCAGAACGAGATCATTGAGCATTCTTCCGAAGGGAATGTCCCCGATCGCGATCTCTTGCCAAGCTACAACTATGGCCTCCGGCGTCACCGCGGTCGGACATCTGGGGGCTATTTGATGGCACCCCTCAAGGCGCTCTCGACACGGCTGAAGACGGCAATTGAGATGGCGGATCTCCAGACCCAATATCACCTCGTTTTTATCATAGGTTCGCTGCTGGAGATAGCAAACGACATCAAGGTCTCCGGGATCGACCACGACGAGGTCCACCAACCACTGCTCAAGCAGCTGCGTGAGCTGCGAGAGCATGACGAGCCGCGTCTATCGCAAGCGGCCAGCTATGCATACGAAGCTTTGCGAGGTGTGCCCGATAATCTAGGCCCATGGGATGTGTTCTGGAGGACAGGAGGCACCGTGTTCAAGGTGCTGACGAAGCTTGCCAGCGCCGTACCGAACATGGATCCATCGAAATTCATCGAGGCGGCACCGGACTTTTTCGAGATGGTCGAGCTGTTCAGCAAGCTATTGGAGTCCATTCAGGATATCAAGGAGGGGGCGCAAGACCTAAAGGGCGCCTTTCTGGAGGATATCGAAAGGTCCGGGAAATCAAGAATCTGGTCCGATGTCCTGCACTTTACTGGCCCCCTTTTGGCTGCTGGAGACCAGTCACCGGAAGCAGCCGCCAAGGCGTTTACCATTCTACAGGATGTGCTGGGCAACATACCTTGTGAAAACAAATGGCAGTTTTGGAGTGGATTGTATGCTCAGTTGGAACAATCCTGGATCAATGGCAACGATAACATGAAGACCCAAGTCGTCGAGTTCGTCCAAAGGACATTTTCCAGCGTCAAGGCCAAAGATGTGCGCGTCCAGAAGTGGATCGCCCTGATTTCCGAGACGATGCGTCGTCCAGAGTGGGTAAATCATGGCTTGAAACATCAACACAGATTCCCATTTCACTTCAAAAACAGAGAAAGCACCACGGTGAAGTTGCAAAAGCCCTTCCGACAGGAGAAAAAAGATCGCACCCCGGAGCATTTGCTGGACGATGCGTGGCGGACTTGTCCCGAGGCACAAGAATTCTACGCATACGCTGGAGTCATCCGGTACTATCTGCAGTCTGAACGGCTGATGATCCGGAGACTTTCGGGCAGCAAGCTGGACATGGAAAGTTGCTATATCAATCTCAGTCTGGTCGAAAACTTGATAGAGTACGAGAAACCTCGCGAAGAGTTGGAAACTTCCATGCGAGAGCGACTCAAAGCTCCCAGAACGACCGACCAACAGAACTTTCAGCTCCGTGAACTTTTCGAAAAGCGCAAATTGCGAGATGAGCGCATTTACAGGCCAAAGCGAGTCTTGATCAGGGGCCGCCCGGGAGTTGGCAAGACTACGCTGTGCAAGAAAATCGTCCACGACTTCATCCATGGCCGACTGCCATGGAAATTCGACCATATCTTTTGGATACCCCTCCGGAGCTTGCGAAAGTATTCCAGCCTAGAGGAGTTTCTTCAGCAGGAATTCTTTGCCGCTCGTCCAGACCAAGAACTTTTGGGTGAAGCATTGAAGAGGATACTCTTCGCCCAAACCAGTTCAAAGACCCTCTTCCTTCTTGACGGTTTCGATGAAATTGCCGAAGATGCGAGGGCTGAAGGAAGACTGAGAGACTTGTTCGGTCTCTTCCAAGATCGCAAAAATGTGATCATAACCTCAAGGCCCTATGCCATCAGTGCATCCGAGTTCAACGACCTCGATCTCGAACTGGAGACCATTGGGTTTCTCCCCGATCAAGTCCAGGAATATCTCTCTCAGGCCGGGAGCCAAGGAGAGATCTCGATGGGCGAGGTCGAGAAAATCAAGGCCTTTGTTGAAGAAAATTGGCTATTGGATGGGCTGCTCCAAATCCCCATCCAACTCGACGCCTTGTGCTACACGTGGGGGAACGACCTTCTGTCTCAGGATGCCCGGACGATGACAGCCCTCTACCGAGCCATCGAGGTGAAGCTGTGGAGGCGCGACATGGTAAAACTCGGCAGGGTGAAGCAGTTTAAAGCCGACAAGTGTTTTGATCGGATGCAGCTCAAAGGCTACACGGAGAATTCCATGGATCTGATAGAAGAGATTGCTTTCAATGGCCTTTACAACAAGATTGTCGATTTCCCGACGGCTCAACTGCAAACGCTGTACGACAACCTTCCTGGAAGAGCGGGCGAATCTGATGCCTCGCTGATGGGGCTCTCATTCCTCCGTACCGTCGATGCCTCGCTGTCAAACAAGACTTTCTATTTCATTCACTTGACATTTCAGGAGTTCTTCGCGGCGAACTACTTTGTCCGATGCTGGGTGGATGATCAGCCGCTTGTTTGCTTTGACTTGGAGACAGACGAATGCACAAAGCAGCCGACAAAAGAGTTTCTTCAGTGTGAGAAATACAATGGAAGATACGACATCGTATGGCGCTTTGTCGCAGGGCTCCTTTGCACTCCAAAACACAAACACAAATTGGTTGAATTCATGGAGGTCCTGGACGGAGAACCGAGGGATCTATTCGGACCGGCGCAACTACGCATCCTCATGCATTGTTTCAGTGAGATAGCAGCACTCCCAGATACCGAGCCCGCCTTGGGAGACGTCAAAAGGCGGATGGAGAAAGGCCTCTCACGCATGATGTCGAGCTCGTTATCGCGTGAAATGGAATTCCCAGAGCATCTCTTACGAGACGCTTTTCACGATTCGTTCGGCTGGTCGTCGCTCTGGATAAGAAAGGTCAAGGCCATCGAAGCAATATCTAGACGTACACAAATTTCGTCGAGCCTGTTACAGGAGGTAGCAGATTGCTACTGCCCTAGAGACTCGGAAGATTTGAATTCATATCTGGCTCCTGTCTTCGCTCAACACTATAGAGAATGGCCAGAAAAAATAGTCCAGGTATTGGGTCCGCAGAGTCATAACAACGATCTGCGCATCAACATATTACACCGGCTACCAGGCGGTATCAAGTTACCGGACCGCATTCTTGCCCTGGTCATTTCCACCTTTGACGTCCCGCAAGATTTGGCCCAAGAAAGTGCAGCCTTGATGATACAGCAGCAGTCTTCGTTATCGGAAGCCAATTTTCAAAGCTTGGTTGCTCTATTAGACAGTGAGAGTGCCATTGTGAAGAGATGGGCCATTATAGCCCTCTCCGGCCATCTTTCCACCCGCAGCAACATTCCACCCAAGATTCTGCGCTTGCGGACTGACAGCGATTCACGCGTGAGGCGTCAGGTAGCCAATGCTCTCGGGCTGGTTTCTGGTCGGGCAGAGGACCTGGAGGCTTTGGTCCATCTGTTACGGGATAGTGAGGACAGGGTGAGGGTGGAGGCTGCTAGATCACTCGACCTGCAGCATTCTCTGCCCCCGGGTCTCTTGGATGATCTTAGACGTGCAACTCAGGATGTACACCCGAACGTCAGGCAATGGGCATTGTCAGCTTGGAGCAAAAACTGCTCGTCGGCGGAGAGTGTCTTTGAGACTTTGTTCAGTCGTGACTATCATGATGAGAGATACCGAGTGGCCGAACGCTTCCGCAGACAGTCGCCGTTGACCAAGGAGATGCGATTATCTCTGATGATGGAACTGGATAGTCAGAACCTCCAGAGAAAGTTCGGTGCGCTTGCCGCCTTGGAGACGCAGGAAGACTTGAGCGACGAGATTCTCGCCGCACTATTGCCACTGCTTGAAGATCATACCGACCAGAATCTGCACAGGTATGTTGTCGGCGTCTTCGCCAACCAGACAGTGCTCCCTGACTTTGCCGTGCAACCGCTGGCATCCCAGCTCTCGGACGAGGGTCTGTATTTCTCCAAGCCTGGCGTCATGACTGCATTGTCCCACTGTCGGAAACTACCGGAGAATGTGCTGGAGGTGACGCTGTCTAGTTTTTGCACTCTTGATAACCAAGAAGCCTTGCTTTGTAACCAGGACAGTCTACCGACAGGGATCCTCCAGATGGTCGCCTCCTTTCTGGTGAACGATCCTTATGGAAACACCAAGTACCACGCAGAGAGGATTCTCCGACGGCGAGACGCGTTCTACTCCATGCTGCCAAGCTTGAATGCCAATATCTGGATCTCGCTGTTCCAGATTTGGTTTGAGAAGAGTCTTGAAGAGAACTGGAGCTGCTACTGCTGGAAGGACACGCTGCATCTCTCTACGCCGCAGGGAGTCCACACCATCCCGCTGGACACCAAGTCGACCCTTCGGAAACTCGCAAAGGCAACTGGAGCGTTGGAGGATGAAAAGGAGGAGATGTTTCCTGACCTGCAGCATATGCCTACACTGAGCGAACATTTGCAGAAACTCACGGCACGGGTTATTCGAGCGTTGCCGTAGTAGAATAGGTAGAGTTCATATTCATCATCATGACTAGAGTTATATCCAAAGCATTCGATAATTCCCTGCATCCTCGCATTCGATTACTTCCAATTCCCTGCATCCTCGATTCCCTTTGCCACGCGATTCACCCCATCCTCCACCCCCGTCCCTGCGTCACTCAAGGCATTCCCAACCGGCCGCCCAGCACTGCCCGTCGCGCTGGTGATGGTATTGCCTAGACCCCGCGAGGCAGCGCCGACGACATCGCCGACTGTGCGTGAGAGGCCGCCGATGGTGTTTCCGGCCGTGGAGGTGACGAATTTCGCTGCACCTGTGGCTCCCGTGTTGGAGGACACTGTGGGTTAGTGAGATATATGGTGAATATCGGTTGACTTACTATTTTCTTGTAGAATAAATGGATTGAGGGTGTAGAATAATACTTGGTATTTACTCTTGCAAACATGGAGTACCGCATGTTTATATAGGGCTCTCCTGACGTCATAGGCTGAAAATGACATCAGAATACACTTACTGCTCATTGAGTATCAATCTTATGAAGAATAGAGTATTCTGAACACAGAATTATAGTGCAAGAAATCATTCAAAATGGACCTTGGCGAGGGTCTCATAGAAAGCCTTTCCCTGGGCCTCGGCAATATCCAGCTCGAGCACCGTGGGCTGGCGAGTCCCCTCAGTAAAGGTGCCCGCACCCCAGGGGCTGCCCCCATGGACCTCATCCAGGTTGGTGAGCAGAGGGAAGGTGGTCTTATAGCCCAGCGGGACGTAGATGATCCCCTGGTGAGCAAGCGTGCTCATTGTGTTGAGGACGGTGACCTCCTGCCCACCCCCCAGAGTCCCCGTCGAGACAAAGACTCCAGCGTATTTCCCCCAGTAGCCACCGCTTGCCCAGATCCTCCCACATTTATCCCAAAAGGCCTTCCACTGGGCAGGAAAGTTGCCGTACCGCGTGGGGATGCCAAACAGGAAGCCATCATAGTCCAGCAGGTCCGTGGGCTCAGCAACGGGGTAGGGGGCCTTGGGAGGGGCATGCATCTTCTCTAGAACCATGTCAGACAGGGTTTCGGCGACCCTGAAGGCAGTATCAGTATAACGATAAAGGTGAATGCCAAGATAGAGTAGGGGAATATTAAGGTAAGTAAGCGCCTACTGGAAGATATCGGCCTGGCCACCGGCAGCCTCGATGCCTTTCTTCTCGGCCTCGGCCATCGTCTGGGTGTGCCCATAGAGGGAGAACTGTCGGCATTAGTTTCATAAGCTATTGAACGGTCAAGGAAACTTGCATAGACAATCGCAATCTTAGGAGCAATCTTGGGAGCCATGGTGATGAGCTATGGATCTATGTACAGTTGATCAAAGAGAGGAGAAGGGGTGGAATTTATATATTAGACTCCATCTAGACTCTAGGATGGATATGTCATGTCTCTGACTATTATTCATAGTGTATGTTGGTCAATCCTTGCACTATGTGTCTTAGAAATTAGCTAGTTTATTGTGTCTAAAATGAGGTTCTATAGGATCATTGTAGAATCTTAAAAGGCAGTCTATTAATATATCTATGAGGCAGGTGAAACCTACAGACATATTCATATATTATTATAAAGTATTATTAGACCTTACTTATGCTCAATAAAATGCCTTATGTTGTCTCACCACTTAGAATGTAATATACTTACATATATCATATACTCCATCTAGGGTTGCAATAAGAGGGGGCTAAAGGAATAAATAACTAAATAAGCCACGCGTTCATTCCTTGTTTAATATTTCTATACTGAATTATAGACTAAGCTGGTCAATATTTCTATACTAAATCATAGACTAAGCAGGTCCATCTGTCCAGTCATCCATATACATGCTGACTGAGTGTCTCACAATGACTTTCCTCACCTCTTTTTTCCTCTCTTTTCCTCTCTTATTCTTCCCTTCTTTCTTTCCTTTTAGTTTCCTTATCACCCTCATTGTGAAATGACAGCAACCCCCCCCGAGGCAAATGAAGGCCCGAAAGAACCCCCTGTCAGACAACCCTCAATCCAGCCCTTTGCCGGCCGTATTGGGGGTAACCAAGCGCTGGTGGCCGATCCCAACGATTCTTCCAACCGCTCCCTGCTGGAAAAGGTCCCTGATGCAGGGCCGTATATGCGTCTATCGCAGATTCTGGACTTGAGGGGATTCACCGATCTCAATCTATGGAAGTTTGCTCTTATAGAATGCGCAGGTACATCTATTGTCCGGTATCCTATATCATCCTATATTCTGGCTTTATTCATGTCTTCCAAGGCACCATGATGCTCTGTTTTATCACTGCCTGGATCGGCTTGTCAGGAGCATCATCGTCATCAGCAACAACAACATCGGCAGCAGGTGTATTTGCGACGACAGCCTTCCTTGATCCCCTCGTCGGCGGCATCACCAACTGGATCTGGCTGTCGTTGTTTATCTTCATCTTCGGCCCTATCAGCGGCGGTCATCTCAACCCAACCATCACCATGGCCACCTTCTTCGCCCGTCTCATCTCCCTGCCACGCACAGTGCTCTATATCCTCGCCCAGACAGTGGGCGGCACGCTCGCCGGTCTGATTCTCCACGCCGCCTATGGAAACGGAGACTTCACCGTCGGCGGGTGTATTGTTGAGGTGGCCCTTGTGCAGCCCCGGCAGGCCTTTCTGCTCGAGTTCATGTGCTCGCTGATCCTCCTCTTTGTGGCCTTTGGCGTCGCGCTCAACCCGCGCCAGGAACATGTCTATGGGCCTGGCCAGGCGCCGTGGATGGTCGGCCTCACGCTGGGAACCTTGAGCTTTGGATCCGCGTTTTCATTGACGGGTTATGCCGGTGCCAGTATTCTCTCTTCCTGCCTCTCTGACCGATTCACTTTTTGATCTTCTAATTTTATTCATAGGCATGAATCCTGCGCGGTGCTTTGGAGTCTACATCGCGACTGGCTTTCCGGGATACCATTGGCTTCACTGGGTTTGTATCTCTCAATGAATCTGGCTGAGCGTCTACTGACTGGATCAGGTAGGACCTTTTGCGGCAGCCGTAGGCCATGCGATCATGTACCATCTCCTACCGCCGTGGATAGCAGAGTAGAATGGCTTGAGCTTGAATAGTATCATATTCACATTAGAAAACTTGAAACGTATTCGAGTATAGGTTAACAACTTGGCATAAACAAGCCGGCTGCAAAAACAGTCCCCGCGCCCACCAGCGCACTCACCCCCGTAAACAGAATGGCAGGCCTGTAGGAAGCATGCCGGGCGATCATCGCCCCCGTGATGGGCGTCCCCGTCAGACTGGCGAGGCTGAGCACGCCCAGCGCCATGCCCATGTAGGAGCCGATGACGGCGGGCGTCGGGGCCGTCATGGCAATAGTCGCGGTGAGGAGGCCGACCACCGTCCCGGAGAAGAAGCCAAACAGGACAGAGAAGACCACCATGCCAGCCAGGGAGTCGACAGCCAGCCAGGCGAGAATCAGCACGCCGCAGACAGCCGACGCGCCGGCCAGACAGTTGAAGCGACCGAGACGGTTGGCGACTACTCCGCCGAGCAGGCGGCCGAAGAGCGACGAGGCGTTGAGAATGGCGATGAGATCGTTCGACAGGCCGACGTCCACGCCGATCGACTGTGCGTAGGCTGGGATATAGAAGAAGGGGAAGAACAGCGCCCACAGCACGAGAAAAAGGCCGACGACTTGCAGCGAGTACGCCGGATGAGACCACGCAGAAGCAATGAAGAACCCGAACATCCGTTGCTCATTTCGTTCAGACGACGGACGCTTTGTCTCTCCTCCTCTCCTCCTTGAAGATACCGTCGCACAGGCGACAACGCCAAGGGCCAGCATGAGGAATCCCACGATCCGCACCGACCAGCCGAACCCGAGCGACGTGTGGTTCAGCATGCGATTCAGAGCCAGCGGGAAGATCACCCCTGCCACCGACGATCCGCTCGACGCGATCCCCATCGCCAGCGGCCGTCGACGCAGGAAATGCTGGTTCACGGCCGTCAGGGCGGGCGTGTAGCTGAGCCCGTTTGCCAGCCCGCCCAACACCCCCTGCGCGAGCAGGAACTGGTAGTATTCCCGACACAGGGAGGTCAACATCACCGACAGGATGAACAGAGCAGAGCACGGGATCAGAATGACCTATTCGTCAGTATTGACCGAAATTAGTGGATATGCTGCACTTACTCTTGCGCCGTACCGGTCCATCAAAGGCCCTGAAATCAGGCCCGCAGAAAACATAAAGAACGCCTGCAGGGAGCCGATCCAGGCGATGTTCGAGTCGCTCTGGGCGTGCAAGAAGCTATTCTTATAATACGCCTCGTAGATTCTGGTCGTCCGTCAGTCACGAAACCTCCATCGTACACGAAGCAAAAGCCTACCCGAATGCATTGATGTAGCCAAAGGTGTTGAACATGATGCACCAGCAGGCCGCCACGGACATCCAGCCGCGAAGACCGCCCTCGGGGAAGACAGGCGGCGTGGAGGTTCCCTCTTTATCCATTTTGATGCTTCTCGATGTGTTTTGACCGTGAGACTCGCATCTGGTCGTGTGCACGCACTGTTGATATAGCCATCTTGCCTCGGGATTGCGGAGACGGATTATGGAGTTTCGACAAAAACGAACTGATCCGACGGTGATTTAGGGGAATTTAGAGGAATCCGAGAGGAATCCGAGGGTGATGAAGAGTAATCCGAGAGTGGTGAAAAGTAAAGGAAGCCCGAGATGAGAAAGTGAAGTCATTCAGGAAATCCCGGTCGGAGATGCTTGTTTTCCGCCGGGGAATCCCGATTAGGCTCGGACCCGATTCGGAGGTAGATCGCACTAGTCCGAAACCGAAATAGTATACCAGGTACATATGTAGTGTGTAGCCTGAGGCATACATAGTATTCAGTAAGTATTGTAGCCTGAGGCATACATATAGTATTCATTAACTATTGTTGAGCCTATTGAATAGCAGTTTCAGCCTGATATCAAGTTGATAATTATGATATCACTATCTACCCTGACTATTACTCATCAATCCTAAATAGGAAAACACTCTCCTATTGGCAGATCATGAATTTATCAAATAGGCAAATACTCTCGCGTTGGTGGACTTAACGTTATATCCGCGTAGGAAGACATATAAAGCATCTACTTACTCAGTGGACATTTACTCTCTACTTCTAGTATACTGTCAACACAGGAACTTCATTCTCATGTCTGGAAACCAACGTCTCAACCTGCCCCTGCTGGCCACCCGCTCGACCTGCTCAGGCGGCACCTATATCGTGACGGGATCCAACACCGGCCTCGGCTTCGAAGCAGCGCAGCATCTCGTCTCCCTGGGCGCCGCGACCGTCATCCTCGCCGTGCGGGACGTGGTCGCCGGCGAAAAGGCACAGCATGCCATCGAGTCCACCACGGGAGTCACCGGTGTGGCACAGGTGTGGCCCCTCGACCTGGCGAGCTTCGCCTCCGTGCAGGGATTCGCGCACCGGGCGATCGCGGAACTGGCAAGAATTGATGCCCTGATCGAGAACGCGGGTGTCGCAGCCCTGCCGGGTGTGGATGCGGAGGGATACCCGCTCGCCATCACGGTCAATGTGCTTTCAACGCTCTTGCTGGCGGTTCTGCTGCTCCCGCATATGAGTGAGACGGGCCGGAAGCATTCCATCTTGCCTCGTCTGGTCGTGGTAGGTAGTCGCGTGGGTTTCGACGCACGCGATAAATGGGAGATGGTTCAGGATGATCCTTTGGCGAAGGTTAGAGATCAGGATATTGCATCGGCAATTGGGTTACAGCTGTACGTCCTAACCTTTTGCTCTCCGTTTTGGCTACCGCTCATAGAAAAGGTACGCGATCTCCAAACTGTTCGAGACCTTCGCAGTCCGGTACCTCGCACCACGTATTCCTGTTCGCCGCACCGGTGTCATTGTCAATCTCGTTTGTCCGGGGCTGTGCAAGACAGACCTGGCTCGGAATGCGCCGCCAGAGTTCCAGACAAAGCTCCGCCAGATGCATGCTCAGTTTGGTCGAACGGCTGAGGATGGGAGTCGCACGCTGCTCCACGCCGCCGTTGCCGGCGAAGAGACTCATGGGTGTCTCCTTCATTCGTGTGAGATGGGAGAGTAAGTATCCTTCGTCAAAAATATGTGTAAAGATGTGTAAGCATAATGCTGACAATTCGATAGAAATGTGGTCCCCCCCTGGATAGACGATGAAGCTGGGAAACAGTCGCAGCAGCGTGTGTGGGAGGCGATCGCCCGTGAGTTGGAGACAATCCAGCCGGGGTGTGTGCAGCGGCTGTATGAGATCAACATTGAGTAGTTATCATCGAATCAGCAGTCCATGTTTCTACTCTCTCCCATAACGTTCTTCCGTTTGCACTATGTAATGCAGGTACCCACGGGAACTGGGATATTGTTTCTTCACTGTCTTCCCAAGTGTACAACCCAAGACAATCGACGGTATTCCGAATCATAGGGAGGATCCACGCATCGTCCGATGTCTGGAAGATCGTGACGCCAGCCATAAACATCGCCCAGAGCTGTTTCGTGGACGGGTCGCTTTGTACTGCGACGACAGCCATCTCCCGTAGCAGTGGATACTTCTCCATCTTGCGGTCCATCCTGGGCAGAAAGCTCGTCAGAAACGCCATCATCCCAATGTAGAGGAGCTGGTCATCTTGGCCGAGAGACCCTCCTCCCATCGACGCCAGAGCCAACAGTCTATACCCCAATAAGATGATCGTATCATGGTAGACATCCGCATCAATCTTGGGAAGACCAGCCAGAGCACCGTTGGTCAGCGCCGAAAAGGTCATCAAGTCATCCAGGAGAGATGACAGGGTATCCATCTCGGTGTCGGTATCCAGACCAACCAGAGCTTGACTACCTGTCTTCACTTCCTGTACAGTAAACAGAGTCCTTGAGCCAAGCTGGAGAGCGTATTCGAGATCGGATCTGACCTTAGCTGAATTTCTCTTATTGTATATAGAAACATATCACCCACCTAAACATCTTCTGCGCGAGAGCAGGTTTCGTTTGAGCGAATACAGACATCCCCCTCAGTTGTGCCATCTGTCGCAATCCCTGTATATGCACGACTCCTTGTCGGAACCGCCCTTGATGGCCCTCACACTTGGCCATACTTACCACCACGGCGATGGTGTTGTCGGCTACAGACTGGCCGCCTGTGAGTCGTTGATTCAGCAATCGGAGAGTGTATGAGAGGTGCCGCAGGGCTATCGCAGGGCTATTGTCGACCGTCATCAGTGAGATTGCCATGACTGAGTGGAAGTCTGCCATAGTTCAGTATCGGCTAATGGGAATCAGTCTCGGATTGAATAGACGTACAGGCTTCGTCAGAGAGCATATACTGCACCCAGATCGACACACCGGTTGATTTTAGCGCATCGTGCAGTTCTGGCGAGAATCGAGGACCACTGAAGAAAAAGAAGGCTATCATCGTTACTACTGGACAGCAAACCGATATTGGAAGTGAACACACCCTTTCTTGCCCTTTCTCTTGTTTCACCGCTTAAAGGGACGGGGAAGGATAATCCATCGTCTATGGGATATTCGATTGCCAGCTTCTCGTCTTGACTGTCCTGGTTGTCCTGTCTCTCCTGTCTCTGCCTCTCAACCACCGTCCGCCTGCGTCGGTCGATCGTCTTGCCGGCGTTACGACCCAAGGCGACATGGCGACGGATGCGTTTGCGGGCAGTGGAGTCGATGGAATCGTTCTGGTTGATGAATTCGAAGGGCATTGCGAGTGATGGTGAGAGATAAGAGAGAGAGAGAGAGAGAGAGAGAGAGAGAGAGAGAGAGAGAGAGAGAAGAAAGAGAAGAAAGAGAGGAAGGAGAGGAAGGAGAGGAAAAGGAAGAGTCGGGGTTAGCGGATATAAGCAAGGCAGAAGGCAACAAGGCATCAACAATATCAATAGAATAACGACAGGCATTCTTTCAAAGGATATACAGATTAATATTACACATAAAGACCTTTTGTCTATCCATCTACTGCCCACCACCCTATGACGTGTATCATTCCATCATTTGGTACACTGCATGGTCGCATAGTTGTAAATAGTCCTGCCATGTCATATCCGCATTTCTGCTCAATAGATCCCGTTTGTTGCTTCTAGTCCAGTAAATAAGATCATCCTTGATACCGTGAATAAGAAAATTGGCTGCAGCGGTCGGGGAGATAATGCTCTGATGATGGAGGTTCGCCACTCGCACTGTTACTTTGAAATCCTCAACGTACCGCTCAACGCTCGCATAACCGTAGCTTTTCATATGCATGGCCTTGAGAAATGCCTTGGTGACCTGCCAGTAATTTGGGGGCTTGACGACTTGCAAAACAGCAGAGTAGAAGTCATCTGCGTAGAGCTGTGGCAGGGGAGACACGAGAAGCCATCGGATAACATCGTCGTCAAGACAGAGGTGAAGCCATAGCTTAACCCGTCGAAACAGTCTATCCCACGTCTTGTAGCCAGGGTCCGTCTCTGCAGGCTGCGGGGAGATTCTTGTCGAGCAGATCCTCCAGTTTGTATGTCTCCAGAATCACTTTGACTCTTGCCTCCCAGACGTCAATGTCGGCTGTTCCACGCAGTTTTTTGATCGCGGAGAAGGGAAAATAGACGCCAGTGAGGTGTCTAGCTTGTGTGGCTTTTTCGTGGTGATCAGAGACAATGGATTGGTTATTGGATGCCATTGTTCTCCGTCGACTCTGCGTTCAATGTGTCGTCCTGGTGGCGATTTTTGTTGACGTCGTTTTCTTGTCTGAAGGTGAAGCGCGAAGGTAAGGACTGTGATGAAAGAGATGGGCGAGGGATGCAAGAACTGAATGGAAGGTGAGATGCAAGGACTGAGAAGATGGTTTCAATGCTAAGGCATATCCAAGATCAGCAAGTATGAAGAATAATGAATGATATTAGAATACAGTGACTAGATTGCCAGCCATTGTCAGTATTATATTGATGAATATCCAGAGTATACAGGAGATGGGAGCTGCTTTTTTATAGGTATTCCTGGATAGGGAATAGCCATACACTGCATAGAAAAGACTATTATGTCTACTCTTACTCTGTGTTCTACTCACTTGACATGTGTAAACAACAAGATTCATTAGTGTAATCAGATTGACAAATGTCTAATCTGCTGCTATCTTGACAGTTCAGACAAAGCAATCGAAAGAATCGGAAACAAGGGCGAGATAAAAGTTGGAAGAGACATGGCCTCCATTGCCGATGGCAAGGACGCCTGGAGGGCGGAGATCTGCGGCCCAGGCAAGGCAGCCACGGCTGCCGGCAAGGCAACGTTTTTCCGCCGGTTGTCTGGCGCAAACTGGAAGATCTTGCCCTCATCCCACTTGTTCTTGATCTGGCGGACCTCCTCGCTGTTGGGGCCGTAGTATGCCTCGTGCCGGTCCTCCTCGGACACACAGACTTCCCTGTCTGGGAAATTGAGGAAGCCGGCCTTTTTGCCGATCGAGAACTCGGCCAGATCCTGCTTGAAGTCGCGGCAGAAGTCCTGCATCTCGCGCACCAGCCATTTCTCATCCCACTGGATCATAATGTAGGCGATGTACCGTCCATCGCGCCAGGGGAAGGCCGTGGCGTCCGGTCCCGGTTCGCGGCCGATCTCGCTCGCTTTGCCCCCGGTGTGGATGAAGGTCACTTGCAGCAGGGCCACTTCCCCGACGAATTGGGCCCTGAACCGGTCCATGTGCTTGGTGATGCACTCGGTGATCTTGGCGTAGTTGCTGCCTTGCTCGTCGTGCTTGGTGAAAACAAACGAGGCATAGACGGTATACGATTTGTTGGCGGGACGCGCCTTCAGCGTCTCCTCCGACCACTGCGAGATGAGGGTCTCGTGCAGGAAGCGGGCCGAGTGTTCGTCGATCGAGCGGCGTTTGAGATTCTCTGTCAGCTGCTTCTTCATCTCTGCTTTGGCGACGGCGACGTCCGCTTCGTTGTCCACGTTCTCCTCCGAGGCCGAAGAAGCCAGCAGCCTGTCGACTTCCTTCCTGAAGGCGTCCCTGTTGCCGTCGTAGTAGGTGAGAAAGCGCACGCCAAGCTCGCCGTTCCTCTCTTTCATATTGCACAGCCAGCTGGAGTCGATGGTCAAGCCGTGATCCCACTCGGTGGTGTAGAAGTCGTGCATCACCTGTCGGAAAGCAGCCATCCTTTCGGTCGTGTCGACGCCAGGATACCAGTTGAACCTGCCGGCGACCACCGACTCCTCCTGCAGCTTGTGCAGTGCCACCTTCATGCTCAACACCACGCCAAAGTTGTTCGCCCCAGCGCCACGGAGGGCCCAGAACAGCTTCCCCTCATCAGACGAGGGGTCGTCCTTGGCGCGCACAGTCACCTCCTTGCCGTTGCCAGTGACCAGGGTGGCCTCCAACAGGCTGTCACATCCCATGCCGAACCGCCGCGTAAAGGGGCCCAGCCCGCCGCCCAGGACAAACCCACTCACTCCGACTGTGGGACACCGGCCGCCATTGACCACCCAGCCATCGCACTTGTTGATAACCAGCTGCCGGTAGACGTGCGCCCAGAGCGCTCCGCCCTGCATGGTGACGGTGGGACCCTCGGCGTCCTCGGGAGGTTCGAGACCCTCCGCATCCAGCTTCAGATCCACGTCAACCATCCGGGAGAGGTCCAGGAGGATGCCCTCGTTGGTGGTAGACAGCCCGGCGTACGAGTGCCCGCCGTTCTTGACGGTAATGGGCACATAGTGCTTGTGGGCTTGTTTGACCACCTCCACGACGTGAACCGTCTGCTCGGGCTTCACGACACACTTGGGCCGGCTGAAGCAGTAGAGGAGGTTTGCCACATCGACAGAGAGCTCATACTCTATCTCCCCAGACTTGTAGACGGGGATCTGCGTCCCGAGCACCTTCTTTTCCTTGAGGATCTTGTAGATGTCGACTGCCGGCATGTTGGGTTCAGAGTGCGCTACGGCAAGCGTATGTGGTGACGAAATAAAGACGAAACTAAGCCTTTATATTAGTACACAGCCAGATGAAGCCTGATCTCGCTTGTTTCTTCCAACACAGTCGCTCTGGTCTTCGGCTGAGCTTCAGCTGAGCTTCAGCTGAGCTTCAATCCCACCACGACGCGTCACACGGCCAGACCAGCAGCTGTCGGCCAGTAAAATCGTGGACCATCGTTTCCTCAGATGCAAGGCCATCACGAGAGACGCGTGAATGGCGCTGTGGCTGGCTCTCTGCACGACTTGTCTGCATCTTGTCTCTCTCTTTCTCTTGACGAGGCCAAAACTTCCGAGGAGGGGACGAAATAGGCTTAGCCTGAGATACCCCTCAGTGCAGTCATGTGACCACCCACCAAAACGGAAAAACGTCAACAAAGACTTTTTACGTTGTCTACAGCAATGCAGGAGAGCATCTTTCTACGAATACTATGTTCTGGACTCTGAAGATCGTATTGGAGATACTTATGCTGCAGACTCGGTTCCTTGCAGTGACTGGATAATGCTACCATCAATCGCCGACGTCAGCCAATCGCCAAAAATTGCCAGTCTTGCAACGGACGAGGTGGATGTGATATGAGTCGGGACAGTTGGAGATACGCAGGTAAGGGATGAGAGGCGAAGGGGAAATTCTTTCCTACTCCAAGTACTGATCACTAGGTGTAGAACTCGCAGGTCCTCTCGAACAAAGTGCACGGTAGACGGCCATGGCAGAGCTCCCTCCACTGATTTCTCGGTTCGCTCAGGGGTGTATACCGGCATTTGATTGTTATAAAGCTGATTCATCGAAATATCCATTTGAGAGAACATGGAGAGGAGAGAGGGGAGAGCGAACTATATATCCTAAAATCGTCTTGAATAGTGACGATACTTCTCCGTCACTTAAAAATGCGTATAGCAGTAAGAGAAAGAACGAGAGGGAGGAGAAAAGAAGAGGGGGTTCACATGATATATTATCTTTCTCCCCTTCTTCAACGTCGTGGCTCTAACCAGCAAGGAAATACTCTATTCTAACCGCAATGTTCTCCAAGTTTCAATGCAGTCGGTCTACATCCGCTGCCAGATTGATCTAGGTCCAACGACGGTGGTGAACTGGAGATATCGGGAGATATCATTGACGACCTTCTCACAATAGTGGTGGTTGTATTTACAGATTGGCAGATATCTTATAGAAGTAAGAGAGCTCAGGTTTGTTCATCCTCGTCTACCTAGCCGAGAGACATTGCTGACTTCTTTTTCGTTAGTATTCTCTAGCCTTGAATATAATGAAGAGTGGTTTATGGTCATAATAACGTCACATCATCTAGTTGGCAAAAGCGTCGTTCCAGAAGGTAAAGGCATCATCGGCGAGTCCCTCGAGGATCTGATCGTACTCGTGGCCCGCCCCGGCGATATCCTTGCGGTAGTGAACAACCCCCAGCTCATTCATGACGGCGCTCATCTTGGCGATCGCCTCGGTCAGGCGAGTATCGTCTCCGCCAGACAGCAAGCGGACTCTGATGGTTGCTGTACGCAGCTCCTCGCTCTTTTCCCGGAGGAGAAACAGCGGGTGCTCCTTGTCGTAGTAGCTCTGGTCTCCACGGAAGGTATCCCAGACACGCTCCTTGGGCTCGTTCGCCAGCGAAGGCAGGACCGCAGGGGCAATCGACGAAACCCCGCGGAAGAGCGAGTTGTATCTGATACCGAGATGGGCAGCGCCGTACCCACCCATACTGAACCCCTCAATCCCCCTCTTGCCGTTTGTGCGGAAGGTAGCGTCCAGGTGTGGCAGGAGATCCTTGATCAGCACATCCTCGACAGGGAACTTGTGATCGATCGAGTTGATGTACCAGCCTACGGGAAGACCCTGCGGAGCCACCAGAATGGTCGGCGGCATGGTTCCCTTGGCCATGGCCTCGCGGTACATCTTCACGGCAGTCGCGGCCTGGGACCCGCGCGACATGCCCCCGTGCAACCAGACGAGAACGGGGTACCGCTTGGCAGTATCGGTCTCGTATCCTTCTGGGAGGGAGTACCAGTAGCTGCCCTGCTTGTCTTCACCACGCACAGGTTGATCATACAGAGCGTAAGTCATTCCCTCGTAGGCGGTGGTGTTGGGCTCGACCCATTCATTGTTCATGGCGTCGAGCTCTTCAGTGGTGGGGAGGTAAGGAGGCATGTCGATGTCGAAATGAAGTATAATGAATTGATCTGTCAATAGAACAATGGATACTGATTGATCTGCAGATTGATAAGACTATATACCTATATATGTGGAGACCAATACGGTTAGCGTGTCTCGGGCCAAGACACTCGGCCGGAAATTCCCCTTCTACACTAGCGCCCACTCGGCACGGCAAAACAGTCTATATCAGGCTAGCCCCCCGACGATGCCTCCGACCGACTTCACCTTCTCAACCTCCGCCCGCATCTCCGTCTGGCAGCATCTGTTTTCTCCATTAGCACTGCCACCGACTAGTTGTTTGCTCCCACTAAGAGCAGAACATGGCCTCCTTTGCCCACCTCTTTGACGGAGACGGTCGGTGGGGGTCCCCCGCTGCTCTGGGGCCCGCCCAGAGCCCGACCGCCGACGGTAAAGCCGCTGTTCTGCACCACCCCACGGGGAAGACAAACCGCTCCGACGCGCCAGATGACGAGCCCCAGCCTAAGCGGGCTAAGATGGCCCTGTCCTGTTCGGAGTGTAAGCGGCGCAAGATCAAATGCGATAGGTATTTTTTTTCTCGCCGTCTTGGTTGTGTTGTGTGTGCTGTTGGTTCGCGGTTAACGTGTCAAGGAACGTCCCCTGTACGGCCTGCTTGAAAAGGGGCGCCGGCGACGCATGTAACTGGGACAACGCGCGCATCGAGCCCGCGCCACAGCCTTTTGCCTTGAGCTCTGAGATGCGCGATGTGCAGGCGCGGTTGCGCGCCGTCGAAGACGCTGTTCTCGCCCTGCGGCAGGGCAGCAGCGGCGGCAGCAGTGTCGACTTTATCGACAGCGAGGTAGCGGCCAAGCGGACTCCAACTGCTGTCGCTGGTGCTAGTCTTAATGCTCCTGGCAGTGGTGCCCCGGATGCTAATGGTAGCGCGACGCGGGCTCCTGTAGCTGCGAGTACTGCTACGAGTACTGCTGCTGCTGCTGCCACGGGTACTGCTGCACCGGCTACTGCCGCGGCTCCTGTAGGATCAACAACCTCGGATGAAGGGCTTTCACTTGCTCTGCATGATCCTGCCGAGGACGCGGCAGTCACGCTGGAGAGCATCGCGTTCAACCCGCCTGGCAGCGGGCCTCGGCGGTCGGTCATTGCTCACGAGTACTGGCGCGGAAGCGTGTTGACCCCGTCGTCTGAAGGAACGATGATGGGTGCAGACCACGGTGGTGATCGCGTCGTCGATCTCGAGCTCACCGCGGCCCGTACGAGCATCATCTCGCCGCCCTGGGATGCCTCGCTGGCGCGGTACAATCCCATCCTCATGGGCGTGGGGAGTATCGATGGCGGCACCTTTGAGGAGCTGCAGATGCATAGGGCGACCCTGTTGCAGGGGCTGCTCGGTGCCTTGCCCACCGTGCGCCAGAGCTATTATCTTGCCGCCCAGTATTATGATACCGTCCACTGGCGGTCGAACGTCTTGCATTGGCCTTCCTTCCAGGCAGAGCTCGACCGCTTCTGGGATATGGTCCAGCAGGGCCGCCACGGCGAGATTGACCCCCTCTGGCTCGCCGTCTTCTACATGGTCATGGCCTTGGCTCTCGATAACCGGCCTGCAGCCATCGATCCCAGCCATCCCTTCCACGCCGAGTCGCTGCAGGGCCTAGACGAGCTGACCAGCAAGTATCACGCCGTCAGTGTCCGTGCTCTCTATCTAGGCGATGCTATGACGAGTCCACGTTTGCGAACTATCCAGTAATTGTTCTTTTCCTTCCTTTTGCTCTGATCTTCCCGCTGACTATTCAGAACCGTCATCCTTTTCAACCAGTTCTTCCAGACTTCCGGGCGAAAGGCAGATATGCTCCTTACCTGGACAGCCCTGGCCATCCGCACAGCGCAGGTAATGGGACTGCACGTCTTGGGTAGTGATCCTGAAAGGTATACAACTCTTCTATCTCCTCCGTTCATCATCCACCCTACTAAGCGAGTAGGATGCCCCCCGACGACCCGGCATGGCCGCCCGGGAAGAACGCCGTTAAACGCCATCTTGCCCTGCGCACCTGGACGGCCCTCCAGTGGGTCGACTGGATGGGCGCCAGCGCACGGTTCCGCAGCTACATGATCCATCCGGAACAGTGCACGTCCCAGCCCGTTGCCAACGTCAACGACGGCGATCTCTCGTCGACGGACTGGCGCTTCACGACGCAACCGGCGCGCGTGGCTACCTCCAACTCCTTCGAGGTGTATAAATGGCATATTGCAGATATGCTCCGGCAGACCTACGACCGACTGATCACCCATGTCGATCGGTTTTCCTATGCAGGAGGTATGTGATACTCATTAGACGTCGGACTGGGGGAAACTAACAGAACAGTGCTGCATCTGGATGCTGGATACCGCAAGATCGAAGAGGATCTGCCGTAAGTTTACCTGCTAAATAGATGAGCTATACTGACTGACCAGTGATGCATACCGATACGAACAAGAGGGCGAGGATTTGAAAGTCCGCTGGCAACGAAGTACGTCACCTTTTTTCCATTGTAGTTATGATTCTGCTAACTGTATTAGATGTCGCTCTGGAAGGGGTGAGCATGAATCACAATATACCACTTGAACCACAGCTCACTGATCTAGATCCACTCGCGCATCGTCCGCCTGCACCGCCCGTTCCTTTCCAGAGGATACGCCCGCGAGTCGAAATGTGTGTACTCGCGAGAGCAATGTTTACGGTCCGCGCGGATCGTGGTGGACTGTCACTACAACCTGCGCGACCTGACCACGCGGGGGACGTTCTGGTAAACAGTGACCATACATCTATATGAACGATGGCTGACGTACAGGTTTGTCTATTCGCATACGCTTGGCGCCGCGCTGGTCCTTTTCCTCGACCTCTTTTGGTCGATTGACAAGTACGTTCTTCACTGATTTCCCTACTTCATGTATACTAACAAGAAAGCCACATGCCTCCGGCCGAGATCAACGAGCGGATGAGCGTGATCGCAATGGTACACGACATCTTCTCCATGTACAGCGAGATCAGCAACTCGTCGTTACGGAACATCGTCGAGTCTGCGTTCCGCATCATCAGGTAGGTAGACATACATATCACACTTACAATCCTGCTAACCTTTCAGCGACCTGTCAAGCGAGGCGAGAAACAGACAAACCGTCGAAGGCGTCAAGCCGCCCTTCGCCGAGATCCTGAAGCGCGTCGCCCGCAAGGTCTCGCTGGACAGCGCATCACAGACGCAGCCTGCCGTGACTCTTCCGCCACAGCCTCTCTCGCTCGATGCATGGAATCTGCCCATGCCGCAGGAGGCTTTGAATTCAGGGTTCTACTCTGCTTTGGGTGTGCAGGTGAGAAACCTTTCATACTTCTTATGCTGCCGGACCTTACTCATACTGCAGAACCATGAAACGATGGATGATCCGTCGTTCGCGAATCTATGGACCTTGAATTACTCGCCGTCGCAGGACTCACCGAACGATAGTCTGTCCTTTCTCAATGTGGCCCAGCCGAGGGATAACTATGAGCTGTGGAGGTTTTTGGCAGGATGATGCATCATGATTGCGGATGACTATGATACCATTTCATATTAATACTTTGATTCTCTTATCTATAGTCTATATAAATAATTGTAAATAGTTGCAAAGTGGCTACTGTCACACGAAGCAAGGGGTGACCTCACATCAAAACACTTGTATAGAAAGTATTCCATCTATTTATCTATGATATATATTCTATCTGTTCTACTACATACACAATGAAGAAAGACGCCGACGGGACAATTCTCATCCCACAGCCCTCCGACGACCCAGATGATCCTCTGGTAAGTGAAGCAGTGAAACAGCAGGTAGACTTCTCTAATCAATAGAACTGGTCCGATGCTCGCAAAAACATCACACTCTCCATCTGGGCGTTTGCCTGTTTCTCCAGCCAGATCTCCGCCATGACGAATCTACAGGGCTCCTTCTTACAGGCGCCGGTGTACCACAAGACGCCGGTGCAAGTGAACTACAATGTACTTCACCTTCGCTCTTCTACCGTTGCATACTGATGGATCCTTAGATCTCCCTTACTCTGGCCGGTTTAATCATAGGACCGATGCTGGTGGTCCCTCTCGGGCGGAGATTCGGGCTGTGTTGCTGTCTCCTGTGGTCGACCGTCGGAGTGCTCGCCACGGCCATCTGGTCGGCTTTGATGACGGGGGAGAAGGATTACGGCGCGTTCCTTGCCTCGCGGTTTGTAGCAGGCGTCTTTGCCGGGTGTCCGCTGATTCTCGGGTCGGCCATGGTCGTGCAGGTGTTTTTCCGTCATCACCGCGGTCGCTGTCTGCATATCCTGCATATCCCGTACCTGCTTGGCGTCATCACCGCGCCCATCTTTGGCGGGTATATAATTTCCACGCAGTCGTGGACGGTGCAGTTTTGGTGGACGGCGGGGATGAACGGCCTGCTCATCCTCCTCATCTTGTGCTTTCTCGAAGACTCGGAGTCCAGCGTTGCCGCCAAGGAGTCTCTCCTTCATCGTCGACTGAGAACCTACACTGGTCGAGCTGTCGCCACGCCGGCGTCGTGGAGAGATTGCGTGAGTTCTTCCAGTGTCCTGATGCGCTATACTGATAACGACAGACACGAATGGTCCGGAATGAATTTCGTATCGGGTTCTCCCCGCTTGGCATGCTGGCCGGGTTCTTTCTCCTGGTTGACTTTGGCTTCAGCACCATGACTCTCGTTATGGTGAATTTGTTTCTCGCCGACCCGGTCGACGAGGGCGGGTACGGGTTTACTTCGACGGAGATCGCATCCTGTAAGTGCCTTCTGTAAGTGCCTTCACTGTGACAAATACCTCCATTGACTGTGTTCCAGTCACCTTCTGTCTGTGGATTGGAGTCTGTATCGCCGAGCTGTACGGCCATTTCGTGAGCGACCGACTCCCCCTCTGGCTCTCCCGCCGACAGTCAGGAATCTGGCGCCCGGAATTCCGCCTCCACTGCCTATGGGCCCCTGCAAGCCTCGTCCCCGTCGGAGTTGGTCTTTTCGGTGCCTCGCTGGAGTACCACCTGCACTGGGCCGTTCTTGCCCTCGCATCCATGCTGACGTTTATCGGCTCCATGTCCATCGTGCCCCATACCACGGCATACCTCACCGACTGTTTCCCAGACCTCGTCGCAGAGATGTCGGCCATCATGGGCTTGTACCGCTTGATCTTCGGCCTCACCACCACCTTCTTCATCACCCCCTGGGCTGCCGCAGTCGGAGTCGGCTGGGTGTTTGGCACAGCAGCGTTCATCTCGCTGGCCGCCTTGGGCATCGTCGGTATTCTCGTGTCTTGGGGGGAGCTGTTCAGGCGTCAACTGGGGGATTTCACCGAGACAGCACCAGAAACTGAGCTGTTTGTCGCTGGCGCAGATGGAGATGGACAATCTCAACAGGTTCAGAGAGAATTCTTAGTCAGCAACACCCCTTAGTCATCAATTCCTGGTCACGAAGTCCTTAGTCAGCTCTTCGGGCCGACGTATTCCCGCATGCGTACTTGCACTTTCCGTCCTCCGTAGCTCTGCGTATCACCAGCTTTCAGTATTGTTATTCAGACTCAGGATACTATTGCTAGCGAATACTGAGTGGTCTGATCTACTTGAGTAAGCGCTCTTCAGATGGCCAGATCAGCCCACTAACAGCAGACCCCTCGCCCCGACGTCGCCCTCTTCCGCGGACTCTCCAGCCTCACAATCCAACTGCCTCGGCTGTTCTCACGCCAAGACAGACAACGCATCGTTACTCAGCGTGGAGAGAGAATGGCTGAGTCAGGCCGGAACAGGCGGACGATGATGTCATTGAGGCAGTCCACCCCGAATTCTCCTGCCGGGCGTGCAGTCAGCCTCACCGGCCAGCTCCTACAAAAGGTACCTGCACGACCCTGCCGGACAGGGCTCGGGACTACGGCTGGGATCCACTGCGAAGGAAACAAGAATGGCAGGCCTTTCTGCCGATGACTGGCGGGACGAGTATGGTCCGTCTGTGCAGACCGGGGAGACGAGTTTCTGGGGGGATGGATTACACACGGGGGTGAGACTGGGCAGTACGACTACATCTCGATTCCTTTCCCTGCTTGCTTAAGAAAGAGAACGCTGATTATTAGATGACGGCCGGTTGGACATCGAAATTGCACAGCATCGGCCTAGTATCGCGTCACTGCTGGCGCATTTACACCCGGAGACAGAGGCGGGGATACCGACAGAACGGGCCGAGTCCGAACAGGCAGAGACACCGAGGCTCTCCCGATTGAATATCGTGATGCATGTCGTCGGCTCACGCGGGGACGTGCAGCCGTTTATTGCGCTGGGCGAGGAACTGCAGCGGGTTGGGCACCGGGTACGGCTGGCGACCCATCTGGCCTTCCGCGATTTTGTGCTGGAGCATGGGCTGGAGTTCTTCGATATCGGCGGCGACCCGGCCGAGATGATGGCCTTTATGGTGCGGAACCCAGGGCTGGTCCCTGATCTCAGCACGTTGCGCAGTGGAGCGATCCCGAAACGACGCAGAGACATCGCGACCATTCTCGACGGGTGTTGGCGGTCGTGCTTCGAGACCGGCGACGGCACACATCTGCATCAGATTCGAGACGATCTCTTCGACGAAGATGGTATCGATGGCATTGCTGTTAAAACAGCCGACTATCGGTCTAGACCCTTTGTCGCCGACGCGATCATTGCCAATCCGCCCAGCTTCGCCCATTTGCATATCGCGGAGAAGTTAGGGATTCCCCTTACTATGATCTTTACGTACGTCTCTCTCTTTGAGTATATCTGTATACGATACTTATTTCTATAGCATGCCCTGGTCCCCAACGCAGGCCTTCCCACACCCCCTGGCCAACATCCGACGCAACAATGCCAAACCGTCGGTCGCGAACTTTGCATCCTACGCCGTCGTCGAGATGATGCTCTGGGAGGGACTGGGCGATATCATCAACAAGTTTCGCCGTGGCATCGGGCTGGATACCTTGGACGCCGTGCGAGCGCCGAGTCTGGTGCATCAGTTGAAAGTGCCGTACATCTATATGTGGTCGCCGAGTCTTCTTCCCAAACCGGCGGATTGGGCTGATCACATCCGACTCTCGGGCTTCATCTTCCTCCCTGCGGACACAGACTACGCCCCGCCTGAGGAGCTGGTATCGTTTCTGGAAGCCGGCTCCCCGCCTCTGTATATCGGATTTGGGTCGATCGTGGTCTCCGATCCCATCGCCCTGACTAAGACAGTCTTCGAAGCCGTCCAATGTACCGGTCACCGCGCCATCGTCTCCGCCGGATGGAGTCGATTAGCAGCGGACCAGGGCCTGGAGATCCCCTCTTCCATCTACCTGCTTCAAGGGAACTGTCCGCATGACTGGCTCTTCCCGCGGGTTTCCGCCGTGGTGCACCACGGCGGTGCTGGAACGACCGCCACGGGACTCGCCTGCGGCTGTCCGACTGTCGTGGTGCCCTTCTTCGGGGACCAGCCCTTCTGGGGTTCGATTGTTGCTCGTGCGGGGGCAGGGCCTACCCCGATCCCCTTCAAGCAGTTGACGGCCGACCGGCTGGCGGAAAGCATCCAGCAAGCTCTTACCCCGGAGATCCGCGAGCGAGCGCGTCAATTGAGCGAGCAGATGCGGGGCGAGAACGGCGTCCAGAGCACCGTTGCTGCCTTCCACGAACATCTGTTCTGTCCGATCGCCAAGAACAACACCTTCACGACGAATAATACCCACGATGGAATCCGGTCCTGCGCCCTGAGTCCCGGTCGACCGGCGTCGTACCGCCTGATGCCCGCGGGGATACCCCTCAGCGCCTTTGCGGCATCGGTTCTCATCGACCGGGGGATCGTCAAGGCAGGCAGCAGCCATCTCCAACCGTATCGACCGGCAGAGTACGACACCAGCCGGGATCCCGCCGGGCCCATCTCCGCGGGAGCAGGCGTGTTTCTCGGAGCGACGGCGCGGTTCATCACCGGACTGGCCGACATGCCCTTTGAACTGGTCGGGATCACGCAGCAGTACCATCAGAACCATCAGTGTCATCGACGGAAACGGTCAGCACCAGACGAAAATAGTCGACACTCTGTTGATTCATCATCATCATATTCTTCTTCTTCTTCTTCATCGTCGTCGTCGGCGTTGAGTATCTCCACGGACATCTCAACCACCAGCGAGCCCAGTCTGCCCGTGACGAAAGCCACCAAAAAGTCGAGAATCCCGCGGTGGTCGAAACAGATGCTGGACGTGTTGATCGTGCCACCCATGGACGTGACGCTGACGCTGTCGCGCGGCTTCCACAACATGCCGCGACTCTACCACGACCGCACGGTGAAGCCGACGCCCAAGGTCACCGACGTGCGGACGGGACTGCAGGCGGCCGGGTCCGAGTTCACGCAGGGGTTTGTGCAGGGGATCGGAGGGCTGGTCAGCCATCCCCGGATGGGATGGGAAGACCACGGCACTGCCGGCTTTGTCAAGGGGGTGGGAAAGGGCGTTGCAGGGGTGATTTTCAAGCCGCCGGCCGGTAAGTCTTGGTACTTGCATTGCATCATGTTCTCTTCTGACTGTCTCAGGGCTTTGGGGACTAGCCGGATATCCGTTGAAAGGGTTACACAAGTCGCTGCGGCACTCGTTGTTCGCAGAGGCAGACCAGGCGGTCCACGACGCTCGCATGGCACTGGGACAGGACGAGATGCACCGAGCGACGGCCAAGGAATGCGACGAGGTCATCCGGAAATGGAATCTCATCAATAGAGATGGTTGAGGAGTTATGGAGTTATAAAATAGATACCTGTATGACTACGGACTGGGATATAATATAAAGAATATACTAGAAGATTATTCTCAAAGGCTTTCCATTTAATCATCCTGTACATTCTCTGTCACTCCATCCATCCATCCTCTTGTTCTGCAACTCCCCACTGTACTCTGTACAACTCATCTATAATTAAGACGCTGTTCGGTTACACAATGACCAATCTCTGCCCAATCCTGCTGCATCTCTCAGGCCTGCATACGACACATCACTTGTTCTCTCATGAACCTCCACCGCTCTGTTTTCTTTCAAGGTGTATCCCCCCCCTGAAAGCCCTGAAAGGAGGAAGAAAAAGAAAGGAAAGAGAGAAAGATGAGGTGGGCAGAATGGATCGATCAACCGCTCGCGGAATGCCGGGTCATCGTCGTGGTCTGTCTGGTGTCATGGACCCTGTCCCGGCTTCACTGGAGCCCAGTCTGGCTGTTGCTGGTGCTGGCCGTCTGTCGTACACGGCATCGAGTGTGTCTGGGGCGCACCGAACGCAGCCTCCGCGACGAGCTGGAGCGGCAAGAGGCCCGTCAACGGTCCCAGACACACGGCGAGAGCGTGGAATGGGTCAACGGCCTGCTCGACAAGCTGTGGACGCAGTACGAGCAGCCGCTGTGTGCGCGGGCGGTGCGATACATCAACGGCGAGCTGGCGGCGACGGCGTCAACGCAACAGATCGTGCTGGGGGCGGTGGAAACGTTTCCCCAACCGCTTCGGTGGAACAGGGTGCGCGTGTCCTCTGCGTCGCCGGGGTCGGCGAACCTCATCCTCGAGGGCGAGTTTGAGATCGAGATTGCACCGCCGCTCGTCCACCGTCACCGTCGCCATCGCCATCGCCATCGCAGTCGCAGTCGCAGTCGCAGTCGCCAGTTGCTGCGTAGGGGGCAGGCGCCGCTCGTCGCCCTCAGCATCCGCTACAACCAGACAGCAGTTGCAGCGGGCCAACACGATCTCGCCGTCCAGATCTACCGGTTTTCCAGTCGGGGGAGGGTGCGTGTCGAGCTGGTCTTGGATGCCGAGCAGCCGCAGATTCTTCCACCGCAGATTGAACTGGCGGATCGGCCAGTTCTGGATTGCACGTTGCGGACTCTTCATCATGAAGATCATGATCTTCATGATGATGATGATGATGATGATGACGAGAGGGGTGGTAAACACCGTAAACACCTTCACTTTCCCTTCCATTTCGCACATCATATCGACTGGCGACGGGTGGTTGAGTCGCAGATCCGCGCAGGACTGGGCAGGGCGTTCCATGAGCCTCTTGCCTTGACGGCGTTTTGGTTGCGGTTGACGAGGTGGTTCTGGCATTTCCATGAGGAGAAGCAGGTCAATTAGGAGTTTCTGACAGAAGATAGAATTACAGTAAGCAAGAATATATGACTCATAGTCCTAATCACTACTACTAGTATATATATACTACACTACTTATATATACTACACTACTACACTACTTCTACTATATACTACACTACTTCTACTACACTACTATAATGAACTTCCGCTCCTCTCGCCTGGTCTACCGCGCCATTGAACCTGCCGACGACGACTTTCTGTATACAGCCCTGTACAATGACCCGGCTGTGCTGACGAATATCTATCCTGGGGCCTTGAAGCCGTTGACAAAAGACGTGCCGGTGGAAATCCGCAAGACAGTTATTGAGACTGCTTTGATTGCGGTGATGATGTGTATTCCTAGTAGTGGTACTTCTAGTACTACTAGTGGTGGCACTGGGAGTACCGGTAGCACTGAAGATACTACCTCAGTTGGAATCATTTTGTTAAAAAAAGACCCCCCCAATCAACTGCATCACCGGCGGGCAGAACTCGCCATCGCCCTCGCCAGTGAACACCAAGGCAGAGGATACGGCCCGGAGGCGATCCGATGGATCCTAGACTGGGGATTCCGCCAGGGGGGACTGCACCGGATCAGTCTGCGCGTGTATGGGGCCAACGAGCGGGCGCTGCGGGTGTATCGCGCGATAGGGTTTGTTCAGGAGGGGAGGCTGCGTGAGGCCATGTGGCGGGATGGGCGGTGGTGGGATTTGATTGATATGGCGATTCTGGAGGATGAGTGGGTGAGTGAGGGCAATCTGATCTGACATAGTCTGGAGGGTATTGATCTATATGCATAACCTAGGGTTATACATTATGCTATCGAGTAACCCAACCCTAAACTAGGTTGATAATGCCATAACCCTAGGGTTAAAAATATATGTTATGCTATGTATAACCCTAACCCTAGGGTTATACAACCCTAAGTACAGAACTGTAGATCGGTGTTTACTATTATAACCCTAGGGTTATATAATAGCATAACAGATATTTGTAACCCTAGGGTTATGGCATTATCAACCTAGTTTAGAGTTAATTCTACAATAAACCATAACCCTGGGATTAATGATATTATAACCCTAGGGTTACAAATATAGTATGCTATATGTAACCCTAACCTAGGGTTAGGACCCTAGTTATTACTGTAGATTAATGTTACTGTGTAACCCTAGGGTTACCCTGATAACCAGACGTACTTTGTGCAAGTACTACAACCCCAATCCAGCTAGCGCTGCATCAACTTCCCGCCAATCAAATCCCCCAGAACCTGTCAGCAACTCGCATCCCCTCAAAGCCCAGAGCTCTGGACTGCCGATCACAGACCTGTCATTCTCTCTCTTCTGTTTCTGTTCTTTCTGTCTGTTTTTATCATACTCTGTACTCTTTCTGCTTCTACTCTTTCTACTCTTTCTACTCTTTCTAGTTCTACTCTTTCTACTTCTACTCCTTCTACCACCACTCCTTCTACTTCTACTCCTTCTACTTCTACTTCTACTCTTTCTACTCTTTCTACTCTCGGCATGAGCGAAGTAGCAGACGGGGCCAAAGGCTCCCGTAAGAAGTTCCGGCCCACCTATTCATGCCTCAACTGCCACAAGCGCAAAGTCAAGGTATTATTTCTTATTCTTATTCTTATTCTTATCTTATTTTTATCTTATTTTTATTCATCTTCTTCCAGTGCGACCGGGTCAAGCCATGTAGTGCCTGCTGTCTACGCGGGACCCCCTCTGAATGCGAATATGGCACCAGCAAACAAGACCGCCATTACATCCATCAATCCGCCCTGATCGAGTCGCTCATGCAGTCCTGCCAGGAGCTCAAAGTCCAGCTCGCCGAGGCCCGCCGCGCTGCCAACCTGCCTCTTGATGATGACCCCAGCAACCCTAACCCTAACCCTAATCCCCAGCCCAAATCGCCGCAGTCGGACTCTGAAAAGGCCCTGACACGCCGGGACAGTGAGTGTCTTAGTGTTTAGTAATCAAGAATTGTTCTTATCTGCTCTCAGGCATCATCACTTCCTCCACTTCCTCCTCTTCTTCTTCTTCTTCCTCCACCAACTCCTTCCAGATCCAACTGCGCTCCCCCCTGGCCGCCAAGCAGATCCTCGAGGTCCTCGTCGGCCGTCTTATCAATGCCTTCAGTCCCATCGAGGCCGTCAACTGCGGCAGTCTCGTCGGCCTACGCGATGCCGCCCAGATGCGTGTCTTCTCGCCGCTGCTGTCCCACGCCTTCGAGGCCGCCTCCTTGACCTTTGTCGGCCGTCAGGAGCGCCATCTCAGCATGGAGAAGGTCGGCCATGTCCGCTATACTCGCGTCCTGCGCCAGCTGCAGCAGGCGCTCAACCACCCCGAGCAGAGCAAGTCGACAGAAGTGCTGGTGGTCGTTTTGCTCTTCATCATTATCGAGGTATTCCTTACCACCCAACCGATTTGAAATAATCTACTAAATGAACAGGCCTTCAAGCAGAGCTCCAAAGATGCCATCCTGCGCCATCAATTAGGCGGCCTGGGCCTGCTCCGTTCGCGCACTCCCTTTCGCCATCGCACCGGCATTGAACGGTCCATGTTTGTCGACCTGCGTCTATACTGGGTATCTCTCTCTCTCTCTCTCTCTCTCTTTACTGTATGGCTTTGTTGACTTTCCAGGTAACAGCAGCTCTGATCCATCGCCGCCCCTCGTTCATGGCGACACCCGAATGGTTAAGCGTCCCCTGGCCGGCCGATGGCCCTCCCAAAGACATCCTTCATCTGCTGCTCGACATCGCCGTCGAGATCCCTGCATACCTGGCGCAGATTGACGAGTTTTCCGAGGCGCTCAAGACCAACGCTCTGGCTCCCTCCGATCTGGTCGCCGCCCAGACGGCCATCTGGGAAAAAGCCAGCGAGCTCGACGGCCGACTGCACCAGTGGAAGGCTTTACATGCGGATACTTATCCTGGCGGGTCTGCGTGGGAAGTGCCGGTTCCAAGTTCGAGGCAGCAGCAGCAGCAGCAGCAGCAGCAGCAAGATCAAACGACTCCCCGCGACGACGACAACTTCCCCATCTTCCAATGCCGAAACCTCTCGACCATGCAGATCGTCACCCCCCCGCTCCACTATTACCCCGACATCCTGCTCTCGCAGAGCATGTGTTTCTACTGGGCGGTGCGGCTGGTGCTCTCGGCCGCCGACTCGGGCGTGGTGAGCGTCAGCTCGGCGCACGAACGATACGTCTACGCCTGTCACATCTGCCGGAGCATGAAATACTACGTTCTGGCCGCGCCGGGCTGTCTCGCCTCGCGCATGATGTTCATCCTCCGCGTCGCGTTCGACACCTTTGCCGACGGGATGATGGAGAAGCGCTTCATCGAGACCCTCTTTGCTTTTATCGGCCACAAGCTGCGTCTCACAGTCTTTACCAACCAGTGTTCCGAGTCGGCTGTCAAGGTCGTCCGCGTCAATGTTTAAGTAACGAAATCACGAGTATAACGAGTATGAGTAGCTATGAGTATGAATGAGTATGACTAGCTATGATCAATGATTACCTGAGCATATCGTATTATACAACTTCCTTGGTCTGTATGGTAAATCCCACCTCGTCCACCGGTAACCAGTTCGTCGTCAGGCGAGTCGATCCATCCGGCATCTCGAGGGGGGTCAGCGCATTCGACTTCACGTTGGTATAGTTTGGATTCGAGGTATATTTTGGATTTGAGGTATAGTTCGAATGTGAGGTATAGTTCGAATGTGAGGGATAGCTCTCGTTTGAGGTATAAGTCTCGTTTGAGGTATAACTCTCGTTTGAACTCGGGTTCGTGTTCGTGTTCACATTCTCATAGTCCAAATAGTATCCATCATATCCATATTGATCATTCAAAGGTTGACTCGGCTTCGTCTCGCACAGGTCCTTCGTCTCCATTGCCCGCTGCAGATCCACCTCGATGTTCTTGAAGAACCCGCGGTCTAGAAACGACCAGTCGGTCCAGTCGAACGCGTCGGAGTTCATGTTCGTATTCATATCGAGGGTGTTCATATTCATATTGATGTTCATGGTGTCTGCCATATTGACTATTCTCCGGAAAAGAGTAGAATGTACGTCCTTGGGCCCAGATCAATACCTCTATTTATTCCATCATTCTACCGAAGTCGGTAAATTGAATCCGGGGAAGCTGGCTGTGCGCTTCGCGATTGGTCCTCGGCACGACTCCGCAGTGCTTTTAACCGTCTATTAACCGTGCGGGGTATGAATATTATCCATATCCATAATACATAATACAAGTCAACTAGTAGGGGGTGGAGAGAGGTAGAGGTAGAGGTAGTATTAATTAGGAGGTAGAGGTAACTAGGAGAGGGACTACAAAGCTAAGCCTGTCCCCTTGCGCGTCCAGCGATACAAGGCCAGAACAGCCTTTCGGCGGTATCGAATCTCGCTATGGTTGACCGGGCGCCCGCGCGCCTGGGCGACGGCGCTGCGCATCACCTGGCGGAAGTTGCGCTGGTACTCGGTGTTGAGGGTGACGACGCACGACTCCGTGGCGCGGATCATGACCTCGCAGGCGTTGAGGATGCCCTCGCCGGCCTCCTGCTGCAGCCGCTCGACGATGAGGAGTAACAGGAAGCTGCCCTGCAGGAGTTGGATGCCGAAGAAGTACGGCATGAAGCTGATGTCCGAGTCGAAGCGGAGGATGTGCTCGACCGAGTCGGCGGCGTCGAGGGCGTGCGAGATGGTCGACGCAAACGTCGGCGACGATGTCCAAAAGTCTTTATCTTCGATCAACGAGACGGGGTCCCATTTCCCAACAAGCAGGATGTGCAGGACGTGCACTAGGTACGACGCGTACGCTAGCACGGTCTGCGTGTGCCATGAGTATAAGGGGGTTGAAGTACCACCGGAAGTAGCAGTAGCAGTAGCAGCCGCAGTGGTAGTAGTAGTAGTAGTAGTAGTAGTAGTAGTAGTAGTAGTAGTAGCAGCAGCAGCAGTAGTAGCACCTCCATCGACTCCCTCAGGAGGGAGATGGTCTTGCTCTGCCGCCGCAAAGGCAGACAGGCTGCTCTTGTAGATCTCGAGCTGGCGCAGCACCTCGGCAACGTGCACGTCCCACGCTTCACGGCCCTGCAGCCGCAGCCCCAAGGTCGGGTGGTTGCGCGCCTGGTTGAGATCGATCAGCTCGCCGGTGATGGTCATCAGCGGGAGGAAGAAGCCGAAGATGGAGTGGTCGTGGCAGGCAAAATGCGGGAAGACACGCCGCCGGTTCTTCTCGCCAGAGAGCAGGCACTGCGGGCCATCCGGTCTAGGGCTGTTGCTGTGGATGTGGCCGGCCTGCCAGGCCCCCTCGTCCAGCGGCAAGAGGAGATCCTCGCTCTCGGCGTCCAGTAAGGCCAGGGGCCGGTTGTAGCACAGCGCCAGGTGGCGGTCCATGATGTAAAGCAGCCACCAGGTGCGGCGCCGCTCCTCGCGGTGCTCCTCGGTGATCATGTTCGTGGCCGTGGCGCCATAACTGTACGGCCGGTCGCAGACGCAATTGAGACTGGGCCTGGCCTGTGTGGTCGAGTAATCAAACTCATGGCGGCTCTGGATCCCCGCCCACGTCGTGTAGTCGAATCCGGGGCTCGAGGCGGCGTCCGTCTGGCCATCGCCGTGGGAGGTCACATCTATCTCCTGGTTGAGCTTGAGCTCACGCGCAAGCGTGAAGGCGGCATGCCACCAGCGCATGCTGGCAGCCTTTTGCTCGCTCGATGAAATGATCGAGGCAACATGGATGTACGTGATGATATCATCCAGTGAACCCGCTGGTCCGACAAGACCCCTATCGTCGCCGCCGCCACCACCACCACCACCACCACCACCACCACCGCCGCCGCTACCGCTACCCGTACCGGCCTCAAAGGGATGCCCCGTCGTCGGATACTCAGGCCCTGCGTCGGTATAGGCGCTTGCAGCAGCAGCGCCCTCGGGGCCCTTGAAAGAGACGTGGATCAGCGGGCGTAATAGACGAATAGTCAGCGCGCAGAGGAACTGGCAGATCTTCTTGCGCTTCGGCGGAGAGATGGAGAGAGCAAAGGCCCGGTCGTCCAGTGCAGCCACCCACAACATACTGGCGAGCAGCGCCGGGCTGCTGGGGCGCGGCGCCTCGCGGTTCATGAACGAGGCCTTGCGCAGCACGTAGCAGTGGATGTGGTGACAGACCGGATGCATATGCGTCGAAAAAGCACTGGTAAAGTACAGCTCCAGCAGCTCATTCACCAGCCGCTGCGACAGATACCCCTCGAGATACGGCATCACCGGCTGCAAAACGGGATATTTCAGCGTTGCCGCCGCCGCCGCCGCCGCCGCCGCTGCTGCTGCTGCTGCTGCTGCTGCTGCTACCTGAGATGCTGAGCCTGTGCGACCGCGATGTCCTGTAATGCTGCTGACTCCCGCAGCGGCCAGATCAATGCCATTCAAGACATCAAACCAGCCGGTGCCGCCCAGCAACTCGTACGAGTCTGGCGACAGATTCGACGCCGCCAGCCACTCCTCCGTCGCATTCCCCGTCGGTAGCCCTGGGGCCTGTGTCCGACCAGCCATCATCGCGCCCCCGTCACGGTGTACGCGTCGTCCGTCGTCAATGCTGGGCGCCGACCGTGCAGTCGTCCCGTTGGTTGTCTGTGGCGACGGCTGGTGAAAGGTCGAGGCCGGCGAGGCAGCCGTCACAGCCATAGGCGGAGGCAGAGGCTGGTTCTTCACCACACTGCTGCTCGAACTATTGTTTCGGATGCTGGCGCTCGCCAGTCCGTTCCAAGCCGGCTTCTCCTTTTCCCCTTCTTCTTCTTCTTCTTCTTCTTCTTCTCCTTCGTCTTCTTCTTCTTCCCCCTCTGCTGCCGCCGCCACCACGACGGCGGCATTCAACTTGGCGCGCGCGACACGCCCTCGTTTACGACGCTCGCGGGTGAACTCGCAATGGATATCGCTTCGCAGACAGCGCGAGCAGGGAAACGCCCGGTCGCACCGCACACGGCGGGCGTGGCAGGCATCGCAGGCGACTCGGTTGCGGCGCCAGCGTCGCTTGGAGCCCGGAGCAGGGTCCTTGCTGGCGGCGGGGGTCGGGGATTGGGCCAGCGAGGCCGCTGGGAGATTCTCTGCCAGCGCCGGCTGATTCATTGCCTCATGGCTTCAGTCAACAGCTCGTCGGCAGGGAGGGGGAGAGCAGCAGGTCGGAGAGTGAGGAGGAGGTTTCGGTGAGGATCAGCAGGAGAAGAAGCGACAAACGAGCGGGGAAGCCACGTGAGGAGGACAATTATTCTTCCAGTGGTTGGGTTTGCACAAGTCTAGGCATTTACTCCATAATAATAACTGGTTGGTTGGCCAGTCTTACCAGTCGGAGTTTATGTTGAACGATTGTTTCTTGGAAAAGTGGGCGCCAGGAAGGAAATTAGCCGAGGCTGGAGGCGAGAATCGACTGCAAGTCGGGGTAAAAACCGGGGTAGAAATAGATTAATGCTTAATTAATTGAAGTGCAGCTATACAAGGATTGATATGTGATGTTTTATTGATACCTTGTCTGTGGTTGTAGTTACATGGAACTGTAGTATTAGTTATGTAGTAACTAACCGAGAGCGCTGTGGAAGTAAAGACATGTAATTATTGCAACGCCCGTTTATACCGTGCCAACGCTCGCCCACGACTCGCCGAGTGGTCGACGATCGGTCGTGGATAGCCCTGCTTCGCAGCGATGGCTTCGGCCCCCCGGTGGTATGGATCGTGGATGGCGGCGCCCTTGACGTCGCGCAGCTCGGGCACCCAGCGGCGAATGTACTCGCCGTCGCGGTCGAAGCGCTCGCTCTGCAGCACAGGGTTGAAGATGCGAAAGTACGGCTGCGGGTCGACTCCCGTACTGGAGCCGAACCCCCAGCCGCCGTGGTTGGAGGCGAAGTCGCCGTCGACGAGGTGTTCCATGAAGAACCGCTCCCCGCGCCGCCAGTCGATCAGCAGGTCCTTGGCTAAGAAAGAAGAGACCACCATGCGCGGGCGGTTGTGCATCCACGCGCAGTGGCGGAGCTGGCGCATCGCCGCGTCCACCAGGGGATATCCCGTGCGGCCCTCGCTCCACGCGCAGAAGGTCTCCTCGTCGTACTCCCACTCCACGTTGGTGAACTCGGGCTTGAAGCACTTGTTCATGCAGATGAACGGCCAGTGCACCAGCACGTGCCGGTAAAAGTCGCGCCACGCCACCTCGCTGATCCAGGTCGACAGGCCGGCGTTGGCGCCCGTGAGCTGATGTCGGTTCGCCGCCTGCGCCCGCGACACCGCCGTCCGCGCGCTCAGCACCCCCGCCGCCAGGTACGGGCTGAGCACCGAGGTCGCCTGCTTCTCCATGTAGTTGCGATTGTCGGCGTACTGGCGGCCGGCGGAGTCTAGGAACTTTTGTAGCCGCTCCAGCGCCGATTCCTCCCCTTCCGGGTAGAGCGTGCGGAACCGCTTCTTCTCCTCGTCCGACAAGGTCTTGTTGCTCGGAGCAGGGGGCACCTCGCTGGCAAAGAGGTCGGCCGCCAGCTGCTTCCGGGCGCCCGCCGGATTCGAGGCGGGGGCATCGATCACCTCTAGATTTTCCGGGTTCTGGCGCAGAAACGTGCACCAGGCCCGGTACCAGGGCGTGTAGACCGCGTATTGGTTGCCCTGCTGGCTGGCCAGGGCGCCGGGGGTCACGACGCAGGTGTCGTGGACGGCCTCGAACTTGATTCCCTGGCGGGCGCATCGGCGGATCAGTCGGGCTTCCCGGCGCAGCTCGTCGACCTCGTACTCAAGGTTCGCGAAGATATGGTTGGCCCCCCACTGCTGACACAGCTCGACAATCCGCCCCGGGATCGCCTGCCGTTTGTCCTGCGTTTCCATGTACAACGGGATATCGCGTTCGCCCAGCACCTCCTTCAGCACTCGCAGGTTCCGCAGGGTGAAATCGACGCGGGCGGGACTGCACAAGTGTGCAGTCAGATCCTCCGGGGAGAGAATATAGAGGCAGATCAGCGGGATCTTGTGTTCCTGCGCCACCTGCGACGCCAGCTGTAGAGCCCGGTTATCTTCCAACCGCAGATCGGACTTGAACCAATGGACGACGGCACGGTGCGGCTCAACCGACCGTCGCTCATCTTGAGTCTCCTCGTAGGCCTGCTGCAGCTCCTCGATGGGTCGTAGCAAGGTGCCGTTCGTGTAGGCGTGGCAGCGCTCGTTGCTCATCTCGGGGGGGTAGAAGTCCCGCAACACGATCCCAAACTCCTCGAGCTGCTGTGCCGAGGGATGAAACCGAGGTACTTCGCCGACAGACGGTTGATTCACCGTCTGGCTGTCATTTCCAGGGGGTGGTTCATCGTGAGATTCCTCGGGTGCTCGTCGTTTTCTCGCCCGAGGCATCGTGAAGGGCCGCGAGGGAAGAAAGCGAGAAGTTGGGATAAACACAGGGCGAGACAGAACCAAAGCTCGTCGGATCATGAACACTCGTTATTTTTCCTCGCGAACCCACGCGTCCTTGCTTTATTAAACCGACACGATCGCGATCGCGATCGGAAAGAATGTCGTACTCCGCAGGCAGATCCGCCAGATCGAGACGATCGAAACCGGGCCTGGCCTGGCCTGACGTCAGGGCCCGAGAGCGGGTCGATTGCAGCCCCATCAGGTTGTTGAGCTTTTGTTCATGTCGTGTTGAGAGAGAAGAGAAGAGAAGAGAAGGATAGAGAGAAGAGAAGAGGAGAGAAGAGGAGAGAAGAGAAGAGAAGAGGAGAGAAGAGAGAGAGAGAGAGAGAGAGAGGGAATGGACTAGCCCGTACTGGTTAGGGTACTGAGGATAAGGCTACAATATTGATGCCTAAGGCTAGAACTATGCCTGAGGCTAGAACTATGCCTGAGGCAACAGACACCTGAGGCACTTCAGACTGTAGAAAGTCACGATCACAACTTCGACTTGACTTCAACTTCGACTCGACTTGACTTCGCTCTCGCTGTCTCCTTCTCACTCTCGATATTAACTTCGTCTGTGCCTTTATTTGCCTCACTGTCCCAAATTAGAAATACTAGCCTGTATTTCGGTCTCGTATTCCTCTTTTCGACTCCCTCCGAAAGCCCCCGTCTCCGTCTGGGTCCCCGAAGGCCATCGGCCAGGCCGGCGCCTATCAGTCTGGTCCACTGGCGATCCGATTTGAGTTCGTCATGGAGTCATGGACCCAAAAGTTCGGTTCAATAGTCCAGAGCGGCGACGCCGGATCCAGTGCGTGCGCTGTGCGTCGCTCAGATCCGTGGTTTGCCGTGGGGGCTGTCAGTCGGTTACGGGGTCGCTGCTGGCTGCAGAATGGGGATTTGGACACACGGCGAAGATCTGGAGACAGCCTCTATTCCATTGCTCGCTGGGTCTGGCCTCGTGCAAGTCGGCAGGACGCTTCTGTGCACGGTAAGTTGCCAATTCAGCCCCCCCCCAAGATCCTCTCCCGTCCGTATACTGATCGTCAGCGTTTCTTTCCACCACTAGCACGGCACGGACTACGAGAGAACAGGGGGGTAAAGGACCGTCACTTTGGAATCTCCTTGCTGCGTGGTGTATAAAGTTTTTTTCTTTTCCCCTTGACCGGTGGTCAAATATCCGATCGCTTGCCTGCTTCCCACAACTAGGTTTTTTTGGGTTGCCGACGTTTTATTTCTACTGGCCGCCTCCCCCCCCTCTTCCCCAGGAAATCGAAATCTCCAAAGGGCCTTTTCAATCGCCGTTGAACTCTTTTCTCGTCTTCAGGGTGCGCGTCCCCGAGGCGCATTCGCTTCCCCTGCTCCAGGCATAAAAGCGCGCCCCGGACCCCCCGGCGAAGAGCACAAGACCATTGTCTGATCGCCACCCAAGGTCGAACAATCCGCGCAATCCGTTTCGGCCCGGAGCACATTCATTGTCGCTGTCGCTGCTGTCGCTGCTGCTGCTGCTGCTGCTGCGGTGGCCAGTTCAACGCTCCCTGATGTCGCCGTTGCAGACAGTGCTTCCATGGCGGTGCCACGAGCCGACAACTCTCCCGAGGGCTTGTTCGATCCCAGCGCATACCAGCGGCGGACCGACCAGTTGATCTTTGCGGCCTTCATTTCCATGACCCTCTTCAACTCCCTCGAGCTGATCGTGTTGTGTTTTGGCACCTTCAAGCGCCGCCAGGGGCTCTACTTCTGGAGCTTGCTGGTCGCGTCGGCCTGCCTCATCCCATACGCGATTGGTTTCCTCCTCATCTTCTTCCACACCGGTGTCAACCCGTATCTTCCCGTCACCCTCATCGTCTTCCCCTGGATGGGCATGGTTACGGGTCAGTCGCTGGTGTTGTACTCGCGGCTGCACCTGGTCTGCCAGAACCCCAAGGTGCTCCACGCCGTGCGGTGGATGATCATCATCAACGCCTTCTGCCTGCACATCCCCACCGCGGTGCTCATCTACGGTGACGCCTCGCCAAGCTTTCCGTCCTTCGCCTTCGGCTACAGTATCATGGAGCGCATCCAAGTCGTCGGCTTCTGTCTCCAGGAACTCATCATCTCCGGCATCTACGTCTGGGAAACGGTCAAGCTGCTGCGCCTACGGCCCCAGGGCTGCCGCCGCGGCATCTTCAACCAACTGCTCGTCATCAACATCGTCATCCTCGCCATGGACCTCGCCGTCGTCGGCATCGAGTACGCAGGCTACTACCCCATCCAGGTCACCCTCAAGGCCTTCGTCTACAGCATCAAGCTCAAGCTCGAGTACTCCATTCTCGGCAAGCTGGTCCTCGTCGCAAAGGGCGCCTGCTCCCTTCCCGATCCCGCCTCCAGCGGCTACGAGCCGGACTCCTCTCTCTCCCAGTCCCAGTCGCAATGTCCTTCGCACTCTCTTCCCTCCTCCCGTCGTACCCAGTCCTCCTCCAGTCCTGCCGCTGACTGGCTCGAAGAATTCGAAATGGGGTTGCCCTATCTGCATCCTCATGCAGCTTACTCATAACACGTTCTCTCATATCCTCTCATAATTCCTAATCTCTCTAAAAAAATCTTTAATACTGGCTAGATGGCGCACATCAAAAGTTCAGACCTGTACATACTACATACATTACATACCCCCAGCGGCTGTCATTATTTTTTAACCATATACCTTGAATATATATATATATATAATAAATTGAAATAAGGATATACCAGTTCATTATTAGGTGCGAGCCTGCAGCACCAAGACACAGCCAGGCGGAGCGGGTCGCGGGTTGTCTCCGTAGATGAGATGCGGCGGAAAACGACCCGGTCGGAGAGGGTTGTGGGGAGCGAGTCGTGGAGGGTCGCGAAGAAGATGGAATCGGATTCGGAATCAGAAGACGCCTGCGCTGTAGCTTTCGCTGCGTGAGCAGACGATGAAGGAGGCACGTCAACGTGGACAATCGTCGCGGTGACGTGGTCGTTCTGGGCTAGCTGGAGGACGAAGCGCAGGGCGAAACGGTCGTCGGCGCCGCCGAAAAACGGCAGGACGATGTGGTGGGAGCGGGCGCCGCCGGCGGGGGAGCGGTTCCAGACCGAGCTCCGGGCACTCAGGGAGCGCGGGTTAGGCGGACGGTCCTGCGTGGCGGACGGGGCGGTGGTGTTGCTCTGGTAGACGCTCCGCTCGATGAAGACGCCGATGTTGCTCTTCACACGGCTGACGACGCTCGAGACAAAGGCTGCGTACGGCCCGTTGGCGAAGCGCGAGTCCTCTTCGTCCAGGCCGAGGCCGCTCAGCCGTTCGGTCATGCCGCCCGTCTCGCTCCAGGGGAGGAGTAGTAGGTCTGTGGACTCTTCGCGCGCCATGTCCACCACCGTGTCAGCGTAGGCGGCTTCCGGGATGACCGAGACCCCGGCCATGATCGAGATGTTGTGCCACTGACCAAAGGCGCGGAAGGTGTTCACGACCGGGTCCCAGAGCGAATACTCGTCGATTTCAGAGACCTTCATCACACTCGAGACTCGGTCTGTCAGCTCGATCAGCCGCACCCCGTGGACCTGCAGGGCTTTGCGCCCGTCCCCATCCTCGGGAGTGCCCATCGATTCCTCGGTGTCCTGTGGTGCAACCGGAATTTCGGCCTGCGTCGTTTTGGCCGGGTGGACCCGGGGGGTGACCCGGCTGGAAGAACCTGCCAGCAGAGCGGCCAGCGTGCAGACGCCTGGCAGACCGTCCAGGCGCAGATAGACCACCAGCTTTCGGACGGTGATGGATTTGAGATGATCCTTGGTCAGCTGCACGCTATCGGCGCGACCCTCGGGCTGCAGCGGCTGGCCATCCCAGTCGATCTCACCGCGACGCCAACGATCCACCTTGATCTGGTACCATGTCGGATAGAGGGCGACAGTCAGCGGGGTAGTGGCAAAGGTCGTGACCAGGGCCATGACGACAAACATGGTGAAGGTCTGGGTGCTGAGGATCTTTGCATCAAGTCCGATATTCTGCCAGATATTAGTTCTCTCTCTCTCTCTCTCTCTCTCTCTCTCTCCCATCTCTCATTTCCAGTCTTGAGAAGTATTTACCAAAACAATCAATTCGACTAGACCCTTGCAGCTCATCAGAACTCCAATGGCACAGCTCTCGCGCCAAAGCAGGCCAGTGAAACGAGCAGCCAACGCGCCTCCGGTCACCTTGGCGATGAAAGCGATGGCAATAATGCCAACGACATATCCCCAGACAATACCCGTGTTGAGCAAGCCAAGATTGGTACTGAGCCCGGAGAGGGTGAAATAGAGAGGGAGGAAGATGGAAGCGACCAAGTCTTCGATCTTTTCGGTGAGCTTGATGGCAAAGCCGCCCTCGTGCGGACACAAGAGGCCGATGATGAAGCCGCCAAAGATGGCGTGGATGCCGATAACCTGGGTGAAGAAGGCGGAGGCGAGGGTGATGAGCAGGGTGACGGTGACGACGGCTTGGCTAGGACCCTTCTCCAAGCTCCCCGTGCGTTTCAGGAAGCGCATGAACAGGGGGCGGAAGACAAACACCAGCATCAGAATGTAGCCCACGAGGACCAGCAGGACATAGAGGGCAGTGATGCCGCTGTCGGCGTTGACCAGGGTAACGCACAGCGCCAGCAAGATCCAGCCAACCACATCGTTACCGACGCCCGCGGAGAGTACGATGACACCCACATTTGTGCTCAACAGCTTCAGATCGGTGAGAATGCGACAGAGCACGGGAAAGGCCTGGTTGTCAGCGATTTTACCAGCAAACGGAGTAGAAGAAGAAGGAGGAGAGAAGAAGAGAGTCTTACAGTGATAGCCATGGCAACACCGATGAAGAGCAGGAATGTGCCGTAGCTGACAGGAACCGTGTCTGCCTCATTCTGGAACTGCTTGTAGATGCCGTACGAGATGGCGCTGCCGAGGCCAAAGGGTAGAATCATGCCGGCGGCCGAGACACTGGACGCGACCCGCCAGTTACTGACCAGGAAGCGCACGTTGGTCTCGAGACCGACCTGGAACAGGAACAGCACCAGGCCCAGGTTCGCGACCAGGTTCAGATTGGGAATCGAAGCCGTGGGAAAGATGGCGTCGGTGAAGCCCGGGATGCGGCCCATGACAGACGGGCCAAGCAAAATGCCGCCGATGATCTCTGCGATGACGCGGGGCTGGTTGATCTTGGCCAGCGGCCAGTGCAGCAGGTGACAGAAGATGATGATGATGCCCGCCTGGATGATAAACACGATGATGGGGTTCGACGAGTCATAGTGCGATGGGTTGCTGCCTTGCAGAATGCCCTGAACCGCCGCTCGGCTGGTGGTGGTGGCCGCAGCCGCCGCGGTGGTGGTGGTGGTGGTCATGATGACCCCAGACGAGACGAGGAGGGAGTCAAATCTGATGAGAGAGCAGTTAGGAGATGACAACGATGAGAAAGAGGAAGAGGAAGAGGAGGAGGAGGAGGAGGAAGAAGAGAAGGAGAGCTTTGATTGCGGCAGATGAAAGATACCTCCCAAGGTACTGCTTTGTACAAACTAAACCGAGTAACGCTTGTATTGTACACTTGAGCTTATTTAGTGTTATAACAACTAGTACAGAGTACAGAGCACTATCTTATAATTTAATATTTCTATGAATTTACGATGATAGATCAGGAATATTCTGCTACCTATGTTCCATTTGTATGACTGTATTGACTGTTGTATTTGCTGTTGTATTTGCTGTTGTATTACTGTATCGTACTTACTGTACTGATCTAGTCCACCTCTGGTTAGCCATGATAAGAGCCGGCCACTCTGCGGGGAAGCGACGGCACGTGGGCTGCTCGTTATTTGCTCTTCAATTGCCTCATCTTTTCTTCGCTCTTCCCACAGACGGGGTTGTCCATCTCTCCATCTATCTGGGCCTCCTTTTCGTGTCTTTCATCGATTCTGGGGGGTTTCTCTGATAGTCTGTCCCGCCAGGTCTTTATGAGAGTATCTATAACCCCGGTGGCGCCGTGTACGACAGCCAAGATAAGGCTGCAGTGAATTGGGTGCAGTTGGTGCCAAGGGGTGACGGTCATGTTGCCAATGCAGTGTAACACTCAAAACCTCGAGTACTAGTGCTCTGTGCTCTGTACGGAGTAATGTGGATGTGCTCGTCAAGCTGACGTGTTCGCAGTGACTAGTAGCGGAGAATATTTCCGGCCGCCTATCTATCGAGATGGACCCTGCTTTTGCAAGAAGATGAGGAGCAATCAGGAGGAGACAAATTGCCAGTGATGTTGGAAAAAACTCACTACTGTGATGATAGGATTGGATTGTCTGGAGAGGCTACCGCCTGGCGAGGCTACCACCAGACAGGGCAGGAGATTGCCTCCTGGCAGGCGAACAGCCAGAATTCCGGTCCATTGCTTGACAGTCATGCTGAGATCATGTCTAGAGTGGCCTTCAGAATGCTGTTGCGACTGAAGGGTCGACTGGTAACTCGATACACTTCCTAACACAACATTAGAAAAGATGGCGAGTGTATTCCCTAGGTATGGCAGAATATCCATATTTCAAGTTCTCCGCTCATAAACAGCACTGTCTACGTTCCTCATGCTACGGAGACGATGAAAGCGGCCCAATGGATGGGCACGCGTGTGATCGAGCTGAATTCGGTCCCCAAACCGACCATCACCGACCCCGGCGACGCCATCATCCACATCACCCACTGTACCATCTGCGGCTCCGATCTACACCTGTACGAGGGCGAGCTGAACGACGCGATGCAAAAGGGCGATATTCTCGGTCACGAGGCGATTGGTTTTGTCGAGGAGGTCGGCTCAGACGTCAAGAAGCTCGCCCCCGGCGACCGGGTGATCATCCTGCCCATAATCGCCTGTGGCTCCTGTGATTACTGCCAGAGACAGGAGTACTCGCTGTGCGACAACACCAACCCTTCGCGCGAGATGGAGCGGGCCTACGGGCACCGGGTATCCGGGACATTTGGTTACTCGCACCTCACGGGCGGCTACGCCGGCGATCAAGCCGAGTACTGTCGCGTTCCCCACGCGGATCTGACCTGCGTCCGGGCCCCCCCCGATGTCGATGCCCGCAAGCTGCTGGGACTGGCCGACGTCACCACCACCGCCTGGCATGGCTGCGAGCTGGCCGAGGTAGGCCCCGGCGACATCGTCGGCGTGTGGGGATGCGGGCCTGTCGGGCTGTCAATCCAACGGCTGGCGCTCCTGCGCGGGGCCCGCAAGGTGTACGCCATGGACAAGGATCCCGTGCGGCTGCGCATCGCCGAGAGCTTCGGCATGGTCGCCATCGACGTCGCCGCCCATCCCGAGACGGCCGACTTCCTGCTCGCCATCCAGCCGGGCGGGCTCGACCGCGGCATCGAAGCCAGCGGCTTCCGCAGCTCGCAGAAACCCGCCCACGCCGCCATGCGCGCCATCGGTCTCGAGCACGACAGCAGCGACACCGTCGCCGCCATCATCAAGGCTACCCGCAAGGGCGGCTCCGTCGCCCTCATCGGCGACTTCTTCTTCACCACCCACGACTTTCCCATCGGGCCCATGATGGAGAAGGCTCTGACCGTGCGCGGCGGACAGTTGGCCGCCCAGAAGGTAAGTACTTCCCTATTCGCCCCTACCTCACAGGCTTGCGTTGATCTTTTCTTCCAGTACCACCCCTTCCTGCTTGACCTCGTCGTTCAAGGGAAATATGACCCGTCATGGATTTTCACATATGAAGGTAGGCCAAATCCATTAAACTCCCTTCCTGCGAACTCTCTAACCCATCTAGATGACTTTGAGAACATCGTAGAGGACTATCGCAAGTTCTCCCGGCATGAAATCCCCGGCGGGCTTAAAGTGTGTTTGGTGACGCAGTTTGGGCGGAGCTTGAATTCCAAAGAATAGTCTCCTAGATAATAGATCTCAGTGTTGAAGTCTCTACAACACTACCATTCAGTACCTAGCACAATCGCTAACCAGACTTGATAATATCTGCCGGACCCATTAAAGTACATTTGATATGGACAACCGAAAGAGTTCCCCCCATCCATAGAATCATGACTCAACTGTCTGCCAATGCCATACCAAATTACTATCAAGACACCTGCTGGTCAAGACAACCGAAAAAAAAGAAACAACAACTGCTGGCGGTGCAAGCTATGTTCCGAAAAAAAAAAAAAGAAGAGAAAAAAGTAACGTTGAAAGGGTACAAAAGGTAGAAGCGAAACCGATTAAACTCTCCGTGCGGTTCGCAGCTTGTTTGCACTTCCACTGGGAAGAATGTCGCCATGGTCATCGCCAATACGGCTATTGGTTTGGCTATCGGAATTATCACTCTCGCTGTCGCTGTCACTGTCACTCTCGCTCTCGCTCTCGCTGCTCTCTTCGTCGGAGCTGTCCGAGTCCGGCCCTTCGAAGATATCCTTCCGGGCCGCCAGCGACGCGTTGGGATCAGGTTTCTTCTTGAGCGCTCGCTCGGCTTGTTCCTGGTGTTTAACGGCACGCATCAGTTTGAGGGTCGGACGTCCGTTGGCGTTCATGTCGACAGGAGGCGTCTGTGGTTGTGATTGTGGCCGTAGCTGGGGCTGGGGCTGCGACTGTGGGAAGATGAACGACGGGGACGGGGACGCCAGCACCGGTTGTTTCGTGGGTTGTGAAGAAGACCGGGCAACTCGGGCCAGAATGTCGGCCTTGCTCACCGTCGGTGCATCTCCTTCGCTTCCTTCTTCTTCTTCTTCTTCTTCTTCTTCTTCTTCTTCTTCCTCCTCCTTTTCTTCTTCCTCTTCTTCTTCCTCTTCTTCTTCTTCTTCCTCCTCTTCTTCTTCCTCCTCCTTTTCTTCTTCCTCCTCTTCTTCCTCCTCCTCCTCCTCCTCCTCCTCCTCCTCCTCCTCATCATCATCATCTCCTACCGCTTCAACATCCACCAAGCTGGAAACTTCAAGGCTCGGCGGGGAATCAGGCTCGGGCTCGGACTCAGAATTTCCAGACTTGGACCCCTCATCCTCCTCGTCGGAGGTTGACAAGTCCAGCGGTTCATCCTGGCTGGACCCTCGGTTCAACTTATTCTGTCTCACAGGATCCACGGCCTTACCCTGGGCAGAAGGAGGAACTTGGTTGGTTTGTGAAGCGTTGACGCCGTTCACCTTGGATGCAGACGTCGAAGAAGTCGAGGATATGGAACGAGCCTTCGCCGCTGGGGTGGGAATGGCTGGTTTGCTTTGAGCAGTGGCGGCGGAAGTTGAAATGTCCTTTACAGGAGTCGACTTGGTCGCAACAGTCGTAGCTATTCCAGGATACTTTGCGGTCGAAAGACTAGCCTTTCCGTTGACGGTAGGAACTGGTTTGGTAGGCACCGTTTTCTTCGACGGAGTGCTCTTGACCGGCGTGGGCTTGTCGGCCAGCGTACCGTTCGTCTTGGTGATCTTGGTTGCACTTGTAGGCGTGGGAGGGCCGTTATCCGCATTCGCTAGACTGGTTTCGTACGTTTCAAGCTCTTTGCATTTCTTCTCTAGCTCCCCCTTGAGTTTCTTGAGCTTGGATTTGTCCTTCTGCCGGTGACTGCGCTCCAATTCGCCCACCTGAGTCGAGGCAGTATACACATCGCGCAGCAGCTGGACGTACTCGGACGGTTTGCCCGCCTCGGCTGCGCTCGCGATCCGCTGCTCCCACTCCTCCTTCTCCTCCTGGATCTTTTGCACTTTTTCTTGCGCTTCCCTCTCGTATTGCGCCAGCTTAGTAGGCGAAACGTCTTCTGGAAACACCATTCTGCTTGGAGTCGACGACGTCTTTCTGGCAGAGTCCGTAGCGGAAGATGGTGTGCCTGCCGCCGGCGTTGCCTTGGCTAGTTTGGAAACGGGGGTAGTAGTAGACTTCGGAGTAGACTTTGGAGGAGCGGACGTGGGCTGAGAGATGAAAACATCATTGTCCTCGGCGAAAGAGACAGACCTCCGCTCTCCGTGTTTATCGCCCGGTGAATCTTTGCGCAGAGCGGACGAAAGCCGTTTCACATTCTCAATCGCAGGGGTCAGCACCTTGGAGGGCGTGATCATCTCCTGAGTGGACAGATCGTGCTGAGTGTCGGGGGCGCTACTGGAAAACGCAGGCGTTGTAAAGAGCGGCGGCGGGTTAGGCTTGTTCGCCGCCTCGGTGGACAGCGTCGAGTCCGGTGAGTGATCAAAGGGCACCGTCTTCTTACCCGGGGGACTGCGCGTGATGCCTAGACCAAGGCCACCCCCCTTGGACTGATCTGTGAGACTTGGACGTCGGCCGGGTTCCGAGAAAGAGGGTCTACGGAACACCGAGGCGCCGCCGTTAGGCAGCTCGGGGGCTTTGGGAGTCGATTCTTTTGACGTGTCGGCCGGCTTGGTAGGGCTCTGTGAGGCCAAACGGGGTTCCTTATTGGGAGTTGGGGGCTCGAGACTCTTCTTCCTCTTGCGGGTTCGAGGTTCCGAGGCGTGGTCATTCGTCTTCGCAGAAGTCGGCTGCTTGGCCGTCGGGCTCTCAATTACAACCATGGGAGAGGTGGTTGGTAATGGGGTGGTCACCTTCGTGGGCGGGAGAGGAACCAGGTCGGCATCAGGGTCAGCATCGGCCATCTGCACATCTCCATCTGCACGTCGCTCCTCGTCAGAACTCTCATCCAACAGGATGGGTTCCGGTTCCGGGATATGCTTCGGTAGCGCTTTTCGGGTGCCCAGAGGCGACTCGGAGCCACTGGCATTGCCCGATTGCTGAGAGGGAACTGCGAGATGTGATTCCGATCCATTCCGTGCGGCCGACTGTCCCGAGACCGAAACCGGCTGAGACCGAGGTTTCGCGTTCGAATCGATCCATCTGGTGTTGCGGGTACGAGCGGAGGCCGGCGAGTCGCCTAGTTCCTGGCTCATAAGGCGTCTCGGGGGTGGCGTACTGGCGATCGCACTGGTCCGGCGGTTCTGCGAGTCTTCTTCCAGCAGCGTCGACTGCGGTTGACCCCATCGGGGTAGGGGCAGAGCCTCTTCGCGCTCGACTGAGGGCAACGAGACGTCTCGGCGCGAGTGACCGCTAGTCGAGGTTGGCGTGCGCTGATGGAAAGCATCCAAGGGTTCGCTAGCAATGCTCTCCGAGATGGAGGCCTGCGACTGAGATGGTTCTTCCTCAATGGTGGCTAATTTTTGCATCGATTCCATGGCCTCTTTCTTGATGTCCTTCAGTCGCTCGTAGTCCTCCGCGGCTGCGTCCCAGTCTTGTGTCACAGAGGGAAATCGAACAGGGGCATAAGGGGCGGGCTTCTGGATCACTCGAACCGCGCCACGCTGGTCGAGGCCGTCACGCAGTCCCTTGCCAATATCAACAAACACGTCCGCCACGGTCATTTCGGCGTCCAAGTCGTCCGCGTCGTGGCTATCATCGAGCAGTTTTTTGATCTCCAGGGGTCTGCCTCGTGTCAGCAAGACACTTCTCCCAACACCGATATATATGCCCGCGGTCACTCACCCAGCATCCGGTCGCAGTTTTGCCCATTTCTCCTGGATCATTCCTGCCAGCGCCCCCAGCGTCACCTCCTCCGGCTGCTCCAACACCAGCAGGAAGCTCACAGGCTTGCCCGTCGCAGACGTCGCCGCGCCTCTGCTCGAGTCATCGCGTGAAGAATCGCCGATCAGCGACCGCAGCGAGAAGGAGGACGAGGTCTGGACTTGTTCGCGGGGGAAGACTTTAACGGTGAGGCGGAGGAAAACCATCGCGGCGGGAGGGGGGGAAACGTAGAACGCAAGGTCGTCACAGTATCGCTCGGTCCAGAGGCATGATCCACGGCTGTCAGAGCAAGGTATAGAAGCGTTCGTCGGTTCCTACGCGAGCTGTCAGCGTCTTGTTCAACGTCTTGTTCAGAGAGACAGAGAGAGACCAGCCCTCAGCTCCAATGGTAGCTTATACAATGAGGCGAGAGACGATGAAACAGAGTAGGAAAGAAGAAAGGAAAAAAAAGGAAATACAAACAGAAAAAAGAAAGCAAGAAGCAACCCCAACAGCCTGCAATGACTGCACAGAGTCCAGGGGTGAATAAGAGAGAAAGAGAGAGAGAGAGAGAGAAAAATGCAGTGGCAGGAAGACAAGAGCAGGATTCACTCCCACACCAAGACTACTCTATATTTTAGATATAGAGACACTTGGCTATTATTATCTGGTCAATATATATTCACTAAAATAATTATTTACTCTATAACAGCTCTCTTTCTCTGTTACTGCTAGGAGTTGTGAGCTGCTGACTCAGCACAAAGTTTTCTGATAAGAAAATTCACAAATTATCGTCAACCGCCCAAGAAATCATCACCACCAAGCAACAGCCCAACAGCATCATGGGCAAAGCACCGCGCAGCAAGCCCGGCGGCGGCAAGGCGCCGTACTCGAAGCCCGACTGGGCCAAGAGCTCGTCGCCCATCTTCAAATTCAACACCAACATCGGCCAGCACATCCTGAAGAACGCCGCCATCGCCGACGCGATCGTCGCCAAGGCCAACATCCAGCCCAGCGACAGCGTGCTCGAGGTCGGTCCGGGGCCCGGTGTGCTGACGACTCGCATCCTGGAGAAGGCCCGCAAGGTCACTGCCGTCGAGCTGGACCCGCGGATGGCCGCCGAGCTCACCTGTCGTGTGCAGGGGACGCCAGCAGAGCGCCGCCTGCAGATCATCGTGGGGGACTTTGTCAAGACGGATCTGAACAAACTGCCTCCGTTTAGCATCTGCATCAGTAACACGCCTTACCAGGTAGGTACATCAATGCCACAGATGAAACCTGTATATACTAAGCGGTTAGATCTCCTCACAGCTCATCTTCAAACTGCTCTCGCACCCGACCCCCCCCCACACCAGCGTGCTGATGGTGCAACGCGAGTTCGCCCTGCGTCTGATCGCCCGCCCAGGGGACTCGCTGTACTCGCGTTTGTCGGTGAACGCCCAGTTCTTCGCACGCATCTCGCACGTCATGAAGGTCGGTAGGAACAACTTCACCCCGCCGCCGCAGGTGGAGTCGAGCGTGGTGCGGATCGAGCCCAAGACAGACCGGCCAGCCATCAGCTGGGACGAGTGGGACGGCATGCTGCGCATCTGTTTCGTGCGCAAGAACAAGACCCTCCGTGCGAGCTGGATGGCGACCAAAGTGCGCGCCCTCATCGAGTCCAACTGGATGACCTGGGCCGCGATGCATCCGGAAAAGGTGTTGGAATCGGATATTGCCTTCCTCCAGGGCCAGCAGACGGATGACCACGACGGCGACCACGAGATGAAGATGGATACCGAGGACCAGGACCAGGAACAGGAAAGTGACGATGACATCGACCTCGACTTCTTCGATGACGGCAAACCCGCCGAGAAGACCAAGCACTCCGTCAAGGCCGACAATAAAGGCTCCGTGACCATCGGCGCCCACCGCGTGCCGCGCGTCATGGTCACCAAGCTGATCATCCGCAAGATCGAGCGCATTCTCGAGACCTCCGGTCTGTCGGGCGCCCGCGCCAATAAGTGCGATGAGAACGACTTTCTGCGTCTGCTGTATACATGTAACGAGGAGGGAATTCATTTTTCGTAACTAACAGAGTCGGAGTCCAGAGTACACATAGCATATCATTACGAGCGACGATTAATGAAAAAGTTTTAATACAACTCTTATCTAAATACACTATATAGAACATTGTGATCAAATCAATGATCCGCGGTAAAGTAGCGCTTGAATCGATCAATCCGCGTCAACTGCAGCTCCCAAACCACCCAGTGGCAGTTCATGAGCAGGCTGGGGAATCGCACCGCCCAGAAATTCAGATACCCGTCCGGCAAGCCGCCGATGTGCGCCTTGAGATGCTCCGGCATGTCGTTGTAGTGGTTGCGTTTGTTGCGCAGGGCGCGCAGCAGGTCCAGCATCTTGGACCCGGTGTACTTGCGCTGCTTGCCCAGGCTGTCCTTGAACTCCTTGGGGAGGAGCTTCAGGAAATCCATCTCCGGGCCGATCACGTCCTCGGCGATCGACTCCAGACAGAGCAGCGCCGGTGAGGGCGGGTCGCGCGGCTCGAATTCAAAGTGGTCGGAGACATCGCACAGGAAGCTGAGCCGGTCGGATGACGACCAGAAGAAGGGATGGATAAGCACAGAGGTGGCATCGGGGCTATCAATTAGTACATACTCTATAACTTGGAAAGAAGAAAAAAAAAAAAAAAAAAAAAAAAAAAAAACCCTTACCGTCGTCGCGGGTCAAGAGATAACATGGAACGGATCAGATCGTCTGCTTCGAACGCGTAGTCGCCCAGTCGTTGCAGCTCGTCCAGGTTGAAGTCGCCCTTGACGATGTTGGCCTCGCGCATGAACTTGCCGTTCTTGTCAAACGGATGGCCGCCGCGCGTGAGGACGTAGTAGAAGACACAGCCGAGCGAGAAGATGTCGATCGCCCGCGTCGCGCGCCGGTTCGTCTGCGGATCCACGACCGCCGGCTCCGACGACTCGGTATGCTGCGACTCGACCGAGTGGCCCGCCGACATCATGGCCGGGCGCTGGTCGTCGTCCACCAGCAGCTCCGGGGCACGCCACCCGGACGTGCCCGCCGCGTGGGCCGTGGTCGCCCGGAACGAGCTCTGGTTGTCCTCGAGCTTCTTGCACAGGCCAAAGTCCGAGATGAGCAGCCGGATCGAGGCCGTGATGCCCGTGCGCCCGCGCGGCCGGGCGACCAGGATGTTCTGCGGCTTCAGATCGCGGTGCACGATCTTGAGGGAGTGCAGGTAGCGCACCCCGCTGACAATCTGCCGCAGAACGTCCGGCATGTCCAGGTTGCCGCCGGGGACCAGGTCGGGGAAATCCCACGGCCGCTCGACGACCTCCTGCAGCGAGGCCGGACACAGCTCCAGGGCAATATACAAGAAGCCGGCGGCTTGCTCGCGGGCAAAGTAGCGGATCACGTTGTTGTGGTCGTCGCTCTCCTGCAGCAGACCGACTTCGTGCGAGGCAATGTCGTAGAATTCCATCAGCATCCGCTTGACGGCGACCGCCCGGCCGTCAAACGACCCCCGGTACACGACCGTGCCGTGGCTGCCGTGGCCCAGCACAACGTCCGTGTTGACCTGCAGGCGGCCGATCTGCAGCACGCCGTCCATGTCGTACATCTCGTTCGACACCGTCCGGGTCAGCTGGACGTCGGGTTCCAGTCGCCCGGGCAGCGGTTGCAGGTTATTGACCTGTGCCACCACGCGATCGGCCTGCTCCGTCTCGGTCGTCGCGTCCCCTTCGGGTTTCTTGCCGCGTTTGTGCGCCTTACCCCCGCGACGGCCCCGGCGAGCCTTCTTCTTCGGCTTCTCCCCGCCCTGCAGGGTGAAGTCGTCCAGCTCGTCGTCGTCGTCGTCGTTCGGTCCACGGGATGGCTCGCGGATGCGGACGCGTGGAGTCGCGTCAGGAGCAGCAGAAGCCACGCTGCGGTCTCGATTCGGCCGCCGAGGGGTCAGATTGCCAGCAGCGTCTTGCTGAGCATCCTCGGCGAATTCATTGTCAACACTCTCGGGCAGGTCCACGTCTACGGTGACATTGGGCACCGGATTGGCGGGACTGGAGGTCCGTTTGATGTCCGGTGAAGTGTCGACGATGGGCGAGGAGGGAGCAGACATGTGTGCCTGGCTGTAGGAAGAGATGACATTTTTCATGTCGAGCTTTTGCTTGGCCAACTCTTGGAGATTGTGTTTGTTGAAGTAGATGAGGGCGCCGAAGAAGAGCAGGATGAGGGTGACGACGATGTCGAGGGCATTGTCCCAGCCCTTGCGGATGATGACGCTGCTTCGCAGAGCGGGCGGCAGGGCCAACTCCGAGGGGCTACGAAGCACCTCGCGCGGCGAGGCTCCGCCGACCAAGTCTGGGGCGGTGGTCGGCGCGGAGATGCTGGGGATGTTGCGACGCACGGCGGGGGGTCCATTGAGCGAGTGAACGCCAGCCAGGGCATCTCGCTGCTGATGCAGGGTGAGACTCGTCAGCAGGTGGCCGTCACGGAAGAAGTCCTTCTCGTAGCACTGGGCCGTCTTGGCGCGGCCGGTGACGAGCGGATAGGTCTCCTCGGACATGGCGTACCAGCCGCCCGCCTCGGTGGTGTCGATGAAGACGCGGGAGTCGCGCTCGTCGTCGAGGGAGCCGTAGTCCGGGTCGGGCGGCTGCAGGGGCTGCGAGAGCAGCACCAGCGGGGTGGGGGAGTCGGGGGAGTCGGGATTGACGGGGCGGGCGATGTCGAAGACACGGACGACGGGGGAGGAGAAGCGTTGGGTGTAACGCGGGCGATCCATGCGCGAGTGGTCGAAGCCGAGGACGACGCCGTCGTGCATGCTGTAGATATGGCTCTGGTCCATGGTGCGGTCGTACTGGCTCTGCAGATCGAGGTCCCGATTGTTGGCCGTCCATTCGGAGTATTTCAGGGTGCAGATCGGGGCGCCGGTCTCGGTGTGCTGGATGGCAACGGCATACTCGACACGGCCGAGGACCAAGGTGCCGGCGGAGCGTTCACATTCGTCGGCCTCGCGCCCCAGACTGTCGACCCGCCGGCAGGAGGAGGCCGGGTCGTGGGTGTTGGCCTGGAGGGGCCCGCGCGAGCTGAAGACGCGCAGGATATTGCCGGTGCGGGCATCGACGGTGTAGAGGGTGGTCTCCTTGCGGGCCGTGTATGTGACGGCGGGATCGGAGCCGGAATAGGGGGTCTCGTCGACCAGGTCCTTGACGGTCAGCCCCAGCTTCTGCAGGCCGGCGTTGGGACCGGGGCTGTAGAGGTAGAGGCTCCCATCCTGACTGGGCTCGACGATCCACAGAAAGTCATCCTCGGGCTGGGAGTCGTCAAAGGAGGAGCGGTTGGCGCGGTGGTAGAGGCTCTCGACCATGGGGCTGCTGGGGACCTCGAGGGCCCAGCGGGCAGCGCCGGTCTTGCGGTCGCGGGCGTGGATGGAGCCGTCGACGGTCGCCAGCAGGACAAAGTCCTCGACCTCCCAGTCCTGCAGAGACCGCGCTTGGAGCTGCGGTGCCAGGCCGGCAGAGGCCGAGGCAGAGTTGCTGTTGCTGCTGCTGCTCCGGCTGCTGCTGCTGACCTGGGCAGGAGCGGCTCGAACGGCGCGGCCGGAGCCCGCCAGAGCCAGAGGAGCCAGGGCGCTCGCATCGGTGGACTTCACATGGATCCACGAGGCATCATCAAGGTGTGGAATGGCTGTGTGGTGGTGACCCGCGGCGGCAGACAAAGAGACGCCCGCCGGTCGGAGATGGTCATCGTCGAGTCGTTGCTGCTGCGGAGCGACGAGGACGGGGAGGAGGAGAAGGGCGACGCTGGCGGGGAGAGTCGACCGGGCGCCAGGCAGCCGCCACCGCATCCTGGAGGCCTACAATGCGGGCGTGAGGCAGCAGCAGTGGGAGGCGAGGAGGTGAGGAGGTGAGGGTATTCGGAGGGAGGAGAGGGTGTTTCGGAGGCAGGACCAACAGTCCACCGGGGGCACGAAACTTCCTCGATGCCTGTAGACTGCAAGACCGTCAGAATCAAATACTCTCCGTACGATAATTAATTCAAGCTGACCGGAATGGATGAGAGAGAGACAGACTGGAAAGGGATGAGGTGAGGATGGAGGATGGAAGGCGGCAGAATTTCTTGGGTTGTGGGCGTCGTCAGAGTCGCCCAGCGTCACATCATCGTGAAACAGGAGCTGCGTCTAGCCGGGGACTGGGGGGGAGACAGGGGGGGAGTGAGGATATTAAATAGAAATGATTCTAGATGAATATGTTATTCTATGATGACTCTCGCTGCAATTAGAGAGGAGGAATAGATGTTTGTGGGCTGACCTGAGGGTGATCGACGTCGGTTTCCGTACGGAACGGTTTTTGGCCGTGGATACAGTGCGTGTTGTGTATTTTACGGTATCATTACGCAGATCGTCTATCAATAGCATCAATAGCAATGCCAATGCCAATGCCAATAGCATTAGCAATGGCAATGTATTATCAATAGAGTCTTGGTTGAGGTAGAAAGCTGTAGATTCTAGTTTCTGCTCATTTCTGCTCATCGCTTGAAGCATTATACTCTGTATGAGTGGTGTCTATTGTCTATGTTCGCAGACTACCAGATCTGCAATATATATACCTCGAGTAAATTGTCTGGTAGAACTCTGTGAATATTACTACTGGTAAAGCTATTCTACATACAACCTACTACTAGACTACGGAGTAATAGGAGGATACTCCGTATGGAGTAGTGTTTCACACCTGATCCACAGGCTATGCTATGGTTACTCCATATTCCTACGTGGATAGATAGAGTACACGCGTCACGCCGTCTGTGTGACGACTACAAAGTAGTACTAGAAGCTCTATGAGTAGGACATAATCGAAGAGTACTGCAAGTCAAGCTCATGGATGTCTATCATGTTTTGGTCATCTTTGCCTTTGTCCTCATCATTAATCCTACATGCGGTCACGCTTGCGGGGGGCGGCGCGGATGATGTTATCAACGCGGAGAAGAAGCTAAACAGTAGTCAGTAAAAGTCAGAAAGTAAAAGGTAGAAAGGAAATACCTCGGCAGCCTCCGAGGCAGAGGAGACAACCGCCTTCTTCAGCTTGTAGCTCTCCATGACGCCCAGTTCGCGCATGTCGGCGATGCCGCCGCCGGGAGTCAACAGGTCGAGGCCCGAGCTGGTCATGCCGTTGTTGATGGCCTGGCGCAGACGGGTGACCAGGTCGTTCGAGTCCAGGCCGGCGTTGTCGGCCAGGATGGTGGGCAGCTGCTTGAGGGCGTGGGCAAACGAGTCGACGGCGATCTGCTTCTTGCCCGTGGTGTTCTGGGCGGCCTGCTCGACCGCCTTGGCCATGACCATCTCGGCGCAGCCGCCGCCGAGGGTGACGCGCGGGTCCTTGACCGTCTGCGAGAGGACGGCGAGGGCGTCGTGCAGGGAGCGCTCGGCCTCGTCGAGCAGCTGCTCGGTGGCGCCGCGCAGGACGATGGTGCAGGCCTGGCCGGCGGCAACCCCGGAGAACTTGATCAGCGTGTCCTCGCCGATGATGACCTCCTCGATCAGGTCGCACTGGCCCAGCTTGACCTGGTCCGGGTGGTCGAAGGTGGAGGCGATCTCGCCGCCCGTGACCAGCGCCAGGCGCTCGATGCCGTCAAAGTCGGCGTGCTCGATGGACATGATGCCCGCCTCGGTGAAGAGCTGCTCGGGCCAGTTGTAGATCAGCTGCCGGTTGACGAAGCAGTTGATGCCGTGGGCCTTGATGCGCTCGACCTTGGCGCGCATCTTGTCGCGCTCCGCCTTCTCCAGGTCGGCCAGCTTGCCCGTCGACTCGACCTTGACGCGGGCGCCGAAGATCTTGACCTTGTCGGTGTCCATGGCCGTGTTGGCGACAAGGATCTTGGCCTTCTCCAGCCGCTTGGGCTGGTTGACGCCGATCTTCTTATCGAGGATGAAGCCCTCGTCGAGGTACGAGTCGCTGAGCTTGCCGCCCGCCTTCTTGATGATCTGGATGTGGCTGAGATCGATCGACCCCTTGAGCCGCAGCACCGCATCACACGCCAGCGTCGCAAAGTGGTCGCGGTCCTGCGCCAGGATCTTCGAGCTCAACGTCGTGCGCGCGATCGCGTGCAGGTCCTTGCGGAACGCCTCCGCGTCCTGGCTGCGGTCCACTGCTGTCTTCTCCAGCGCCGCCAGCGCCGCCTTGCTCGCTATCCGGTACCCATCGATGATCGTCTGCGGATGGATCTTCCGGCTCACCAGCTGCTCCGCCTCGCGCAGCAGCTCCGCTGACAGCACCGTCACCGACGTCGTCCCGTCGCCTACCTCGTCGTCCTGCACCTTGGAGATGTTGACCAGCACCTTGGCCGCCGCATTGTCCAGCGCGATCGCCTTCAGGATCGTTGCTCCGTCGTTTGTCACCAGAATCTCCCCAGTCGACCTGAAGAATTAGTCAATATATTCTTCCATCCTCCTCCCAATACCATCTCCTTGGACACCCCGCACTTACGCCGACTGCAGGATCTTGTCCATCCCCTTGGGCCCCAGCGTGCTCTTCACCAGATCCCCAACAGCAATAGCACCCACAAACGCCGACAGCCGGGCATTCTCGCCCTTCTCCTCGATCACATCGTCCGCAAAGATCTGCGTGGGATTGGCGAAAGAGGCCGCCTGCGGACAAGACCGTTAGCCACCACGCTCTCTCTCCCCCCGCCACCTCATCGAATCCCATCAGATAAACTCAACCTACCATTTTGTACTCGTAAATTCAAACAGCCTTCCCTCCAGAATAGAAATCCAGACGCTCAGTAGACTGCAGGCCAACGGAGGGGGACGAGGGGACGTTCTGCTCCTGAGCTCAGCCTGAGTGCGGGCGGTTCCAGAAAAGTTCGCGGTGTGGCCCAAGCTCGTCACCGCTTTCGCCTGCTTCGATTGTCTTCCACGCAGAGGCCAGAGGGATTGTCGGGTTGTCCACGAAACGAAAGGAGATGGCAGAGATCGAGGAACAGGAACGAGCTGTGCAGAAGCGGTCTTACTCGGAGGTGGAGGGTAATGGCGGGGAGAGTGGTGAGTGACAGGAGAACGAGGAGACAGAAGGAGACAGAACGAGGAGAACGAGGAGACAGAACGAGACAACGAGGATATGATGAGAACTTACTGGTCTATAGAATCCTCCGATGACGACTTCGGCCCTGCTCTCCCCTCTGCGGCGCCGAAGAAGAAGCGGCGTCGCCTGCCGTTCGAGAAGGTCTACGTGAACGCCCTGCCGGCGTCGGCGCGGTACTCCAAGTCGTTGATGCACAAGGAGCAGCTGTCGTACGTGACGGTGGCGCCCTGGACGGACTTCCTGATCACGGCCTCGGTGGACGGGGTGGTCAAGTTCTGGAAGAAGATGGCCGTGGGCGTCGAGTTTGTCAAGGAGTTCCGCGCCCATACGGCCGAGATACGAAGCACGAGCATCAGTGCGGATGGGCGGAGTTTTGCTACGGCTGGAGACGACAAGACGGTCAAGATCTTTGATGTGATTACGTTCGGTGGGTTTTTTCTTTTTCTTTTTCTTTATTTTCTGGGTTGATTACGATAGAGAGGCTGATTTTAGACCTCCTGGCTATGTTGACGCTGGAGTTCACCCCCCGCTGCGTGTGCTGGGTACACAAACGAGGGGCGTCGCTCCCCCTGCTGGCGGTGACGGACGAGTCGAGCAGTACGATCCAGGTGTTTGATGGGCGCGGCGAGAACCCAATCCCGCTACACACGGTGAAGTCGCTGCACCGGACGCCCGTGGTGGCGCTGGCGTTCAACGACGCCTACGACTGCGTGATCTCGGCCGACGAGATGGGGATGGTCGAGTACTGGCGAGCGAGCGACGGTTCGTTCGAGAAACCGGACAATGTGTTTGAGCTCAAGTCGGCCACGAACCTGTTCGAGTTCCGCAAGGCGAAATCGACGCCCGCGTCGATCACCGTCTCGCCGACGGGAGAGCAGTTCGCGGCCTACTCGTTTCCGGACCGGCAGGTGCGCGTGTTCGACTTTGCGACGGGCAAGCTGTACCGCAAGTACGACGAGTCGTTGACGACGCTGGCGGAGATGCAGCAGGCGGGCACCGGGCTCGTCACGCTGGAGGCGCTGGAGTTTGGGCGGCGGATGGCGGTGGAGCGCGAGCTGGAGAACCCGGTCTCGCGGTCGCGGGTCAACGTGCTGTTCGACGAGTCGGGCCATTTCCTGCTGTACGGCTCGCTGCACGGGGTGAAATGCATCAACACGTACACGAACCGCGTGGTGCGCGTGTACGGGCGCGACGAGCCCTTCCGCCCGCTGAATCTCGCCCTGTACCAGGGCCAACCGCAGAAGAAAGGCGTGGTGACGGTCTCGATGGCGGCCAGCTCCAACCCACTGCTGCAGGAGGCCGAGGAGCGCGACCCGATCCTGGTCAGCACGGGATTCGGCAAGGTGCGCTTCTACCTGTTCACCAACGAGACGGAGATCGCCAAGGGCACGCGGGACGTGCAGAACGAGAAGCCGACGCCGGGAGCGGGCAGACACGCAAAGGAAGGCCAAGACGACGCGGCCGCCCTCGAGTCCGGCTCGTCGGCCATCCTGCACACCACCCTGGGCGACATCCACCTGCGACTGTTTGCCTCTGCGGCGCCCCGGACGGTCGAGAACTTTGTCACGCACGCCCGGCGCGGCTACTACAACAACACCACCTTCCACCGGGTGATCCGCAAGTTCATGATCCAGGGCGGCGACCCCAACGGCGACGGCACGGGCGGCGAGTCCATCTGGGGCGGCGAGTTCGAGGACGAGATCTCTCCGGCCCTCAAGCATGACAAACCGTATACCCTGTCGATGGCCAACCAGGGCCCAAACACCAACGGCAGCCAGTTCTTCATCACAACGGAGAAGACCCCCTGGCTGGACGGCAAACATACCATCTTCGGCCGCGCCGTGCAGGGGCTGGATGTCGTGCATAAGATCGAGAACGTGCGCACGCACAAGGAGAAGCCGGAGCAGGATATCAAGATTGTCAGTATCAGCGTGGCATAGCTGCAGTTTAATCTTCAGATTTATGTAAATACATCATTTCATCCTATATACAGTACTAGTAAAAACGCCAACCATCCACTTTCAATAGTATATATCGAGGGAAAAAAAAAAAAAACTACGCCCTTCTCCCCGCACTCCGATACCCAGTCGACTGGAAAGACACCTCCGACGCCCTGGGCGCAAGCTCCGAGCGACTGCTGCCCGCCACGGCGTATTCGGGATGGTTGACCGGCAAGTTCTGGTTCGAGAGCGAGGGGTTGGGCTGGTCGTATCCGCCTCGCAGATGAGGAGCCGACCAGGGCGGCGGCGGAGTCATGGAGATGGTAGAAGGATAGGAGGTATGGATGCTACTGCCTGCACCACTGCTCCCTGCCCGAGCAACACTGCCCGGCACAGCCAGCGTGCCCGAGGTGCCCGAGGTGCTCCCGCCTCTCAACGCCGGGCCCTTTTCCCTGGTGGCGAGAGGAACGAGGGTGGCGCTGGTCTTGGAGCCGTCGGCGTTGGGGTCCATATTCAGAGCATTGTTGGGATTGTTATTATTATTCGTCGAGGATCCCGTCAGTCCGGCACTGCTGGCTTTCTTGCTTGGGCCGTGGTAGAGATGCGGGTTTCGGGCGTCGTGGCGACGTTTGAGCCAGACGCCCACGACGGCGATGACTCCAAACCCGACGACGAGGACGATCAGCATGATCACCCAGCGGTAGTGGGAGCGGAACCTATACAGTAAACAGCATTAGCACAGCCAATCCTAGTAGGTAGATGAATATGAATATGAATATGGATGAATACCATCCTGCCCCTGTGTTGGAACGAGTAACGATCTGCTTGACGGTCGTGGCAGCCACATTCCGACAGGCAGCCGAATACCAGGCCTGCAACAACCCCCCCGTACACGTCTCGCACACCTCTATTCCACTGCGTAACGGTTCGAGGAGCGCCGACTCGCAGAGACAGGCGTCGGAGGCAGCGGAACAGGCGGATTGTGCGGCGAGAAAGGTCGGACACGACAGCGCGCAGGCGGGGATGACGACGTCGGAGGCGGCGGAGAGGACGGCGAGGAGAGGGAGGAGAGGGAGGAGGAAGACGAGCGAAGGCATCCTGCCTCTTTCTTTTCTTTCGCCTTGTGTTCTTTTCGTTCGTTTTATTCTGGCCTGAAGTCCACGCCCATTCCGAGGCTTCCCTCACTCGGGATCCCTCAGGATCAACAAGACAGCGTCTAAGACTGGACTCAAAGAGTCAACAGTCAGAGTAACAGCCAGAGTAACAGTCAGTAACAGTCAATAACAGTCAGTAACAGTCAGTAACAGTCAGTAACAGTCAGTCGGGAGACTGAGACGAGCTCGAGAAGGGGCTGGGGCCACGCAGACCCTGCAGGGACTGGACGGTAAGCGGAGACGAGAGACGTCTAGTGCAGGCCACGTTGAGAGGAGTACGAGATGAGATCTATTATTAACTCGATCGATCAACTATCTTGAATATCGTAGGACTTGCTCCAGCAGAATTTTCGCTAGTAGTTCGCACTCGTCAAGACGTCGTAATAAGTCGTCATGATCACCGCATCCGGGCGTTTCAGGCATCGTGATCTGATCGCGGTGGATCTTAGTCTACTAATAGTCTAAATACTAATAGTCTAATAGTCTGCTATTCAGATAGTTGCCTGCTTCCAGCTAGCAGCGGTGGATAGCCGATCCTATTTTTGACTGGAGTCTTTGCTATTATTATGTTATCTCGTCTTGCGCGTCGCCAAGGATCACAAAGTGCCAAGGATTGGTAATCAATTTATAATTACTAGAATTAAGCAAAGGAACTAACTACAGGTGCAGAGTACTCCGTAGTGAAGGAGTAGGAAGAACGGCGAGTTGTGCCTGGCAGAAAGAACACCTCCTACAAGAACAACGAGCAGACGGTCCAGAACCCCCCGGCGGCGATGACCATTACCCAGACGTCATCGATCGTGTCGACGATGACCTGCAGACACTCGACCTTGAGCCCCGCGCTGACGGTCTGCAGGATCTCGCTGCGCGCCCCGACCAAGGCCGCCCGGATGTCAGCGTGCGTGTATCCCGTGTGGGCGAGCACGCGCGTGAGCCCGGCAAAGCCGACGGTCTGGAAAATGCAGCTGGCGACCGCGAGCCCGATCAGCTGGCTGGACCCCTGCGCGATGTTCATGAACTGGATGGCCTCTGCGACGCGCTCCGGCCGCACGAGCCGCGGCGCGAGCGCATACCCGGCCTGCGTGGTGGCCATGCCCAGCCCGAGCAAGACGGAGAACCCGTAGATGCGTGCCGGCGGGGTGTTCTGCGTCACGGTGTACATCCCCGCCCCGCCGGCGGTCATCAGGATCCCACAGGCCAGATACCAGGCACGCGGGGGGAAGCGACGGAGGCGGTCCATGAACGCCCCGCACAGGAGCACGGTCACGACGAAGCAGCAGATGAACGGGAGGAGTCGGACGGCCGCCTGTGTGCCGCTGTCCCCCGCCACAAAGGTGAAGTAGAGCGGGATGTAGTAGGTGGAGACGAAGAGAGCGGCGCCGCCGGACGCCATGCACAGGTAAAGCAGGACGAGCCGGGGATGGCGCAGGAACTCGCAGGGGAAGAGCCGGTCGACGGGGTTGGTGCCCACCGCGTACGCCTGAGTGAGGCAGAAGGCCAGCAGAGTGACTCCAAAGACCACGAAGAGGGCGACCACCGCGCCACCCCTCCACGCCCAGCTGGTCCCGCCCAGGGTCAAGGCGAGGGTGAAGGAGACGTAGACGACGGCCGTCAGTAGCGTGCCCAACCAGTCGAGCGAGGCGAGTTTTTCGACCAACGAGGCCTCCGACCGCCGCGGGAGAGAGGGCAAGACCAGCACATACGCCGGAGACAGGACACCGAAGATGACCAGGTTCAGATAGAAGGCCCAGCGCCAGGTGGCCGGGCTGTCGGCCAGCAGGCCCCCGACCACGGGGCCCAGGATGCATCCGGTGCCGTAGGTGAAGCCGATCAGGCTGACGTAGAAGGGTTGGTCTTTCTCGGAGGTTAAGATGGTCACTAGATTGAGTGTTCTACGGAATTAGTATAAGACACTGTAAGCTGTGGCTTTACTAAAACACCAATGCCTACCCCAGGTACATGCCTGCGCCGCCCGCCCCGGCCCAGACGCGGCCAACGATCATGGCATTCATCGACGGCGCGGCACCGCACAAGGCACTCCCCGCGGCGAACATGCACAGACAGCCGAAATAGAGCCATTTGGTGTTGAAAAGGGCAAACGCCTTGCCCAGCGGAAGAATGGCGACGGTCGAGCCGAGGGTGAAGCCAACGCCCAGCCAGCCCAGCTGCGCGACGTTGTCAAAGGTCGCCGCCACGTCCGCCTGGATGTCCGCCGCGATGGTCGTGTCCAGCCCGTACATCAGGTTGGCGGAGAAGATGCCAGCGCAGATGAGCAGCCATCGGGGTCTCGCCAGCCTGGTAGGCTCCTCCACCGCAGCCTCCTCTGGCGACAGCACTTTGCTCTCCGTAGACGGTGACTCGGCCATGGTGATCTGTGGAAACGAGACTGCAATTGTTCTCCCAGCATGACTGGTTAGTCATAATCCTAGTTATATAACCTACCTCCAAGGTAGGTACTCAAGACCAGCAACCATGTCTGCTCCGAGGACTAGACTGCCATGGCTTAGTAACGTCTTCAATTCGATGCTTAGAAGTATCAAGCAACAGCTCCACTGCACCTGCCCAATGTGGGAATATTAAGCTTGACCTGAACCAAGCGTGAAGCCGTTATTAAGCTGAGATGCTCCAGACTTGGCCTGCGCAAGCCACAGACGGCTGGATATTGCTCTAGACGCAGCTCTCGCAGACATGCTGGGTTCCTGTCGAGGTAGAATCCCGCAGGATCATTAGCATTGGCAATAGCATCGGCACTGGCCTATTACCAACGAGGGATTGACTGGTGAGAGGAGGATGCAGTCGTCCAAAACACAACAAAACAAAACAGCCTCGTGAAGCGAAACGGCCTGTCGACTGCTTAGTAAGCTCTTCATAATGACATCACATGATTGGATTAGTCAGTCGGACGGCCGAGACGTATTCTGCCAGATCAGCTGATACACCGCTTTCCCATTCTACTCCCCGTACGCGGACCCTCCGCGAACCCTCCGAGAGTCGTAGAATACGTATTGGTCAGTCTGTACCTCAGAGTAGTATGTGTTCTGAGGTTGTCTGAATTATCAATGGCAATTACTGGCGCATGAGAATATCGAGATTCTGTTTTGCTCTACTCTATGTAGTCCTGATGCCAGACTATAAAGCCGTACGGAGTAGCTAAAGCCGGTCGCGGACTTTGGAGTTAACATCTCCGTGCTAGGAGTAGTATAAATAGGCTACGGCGATACAAGATATTCTGGGAATAAATCATCTTTCATTGATATTGAAGAAGAAATGTCCACCTGGCTCATCACTGGCGCTTCATCCGGCATCGGTGCCATCCTCGCCGACCTCGCCCTCCAAGCAGGCCACACCGTCATTGCCACGGCGCGGGACCCGATCAAAGCTGCGCAGGCGTATCCTGCGATCGAAAAACAGGGAGGAAAATGGCTGAAGCTGGATGTCACTCGTCCTGAGACGCAGCAGGAGGTCACCGAGGTGATCAAGCAGCATGGGGGTATCGACGTTTTGGTTAACAATGCCGGATACTCCATTCTTGGAGCAGTGGAAGACATGAGGTGCCCCCCCCTCTCTCTCTGAGGATTAGTCATTATTTGGGAATCCATGTTAATGATGGCAGTGAAGAAGAGATTCACCAGCAGATTGATACGAATCTGTACGGCCCCATCCGCACCATCAAGGCGGCTCTACCGTTCATGCGCGAGAAGAAGTCCGGCACTATCGTCAACGTTTCCAGTATTGCAGGGCTGCACGCGCGAGCGACCTGTTCTCTGTACTCGGCGAGCAAATTTGCTCTAGAGGGTAGGCAACTTTCCAGTCCCAACTCCAACACAAGCTGAACGCAACAGGCTTCTCCGAAGCGCTGGCAGAGGACCTCGCATCGTTTAACATCCGCGTCCTGCTCGTCGAACCGGGGGCCTTCCGGACCAACTTCCTCGGGGCGGCTCAGTTTCCTGCCGCCGGGCTGAACCCAGCATACAGAGACACCATTGTCGATAAAGGGCTGCAGGCCTTTCGCGACGCGGACGGCAAGCAGATCGGGGACCCTGCCAAGGCTGCGCAGCGCATCTTCGAAGTCGTCGATGGATCTGGCATGGCGGAGGGGAAGGCAGGCCTGCTGCGACTGCCGCTGGGCAAGGACTGTCTGACACGGGCGCGAACCAAAATTGACGGGTTGCTCCGGAACCTGGAGGAGATGGAGGAGATAGCCCTGAGTACTGATTGTGATCAATAAGCGATTTCTGTTGGTGGAGTTGAATCCCACAACGTGATGATGACTTCATGCCATTCCTTCATCTATAGCTTAAGATATCTTCCAGGTCCCCCTTGGAGCTGTAAACCCCCATCACAGCATGGCTAAATCAGTTGAGTTCAGCATCTTCCGCGGCTCCGAGAATGGAGAAATCATCCCCACCACCATCCGGCGCACCCTGCAGCCGAGAGAGGTCCTGGTAGAAATCTCGCACGCAGGCCTCTGTGGCAAGGACCGCGCTTTCAGACACCAACCCATCGCCCTGGGACACGAGGGCGCCGGATTTGTCCGCGACGTGGGCGCCGCCGTCCACCGCTTCAAGTCGGGCGACAAGGTGGGCTTTGGCTGGGTGCAGAAGATCTGCGGCCACTGCGACTATTGCGTTGGTGGTAGGCATATATACTTAAACCACTTGATAAAGATTCCGTTCACAGGTGTGTGTAGGCAAAGATCAGTACTGCGAGTGTCGACAGGAATACGGCAGCGACCAAGACAACGGCGGCGCCTTCGCCACCCACGCCGTCTGGGACGAACGCATGCTCTTCCATCTGCCTGCCTCGCTGGAGCCCGAGCACGCTGCTCCGCTCATGGGCGGCGGCGCCACGGCCTGGACAGCCCTGACTGCGTCCGACATGCGTCCCGGGGACCGCGTCGGTGTCCAGGGGATCGGCGGGACGGGACACATGGCGATCCAGTTCGCCTCTGCGTTGGGGTACGAGGTCGTCGCCCTCTCCACCAACGCAGACAAGCGAGACGAAGCGATCAGTCTCGGGGCCAAGGAGTTCCATCTCCTCAAGGACGGGGCGCCCGTCGACCGTTGTGCCCAGGTGAAGCATCTGTTGTGGTTTGGCACCGAGGCCCCTGATCTCACCAGGTTTGTATTTCTCCTAATCGAGTTCTCACCCTTTCTAACTCGACGGTTTCCAGGGCACTCTCTCTTGTAGCCTGTGACGGTACGCTTCACCTCCTAGCCAGCTACGATCCCCTTCCACTGCCCGTGGACGCGCTGGTGCAACGAGGGATCAAGATCCAGGGCTCCGCGGCAGCCTCGCGACAGGAAATCCGGCAGATGCTGCGATTCGTGTCTCTGCATGGTATCCGACCGATCATCATCTCCTGGCCGATGACCAAGGACGGGATCGAGGCTGGCTTCAAGGTGATGGAGGAAGGCAAGATGAGGTACCGGGGAGTGCTGGTGTCACAGCGGTACTTGATGGGGAAACCTGTTGTTGAACGACTGGGCAGAGCAGATTAGAATAAGTATGAGTATTGGTATTAGTTCTCCTTGACTGAGTGACTTGAGTGAGAGTACGGAGTATTCGAGTGAGAGTAGAGGAACGAGTGTAAACAAAGCCCCGCAGCAACCGATATTTAAAACGTTCCTCAACGCAATTGACTCCGTAACAATTAACACAACTACATTAACACTCACGAAATGACCGCCCACGCTCTGCTTTCCTCGATATTCACCTCGCTGGCTCGCTCCCCGCGTCGCTGGTCGCTCACACGCACCCTGCAAAGCGACAACCCGCTCGACATCCACGGCGAACTGCACGGCACTGCGACCTTCACCCTCCTCCCCCCGACCGAAGACACCGTCAGCAACGCCCACAATGCCCTCACGAACAAGCAACCCACAGAGCAGGTGCAGATGCTGTACCATGAAGAAGGCGTGATGCCCACCACCGCCGGGCTGGGTCCTATGGCCGGTCTTCGCTGGACGAAACGGTACATCTGGCGCCAGAGCGAGGGGCGGATCAGCGTGTGGTTCGTGAAGGTGCAAGAGAAGAGAAAAGAAGCCAATAAGGATAAAAGTGCAGATACAGATGTAGAAGCAGAAGCAGAGGCAGAAGCAGATTATCTGTTCCACGACTTTGAAGTCAACACGGATGCGAATCTCGATTCTAGCCTCTTCGTCACCCCTCCCGTACCACCTCCCACCCTGGAACAAACAACAGTCATCACCGCGCGAGGGAATCATCTCTGCATCAACGATATGTACCGTACGGCGTATGCGTTCCGGGTCCGGCCGGAAACAGGCGAGGTCGTCAGCTGGGCAAGTCGGCATGTTGTCAAGGGACCCAAGAAGAACCAGGATATCGTCAACGTGTACACTTTGCTGGCTGGCTGAGGGTATACTTTGGTCTACAGAATTCTATCACAGGAACCCGTTCAACCGTTTTCCAACTACCGTGTACATACACCGATATCTACACTCCACACATTCCCTGCCGGGGCATCTCTAGCAGCCCGTACTTCGGTTCCGCGTCCAGCAGTGAACCGAGAGAGAGGCATACGGGCTTCCGTTAAGGATCGACTGTATAAAGGCAGAATGTAACTACTGTACAGCTAGAGTGCTGCTACAAAATGAACTGAATGACTCATGTTTTGTTAAAATGATTTGATTACCTAAATCCCCTGAGAAGCATGGTAGATCACCTTGTAAGGCTTGGAGCAGCGGAAAGTCTCAAGAGCAAGGCCTTGGTCTAGTCGAGGTCCGTGCAAGGATCAGCCTCGAACTTGATCTCGCAGCGTTTCAGCATCGGCAGAGCTTTCAAAAGGTCGTGTGCCATGGCGGCCATCTTGATCGAATGGAACCAGAACCGTTGCACCCCGTCCTCGCAGGGAAAGACAGACTCGACGTAGTGAAAGCAGGTGGACTCCATCAGCCTGGAGAAGATCTCCTCAACCTGCACCCCGTTCACCCCACAGATGGCGAGACAGCGCGTGTATCCCCTCTGAAAGATCAGATATTCCATTTCGGCCGGCATGGGGTAGGTGGCGGTGTTGACTGCGCGGACCTTGATCTTCGAAGTCATATAGGAGATGCCATCTTTATTGGACTGCAGGAACCTCACCGCGTCGCGCTGGTAGACAAACACCAAGATCGCCGTGGGGGAGCCTGTCATGTGGGTGGTGTTCAACAGCTGCGCCGAGTAGATCTGCCCGCCCCGAGCCAACTGGAGCACAATGTCCATCGTGATATCCAAAGGCAAGTTCTCCATCTTGACGGTGCGATAGGCATTCTCGTCCATCTCACTGGGAAGGTAGCGGAGGCCGTACTGGAAGAACCACAGGCTGGATGCGTTACCCTTCTTGAAAGCCAGCCAGGGGGCGCTGAACGACGCCAGCCGCTCCTCCTCTGCATCCTCAAAGACGGTACTGTTGCGGAGTGCCCAGCGAATGGTGCCGCCCCAGGGAACAGTCCGATGAGAGGGAGTCGGGACGTAGTTCTCAAAATGTTTTATGTAGTCAAGCCGGAGGCCTTCGAGTTCGTCGAGGGAGCATACAGTGGCCTCTCTGTCGGATCCTTCGTCGGTAGTCATGTTCTATCCCGTTCCAATTGATTAGCTTCAGAGGATGATAGAGAAAACGACAGAGAAGATACAGAACAGAAAACAACCACTCACCCGGTCAGGCTCCAGAATCGGGATCATCAAGTCATCCAGACCGCTGTCGAGAAGACCGGCAGAAGTCTCCAACGCACTATCCATCGTGTCAGGGAAGAGAAACAAACAGAGAAGGAAGAGGGGAAGGACAGAGAGAAACTCACTCGATGTTGACTCGACGTGGTTGCAAAATGGGCACTCTGATGTTCTCCAGGCACCCACTGAGCAGGTCCGACAGGCCCTTGGGGGGTTTCTGCCGCTGAGCAGCCAACATCCTCTCGCGTCTCTTCTGGCTACTTTCGCGTGCTGAGTGTCTGTCAGTGACCGCGACCAAGGAACGAGATCTCACCAGGAACACCAGGCCGCCGATGAAGGCGAGGACACAAGGCAAGGCTAAGAGGAAGAAGGGACTGAAAATCCCTGGAGTCGGAACTGGGGGAGACTGCAGTCCTTCTGTTTTGGGAAGGAGGGCCATGGCGTCTATCATCACCACCACCAAAGGTGAGTTGAAGTCTTCCCCTGTAGGATTGGATACGGGAGGAGGTGAAGGAGAGTTATTCAAGTGAAGGGTAAGAATCTTTAGATAGATTCACTAACTGGGAGGATTATGAAGGGATATGTGCTGTATGGTGCTAGAACCGATTAATAGGATGTTTCTCACCATCTAGGCTCTAAAGAACCAAGGCTACAGTAAGAGCTGTATTGAGAGATAAGATAAACATGTGAGAGAGAAGAGGATAATGTGAGAGAATTCACTTTCTATACTCCTTGAGATGTGAAGCTTTTGGTTGCTCTCTTATATCCATCCAAGGCTGCGCAACCGACCCTGGTATTGAGAAGATAATGGATTTTACTCGGAGAAGCTTCAAACTGTGAACATACCATGTGTATTAAATATCCGATATGTTGAGACTAGTGGTTTATGGAGAAATCCGATAGACTTGAGAAAATCTTGCATTCAATATTTTGGTTCATGGATCATTGCATAAAAACAGTAAAGGCATTTCCAAAGGGGCGCAGCAACATGAATGAACGCTCCAAGCTAGACAGGTCAGTGTAGATCTATCCCGTGAGTGGACTCGGAAAGGAAATCAATCTATAGACCTGGCAAGCGCCATGGCACCGTGGTGATCTGTACGCGGAATTGGGCCGACCGATTCGGTAGAGATTAGTGATAAAACCCCGGGAGATATCAAAGACACTTCATTACAAGAAGCAAAGAAAAGAAAAGAAGAGAAGGAAAAAAAAGGCTTGCCCTCGTCTGGAAATCGTGCGTTCGGCGAAAACTGAGAGAGAGAGAGAGAGAGAGAAAAGTCAAGTGAGCTGCTACTTTGGATTACTTACCTACCCGAGAAACTCTCCTTGAGCCAAGGCAATCCAGGGCAGGTCCTCATCCCAGCAGCGCTGCATTAGCTGGCGAGCATTCTGCATCTGTAGGGTACCCAGAAAGTTAGAGAGATGTAGGGTTGGAGGGGGTGGCGCGATCTCACCTGCTTCATCCCGGTGGCTTCCAATGTCCTCATTCGTCGCATGATTTCCATCCTCTGGTCCATATCTTGGTTCTCGCACCCAGCAGTAAAGAGTGGAAAGAGAGCACCGACTTCGGCGGGTGACCCGGGCCGGATCCGCCTCCAGGCACACATCAGTCTATCGAGAGCCTGGCGCACTGCGACTGACGTTGATGGTAAACACATCACCCGGCGATAAAGGTGAAGTAGCCCAGCAAAGAGAAAGGTCTCGTTCACCGTGACTATCTCCTGGTATTCGGTCTCTTCATAATGTGACATATCCACGTATGCATGCTTGCGGATATCCTCCACGTCTCTCAGCAGAGTCTCAGCCTCGACCAAGACCTCGGGGGCGGGCTTCCAGTCGGTGAGAAATTGGCCCAGCTCGTCAAAACGCTCATGGTCGCATCTGTAGGTGAGATGTCCCACCCGCATCAGGAACAGTCCCAAGCGTGGAGTGAACCCGGTCAGACAGTCGATTTGGAATTCGCTATGTTCGTCCAACGTGAAGTTATTGGCATTCACCAGGCAACGGTAGGTGATGTCGATCAAAGGAGGTTCACTGTGCCGACAAGACAGACTACCGATTATGTCGATATATCCGAGCCAGCGGGATAGGAAGGCACCGATACGATTACTTGGATTAGCGACCTGGTCTCCTCCCCTGGCTAGGAAGAGATCGCGAGCCAGCTTCAAATAGCTCTGCCATGGGATCGGGACCTCAAAGGTGCTGGGTGATATAATATTCAAGGAGAGTAGCATGACGGCCGTCGCGAAATGACTGTCGGTGATGTTCTCAGAGGGCTTTTCAAGCGCAAGACGCAATGTAGGGAAAACGTCGCTAACCCAGTGAGCGATGCGAGTCGCCGGTTCTGGATGGTTGAGATAACGAGCGCGATGACTCGCCGAATAGGCGAGCATCAAATTCAGTAAATTGGAGTCCGCAATAGCCACTAGCCGGTCAGCGAGAAGATACAGGATGAGAGAAAGAGGAACATACTTGATGGCAACACAGAGATGAAAGGATTGTCTCCGCAATCATGCGGCGCCATCATCCGTGCAGTGTGATTGATAAAATGATGGAAGTACATGAGATTGATTGGATTGTGTAGGAGCGTGGAAGGCAAGGGCGACAGATATCTTGGAATGTTGATGGGGACCGGAGATGTATAGTACGGGCGTAGATTGTCTTTTGGCTCAGAACCTGTGGTTTCCATCTGCTTGTCCACGGAGCTTGGCGGCTTTGCTGACTGCCACTGGGGGCTAATCAGGTCCAGCGCATAATTGATGTTGATTGATGCATGGTCATCATTCCGATTCAAGTCCAAGTCCATGCGGCCACAGTCCAGACCGTAGTTATCCGTCACGCTGGTGAGATAGGTATGCCACTTGAGTTCGGCCACTGACGCAGTGGCAGACCCGGGCGCTGGTGGATCCGTTTCCACGGACTGCATATTTGGGGGGCTGGTTGCAGCATGATGTTGCAGAGTGCGCGGGTAGCGACTGTTCGGGCTCAAGGGCCTGTTGATCACCTTGGTGAAGAAATCATCGGATGAGCTGGTTGCATGAGATGTGGTGGTACTCTCAACATCTGGGACTGTCTGGAGCCCGTGGCTGACGGACTGAGAGGATGAATCATCGCCGCTGTGGGTTGGGTAAAGGTCTGCTCTGAGCGCGTCCTCGCCTTGCCAGTCCGGATAGCGATCGAGAGCACCCGTGGGTTCTGGCGGAGAGATACCATCAAAGACAGGGGCGGGGGCTTCGTAGGTCTGCCGAAGGAATGACAAGGGTTGCGAAACAGCTGAAGACATGAGCCTGAAGTTTGACACTGATTCTATACTAGAGAATGTGTCTGCTGGGGAAGCAGAAGAAATCCCGTCCAGGCCATTGTGAACGGGAAGATTATATCGCGAAAGGGTGTCATCACGGGCTACTATGGAGCGAGGCGAGTGCTCGGGCCATATGGAATTGGTTCCCTCGGATGGAACGTGCGGACTGAACTGGTCCGGGGTTGCCTTGGGGTCAGGAGGAGACCGAGGATCTGCCGTCAGAATAGCAGCGGCGTAGAGCTCTGGGAAATCAGTATGAGGGGAGGGGTTTGTGGAAGGGACAGTCGCTGGGTATTCGGAGTCCCATATCAAGCCTTCCGGTGTTCTCACGACTGGTGAAGCCCCTTCGGCATAAGACGTTGTTGGTATTCCTTGCGACTGGATCGGACTGCCCAGCTGGAAGGAGAAGACAGGCGCCGAGTGAGTACTGCTAGACTGAGAGCCAGGAGAGCCGACAGACAGCTTCCGTTTCGTTCTTCCTTCCCAATTAAGGCGGATACTGTAGTCGCACGCATCGCCCTGTCGCTGGCAATTCAGACAAGCTGGTTTCTCCTCGCCGCTGCCACAGCATGAGTCAAACGGAAACCAAAGCAGGAAAAGAGTGGAGAGAGAGAGAGGGAGAGAGAGCTACCATTTAACCTTGCGAGCCTTGCAGGGCCTAATTCTCGACGAGGTAAGTAAATACCGCCACCTCATATACGCCAGCGAGGGAATTATGGCGACCACTCACCAACATCCTTTCCGACTCCTCCGCTTCGGTTCTGGAGCACCCGGCCGTTTCGGACGCGGCATTTGACGATCGAACTCGACTAGGTTGAGTGCAGAGATCCGAATCGAAGCAGCCGAGATGTTTGGGCGAATGAATTCGAGGCTTCCGAGAAGCCAGGCTCACAATGTGGAGTAAGACCGCCATGCATACAAGATAGGCTCACAGCAGCGTGAGATCTCACAGATCTTTTTTCTTGCGTTGGCTTGAACCGTGTCCCCAAGTCGCAACAAAGCGATAGTCGATGATGAAACAGCCCGGGGTGGATTTCCGATTCATCTGCGAGGAATGGGACCCTCGAAGGTGATCTCTAGAGCAGTAGTAGGTGGTTACTAGGAAGCAAACTGGTTTATTGACTGTTGGTTAGCTGATCAGTGTCGTTGTCGTTGTCGTTGTCGTCGTCGTCGTGGAAGAGCAAAGGCGAAGAGTGGAGAGTGGAGGTGCGAACAAGCCGAGGTGAAGTCAGAGACAACTAGACCAGTAGAACTCGCGATGAGGATAAAGCATGAATAATAAACGATTGTCTGGCTTGAGATAGCCCGTCCGGAGGCAGTGGAGTCCGATAAGAGTGTCTCTCATTCTCCTCACTCAGTCCCACTGAATTCCGGCGCCGTGACCGGCCGGGCATCGCCGACGACGCAGTGCAAACAGCGCAAACAGGGCACGGGATCTCGTATCATTGTTGTTCCGTCGGCGATCCGTACTTGCCGCTTTGGGATCTGCCGCCGGCTGCCGCCCCCCGCGAGCTGCCGGCTGGGCTAGCCGCATTGGGCAGGCCGTGCTTATTGAATCACTGCCTACAGGCTGCCAGCTCAGCTCAGCTCAGCTCAGCTCATGAACCTCGAGGGTTTTGCCTGCCAGGTGAAGAAGACATGCCGTCGCCAGAGTCTCTCATCAAAAGACATCCGCTGCAATGGATGAGCAGCCCTTCAAGGGGGTTCTCCGCCCTGGTCCATGTGCGTCGTGTCTGTGTCTGCTTGTACGAACCGATTGTGACCCGTGGGCCGTGGCTGACTTCCGCTAAAACTAGGTGGCTGGACTGGCGAGCTTCGCTTCTTCGTTCAAATAGTATGTGTCTCGCTCGACTCGCTATCGGAATCATCCTCTTGCTTTGACTGATGGCCGTGTAGTTTACATGACAACCCCAACATAGCGTAGGTCGACTCTCGGGGGCTGGGGGAGGCCTGGTTGGTGCTGATTTCTAGTAGGAACGAGGCCTACGGATGGCATTTCCAGTATTTGACAATCATCGGGCTTACTTTGGCCACCATAACGTTTGCAATCGGGTTGCTGGCCGATTTGACCTTGTCGCCTCGATTGTTCTTGCTGAAGAACCTACTCTCCGTCTGCAGCGCTCCCATGGAGGTGCTCATCAGCCTGCTGTACTGGGGGTTGCGAATGGTAGGCCGAGCAAACTTCTTTGGATGATGGCACATCCAATGTACTACATAGAGGAACGCTCTGACCGGTCAGATTGACGAACGCCTGGTGGTGCCCGAATGGGCTGAGATGAGCTTGGTAGCCGGTGCGCTATAGACTGCCGAGCCTGTCCATCCACGTCCCTATTGACAGTGACAGATATCGGTTTCCACGCGATTCCGTCCATCGTCATGCTGGTTGACTTGGTTCTCCTGTCTCCGCCATGGACCGTCACCATCCTCCCCGCCCTGGGTCTATCGAGCGTGATTGCGTTTGGGTATTGGTTCTGGGTTGAGCTGTGTTTCTCTCACAATGGATGGTATACATAACGGATTTGATAGCCTGTGGGTATACCTCTGTGTTAATGACCCACCAGGTACCCATATCCCATCTTCGAACAACTTCCCGCACCCGGCCGTGCCGGTCTTTTCATCGGCAGCGCCGTCGTGATGGCCTTGACTACTGCAACCTTGAAATGGTTGCATGGACGTGTCAATGGATTTGGCACCCCCACTGCGCCTCATGCTCGTCCTGGGGCTATCAACAAAAACGGCTCCCTGTGAAACATGAAATTATAACTAGGATCTCTTGACGAGTTCCACTGCTAATCGAAGAAAGCTGTGATGCGTTAGCGAGGATCAGAGCTGGATAGATTCCCTCCCTCACCTTAAGCCTTCGCACGGACAGACGGATGGGAAATCATTATAATCTCTCTCTCTATATATATATATCTATATAACATTGAATTCGGGTATAGTGATGCAATTCAATTCCTAAATCATATTCTTATTCCTGTATTTGTACTTTTGTACTCCCTTTTGTATTTGACCAGCCAAGACTCATCGGTTACGTAATCCAACCAGCTCCTCCCGCGGCTAAACGAGCTTTTGTTGCTTCCCGACGTGGAACAACGTTAGTCTTGATACTTTTCATATCCTGCCAGCTCCCCTTTAGCTGTTTCTATTGAGAGCGGATCCCGGTTGCCTTGTGATAGGAAACGAAAATGCACACCAGCCCCCTGAGCACGTCTATTTGCGCGGTCGCGCTGGGCGGTCGACTGGCGTCGTCTGCCGGTTTGAGCTCCTTCGCCCACGCCACTTCCTTCCATCAGAGATGCCCGAAGATGGCCGTCCACACATCGCTGTCCGCCTCGAGGACGTTTTCATCGCGGATTGTCGCCTCTATCGCGCGCCCTGCGATGCACCAGCTCCGCAGCCCGCAGGTGCTGCCGGCCCCTCGCAAGCAGACGTGCGTGCGGGCCAACTCGACGGCAGCGCCCGCTTCTGACGGAGCGAGACTCGACTGGAATTCCTTCTTCCGGCTGCGGACCTCCCGCCGGCGGTACTCGCTGGCCTCCTCCATCCTCGCGTCGCTGGTCAGCACGAGCGTCGGCATGCAGGTCCTCTCGACGCAGGACCTGGAGTCTCTGGGTGCCCAGGTGATGGGTCTGGACCCTTTCGTCGTGCTGGGCCTGGCGACTGCGGCGTGCGGTGCTGTCGGCTGGCTGGCAGGCCCGTTCCTGGGGAATGGACTCTGGAGCCTGGTGCACCGGCGATTCCAGACTTCGTTTGCAACGGTAAGCAACTCGCCAATTGAAGAAATCCAAAATGGAGGGCTAACCATCTGCTGCGGTGGGTTTAGAAAGAGAAAGAGTTCTACAACCGAATCAAGCGGTTCCGTGTCGACCCCTCGTCCAACTCGATCGCCAACCCGGTCCCCGACTACTACGGCGAAAAGATAGGCAGTGTCCAGGGATACAGGCAGTGGCTCAAGGACCAGCGAGCCTATAACCGGAAGCGGACCAGGCATATCATCTAAGGGACTAGTTTCAGAGCCACCGAGAAACCAAAGGACGTTCTGTGTCGGTGTACTACAAGTATGAGTTCGGTTTTGCGTCTGCTGTTCTTGCGGGTTCTTTCTTGCTTCTCTGGTTCCTAGCCACATGGTCGTCTGTCAACAGGCGCTGCCTGCATATGTAGATTATCGATGATTTGTGGTCAATGTATAATACCAACAGGACTGTCGTTGTAGTCAAATTTGTAGTGTAGTACCTCTCTCTTCCCCCAAGCTTCGGTATAGCTTCATGAAGCTCTAATAATCACTCCACTTCACGTCAACTAGTAAAAGAACCAGATTATGATCCTGCGACTTTCTCAGTCCATACTTACTAGTAGATATTATTACAGATGTACTCCGTACACTTGGTTGCCCATTCCATTCCATTCCTACGATTCCACTCCATAAAGACTCCATAGAATCAGACTTGGTTAACTAAATTGTCAAAGCGTTCCAGGTTCCTTGTTATAAATATAAATATCAAGCCTGGGCAACGAATAATACCAAAGTACAATCTCAATTGGGAAACTTCTCCGTGCTGGAAATACCCCATCGCCGGGCTTCGATCCCTGGCAACCTCCCCTCCCCCTCCCTCCTCCTCCCCCCTCCTCTCTTCTCCTCCCTCTCCTCCACCACGCTATTGAATGCCTGGGCACGTCCGAGCACAGCGGCAGAGCCAATACACAGCATCAAGGATGGAGTTTGTGATTAATGCGATGATGCATCGGCTCTTATTTCCACGTGGCGACGCCGGTTGAATCTTGGTAGCGAGGCAATTCCCACCACCCTTCCTCGGTGGGTCAAACATGTGAGTCTGCGAACAGCATCTTGCGGCTTCTCGCGGAATTCCATAACCTAATGCCTTGTTGCAGTGGAGAGCTGGGCTCGAGCTCTGGCTGAGTGAACGACAAATGCCTTCCAGCTTCCTCAACCTGAATGCCGTGGTTCCTACCCTGTCAACTCCTGGTGGCGGTGGAATTGATGGGGGAGGTGGTTTCTTGGTAGCCAACAATAATGATGCTTGCTCACTGAGGTCCACGATTTTTTCCTTCTTCTCTTCTTCTTCTTCTTCTTCTTCTTCTTCTTCTCTTCTTCTTCTGTCATGAACAGATCACCATGGCGTTCGACCGCAGCCTGGAGGTGCGCGACGTCGCGGCCGTGTTCCTCGCCCTGGCGTCGGTGACGACATCACTGCGCTGCTATGTCCGTTTGCGCATCGTCAAGGCCTTTGGCTGGGATGATGCCTTTATGGTCGCTGCGCTGGCCTTCTTCGCCCTCTTCTCCGGCTGTATGATCGGGGGGAGCATCTATGGGACTGGGCGACACTTGACGCAGTTGACGAACCACCAACGCACAACAGCCATGAAGGTATGTCACTGTCTAGTAGTCATCAACACTATCATGTTGGCAGCTGCTGATCCTAATGCTAGTACTGGTTCTTCTGTGATATCGGCTACTGTATCTCCTCTGTTCTGTGCAAGATTTCGGTCAGCATCTTCATCCTGCGCATCACGATCCACCGGGTCCACCGGTGGGTCATCATGACTGTTGCCACGCTGGTGGCCATTGCGGGTATCTTCTTCTTCATCTTGATGCTGGTTCAGTGCAATCCCATCTCTTTCTTCTGGATGCGTCTGTCCAGCGATCCCCCGGCGACGGGCTCCTGCATCAACATTGACATCGTCATCGCTGCTCTCTACACTTTCTCCACCATCTCTGCAGCCTTCGATCTCACCATCGGGATCCTCCCCATCTTCCTCGTCGTCAATCTGAAGATGCGCTCGGACGTCAAGATCGCGGTCGCCGGTCTCTTAGGCATGGCCTGCATGTCGGTCCCCCCTTATACTTATATATGAGATACTGAGATACTAACATTGCTCAGTGCTTCCGTTGCCGTCTTTGTCCGAATTCCTTATGTGCACACCCTCCGTGACACGGACTTTCTCTGTAAGTCCAAGATCCCTGCCGACATGCAGTGCCCCATTTCTAATCATTGATTCGAATCTATAGATGCCACCACCGGAATCGCCGTCTGGTCCAACATCGAAACCGGCCTAGGCATCACCGCCGGCAGCATCGCGACTCTCCGGCCTCTCCTCCGCATGATCCGCCCGCAGACGACCGATCCGCAGTCCCGCACCTGGCCCAATTCGCGCGGCAAACAGACCCGGTCGATTCCGCTGGGCTCTGTCGGGTCGCAGGGCCAGGGGCCGCAGTTGTATCACGGAGGCGAGTCAAATAAAGTCTTTGGCACCTCGGTGACCATGACGGTGCATGACCATGAGCACGACCGCGAGGTCGTCCCGGACCAGGAACCGCTTTTCTCGCGGATCAATGTCCACCACGAGTTTCACGTCACCACGGAGAGATGACTTCGATTCAATATAATTTAATAAATTCAACATAATAATATAAAATACGAGTCCATTGCATTACTGTTCAATTTTTCTACAGTGTAATCAATACATCTATCAGACGAGTAGTATACCTATTCCACAAGCGGAACTACCATAACAACTCTACACTCAAATAGGACTTCCAACATGTATACAACCTGGTAACAGCCCAACGAAGGTCAAAGCCAGGCATCAACCATGTCTCCCTCTAGTGCAGTGGACCTGTATTTGCCAAGAGGCCCACGCCCCCATCCAGGAGTGGGGGGGGGAAGGGGGAGGCTTGTCTAGGTCTATCGGGGAGGTTGTAGATGGATAGAAGAATTGATTTTGATTGTGATATCGATTCCAAGAAAAATGACCATTGACTCCATTAGGAGATGAAGCATACTTTTGTAAATCGGGTATATCGCTTAAAACAGGGTATATCGCTCTCATGTCCAAGACAGAAATCCTCGAGTCTATTGTTCAAAAGTCCAGGTTAAACCAGGGTCTGCGCTGCCGTCCGATGCCTGGAGGAAGGTGAGTACATGGTCACTGTCAACATGTATCAGACTGTCTCGAGACGTACAGGGAATTCCGGGAAGACAGGCCAATCTTCTCCGAACCACAGGGAGGTCTCGGTCGGTAGCTCAAGAGATGCCGTGGACAACGCTACATTTTCGTTTTGCATCTAAATGATTATCAGTACGGATGTGATGCAAAAAAAAAAAAAAAGAGTGGGAAAGAATACCATCGTGTCGGCTAGGCTGGGATCGAGGTTCGGAACAATCTGTCGGAACGGGTCATGTTTTCGACACGCCTCGAGGACCTGCATGGTGGTGCGCTGCATGCGTTCCTGTGGAGTTTCCGTCCCTTCTGCAGGTTGGATGGAGGACAGAACGACGGCGAGCCGGAAGGCGTTTTTCACGTCGCGCCAGAGCGTGCCCATGTTCGACATCATGAACTGGCAGAGCTCGTCCACGGCGGCCACCAGCTCGCCGGTCTGATGGACCGTGGGATCCTTGGGACTGGCAAGCTCCAGCGCCACGGAGACATCTGGTAGGCCCAGGTCGTGGAGAGGGAAGCGTTTCCGCCGCTTGATTTCCCAACAGACACCGAAGCTCGCGCGCATTATATCCGCTTTGAGCGTTTCGTAGAAGAGATTCGTCGGCGCGACGGTCTGCATGGACCGTAGTTCTGCATCGCCCAAGTCAAAGAGCCCCCGGTGGGTCAGGAAGACCAGCGACGAGCGGAGGGTGCCGAGGCGCGCATCGATGCAGATACGGTCGGAAGTCGCCGACGATGCTAGTTTCTGCCAGAGACAGAGCAGAGGCCGACGAAGATGGACGTCACAGAGAATCTGGCTAAAGAGGCGGGCGGGCGAATCTGTTTGGTGGCTGCGCGGGAGCTGCAGCTGCAGCACATCAGGCAGACCACGGATAAAGCGTTCGAGCTGGTCGGCAGCCTCGAGCGCAGCATCCAAGCGCGACGGCGTCTGCGTCAGCCCGCCCAGGATACGCATCGCATTCAGACGCAGTTGCAGGGATCGCCCCAAGGCCGCCTGGATCGAGGAGCCAGTCCATTCGTCCACGGGCCGCGGGGAGGGATACTCGGGCATGCCCTCGTACAAGTCGAGATCGTGAAAATTCCCGGGACTCCAGCACGTGCTTTCAGGCTCCTGTAGGTATGGGCTGCGGCCGCAGATGATCGAGGCCTGCAGATCCATCTCCCGCACGGTCATCCACAGCCGACGGCGTTGCTCACCCTCGAAGATGGAGACACCCGGCAGCTCGCTGGGGTCGCAGTGGAAACTCTGCGTCGTGGCGAACCGGATCAGATCTCCCGCCGTGACCCAGAGGTTATGTGAGCGCTTTGTCCGGTCCGCGCCGCTGAAGCGCGCCAGCAGCATCAGACAGTGCACTCGTAACGTGGCCAGCGGGGTGGACTTGCGACGGTCCACAAAGTGCAGCCAGTCCTCCACCGTGTCGAAAAGCCTCCTCTCGGGCACCCGGTCCGTGTCGGTTGGTGTCCCGTCCAACGCGGCGGCGATGGCCACCACCACGGCCAACTGGGGGATCAGCGAGTAAAAGTGCGCGGCACGGTCTCCTTCTCCCTCCGCCCAGAACGCCTCGTATTCCTGCATGAACGATGGGGTGTGAAGGATGCGATACGTGTTCTCCAGGTACCGGCAGTAGAAGTCGACATAACGGTCACACGTCTCCCGCGGCGGGAGCAGCGCCAGAATCGCCGACGGCATCGCCGACCCCGTTCGTTGGCGGTCCTCCTCGTCGCCCAGCGAGCGCCATTGCTTATGAAACTGCCGGTGGTACAGACGGAACTCATTGAGGGTCGGGTGCATGGCCGGATCGCTCCACAGCTCCTTCATGAAATCCAGGGCCTCGTTGAACTCGCCCAGCAGCGCCCGCGAATAGTCGCGTTTCAGCGCCGCCGGCGCCGAGCTGACCGGAGTAGCGACGGCTACCGTACTCGCCTGCGAGCCTGGCGTCCGGTCTGCCCGCAGCTGCTCAATCGTCCGTGCCTGGCGCAGCAGCAGCGTTTCCAGCTTGCTGATGCGCGACTGCAAATTATCAATAGCCTGCGGGGACCCGGAGGACACATGGCTGTTGCCATTGTTATTGCTATTGCTATTGCTATTGCTGCCGCTGCTGATGCTGTTGTTGTTGTACAGCTCAGGGGCCAACTGATCGAGCCCTGCGTCAGTGGCGGACCGCTTAGGCGGCCGATGAGGGTCCTGGTAGAAGCAGCGGTCAACGCGAAGCCCCTTTGTGCACTGGTCGCAGGGCAGCTCCCGGTCGCACCGCAGCTTGCGGCGGCGGCACTCGGCGCAGGAGAGTGGAGGACGAGGACGTCTGCGCACGGCGGGTGGTGGGTTGGAGGCAAGCAACGCGTCCAGCTCGTGGCTCATGGTGAAGCTGAGTTTGTTTTGGGGGGGGGGGGAATTTGGAGTTGGAAATCATAGAGGATGACGGGTCCCAGGTTGTGGCGTCCTGAGGCAGGAATCATGCCTGAGGCAGGGATTTCTCAGCGTCAGCAATGGTGAGGGGCTAGAATGTAGTATGTGGTAGGTGAATAAAATAATACCCATGATATAGCATAAGCGTAGGGATTAGCAGCTGCAGCCAATAATACTATTTCTGCTAGACTTTACTTTCTGTGGTTGTGAAGTTGCTATGAAATAGCAAGGTGTATCAAGAACAAACATTGTATGGAGAGCATTTTATGTTTCTAAATGAGGGAGGGAGTAGTAGTGGAATGAGAAGAGTCGTAAAGTCAATCGGACATGAAGGTTCATTGATCGTCATATCATCACCTGAAGTACTCCGTACTCAAGGCTAGACACGACCGCTGAGAAACAGCTTTCGCACACTGATCCAGTCCATATAAGCCACGATCGAGAGGAGCTCCCGGTGAGACGATGACTCTTCATCTCGTGCAAGTCGGCCCTTCCGCTCGATCACGAACAGCTGCCAGGATCTCAGCAGCCACAGACAAAGACTGCCTGCCAGGAACATGCAGGCCACGAAGATCTGCGTGCCCTGGTATCCAGACCAGGTGGACAGAGTCAGGGCGGCGGGTTCGGCGAAGGTTGTCGGCGCCACCAGCGCGATGCAGATCAACGAGAAAGCAGGCGATACCCGCTGCACCCCGACGACCTCGGCCGTCACCGCGCTGACGGCGCTCCAGAACGTGCCGCAGATCATTCCGACCAGAGTGGCAAAGGCCAGCAACAGGCCGTAGGAGGTGGCAGGCATCCAGAGCGCGAAGCAGAGAACCCCACAGAGACCGGTCATCGCCATTGATACGTTAATCCGGCCATACTGATCGCTAAAGTGGCCCACCAGCGGGCGACCCACGACAAGACCCAGGTTCAACATCGCGCTGGCCATGGATCCCTGTTGCGTGTCGAGCTCGATGGAGGCCGCATATGCTGGGAGAGAATAGAGCAGAGTAATGTAGCCGAACTCGGTCACTATCCCCCACAGCGCGATCAGGATCAGCCCTAGATGTTTGAACTCATGGATTCTGATGTATCGATGATTGTGTTCGGAAGATCCCCCCCACTCTTTCATCACCAGGGCGCACACCAGGTTGACGGCGAGCCCGACCAGTGCAAAGACCCGATAGCTCCATGCCACGCCGATTTTCTGAACTGCGTACCCGGCTGCTAAATTATACAGCAGTCCTCCCATTCCAGCACCCGATGCGGCAAGGCCACAGGCCAGGCTCCGCTTAGATGAAAACCACGCGGGGAGAGCCGAGAGGGCAGGCAGGTAGAGAAAGCCCATGCCCCAGCCGAAGAAGACACCCTGGCTGAGGAAGAGATGCCATATTTTGCTGGCGAACGAGGAGCCCACCAGAGCCACTGAAAGCAGCAGTGTGCCCAAGACCATCACGAACCGCAGGCCGAGGCGTCGATGCACCATCGTGACAATGGGGCCAATGAGCAGACACTGAGAGACGGACAGACCGCCGACCAGTGCCATCTGGAACTGTGTAGCTCCCTCAAATGTAGAATGTGCCAGGAAATATGCCAAAAAGACACTCCACGCGCTGTTGACGCCCCAGGTCTGCGCGTTCACCAGGAACATGCAGGCAGTGCACACCCAGCCGTACCCGCCATTTGGTGGTTCGGGCTCCGCGAGTATGACAGTGACAGTTGTTGAGTGTAGTGGTGAATTAGGAGCACAAGGAATTTCAGCCAGATTTATTCCTTTCGGCTGTTCACCTCGACTCCTGTCACCAGCCAAGATACGACCCGGGTCCATCAGCTAGCTGGTGTAGTGAAGATAGCTATGCGCGAATGATTGTGGATGGTGATCCGACCCTTCAAGTTGCGTCCATTCTGACGAGCGTGACTGATTCCTTTATAGGGTTGTGAAAATATGAGTCATTAGTACGCCTTTAGCTTGACTATCACCAAATGAGGGAAAAGTTTCCGGTGGATAAACACTTCTTGGGCGGACTTCAATCGCCTATCGGTTGAGCATATACCGACAGATTCCGACTCTCAGCAAATAGGAGGGAACGGCAAGATCTAAAAAATTGATATTGACAAATTCAGTGTGGCTTCTGGCTTCTGAATTCGAGACCGAGCCTGCAGAAGGTTGTGTGATCCTTCATCGCTTGATACACCGTGGAGTGGACCCCGGCAAGCCACGACCTGCAATGATGCCTGACACCTTTGACGGTGACGGTTGGCTGTATAAGTAGTAATTAGCCGGTAGAGCATATCCTATTCATCATCACCAGTCAGTTTGTGAGTTCTTGCGAATCTCGTAGCAGACCAACGTCAGGAAGGACAGATCCAGAAGGATGAACAGCCAGTCATTCCGCAGAAAACACTTACTCACAATATGACATCTCCATTAGGACTGCCAAGATGTCTCAAACAGTCCCAAGAAACCCCTGGAGCTTCTCCAATAGAGGCTGTAAATGAGGGTGTAAAGAGAGAGTGTTGCAGTTCGCAGTGAACTTCAGCTTCCAACTCTGGAAGTCACGAGCCCTGCCTATCCTGGCCTAGATGACCACGTGCTCCAGGCATCAACTTGAACCCACAACGAGTTTTTTCTCCTCTATTCTCCTGCAATATTGAACGCGACAGACGAAAGGGAGAAATAAGGGTTGACCAGGTGAGAAACTCCAGGATGCAGCTGCCTTAACGCTTTACGATCTTACCAGGATCTGACTGACGATATTCTCTGCTCGAATAAGATCGATGTCGACTGTGTGGCCCGGCTGGGAAGGGGAAATACAAAGACCATCACGCAGGTCTCTCAACTTATTTTGGTATCAGAGATGATTGAGAATGGATTACTGCCATTCCTTTAGGCCATGACTGCCAAGAAAATTCTCTGATTATGATGAAAACAAAGGATGGTATGGGTATACTCCGTACTCATGAACAGCAGAGATCCACGAGTGTCCTGCTATCGGCTTGAGAATAGATAAAACAATTGTGATCACATTTCGTGACTTGACATGTTCTATGGTGGTTGCTGATGGTTTTCTAAATAGGATACTCTCCTCTGTACTACCTTACTGCGATGTACAGACTATTTCCCGGCCAGAATCCGAAGATCGTGGGGCGGGAATCGATCAACAAACGCCATTAACTAACCAATGACGGCGAGAGTGAATGGTGGAGAAGGGTTCGGGGTTTCAGCCAGGGGCGGTTTCCTGCAGAGATACGGAGTATGCTTAATGGTGCAGAAACAGAAGAGATAGTGGAGGAGGGACTAATTATTAAACTTGCAGCTCACTCGGTGAATTTTCTTCTCCCCGCCGCGCTGTTATTTATCTAGCTCTCCCAGGCTGAAAAGTTCGTTCTTCTCCCCTGCTACATGGGAAGTGATCTGCTTGACAAGTTGTTCACCATGCCTTCGGTTGCCTCACAATTCCTGGCTTTGACAGTTGGAGGTCTGGCTGCGTTATCTAGCGCCTCCTTCCTCTCCTCACAGCTCGACCTTGACCCGTATCCCTATGACTTCCCAGTCCTGGGAGCCAATGGCTCCGATCTCTTTCCCATGCGTCTCTGCAATGGTTTCAAGCTAGAGGAAGCTAGCATCGACGATATCCAAGCTCAGATCGAGGCTGGCACTTTCACCGGGGTGCAGTTACTACAATGTTATCTGGAGCGTATCTACCAGGTGCAGCCTTATGTGAAGTAATACCAACTCTCCTCCCTTGCACACACATTTCATCGCAGGCGAATTGCTTATCAAAAGTTGCGGGGAAAAGCTCCGTTCTTCAATTCAACCCAGATGCCATGGCCATCGCGGAAGCGTTGGATAAAGAGCGCGAGCAAGGGATAGTCCGTGGTCCGTTGCATAGCATCCCATTCCTGGTTAAAGACAATATTGGGAGTAAAGACAAGATGGAAACGACTGCCGGCAGCTGGGCTCTGGTGGGGTCCGTTATTCCTCGCGATTCGCACGTCGTCCACCTCTTACGCAAGGCTGGCGCCGTGCTGCTGGGTCATGCCACCCTCAGCGAGTGGGCTGATATGCGCTCGAATGATTATTCCGAGGGCTATTCCGGTCGCGGCGGTCAGGCGCGCAATCCTTACAACTTTACTGTCAACCCTGGCGGCAGTAGCACCGGCTCGGCTGTTTCCGTTACCAGCAATCAGGTTCCGTTTGCTCTCGGAACCGAGACGGACGGCAGTGGTGAGTTCCAAGAATAGTACTTCCTGCCTTGTGAAAGCCAGTCGGCTCATGGAGACATGCAGTTATCAACCCCGCCGAGAGAAATAATATCGTGGGCATCAAACCCACCGTCGGGTTGACGTCTCGCGCCGGGGTCATCCCCGAAACCCTACACCAAGACTCGGTTGGCTGCTTCGGCAAGACAGTCCGTGATGCAGTGTATTGCCTGGATGCCATCTACGGAGTGGACTCGCTCGACAACTACACTTTGGCGCAAGAAGGCAACACCCCTGACGGTGGGTACGCGCAGTTCCTGACCAACCAGTCCGCCCTGGAGGGAGCGGTGTTTGGTCTGCCATGGCTCTCGTTCTGGCAGTACAACGACGCGGAGCAGAACGCGCAGCTGATGGAGCTGCTGGAGTTGATCGAGTCTGCAGGCGCCACGATCATCAACGGCACCGAGCTGCCACACTACAAGGAGATTGTGGACCCGGCCGGCTGGAACTGGGACTACGGCACCACGCGCGGCTATCCCAACGAGTCCGAGTACACGTACGTGAAGGTGGACTTTTACAACGACATTGCACAGTACCTCTCCTACCTGAATAACACCAAGATGCGCTCCCTGGAGGACATTGTCCAGTACAACTACGATAACGCCGGCAGCGAAGGCGGCTACCCCGGGGTGATGCCCGCCTTCGCCTCGGGCCAAGACGGCTTCCTCGCTTCGTTGGCGACCAAGGGTATCCGGAACGAAACCTACTGGCAAGCCCTGGAGTTCTGCCGCCACACCAGCCGGGAGGAAGGCATCGACGCCGCCCTGCGCTACAAGGGCCAGAACCTGACGGCCCTGCTGACGCCCCCGGACTTTGGCCCCACGTACGAGATCGCCGCGCAGGCTGGATACCCCGTCGTCAGTCTACCAGCGGGGATCAACAAGGCGTCCAAGATGCCCTACGGCCTCTCACTGATGGGCACCGCCTGGTCGGAGACCACGCTCATCAAGTATGCCAGTGCCATTGAGGATCTGCAGCTCTCCTCGGGCACGCCGTGGCAGCGCAGTCTGGCCACCTGGAGCGGATATATGGACCGAAACATTCCTGTTAATTGATATACATACAGCTATGATGAACAGTTAACTCTTATATCTGGTACTTGTTGATTCAAGAATATTCCACCTAGTATACCTATAAGTAAGTACTGGTAATGACTAAGCAATGACTAATAAACATTCGCTCCCACGTGCTCTCGTATTCACGCAGGAGATCCAGGCTAACCAAGATAGGAAAGGCCAGTTTCTCAACCTCAACCGCTTGACTGTCCAATCAGCTTCATCCATCAGAACAACTCCCACTGAGAATTTCTGGACGAACCTCAGGAACTCGCCGAGTCTGCCATGGGTAACGACAAACGGTGAACTCAGAATGATGACAAGGTACGTATTTCTATAGTCTAAATACCTGCTGACTCCTGGTATGCAGTATGCAGATGCCGTCTCAGTCTAGATGCAGTGGACCTTCCGCTCTGACAGCCCACGCAAACCCCACTTAAACCTGCTTTTTTTTCTTTTTTTCCCCCGATAAGAATCGGCCTTTGCCGCCTGGTCCTTCTTCCCTTCTTCTCTTCTTCAGAGATTTCTTTGCTTGCAGGACACCGTCTTTGCGCCAGTGAACGACTTCGAGAGCTTTGCGTTCACTTTTGTTTTATAAAGCTCTCTATCTGTGCTATAGTACCATTACTAGCCAGTTACCTACTCAGCAGTCGAAATGGCTCTGGACAGCGAGGTCGCGCCCGCAGTGGCACCCGAGATCGAGTACGATGCGAAGAAGGCCGGCAATGTGAACGTGGATGAGAAGAGTGTGTCGAAGGATGTGGCGCTGGTGGGCGATTCGGTGACAGAATCGCCTGGGGAGGAGCGCATGGGAACTCGCGCGCGCCTCTTCGCCTACATGAAGACACGGGAGTTTTGGATGACGCTGATTCTGGGGTATGCCATGCTGTGCTGTGATTTTGTTTAGGTAGCGAGAAAGTATCCCTAACAAGTGCATCTAGACAAGTGTTGGCCCTGGCGAACATCAGTTCTTCCACGTTCACGACCCTGTTGGACGACGAGGGCACCGTCATTCCTGCCTTCCAGACCTTCTTCAACTACGTGCTACTCAACATCGTGTACACCAGCTTCACTATCTACAAGTATGGATTCAAGGGATGGGCCAGGCTGGTGTGGAGGGACGGATGGCGATGTAAGTTATACCGAAAGGTTTTCCGCTCGAAAGGTGATACTGATAGAATAGATATCATCCTGGCCTTCTTTGACGTCGAAGGCAACTACTTTGTTGTATTGGCCTACGACTACACCACGCTGCTGAGCGCCGAGCTGTTCGGCCTGTGGACGATCGTCGTCGTCGTCACCATTTCGCTGGTGCTGCTCAAGGTGCGATACCACCTGACGCAGTACATCGGCATCTTCATTGCCTGCGCCGGGCTGGGCCTGCTGATCGCGTCGGACTACCTGCGGGGCGCCGACTATTCGGGCTCCAATCGGCTCAAGGGCGACCTGTTTGCCCTGCTGGGCGACACCATGTACGGGTTTAGCAACTGCTACGAGGAGTTCATGGTCTCCAAGCGGCCCATGTACGAGGTGATCGGCCAGCTGGGCTTCTGGGGCATGATCATCAACGGCACGCAGGCGGCCATTTTCGACCGCCCTGGGTTCCGCAAAGCCGTGTGGAACGGCAAAGTCGGCGGCTACCTGACCGGATACACGCTCGTGCTCTTCATCTTCTACACGCTCGCCCCCATCATGTTCCGCATCTCGTCCGCCACCTTCTTCAACATCTCCATGCTGACCATGAACTTCTGGGGGCTCATCATGGGGCTCGAGGTGTTCCACTACACCGTCCCAGCCCTGTACCCCGTCGCCTTTGTCATGATCATCATCGGCTTCTTCGTCTACTTCCTCACCGAGGGCGTCCTGGGTGAGGCCAAGAAGCCCTGGCTGGGCGATGACCAGCAAAAGGGTGTCGAGGGGCTGGGCACCGGTCGTCGTGCCCAGCAGTCGGGCCATCTCATTGTCTAGGCTTAACTACTTAATACTCCGTATACACCATCGAGCTACTCACTCTACTTTATAATAATACTTTACTACAACTACCGTACAATCACTCTGTCCGCCGCACTTAGTACTCCGCACTACTATCCCGCTTCATATTATCCCCCACTATCCCTCGGCTGTAATTACTCGCCTGCATTCCCTCCCAAGTGCCATCACCGACCACTGACCAGTCTTGGCAAGGGGGCTGTGCAGCGACGAGGGCAGAAACACGGTGGGGAAAGCAGGGGAGGGGAAAAAAAAATACCACCACACATAAAGAAAGACATGCCCCGTTGCTCTTTGTTTTCAATCGTTGAAGATTCTCTAATTCGTTGAAGAGAATGGGGCGTGGTACGAACTACGGAGTCCCCCCAGGTACCCGACTCATACTTGGAAAAGTGAACTTTATTTCAACCTCATCAAAATTTACAGGCGTATGAATACTATACTATACTATACTATGCTATGCTATGCTATGCTATGCTACTATCCTTCAGTCGATCTGCAGCTTCCACCCATGCTATCCGCCGCAGATCCTCCCGTGCCAGCACGGTCTCGCAGTGCGACTCGCCTAGGACAGATTGCCGCCCCGCGTATACTTGTTCCGCGAGCTGGGCGGCTTCCTCCCACCGGCCCTGGGTTTGGTAGATCCCCCCCAGGTTGGCTAACCCCGTCAGGGTGTGTGGATGGTCGGCGCCGAGGGTCTCCTGCATGGCCGTGACGGCGGAGTAGGTCAGGCCGGCGGCGTCGGAGAGCCGTCGTTGCCGGTGGAGGGTGACGCCCAGGTCTGTCATGGCGACGAGGGTGATCGGGTGACGCGCGCCCAGCACGGCCTGTAGCCGCTGCAGGTTTGCTTGGGCCATGTCGGCGGCTTCGTCGAGCCGGCCCTGCCCTCTGCGGGTGGCGGCGAGGTTGGCCCGCGCCATCAGCGTCGTCGGGTGGTTAGCGCCCAGCACCGTCTCGCCCGTGGCCACGACGGCAGTCTCAAGCCGCTCCGCCTCCCCCCACCGCTCCTGGTCGCGGTAGATGGCCGCCAGGTTGGCCATGGAGATCAATGTGTGCGGGTGGCGCCCGCCTAGGGTCGCCAAGCGATGCTCCAGCACGCTCTGTTCCAGCCGCTCCGCTCGCCCATACTCCCCTTGCTCCCGGTAGGTGATGGCCAGGTTCGACCGCCGGGTGAGAGCTGGCTCCGAGGAGTCTACCTCGGAATCACCTGCACCTCCGCCTTTCGCCATCTTTTCTTCTCCTTCTTCTTCTCCAACCAGCGCCCGCTCGATCTGTTCCGCCTCGGCGTACCGGCCGCGCGCCGCATACGTGACCGCCAGGTTGGCCATGGAAGTCTTTGTTGCCGGGTCGTCGATTCCCAGCGTCGCCACGCGGCGGTCCAACACGCGGCGGTCCAGCTCCTCGGCGTCGGACCAGCGGCCTTGCCCGCGGTACGTGGCAGCAAGATTCGATTGGGCGACGAGGGTGAGCGGATCGTCCTCGCCCAGCAGCGATTCTCGCAGGGCGGCGACCCGCGAGCCCACCTGCTCGGCCTCCGTCCAGCGGGCCTGGCCCCAGTACGCCGACGCGAGACCACTCATCGCCGCCAGGGTAGCTGGGTGAGTCTCGCCGAGGACATGCTCGCGTGTTCGCAGCACCGGTTGCGCCAGGTCTGCGGCGAGATCCCACTGGCCCTGACGCAGGTATCTCGCAACCAGACTGCCCAGCAAGTCGGCCAGACCGAGCTCATTCTCCTTGTCGGCGGCGGCGGCGGCGGCTGCCGTCTGTAGATCGGTGACAACATGATCGTCACGGTCGGCTCCGGTACTACTCCTGTACTTGGCGATGAGACTGGTGACTGCCTCGTGGAGAGATCCATGCGAGGGAGGCATTGGTTGAGGGAGATGTGAGACAGAGACAGAGACAGAGACAGGAAGGGGGAGGGGGAGGGGAGGGGGGGAGGGGGGCAGATAGGAAGATAGGAAGGAACGGAGAAGGAGGGAAGGAGCGAAGAGCGACGAGGGAAGAAGGTGGAGTCAAAGTATCGACACACAAAAATAGCCTGCCAAGACAGCATTCGATACTATATAAAAGGACCTGTGTGTATAGAGGTGATTCGAAATGGCATTATAATAAGCATCTCATGTCTGTCATTATCTGTTTATTCTCTATTGCATTACTACATCTACTGACTTTCTTATTATCTTTCTTCTGGTATAGCCAAATGAGGGGCACAACAAGCCCTGTAAGGCTGGGTGGGGTCTATAGGGAGTATGTAGTATATACATACGGAGTACCTAGGAGAAGGAATACAGGTGGTATTACCTATAGATACTTGGATGACTGCATGGTTAAGAATGGATCTATTCGATTCTGTCTATTGAGTCTTTTGAAGATCTGAAATATTTTGTTTTTTTTTTTAATTTATTTTCTTTTGTCAAAATGTCAAAACAGGAAACTGGAGACCTCCAGGCAACACAATTCTTTGGCCAATCAGGATGCGATAGCGTCATACACACATGACTGACAATAATGCTTTATATGCAGAATACTACCTAAATATATTACTCTATACTAGTTACTCCGGAGTAGAAAAATACGAAACTTGCCTACGCACTTACAATCTAATTGTGCTGGAATAGTGTCTATGTTGAAATAAGATATAAGGGAGCTTATTGCCTTCAACAGGACTGTACACTAGGTACTATATAATACTGGTATTCTTCCTGTAGTCTGGATTCTATTATTGATATAGATGAGTTCTTTATATAAGTTCTTCTGATATAATCTCTGATATATCCATAAAACTATCTAACAATAATTATTATCTATTCTATCAACCCCAACAGTTCCTCGGCCCGCGCGGGAGATGCTTGGCATAGCCCCCGCTTAGTCATATACCGCTTACTAAGCGTATCGGGCTGTGTCTTCGTATTTGGTCAATCACCCCATATCGTATCCTCATCCGAACATGTCAGACATCAATACTACTTCTACTACTCTACTACTGTACTATCAGGACTGCTTCTAACACGGATGACCGTATGTAAATATACAGCCTAACATCCAACTATCACTAAAATCACAGGCTGGACTGCAGCATGTTCCACTGGCTCAAGAGGTCATGGAAGCGGAACACGGACAAGAGGCGACGCAAGAATCTCCGTCGAGAGCGTAGTCGGCAGATTCGGGCGCGAGAGCGAGAGACTATCGCGGGTGGGAGTGGGAAGAATCCTTGGAGGGCAAGCTTCTTCTGGGGGTACCTGGGGCAGACGTATAATGATTAAGTGTTCATATAGTACTAGTTAATTCCCCCAGGCATAGCGCGATAACATTCTTGTATAAATAAGAATCTCGAGACATTTGCTTGCACTCTCAAATACGGTTACAGCTTCGAGTCCAAGGCATTGCTGCGGTAGATTTCCTGCAATCGCTTGGCTGTGATCTGTTCCACTTCCTGCCGACACACTTCCAGACTCAACGGTCCTGCAACCTGCTTGACCCAATATGACTTGCCACAGTCGAAGCGCCAGTCTCGGGTCCCTGCCCTGACCAGCTCCGCCAGGAAACACTGTGGGGTGCTCCGGTCCTCCGTGAAGACGACGGTAGGCAGGTGTCTCTGCACTGCCGGCGGGGCATGATTGCGTGTCTCCGCAAGGAACTCGTCGAACGTGCGGCGCATGTACAGCTCCGCGCCCAGGTGGATGATCCCCTTGGTGCGCGCCGCGCCGTGCAGCAGAATCGCGTTGGCGACTAGGTCGACGGGAATCTCGTCCAGGACGTTGGCTCCCGTCCGGTGTCCCTCGGTGGCATGCCAGACCTGCGTCCCGCCGCGGTCGGAGAAGAAAAACCGCGCAAATTTGTTCATCGGCGTCGAGTCCTCGGGTCCGTACAGCGGGAACGGATCGCGGAGCGATGGTGCAAAGATGGTCGGTCGCACAATAAGAACCGGCAGGAGTGGGTATCTTTGAATCAGAAGTCGCTCCATGATCTGCTTAGCGTGGGCGTAGGAGGATGAGAAGCGCGCAGTCTGGGGTGAATTCCCTGTTGAGAGGATGTTGGCGAGCTCTTCTTCGGCATCTCCGTCGTCCGTGAGATGATACAGCCGTTCGTGCACGAAGCCGTCCGGGAGGAAGCTGCTCACATACGCCGTCGAGATCTGAATGAGCAGTCTCAGTCGCCGGAACTGGGAGACCATCTGGGCAAGCTCAAGGCACGGAAGACAGTTGTTCTTGACTGCATGGCTGATGTTGGCCGCAAAGGAGATATTTGCCGCAGCGTGGATCACAAGCGTCACTTCATCACGCAGGCGCTCCAAGGTCGATGGGTCGATGCCAAACTCTGCTTTCAGAATATCTCCAAGCACAAAGTGGACCTTTTTGGACCCGGCAATCGCCTCGCTCTGCTCCGGCATGTTCCTCCTCCACTTTTCAATCGCCTCTTTGTCCGAACCGCGAACCAAAATAAATACCTTGCGTGTGGGCAGTTGCAGGGCCAGCTTGTACAAGAGACATCCCCCCAGAGACCCAGTCGCCCCAGTCAGGAAGACCGTCTCAGCGGCAAAAAGCCTGGCGTATCCGGTTCGCAGAATCTCCTCCGCTCGAGACATGGTAGCTGCCATGAATAAGAATGATTTGTACACAAAAAATATACTGGACTGTAGACCTGAAGGTCGTATCAAGAAAAACAATGCTTCTATACCTTGACTCTTTTGCAATAGCCCGAGCAATGCACATGCGTCTTGAAGGCCGTTGTGTAACAGCAACATCCGTGCTTCATGGGGGTTGTACCTGTAGAACATCTCGTTATGATACCATTGGACATTTGATGATTGCTGTGGTGTCGTCTAGTAGTTCATGACTCGTCAAGAGCATATGATTGCCCTCGCACTGCTGCGAAAATAGGGCTAGCAGCCTATCCAAACGCATCTTATTGACACTTGTACCACAAAACCCCCGTCTCTCCTCTCACAGGGTGGCAGGCGCACCTCGATCGGTGTCCAAGGTTGCATTTCCTCATCGAGCGTTGGTGATGCATGTGAAGCTGCGAGGTGTTTGCGATCTCTCGCAATAGCCGAGGATTATAGAAGTTCAGAGATTCATTTGCATTTTCGAGTACCGTATTGTTAATTCCGGATGAACTCTGAGTTTTATGAGAAGCTGGCTGTTCTCTCGGTTGCCTTGTTGCTACTCATCGAAATAAAGGGCTGTGGTTTTTATAGCTCCTAAAATCTAGAAATTTCAGTGGAAAGCAGCTGATTATTCTCTCGGATAGACGACACACCTAGTAGAGTAGTAGAGTAGCAAGAGCCGGGAGAAAAGGAGGTGAGGGTGAGGTCTGACGTTGGATATCCAGGTCACCTGATACGATCTGATATCAGCAGCTGCTAATTACTATGTCTTGCAATAGAAGAATACTTTGAAAGATGGACACCTCCAGATATGGCCTTCTTACTTTCTAGATCATCAATGGCTTTGACCTTACGCCTGAATGCAGTTGTCTGACCTCATCAAGCAGTGGTGAATCTTTCCATTCTTACTAGACGTCTAATTTTTCTTCGGGACACCCAAGATTGACTCAATATTGCCACCCTTCAGCCATACGTCCATGGCCTCGTAATTCTTATAGAACCCCTCATTGTTCATTGTTGGCAGATCTGTCAAAATCTTATGGCCCAGTTTCGCCTGGGCGGCACCGAGATAGTGATACCCGTACGGGTACTTGTCAAGCTCTTCTTTAGTGAAGACGGGGACGTTCTTTCCGTCCACGGGGACGATTTTGTCCTTTTCATAGAACAGCTTCTTGAAATTGATCTTCCATACCGGAGTGTCCGGCGAGGCGGCTGTCGGCGCCTTGATGCACCAAAAGATGAACCGGCAGTCACACTCGACATCAAACTCGATCCCGTCGAGCGTGAAGCGCTGGGTGATGGTCGCCTTCATCTTGCCGACTGCGCGGTTAGTCTTCGGGTTGAGGTCGACGAGCGTGCCGTTTTCACGGTGCATGATAAAGTCGCCATTAGCACGGCTGCTGATGGATGTTTGGATAAAGTCCTCAATGGTCATGCCGCCACTCCATGCTGTTTTTTGTGTGGGGGTTCGTCAGTGATCAGTAAATCGGCCATTCTCAGCCTACTATTGTTGACGTACTGGTGAAGATGTATCCGCCCTGGTCCACGAAGCAGTCACGGTAGTTTTTCCATTCCGATGCGTCTCGATAGACCGGCCAGCCCTTGCACAGCTCCGTCACCAAGTACCGATCGATGATCTCCTCTGTGGTTCCGTTGATGTGACTCCAAACAGTCGGCTGCGTTTCTTTCTCAGTCACGTTGTATACCATCGTTGCGGTGGCGTAAGAGGTATTGTCTATCACACACAGTAACGGGATGAGTAAAGTGAAGATTGGCCGTTCGGTTCGGATTGCCGTGTCGTTTTGTAAACTCGGCCTACCGACAAGACACCATCACCTCTTTATATAGGTACCTCTGCCGTTGTTCCCGAAATGTGTTATCAATCCTGTCGGTCCAGAATCGGAAGCCTGCAGGAAAATGAGCTGACTCCCTGGCCCCGCGCCCGATGATTTCATACCAGTATCAGGTCATGGCCGTCCGTAAATGGATTTATCCGCATCGTTAGTCAGAATCATGATATCATCGGCGTGGGTTGCCTCCAGCAGAGGGCGATAGGGTTCTCTCCTACCCATAGAAACGCAATACCATAGATACCTTAGGTACCCAAGGTATTCGGAGCATTACCATGAGCTACGGGAGAGGTGCAGACAGGCAGTTGGAGGGGAGAAATCTCCCCGGTGAGTCACCTGATGGGAAATCGCAAGCCTCAGGCACCGACAGGACAGGGGGCTCCTTCCTTCTTCCTTCACCGCCCCAAAGCATCACCGTCAAGCCTCCCACGAAGGAGAAAAATACTCAAGTCTCGCCCTCGATTGCGGCTGGAGGTTGCTCTGGGCCGTGCTTTGAGGGAGTGGGCTGTCTGTCAAGGTAAGCGAATCCTTCTGGTACGCTATTTCCCAATAATTAATCTGTATTCTTGCAGCGGAGTCGTATTTCCGTCCAGACGCGTCACGACCTTGCCACCCCGGGATTCAAACGCTCCACCAACGCCGGGATTCTGGGCGCTTTGGGCATCTTGCTGGCTTTCTATTTAGGTGATTCTGTAACATGACAGGCTAGCTAGGACCCAGGCAGCTAGCAGGTTTTCAGTGCAGTCAGGAAAACACTAACGCCAGACTCTCATAGGCGCTGGTATGGGCACAGGCCCAGGCACCATCAGTGGCTGGTTTTGACGGCTAGATCGATGCACGCCACATCGGATCCGGGTATGACGTTGTACATCTCAAGCTTCCCACTGCGTTAGATGCCGGGCTTCTATACCGGGACCATCCATCGTTGGAATAATATTCATCCTCTCGAGTCAGGTTAACGATCGTACGACGGCTTTGGTGCGCCTTGCTGTTGAACACTTGAGACAACAAAACACCTGTCTTATCGTATGATCCCACACGCTTCTTCTCCGGAGAAGTACTGCATACTACATAGACGGTTCCCCAAAGGGTTTGTCTCATAAAGTTTGCCACTTGGGCTAACGTGGTAGCTATCGATCTCGCTTATCGCTTCAAGGCTGCATATGCAGGGATGAGCTCAATAGCAATCGTGCGGAAGACCAATTTTTGGGACTTGATCGATATGCAGCCAAGCCTCATTATTCGAATTGGTCTTGCTTTGGTGTTCTGACCCAGAAACAATGCCTTTCTGTGTCGCTGCACTGCATCGCTTCCTCGTTTCCCCGGACCCAGAAACCTTTTTCAATTCATGCCTTCCACCTTGCTCCGATGGAATAATGAGAGTAACTACCAGTGGCCAGTGGGTCACTGAACTGCCCCCGAGCTGCTGTAGTGCGTACAAGTTCCCGCTAAACCACGAAATCAAATCCATCTAGTATCTACCCACACCTGCTGTGATTTTCTACTTCCAATACCAGGCCCCCAGGTTTCAGAAGGAATCTTATTTTGCCTTTTCTGTCCCCCTGCATGAAGACCGGGGGGTTGACATTTCCAAATCCTGTCGCCCCTTTTACTGGATATGGAACCCGAGGAGATCTCGTACCTTGGGATCAGTCCTCATGGAGCTTGTTCGCCGATCGATAATAGAACATAGGTCGCTCCAAAGACATTCCTGTGGAATCAGACAGCGAACCACCAAATGAAATGGAAATGGAGCCACTTATGGAGCAGGGTTGCCTTTTTCTCTTGCCCACAGCCTATAAGACAGCGCTTACAGCACCTGAGCTTGGACTCCCCCAGTTTAATAATGATAATACTTACCCTTTATAGACTGACATCCGATGAAAAGAAAGCTCCATCAGTCTTGAGATCTTTTAAACCCATGAAAGCAGATTCTTCTCCTTGTTTTCAGCAGCCTATTGGTGCGACACATAAATCCGGGGGGTATAATAAAAAGAAATCAAAAAAAAGGCAAAAAGAGAGACGGAAGAGGGACAGATGCCTAAAACTCACTAGGGGCAATCTGTAAAGATCTACAAGAATCTGTCCCTTACCACCTTTCCGTTCTGCGTGGTTGGGGAAGCAAGGAATGTCGTACTTGGAGTACTACTTGGTAGCGAGTGTGCCATCTTGCAGGAATCCTGCCAGATGGGATCCGACCGACCGACCGAACATTCTCCGAGAGATAAAGTTCCTTCGGCGTATGCAGAGACGTTGCTTGTTTGAGTACGGCCACTGCTGATCAATGTTCTAGAGAGATGCTGTCCGTCGCTGGATCATGGTGCTCTTGATGCTGTCGAATCATAACCCCAAGACTTGATCAAAGACCCATCGTGTCGACTTCGACGGACGGCCTTGGGGAATCCACCTTTCTCCTGACTCCACATGTCACTGATTCCCGTTTTCCCCTGTGGCAAATTATGCGGTTTGTGGGCTGGGCAGGGGGGTGAACACTGCCTAAAGTGACACTATCTGAGGGACCTCAGAATGTACTACCCAAAAGGTCAACCTGCATGTCAAAACCAAGGTAGGAGAAACCTGTTCCAGATCTCGTTCGTCCAAGATTAGAGAAAGCCTCGCTTGGAGCTTATCCCTATGGCTGCCCGAGGAGGGCGTGCAGGAGGAATGTGGCAAGGCACATCGATGCGCAGCCACTGCCAGAAGCATCGGGGTTTGGACCTGTCAGTCGGCGGACCGCTAGGACGCTCAGCTTGGGTGGACCTATTATCCATTTCCACCACAGAAGGGAAGGAAGTGTTTGGCCATTATTGTGTGTGTGGCTAGTGACCGACCTCTCCGCCACTTCAATCCTGCGGTGTAGCTTACGAGAGCTTGTCCTCTGATTCACGAGACTTTGTCTGACGTGGAGCCAGAGTTTGCGAAGAAGATCTTTTGATCTTTCTAGCATCCAACCACATACCCAGCTACATTACACTGTCCTTTTCATCTCGCTGATACCTTCATTTTGTCTTCACTGGTATGATGGCCCTTCACAGCTCTTCTTTGAAAATGGAGAATATTTCCTCACCGTGGTAGCTGTCCTAGAAAGCATTACGCGGGGGAGTCACACTGATCAGGACTATGGGCGCCAACTGCTCAGTTAGGTAATTGGATGATATGATAAGAGTCAGGTGCTAGTCATGGCTGACCTGTTCGTGTCCTCCGCTGCTTGCTCTGACTGCTTAGCTAAATTGCTGTTTGATGTTTCCACGGCCATTGCGCTCCCATGGATCCCCAGGTGCTATGGACAGTGACGACTCCCGAATAACAGAAAGGCTAGCTCTCTGTCCACATTTTTATTTGCCTATAACCACCTTCACCCCCTTCCCCCCCCCCTCTCCCCCTTTCTGTCTTCCACCCTTTACGTTTTTTCGCTGTCTTTGTCTCCAACAGTGGTATGAAGCATGGCCCATCACTTTCACCAGGTCGGAGTCTGTGGAGATGGGACGGTGCTACATATGTCGGGTCAAAGAAAGCGGCGGTCAATTTATTCGTGTCTGAGTTGCCATCAGCGCAAGACAAAGGTACTTACTTGAACCCCCTAGAGAGAGCCCCAATCTCCATCGTCCTACACCCCAATGATCCCCACTTCCTCCAACCCTCCGCCACTACCGTTCACTGAAGAACCCGCTCCCCTCAGTGTGATCGTGCAAAGCCGTGTAATACTTGCGTGCGTCTGGGGATTGCATCTGGTTGTGAATACGGCATGAGCAGCCAGGACCGTGAATTTATCCAGAAGTCAGAAGTGATCGAACGGCTCCGGCAGCGTCACCGGCAGCTTGAAAAGCAGTTGCGGGAGTTACGCGCGGCTGGCGGTGCCAGTTCCCAACGTTTGATTGCGGCCAATGGCTGTCAGGATACGATGTCGTTTACGAGTTCGGCTCCCAGCTCCGTCAGCAGCGCTGAAGATACGCCTTCCCCTAGTGCGATAATCCCTTTCAAGCCCATATCACCGATATCGATGCAAAACCCCGAAGTCCAACCATTACAGAATTCTCAAGCTGAGGGCCAGTTTGATTCGGAGCGTCTCGTTCAACAGTTTCTTGCCGAATTTTGTCCTCGGCAAGCTTCTATACAATCCTTTCCGTCCAATCTGCTCTTAGAGGCATCAAAGATGCGCAGAACTTCTCCTCCTCTTGAATACACCTTGGACGCTGCTGCTCTCACATGGGGTGGTCGTCGTTTCAAGAACCGGAATTTGGAGATTGCAGGTTGGAATCAGTATCAAAGAGCATTGCAACTAGTTCGACAAGCAATTCAAGATCCAGAGTCCTCACTCTCGTTAGATATCTTGGTCTCCATCTTGTTCTTCGTCATTATCGAGGTTGGTGAATCCCCCACTGGTATCATCATGAGCCGCACAATCTTATATAAAATTGTCTGATTAGTGTCTTAAACACTCGTCCAAATCCTCCGCACGCAGCCACCTTTTCGGCGCCTTGACACTTTTACAACACCGGACAGCATACCGACATAGGATAGACTTGGAACGGTCAATCTATGTGGAGCTTCGACTATACTGGGTGAGCTTCTTTTCCTCCAAAAAGATCATTATTCAAAGTCGTGGCCTTCTGACATTGATGAGGTCAACGTCGCTATCTGGGAGCGTCAGCCTACATTCCTAGCTGATGAGGAGTGGTTGACTGTCCCTTGGATGGATGGACAGCAGAAAGATATTCTCCAGCATCTCCTCGATATAGCCGTGCATATCCCGGCATACGTTGCTCAAGTAAACGATGTGACCCAGCAGTCTGTGGCTGGCATTCTCTCCTCCGCCGAAATCAACTCAGAACAAATCAAGCTCATGAAAAAAGCCACGGAACTCGATCAGCGCTTGGAAGAGTGGAAACGAGTTCATGCTGATCCCTATCCCCCGGGGTCCCCAAGAGAGGTCATCGGCACCAGTGACGACAACTTTCCTCTGTTTCGGTACTACGATTCCTCAACTAAGACGATTGTCCAGTTGTCGAATATTGTCTATCCTGACATGCTCTCGGCCACTGCGCTCGTCTACTACTGGACGTATCGGCTCATATTGACTCTTCGAATTCCCGGGGTCGACTGTCCGCAGCGAAGTCAGCCGTATTTCTTCGCCAGGCAAATCTGTCGCAGTATGAAATATCACATTCTCGTGGGGTCTGGCTTGTTTTCCTGCCAGGCAATCTTCGCCTTGCGACTGGCCTCCAATATGTTCCCGCCCGACAGTCTAGAAAGTCTGTTCACCGATGAAATGTGGCACATGTTCGAGCAACGCTTTGGGTTCCAGGGCCTCAAGGAGCTCTATCCCCCAATCCTTGGCTACGTTTAGATATCAATAATTTTACCTAAATTCTCCCTTTACTTTGTGCCCAAAAGGAATGATGGTTCATAACGTTTTCCTTTTTCTAGGTAGTCTTCACCATGTCCGGGATCTGAGTAGTGGTGACTCAACTATTATTTTGGGTACTATTGTTTCTTTGTACTTCAACAATAAGGGTAGATCAAAAAAGCAATAAGTTGTCTGTTCTGGTTGCCTTGCAGTAAGTGACGATCTGTTACTTGAAAGAGCAAAATGAGCTCATCTGTACGGAGGTACGAGTATTGAGTCAGTTGGCTAGTTATGGAGTACTCCGTACTTTGTATATCGATGTGTATAATTTAAGATTAAAATAAATACGAAGATCGCTTGCGATCTAGTGATTTGATATGTTGTAGATCGGTGATTCGAGAGCTTCCTGGGCCGTAGGTTTTACGTATAAGATTCTTGGACCTCTGTACTCCGTACCGATCAACAGACGGCTCTTCCATCTCCATTATTCTGCCCCGATTCGAGTAATTTCTGGAGGATGACGAGATCCTTGAGGGCTTCTCGCGGCGTGCACCGCGGATCGACGGCGGAGCCAGGCTGGCTGATTCCCTTGGCGAAGGCGCGGACTTCGTCCTCGACACCGAAGCCAAAGTCAAACGACGACTTGTCCGTCTTGGCCTGTTGGGAGCCATCGTCTAAGGCGCTCGTGACGATCACATCGGCGAAATCGATCAGCACGGCGCCCCGGCTAGTCACCACCTCGGTCTGGATGACGGTCTTCCACGGGGTGCCGAAGGAGAGCTGCAGGGTGCCCGTGCAGCCGTTGGCTGTGCGCAGACTGCCGCTGAGGGTATCGACCGGGGCGAGATGAGGCTGCTGCAGACTCGTGAACGCGGCGACGTGTTGGATCTCCTGTCCGGTCGCGGCGAGGAGATATCTCAGCATGGCGATGAAGTGGATGCCTGCATCCAACAAGTAGCCGCCTTGGAACCCTGGCTTGGAGCGCCTATTTAGATTATCAATTTATCTACCATTCTCAAGAGTTGATTTGCTTGCTTACCATTCAGTTTTGCAAAACTTGTCGTTCGGATCCATCATACAGAGCACGGTACAGCGAAAGGTCTGCAGGTCGCCGCCCAGCTCGAGGAGTTTCTGGCGGGCAAAGACGATGCGGTCGATGAAGCGGAAGTTCTCGCCGACGCACCAGACGGGAACCGGGGCAGATCGCGAGAGAGGCAAGCGACGCTCATACCAGCCGATCAAGTTGCGAGCGGTCATGACATCCTTGCCGACGGGCTTCTCGCTCAGCACATGTTTGCCTGCGGTGATGGCCAGCTGGATGGCGGCCGGGAGCTGCAGGATCGGCAGGGCGATCACCACGGCGTGAATGTCGTCGCGGGCGAGCAGATCGGCGAGGGAGTGGCCGCGGGTAGTGGGGGAGTCGAAGTAGGCCGTGACATCTTTTAGTTGATGGGCTGCGATGACTGTGTTGACGGACGCTTGGGAGCGAGAGTAGATTGCCTTCAGACTGAGGTCGGGGCAAGCGGCGATGGCGGGGAGATGCTCTGTCACGTCAGATTAACCTGCAAACCAAGTGGCGAGTGGGCAGTGACTAGTTACGCTCTCTAGCCCAGATGCCAGCCCCGAGAAGTGCAATGCCGATGGCCATATTGGCGATAAATAGCTGATGGTTTGTAGTATTCTTGTTGATTTATATGGGAGACGATGGTGTAGTTGAATAATTACATACTCAGTGGTATTATGTAGAGCATGTGACACCGATGCCTTTATGCCTTGGTGCCTCTCCGCCTTGGTGCCTCTCCGCCTTAGTGCCTTGATTATATGGCAGAACTCTACGAGACATCACGAAGTCAGCTTCTGAATGAAAGCCAATGGTTGACTATAAGTTCTTACCTAAGAAAGCGCTCCTTATGATCATTATGATCACAACTACCCTGACTTGTCTATAGATTCAATTCGGCAAGATATACGGAGTACGAGCCCAGCCATCCAGCCATCAGCCAGCCACCCTCATTCAACCTTTACCCCGTCTCTACAGCACGATTGATCTACAGAACGCCTAAAGACGCCGGAAGGCCTGAAGGCCTGTAAGAAGTGCTCAGCTCTGCTCGTATTGACCATTCAGCTGTAGAGGGATTGGCATGTGAGCAAGAGACTTATGCAGTGTGACCCTTAGCTGAACAGCAGCTCGAGTAAAGACAGGCTGTATAAATACGGTGAACCAGCAGCAGATGGAGATAAGAGTATTTCTTTAATAGAATCATAATATCAAATCTATTTATTCTGTTTATTCTGTTTATTCTGTTTGTCTGTTTGTTTTGTTTATCTTGTTTATCTTGTTTATTTTGTTTATTCTGTTTGTTTCTATAGACACGCCCTAACCCTAAGATGCTCCCCACTAAGCCTAATACGGTCCCTAACAAACGTCTCATCGTCTGCTGCGATGGTATTTCTCTCTGTCTCTCTCTTCTCTTTCTGCTCTCTCTTTAAACCAACACTGTTCATTCATTCGTTTCAGGAACATGGCAGGATTCTACCGCAGACGCAAGACAGCCTCCCTCGAACGTCACTCGATTAACCCGTGCTCTCTCCCGGAATGCCACCATCACCGTCGACGGAGAGAAGATCGTCATCCCCCAGATTACATATTACCAGAAGGGCGTAGGGACAGGCCTAGGCGATAGATTCTGGGGAGGTACACTCCATTCTTCACTTCACCTAAATCAAGGAAAAGCTGCTAATCTGACAAAGGAGCTGCCGGACTCGGTCTGAGCGCCAACGTACGATCCGGGTACGGTTTCGTGGCAGACAACTACAACCCGGGCGACAAGATCTATTTCTTTGGATTCTCGCGCGGGGCATATACCGCACGAGCGATTGCGGGCTTGGTGCTGGAGCTGGGTCTGCTCACGCCGCGCGGGATGGACAACTTCAGCATTGTCTACGACGACTTCTACAACCACAAGATCGACACGTACACGGCCGAGAAGCGGGCTGCGCTGGGATTCCGCCCCCCTCTACCGAAATACACGGTCGAGATCATTGGCGTGTGGGACACGGTCGGGTTCCATGAATCCTGGCTAGGGAAGGGCATGGGCGAGAAGCTCGAGTATCGCACCACGCAGCTAAGCCCGGACGTGCGCTACGCCTTCCACGCCCTGGCGCTCGACGAGGACCGATCGGCGTACAGCCCCGTGCTGTGGACGGTGCCCTGCTCGCACCCCTGCGAACACGGCAAGAGCCAAGAAGTCCAGCAGGTGTGGTTTTCGGGCGTGCACACCGACGTCGGCGGCGGCGCCGTCGACGCCCGGCTATCGAACATCGCCCTCGCGTGGATGATCGCCCAGTGTTCCAAGGATGACCAGCTCGCCTTTGATGAATCGTACTTGCTCGACAACCCGCCCAAGATCCAAGAGGAGGCGTTGATCCCCTGGGCGACTTCGAGGGGGAGAGATGCCGCGCCCTTTAATCTCATCACCTTTCTCACCGGCCTTCTTCTGGGCAAGTCCCCGCGGACCCCGATGGAATATCATTCCAAGCACCCGGGGGGTCCGCATACCACCAATGAGACCCTGCATGAGTCGATCCGCGATAGGAGGTGTGAGGTTCTTAAAAAGATGGCACAAAAAGATGCAGCTGCTGCAGCTTCACTGAAAAAATCTCTCTGGCCGTGCAAACCGCTCAAGAAGAGGAAGGATGAGCATACCTGGTTGCTCACCGGTGAGAAGGAGATTGCAATTACTCCGGCAAGCAATTTGGAGACGTATCTCAAGGGTAGGATTCGCACCGTGCATGTAAACCAGACTGATTAACCTGTTCATTTTTTCATTTTGTGCTATGATACTGCATACATTTTCATCACATCATCATCATCTCCTGTCTTCTGTAGTACAGTATAAACAGTTAATCCCAGAGAAAACTCTCATCATCGATATGTCGGTACATGAAGTAGAAGACAAACGCAGCGAGAAAGCCCGGCACGGCAGTGCCGACGTACGGCCAGATGAGGTACGGATCCTGTAAAGCAGGAAGAACGGCCTGGCCGATTGCGGCAGAGACGGCAGTGGCCGCGAGGAAAAGGGCAGAGACGAGGCCGCGCATCGACCGTGGGGAGCGCGCATACGCCAGCTCGTACGCCGTGACGTTGGCGAACAGTTCCGACAGGGCGGAGAGCACGTAGATTGGAGTCTGCGCCCAGATAGAGATCGGGGACACGCCTTTCCCCTCATCCTCGCAGGTGGTCGCGTAGTAGCCGCAGGGGGACGTAGCGTAGACCTGCCACTGCAGGATGGCACCCACGGCAGCGCCCACGGCGGCGAGGAGAAAACCCAGCGTGATGCGTTTGATGGGGCCGAAGGCGACGCGCCGCTGCCGCAGAAACGGGTACAGTACGTAGTTGAACAGCGGGCAGAAGACGATGATGGTCAGCGGGTTGAAGTTGCTGATCAGGTCGTTGGGCGCGCCGCGCTTCGTCATCGACCCGCCCTGTGCGTTCTGGATGGTGCCCACCCCGTTGTCGTTCAGCGCGTACAGCGGGTAGAAGGCAAAGATCTGGCAGGCAATCACGGTGCGGCGCACGTCCTCGACAAACTCGTCCGTCCAGCTGATCGGCCGCCCGCGGATCGTGTGAACCCCCTGCCGGGCTAGAATGGAGGGTTTCGCGGCGTCGAACCACGCCTGGCTACCCAGTCGGCGGAATCCATGCTCGCCGAAGCTCACGCGCAGCACGCGGAACACATCGCCCAGCACGTTGCCCTGGGGGGGCACCTTCACCGTGCGCTTGTAGGCGAAGAGAAGGATCACCGGCATGAGAAGGTATACCAGACCCGGCAGCAGGAAGGCCAACCAGTAGCCCACCAGTTTTTCAGCGTATGTGGTTGCCAGACCGAAGAAAGCTCCGACATTAACCAGGGCTAAGTTGATAAGCACAATTGTCTTGACATAACAAACAGCCGGGGGAGAGGGGGTTACCGTAGAAAGTAAGCGTCAGCCGCTGGATGGTCGTCTCCGGATCGACAATCACGCGTTCTCCAGTCTTGAGAAGCTTGACGTACGGCTGGTGCACGGTGACCTGGTCGATAACCGTCGGACAGATGTTGGGTTTGAAGAGGCCGGCACCAAAGGCGAGAAGAAGCACGCTGACCAGGAAGGGCGGCAGGCCATGGCCGCGCTGCAAGACGGCAGGAACCGCACCAGCAACCATGATAACATGAGCGAGACCACAAATCACCACGCCGAGCACGATGGTCGCGTACCGGCCCAGCTGGGCGTCTGCCCACCACCCGCCCAGGATGGGGATGGTGTAGGCCAGGGTTTGGAAGAGAAGCGTCAACGCCGAGGAGGCCTGGAGACCCATTCCCAGCGCGCCGGCGGTCTGTTCGCTGTCCCGGGGAGGGGCGCCGGCTCCGTTACCCCCCTGTGGGAGGGGGTACTGGATGAAGTTGGCAAACACCCAGGAACAACCGTAGTAGGAGGCGCGCTCGGCGAATTCCACGGCGCACAGCCAGTAGCCCGAGCCTGCAATGGAGCCCGCGACCTTGCGCAGGGTCTGCAGTTCGTGGGCTGTAGGCGAGGGACCCAGGTAAATGTCGCCGTCGTAGACTCCGTCAGCAACGCGGAGGGTCGATGTAGATTCCTCGGTCACGGCCGCGGTCTTTTCGCTCACAATGGGCTCGAGCTCGAGAGCCTCAGTTGAGGCGGACTTGGTAGACCTGACGCAGTCTTCTTCGTTAGCTCAGCGAGGCAAGAGGCATCTTCACGTACCCATGGTGGACTCGACAATACAAAATAGACAAGCCGACGAGAGAAACGAAAGAGATAAGAAAGATGATAGTGAGGATAAGAGAAGGGAAAGGGGAGAGAGGCGAAAAGGGGTAGAAGACAAGAGGGAAGGGAGGAGAAGAGAGAAGGGGGGGGAAGAAGAGAAGGGAGGAGAAGAAGAGAAGAGGGGGGGAGAAGTGAGAGAAGTGAGAGAAGAGATTTGGCATTCACTACTTCTGATGCTCGAGGGACCACATTTTGGCATATCAAATAGTGCGGTCTTACTTAATGGTTCTAAACAATGATCTTATTCTATTAACCCATTACTAGAGAGATTTTATCCAGTCTGGATGAAGATATTCGCTATATCAAATTCCATCAGCAAGTCAAATACTAACACTTCCAGTCTAAAAGGTTACAACATGCTAGTCATCAGACAGAAAGGTGTCTGGTGTCTTCTACCTAGGTAGTAATTATTATCATCGATGTATTAAATATCTATCTATATGGTCTCCGTTGTGCTATCCTGCCATCCTGAAGCATTAGTGTAGTTATCTATAAAGCAGGCAGTAACTAGACGAACATATTTTCAATACAACAATTGATTACTCTACTCATATATCGAGCATATAACGAGCCAATTCATTCCTAATCTATTATTCTATTCTATACATTTATAATGAGTGATGTTATGCTAAACAAAAAAAAAAAAGAAAAAAATAACTGCCGACGGGATTTGAACCCGCAACCTTGAGGACCGAAGCCTCACGCGCTACCATTGCGCTACGGCAGCCACTTGAGAGAGATCTCGCTTAACTTAAATATAACATATAATTATGGGACAAGTTAATTGTTAGGTATGTAGCCCTCCATGTGGAATAATCAGGATATAATAGGTTATAATACTACACGAAAATTAGATAAAAGAGTGGACGATGCCATGCATCACGGTTGGCCTGTCTCTCCAGTCGGTCAGTCAGTCAGTCAGTCAGCCCGTACATCTTCCGTGCTACGCTCTCGCCTATTCAATCGGCGAGCTGTCTAGCGTCTTGGGGAGTTGGACGTGCAGCTCATCGATCCGGGGCAATTCCATGGTCATTTGGTGACCCTCGATTTCGAACGCGCCGTCGATTTGAATCTCTCTCTGCGAGGATCCATGCTCATACCCCTGTTCCTCTCCGTGGGGGTTGTTTCCCTCCCTCTCATCACCGTCATCGCTGCTCTTGTGGTCCATCTGAGAGGGTGATTCCGATCCCTGCACGTAACTACTCTGACTGAGTGTGTCGGGCAGGAAATGGGTCAAGATGGCTTTGAAGGAGGGCATGGAGGCGGTCAAGATCCCGATGTTTGTCTCGATGGCGGACCAGTACATGGCTCCGCTGATCACGTAGGTTGAGTCCGGCGAAGTGAGCATGATGGGAATATAAGTTATGCGGATGATGGAGGCGATGCAAGTACTGTTCGTTAGCTTCTTCTAAGATGCTGCAAAAGAAGAAAAGAAGAAAAAAGAAAAGGGGGTGCTCACAATAATCCGAAACAGAGGATGACGAGAATGCCCGCTTTCTGACGATTAGGGATATGGAGACGCAGGATGACGTTCATGGGTAACATGTAAGTGATGAGATCGGTAGTGATGTTCAAGGCAGCGTTGGCGAGGTAAAAGACGTCGATGTTGACGCATTTTCCCGGCACGGTGGGATCCCACGCCTTATGGATGGGACCGCACTGGAAGGCAGCGACAAGGACGAAGGAGCCGGCCTGGCAGGAGATGACACCCAGCATGATATACGCCAGACGGGTCAGCATGCGGTTCTCGAGATGGGTGTAGTAGACCAGCACGGAGGACTTGATGAAGCCCAGACAGGCGAGGTAGAACATGGAGCTCAGCCAGACGACCAGCAGGTACGTCTCCATCTCGGGGGCGGTGATGGTGTCGATGTGTCTACCCAGGCCATTTTGAACGGCTATAGGAGAAACGGTATTAGCATAAAGTACAGATTAGCAAGGAGTAGAGTTGTGAAGATTCGCTTACCGACGATGGTGACGGCGATGAAGGACCAGGAAAGACACTGGAGGTGGTTAGTTGGAGGATGCCTCAGGCAGCTCTGACGGGACTTACAGCCGCGACGATAATGAGGTCTACACAGCGTTAGAAGAATGAGAATAGACGAGACAACGAGAGACCAGAAACGAATACTTACAATCGTCGAGTCTCACTTGGCCAAAGACATAAATGCGAGTGAACAGACGCAACGAGAGCACGACAAAGGTCAGCACGGCAAAGAAGACGGCGACGCCGATGACTGTCGGGCCTTGAGAGGGCATTTTTGAAGACTCGACTGTAGGGTACAGAAATACGGAGTCGAAGGGTTTCTCAATATGTAGTACTTGATTAATATATCTCCCGCGAGTCATAAATGTGATCAGTATCGCGGCCAGGCCTGCCTCCACTCAGAAATGCAGCAAGGGATGGCCGTGTGGTATAATCTCAAATACTTTAACTTGATTATACTTGATATCGTGGCCATCAAAGTAGTCATACTTACATGCTGTGTCACAGAGAAAGCACTCTGTACCTCTATAATGTAAACTCTATGTCCATAGTGTATGTAGTATATTGACACTGATATCCTGTCCTGCTATGATCATCCTTTACTCGTAGGTTTCGAAACTCTCAGATTTCATATACTTTCTCTCCTCTGTGGCGATCCTTGATCTGCAGGAGCTGCAGGATTTCCCCCGAGGCGAGTTGATAGCTCAGAAATACGGAGCACAGGACAGAAGAAAGTACGTTGACTGGGTTGATCAGTCAAGAGATAAATTGCAGTGTTTGAATATGTATGGAGGATAATGTAGTATACCTCAGAGTAGATATGCTAGAATACACATGGTACAGAGTATTTATTAATGGTAACGTCAACGGAGTACGGAGTACGAAGTACTCTGGAGTACAGGATGGTCATTTAAGACTAGTATAGATATATAGTTATTAATTAAGAAAATAGATAGCTCTATATACTATACTATTATGTTTCTTTAGATATATATATAGAGTATAGAGTATAGAGTAGTTATGGAATACATAGTCTAATACTCTATACCATCAAGGTATTTAACCACATGAAACACCATTCTACTGACCTGTAGTTTCTACTGATGAGACCTGAAATATAATATATATTAAGATATCTTTTCTATAATTATTATTACACTCACTGCCCGGAGTATCTCCGACTCACCCCCACGTGGGATATCACCCCGCTTATTGACCATGGGGTAATTAACAATAGGGAAGACCCTGGATTGTTAACTTCATCAATCATCAGTGAAAATGCAGCAGTGGACACTTGAAAAGGTATCTCTCATATACTCTACATACTGTGTCTTGTCTCTGACCAACAGCCCTTCCTTTATCTCCAGGGGAACCTCCTCGAAGGCCCGTTGTATGACCCCGCGACAAAGCTGCTTCGCTTCATCGACATCTACGAAGATAAACTGTATCTTGTCAACGGTACCGAGGTGAAAATCGTGTCTACAGAGTCTACCTTAGGGTGAGCAGAGCGTATTCCATATTCCTTGCCACTGCTGCTTACCCCCTATTTTTCGGCCAGAGTGACAGCCAATATCAAAGGGTCGAAAGAGTATCTTGTCGGGGCGCGCCATGGCGTTGCCACGATGACCGATGAAGGGAAGATCACCTACCTGAAGAAATACTGGGATGTGTATATCGACGGAGACAAGGAATACCGGTAAGAAAAAGAGCCTCACAAAACTTAGTTGAAGAACTAGATGTCTGATCCATGATAAGAATGCGCTCCAATGATGGGGCAGTCGATTCGCACGGGCGGTTCTGGGTAGGAACCATGAACGACATCCACCGCGTCGACAACGGCAGATATAACCCCGAAGGCATCTTATTCCGCGTTGACGCCGACCTCTCCATACACCGGATCCTCGACGGGGCAACCACGCCGAACGGGGTGGGCTGGAACTCGGCTGACAACATCATGTACTGGACAGACAGCGCGACGCTGAAGGTCTTCGCCTTTAACTTTGACGCCGCGACGGGCACCGTCTCCAACAAACGCATCTTCTGGGATTCCCAACAGGCAGGGTACGCGGAGTACGTCACGCCCGACGGCCTGGTCGTCGACCGCGAGGACTGCGTCTGGGTAGCCCTGTGGCGCGGGTACAAAGTTGTGCGAATCAACCCGCACGGCCAGCCCGTCGGGGAGATCGTCCTTCCCACCTCGTACGTGACTTGTCCGGTCTTCCAGGGGACGGAGATGGTCATCACCACGGCGAGGGACCCGGAGGTCAAAGACGAGGGAATCGCACGCGGAGGGGATGTGTATAAAGTCGACGTAGGAGTGGAGGGACTGCCAAAGCATGAGTTTGTGCTCAACACGGATAGATAGGAAAGGCACCTTAGGTTCCTAACCTTGGTAGACAGGAAGGTGATAGAAAGACGGCCCAATCGGGACAAGTAGGGCAAGAAACCAGGGCAAGGCAGTCCAGGTGATCTGGCCAATGAGAGTGTCCAGGCCACCACGTGGGGCCTGTGCTGTATAATACGCTGCCGACGTACACCACAGTCTGCTCTGTTCCTTCCTGAAGGGCGAAGGAAGCATTACTTTTGTTTCATACTATATTTACTACCAGGTATAAGGTAATATACTCTAGGTATACTACCTTATGCTGTAATACATTGTATGACGGTGTTAATACTATTGACGAACGGATTATCCAAAATTGACACTGCCACTACTTGATGCTATCTATGGTATCCTGCTATCTGATCTGATCATCTGATAAGATCACCAAGACAGCCAAAATACCCCGTAACTATTAATTATTCCACCTCCTGTTATTCTCTATTGAATATATTTTATCCAGAGTATGAACAGCTTCTTCCTTCTTTTTATCTAATTCATAATTTCCTATTCCATTCCCCATTCTACCTCTTAAATACCACTGTTTTCCCCCTCGGTCATGCCATGATCCTTGAATGCAAGTGGGTCACGGATCTCCGAAGCCGACCGACTTTCCTCTCTTCCTGCTCTTCCTCTTTCCCTTCCTCTTCCTCTTCCTCTTCCTCTTCTCTCCCTCCCTTCTTATCTTGCCGCCTCCCCCTCCCCCTCCCCCTCTCGCCATCTCCAACTCGACTGCCACCTCGCCAGGATGCCCCTCCTGGCGTGGCTGCTGGCTCTCGCCCTCTCCATCGCCCTCTCCGTCACGCCTGTCTCCGCCGCCCATTCCTCCACGACCCCCCGCAACGAACGCTGTATCAACGCCATCGCCTCTGCCTACAACTTCTTCACCTTTGCAGGTCTTCCAAACAGAGGCCGCTGGGAACCAGGCTGCCAGAACCGGCTCCACGTCATTTCGATTTACGCGTCGGCTGAGGTCTATTGCAGCGATGAGAGCGATCGGGTGGCCGGGCTGGCGGCGCTGGCCCGCGAGTGCCAACACCACGGCCTCGAATTCTTACCGCGGGATGTCCTGGCTGCCAATCTGACAGAGGAGGCTATAATGAACATGCGGGTCGTGGATTACATGGAAGTTCCTCGAGGGGAGGTTGTTGATCAGCCCGTTCTGCTCTCCTCGGGTTTTTTTGGTCGCATTCTTCGCACGCAGGTGGGTTAGGCTCATCTCAATTGTCTTTCAATAATCGAATCGGATAAATTGACATGGTTGTATAGAATACGTGGGAGTTTGAAATGTGGGCACACCATGCGTACGGGTATGTTCGAGTCTCATAACGATGGCGGTGAAACGCTCCATCCTGATATCATGATAGATACGCGATCAATTTCTTCTGGATGGGGTTGATTCTCGTTGGATCCCTCAATCACCTCGTGAAACATCTCCTCTATACCAACCGCGCACGTCGACTCGGCCGTTCGATACCTTCGGTCCTGTGCGTCCCGTTTCGCGCCCTGTACGAAAGCGTCCAGACCCATCTTATCGTCCCAGCTCCTCTCGGCGCCGGTCGAAAGATCCTGTGGTGCACGCTTCCCACGCGGATTGTGGCGATCGTTGTCGCTATCTATTGGGCATTGAGCATTCTGGCCTGTTGTGTGGGATACCGGCTCTTTTCGGAAAATATCTAGTACGTTCACCTTATCAAACAACGGCAATCGGAGTACTAATTTCATTTTTCCAGCTGGTCTGAAATCTCTCAACAATTGCTGCGATATGTCGCCGATCGCACTGGCATCCTCTCCTTTGCCAACCTGTCTCTCCTCTGGGTGTTTGGTGTTCGCAACAATATCTTCCTTTGGGCCACCGGCTGGAGTTTCGCCACCTTTAACATCTTCCATCGCCATATCGCTCGGGTGGCCACCTTGCAGGCGGTGGTGCATACCATCGTCTACACCTTTCTCATGTGGGGGAGTGAGTATCTGACACGAGGACCAAGTTCAGTCAATGAGCTAGCTCTAACAATGAATAGGAGGGAATATTGTCAGAAAATTCATGAAACCATATCTTCTATGGGGCACCGCAGTCAGTTCAATTCAAGTAATAACTACTAACCAAACAGATTGTGCTAACTCCCCATGGTAGGCCGTTCTCGCCATGGTTCTGCTGCTCCCCCTTGCCTTCGACTGGCTGCGCCACAAATCCTACGAATTCTTCCTCGTCACACACATCCTCCTCTCAGTTGTCGCCCTTGTCGGCTGTTTCTAGTAAGGATTACTAAGTTTTTCTAATTCGTTTTCTATATCCTCCGTACTGACCAACAGCCATGTTGAAATCTTCGATGATCACGCATACTGGAACTATCTCTGGCCGGCGACGGCTTTCTGGCTGCTTGACCGCGTCCTGCGTCTTGTCCGGCTAGTGTATTGCAATTTACGCGTCCGATTCGGCCATGGAACCACGATCCAAACGACACGGACCATCGCGACCTACAATCCCGCATCGGATGTCGTCCGTCTCGAAGTGACCCCGGGCGCGTCGCATCTTCGCGCCGGGCCCGGTCAGTACTATTTCCTCTACCAGCCTTTCCGGCTGAAAGGGTGGGAGAATCACCCATTTACGCTGGGGGCATGGACCTACCAGTCAACCGACGCGGATGAAATTGGCGGCGGCGCATCACGCAAGATGACCTCGATCATCGACGTGGCACAGATGCCGCTTCTATCCGAAGAGGCGACCCGTCCACACCACAGTCCCGGCATAGAGTCCGAGATGGAAACTAGTGAAGGTGACGGCATCACTACTCTTCTTTCCAAAGAAACGCTCATATTCTGGATCCGCCCGTACGACGGCTGGACCCGCTCCCTGCGCGATCAGTGCCTTGCCTCGCCCAACCGCACGGCAAACCCCATCATCCTTCTTGAAGGCGTGTACGGCGACCAGTTCCCGCTGTGGGAGTACGAATCCGTACTTCTCGTCGCGGGCGGGACGGGCATCGCCTCTGCGGTGCCGTACATCCAAACTCACATCCAAAACAGTAGCAATTCCACCAAAAAGACTGCTACCGTTACTCGTGACATACGACTTATCTGGACAGCCAGACAGGTAGCTTTCATACAGGACGTTGCCTCTCGCGAACTCCACACCGCACTGGGCCGCTCCGACTTCAACGCCCAGTTCTACTCGACTGCACAAGTACCCATTCCCACCGAGGAAGAGGAAGACGAAGAGGAAGAAGAACAAGGGGGACGGGGAGACGGCGACAACAACAGGAACGGCACTGCTACTACCAACACAGCCCTGTTACATAAACAGTTCGAGGCAGAGGAGATCATGTACGGCCGGCCCGACCTCCACGCGTTAGTCCTCGAGCATGCCACCGAGGCCCGCGCGTCGCACGCCTCGGCGGCGGTGTTGGTGTGCGGGCCTGTCTCGATGGCGGACGAGGTACGCAGGGCGGTCGTCGCGGCGCGAGAAGCAGGCTGTTCGGTGCGATATGTCGAGGAGCTGTTCACATGGTAGAGATGGATCTTGTGGACTGTATAATGTAAATAGGTATATATCATGACGACACGTATATAATATAGACTAGATGATCAATCATAGATGAACTACATATTGGTTTTCTTCAGCTACCATATGAAAAGAGAACACAGGAGTAGAATTATGTCATCCACCTATGAATAGAATAGAATAGAAGACAGTTTAATAGTATAATAAGAATAATTAGTTAATTGGTATCCATATAAAGATTCTACTTTATATTGGATGAATGATCAGCTATAGATATTTTGAATATATATTGTTAGACTACCAAGACTACCAAGTTATACAACTACATCGCTACCATAATATATCTATATATATATGCGTATAGATAGTTGAGATGTATTACTATTCATGAATAGCAGTCAGAAATTATTTAGATCTATTCTTTTGGGTAATTCCAGCCAAGTTCGCCATCTCTAGAATCTAAAATCTTATATTCGCTTGCCAGTTGGCAGTAATACATACAACTACTTGATTTTTCTTATTATTCTTCTTTTATGACGAAGTCATGTGTAGTCACGTTATTATCAGGTGACCAGTCCTTGAATTTCCAACGCCAGCTCAACCTTCCAGGCAACGTTGCAGGTCTCTCCGGAACTGAATCATCCTGTAGCCACGGCCGTTCTATCACAAGTCATCTCTAATACCCTATACAGAGAACTAACAAGACAGACACCCCTGTTGAACCTGCAGAAATTCGTACAGAATGACCACGTTCGGTGGATGCGAACAGACCAACCAATGCGATCTGCAAAACAACCAAACCACCGAATTCGACGGGATACCACGATGAGATAGTCCGGACAGACTATCTATTCTTTAAGGAGATGATTCGGATAAAGGCAGGGCGCAGATCGCCCCATTTGGATCTGATCGGACCCTGATCGGCGGTTGCCCCTGCATCTGGGGTTCAACAAACTCAATAACTCAATATATGCGTGCCATGGCGCATGAGTACGAGACCAGTACGAGACAAGTCTATCGAAAAGAACTCGGTGATAAACAGTCAGTGAGGAGAAGACTAGTGAGTAAAATCCTCGTGAGTAGAGGATACTGTGAATTTTGCTGATGAATAAGTACAGGGACCTAGTACTCAACGACACGAAATACTCCGTACCGTTGTCTACGCGAGCTGTGGGTGATCGTGCAGCTGAGATTAATAGTGCACTGCTGTGCCACTGTGATTTTGTTCCTGCGTGTCTTTCCAGTGGCAGCTCTGCAGGGGTAGCTACAATCGAGTCCGACGGCTGCCTGCAGCCCAACTCGATAGTTCACGCAAGGGTTTCGTCTCAACAAATCCATTTACCAGCATGATCTCAGGACAGGGCACGGAGTATAGGAGATGAGCAGGCGGCGGCGAGAGGATAAATAGCTGCTTGTATCCTCCCTTCCCATCGAATTTCTCACCCAGCACAAGTCAGCTTCAAGTCTCTCTCTTACACTCCCTCCAGTCTTTCAGACCAATCACGCTCCCTTGCCAGTTTATTAATCTAATTAATAATTCTAATCCACCCTTAACAAGTCAAAATGAAGTTCATCCTTGCCGCTCTTGCCCTTGCCGCCTCCGTCGTGGCCCTGCCCAGCACCCCTTCGACCGCCACCAACAGCGGCAACGACCAGGGCAACGGCAGCGCCGATGTGCGCTTCCCCATCAAGGACAACAAGATGACCGTCCAGCAGGCCCAGACCACCTGTGGCAGCCAGGCCTCGGTGGAGTGCTGCAACAAGGCCACCTACGCCGGGGACACCACCAGCTTCGACTACGGTCTCCTCGACGGCACCCTGAGCAGCCTCATTGGCTCCGGCTCCGGTGCTCAGGGTCTGGGTCTCTTCAGCCAGTGCTCTTCTCTTGACGCCACCGGTAAGCTCACTTGAAACAGCCTGAGCCTGCATCATTGCAAACCTAACACATACAGTCATCGGTGCCGACCAACTGCTCAACCAGAAGTGCAACCAGAACGTTGTCTGCTGCCAGAACTCCGGCGCTACTGCTGTAAGATCTTCTCTCCTCCCATGCACACTCAGCAAGGCTAACATCTCTAGAACAACGATCTCGTCGGCGTCGCCGTTCCCTGCGTCGCCCTCGGCTCTGTCCTGTAAGCGCGTTAGCTTTCCACGAGTTAATGCCGGATGGTACGTCGTACATATGTACATGACAATGGCAATGTACAGCTGAGCCCTCTCGTGTGGGAGGGGATGTTCGCAATGGTTTACCTGGTTCAGCGGTTACCTGTCTCTCCTTCTTTTTCTGTTCCTTCACTTCACTCAGTCATGAGGCTAGACAATACAGTGTTCGGATATACATTCTAGTAGAAGTACAAGTAGAATGTAGTAGAAACTAGAGTAAAACTCGACTAACTATCATTAAGCACAATGGTTATATATAACCTATGGTAAATAGCTATTCTCTACGCTTTGATAATTCCCCTCCATTCAAAACAAACACACGATCGTATCGGTCAAGAAACCGCACCCGATGCATAACAGAGAGAACGGTCCGGCCTGCGAGTTCTGTGTCGATGATCCGCTGCATGGTCTCTTCCGTCTCGGCATCGACACTGCTGCTCGCTTCGTCCAGGATCAAAATCGGTTTTGGCACCGCGAGTGGGCGCGCAAGAGCCAGCAGTTGTTTCTCCCCGATCGACCAGCTTCTTCCGATCGAGCTGTCAAGCCTGCTTCGCTGTGAATGATTACCGCCACTGTCTGGATTCAATTTCTCCCACATTCCCACTTTTCGGAGAGCATGTTCGATTTCCTCATCGGAGGCGCGAGCAAACGGGTCGACGTTTTCTCTGATCGTCGTCGTGCCGGGGAGCAGAAATGGGTCTTGCGGCACAACATTGATGAGCGCGTGTATCTCGCTCTCGCTTAGCGTCGACAGGTCATGGTCGTTGAGTGATACTCGGCCGGAGTGGATGGTGTTCATTCCTAGGAGGGCCATGATCAGGGAGGTCTTGCCGCTGCCCGAGGCGCCGCAAATAGCGATCTTCTCTCCTGGTGATATTCTGAAAGAGAGATTCTTCAAGACGGAAGTAGAACTGGACTTGATGTTAGCTAGTCTAAGTTGTGCATACATAGATTTCATTACCTATATCCAGCAGAAACGCTGTCAAATGAGATGATGACTTTATCGGTATTCTCAAGAGAAGAGGATCCAATATGAAGATCTGAACGTTGGTCCTTTGGCGTCTCCTGAACGAACTGTCTGACTCTAGACACCGCACCGATGCTAGTCTCCAGATTCGTCCAATTTTTCAATGTACTAGTGAGACTGTCATTGAAGGAGAGGACGATGTTGAGCGCTACACCCATTGTCGCACCAGTGTACTGGCCCTTCAGCGAGGTGGCGATGATCACAATGATCAGTGCAATGGCAGATACCATCAGGCCCATGACCAGCGTCAACCACTGCTGGATACACAGGAGCATGTAGAATGGGCGTTGTGAGCGGTTCAGCAACCTGTACATCTTCTCATGGAAATGAGACTGCAGGTTGAATGCACGGATGGTGCTCATACCATGCACAGACTCTGAGAAATGACTGTATAGGGGTGCCTTATTTTCTAGATCAAGCAGTCGGATCTGCCTCGAGGTGCGCAGGTAATATCGTTGTAGAATCACCAGACTGATTAGTAGTCCTGGAACTGATACAGCCACGTATTTGCCCAGGACGCAGAGGATCACCAGCTGGACCAAACAATTGGCGGTACCTCGAGCTTAGATGAGAAAACAAAAGATAAAAAGAAGGAGAAAGGGAAATACCTGCTGAGTACATGGACGCGTAAAGCGGAAGCGCCATATCGACCAAATCCATATCCTGACTGAACCGGTTGGTCAGGGATCCATGATCTGTTTGGAAAAAGCTAAAGGGTGCCCTACACATGGGAAAAGGTTTGTTAAATCGAAATGGGCAAAGGATAAAGGGAAAGGGCGTGTATACCTCAAGGTCGCCCGAAGAAGATAGGTATGCAGGTTTAACGCCGTGCTATTGATGATTAAGATGATTAGGGTCCTACATAGCCACTGCAGTCAGAAGATCTGAGACAAAAGAGGGAAGCAATAAAGAGCTAGAGTGACTATACCATAGACTGACTAATAATATCAGGAAAGCCAATGCCCAGAGCAAAGCATAGACACCCAGATACATCCCTAGATCTTTATTCGGCTGCTCTTCATTTGTCTCAACCCACCACTCGAGCCATAATGCTACATTAAGAGAAAGAGTTAGTATTGATCATTAATATTTATCGACTATGTGGATCTTACTGGTAAAGTTACTGCATACAGCCTCAGAAAGGTTGAAGAAGATAAAGGCTGCGAAGGGGATGAAGCCTGCGCTGTGGTAGTAGTATTTGTAGACCTCCCAGGTACCGTTCTGTCTGGGAGAGGACTGAGATGTAATAGCAGTATCATTATCATGCGTCGCAGTGGGTTGCTCCTCTTCCTCGACGGTAACATTTGTATTCAATGCAGATTTGACTATCTCCGGCTTGAGGGTCGAAGACGAGGATAAAATGTCGACGATTCGTCCCTCTTTAAGAACGATTATGTTGTCTGCGTACTCTAGGATGGACTCTGATAGAATAATGGTAAGTTTCAGCGACTTTCGATTCGAGGCAATGGAGGTCTTACCCGTATGAGTCGCCAGAAGGACCGTCACGCCCGCCGACCGAAAATAACCACCCTCACCGAACAGCCGATCACTAATCAGGGAGATATTCTGTGCGTCGAGTCCACTGAATACGTCGTCCAGAAGTACCAGTTTTGCTCTTGAATAGATAGCCCGACACAATGCGATGCGTTGCTTCTGTCCCCCGCTGAGCGAGACCCCGTTACTCCCCGCCATGCAATTGTCACCAGCAGGGATCTTCTGAAGATCTTGCTGCAGTCCACAAGCCGACAAAGCGAATTCGTACCATTTCGGATCAGTCTCGGCACCCATGAGGATGTTTTCGCGAATAGTGTCGTTGATGATCCAGGGTGTCTGAGCACAGTACGCAAGAGAAGAATGACACGGGACGTGGATAGAACCGGAGGTGACTGTTGTTTCCTGCAGGATACTTTGTAACAGGGTTAATTTGCCTGCACCAACTGGTCCGACGAATATGCTGATTCTCCCTACTTTTATGGTGAGATTGATGCTATGAAGAATGGTGGCTCTGGACCATGCAATGTCAGCATCTCTGAACGAGACTATACTTTGTGCATCCGGGCTTGATCCCGTCATTTCTATCGCTGGCTGCGGGCCCCGATAAGAGTGTTCACCAGGAGATCTATGTTCAACCAGTTCTTCCTTGCTTAGAGACTGCTGGGTGGCCTGCACTGGCTGCTTCTTACAGTACTCCTCGATGCGATCGAAGCAGGCCATTGCCTCCCTCAGTGAAGGGACCGATTGAATGAACGTGAGCAATGGGTTTGTGACCAATGTAACCAGGGACAGCGAGGTAAATGCCTGGCTCGAAAGGAGAGTTGCGTCATGTTTTACGGCGGCAATGATCGCGTAAATAGTAAAAGTGGCAAAGGGAGCGAACGTGGCCGGTACATTTGCTATACTGTAATCAGCTTACCTGACCCTGACAATTATTGATAAAAAAAAAAGAACAAACACAAAACTATTTCTCCGATCATCAACTTCCTAAATCGCTGGGAAGTCTTGAGCTCGATTTTCCGTAAGGCTGTGAGAGTCTTGAACATATAGCCCGACAGGCCAAGCATCTTGATGGATTTGATATCTCGCAGCATCTCTGTCGTGCTGGACACTCGGGTCTGAACTCTCTCGATCCACGCACGTTGAGCTTGCCCCATACGACTGGATAGTGGGTGAATGGCCATCACAGAGCCTGGAAAGCTTCGTCAATCAATCGAACCACAGACGGTGGCAAGAAAAAAATATTACCTATGGCAACCACAGCAGGAACGAGACAGGCAACATGCAATTGTCTCTCCAAGAGCCAGACAGCAATTGCAACCTCGAGGATCGATGCCCAGGTCTCATGAATAAGCTTCATATTGGCTACGATTCTCTCCGTGTCCGTGCCCATTAGCGTCACGGCTGCGGTATCAGCCAAATCGCTACCCTTGAGCTTGGTTGTATGCGTGTAGATGATAGAAATCAACCCAGAACGGGTCATGGTGATGAATCGATTGACTTGTCGAGAATACACGGATGTCGAGACCTGATAGCCAGTCAGTCACTGAGTGCCGGAGAACTTTTCCTCTGCATACTGCCAATCCAATATAAACTAGCACATATGCCCCGATGATTGCCTGGCCGTATTGTTGTGTGTCTATGGCTGTATCTTCCATATAGTCAACCATCACCGTAATGAGAAAAGGTTGGCAGAAGGTGAAGGCAGCGAGACATATTCTGGGTATGATTGCCGAGAGAAAGGTCCAGCGATAGGCACATAAAGTAGCTCTCATCAATCCAGAGTTCGTCTTGAAGGCATTCGTCAATTCCTCTCCTGCCTGTCGTGCCTGGAGATCGGCATCGATTTCCGGCAGATCGCCAATCCCTAAAACCCTAGAATATCCGACTTGGAAGAATGGCAGGGTCCAGAGGAAGAAGCTCTGCCCCCAGAACCCACAGAGAGACTCCCTGGTTGCCGTTTTCTGATACTGGGGCTGGAGGAATCGCCTTTTGTGAAAAGATTCGACGATGAGCACCGCCAAATTGAAGACCAAGATGGCCGTCCACCAAGCACGGCAGGTCTGCGCGGGAATCTCCCATAGCGAGCGGAGCTGTGGGAGAGTCAAGATTGTTGCGAAGGAGTAATAAACGACCAAGAGATCCGACGGTTTGACCGAGCGTTGGTCTTCAAGGAAAGAAAGTATCGCAGCCGTGATTGTGGCGATGGTGTTGATGATGCCCGAGGCCAGTCCGAGACGCGTGTGCAGCACCGACGTCTTGACACGCAAGACCGTATAGAGAAGATGGAGCAGAAACAGAACAGAGAGAATACTCTATGAGAGGAACCAGCTTGTTAGCTTAGTCGACGAAAATCAACGGTTTAATTGGTGGAATACTAACCAATTTGATAACGGCGAGTCGATATGAGCTCGACTTCACAGGCGCCCTCCACAGACGCTGCAGCCGCGACGGCACAAGAAGCAGAAAGAGGGCAGCTGGAGCGAGTGCGAAGAAGGCATCTTCAAATAACAAAGTAAAGTCGAACGAACGGCAGTCCGGATCGACTCGCGGGCCAAAACTGTTGTCGGAAGGACACGACATGAGAGAGGAAGTTCGGTTGAGGGAGACGATGCCTTATTTATCAGGCTGTAGCAGTTTATATCAGACATAACTGGGTAATTGAATAGAAATGCTAGGATAAATGCTCTTATAAGCACTATGGGTACTTTTTAGTGTCTAAATAGTCTGATCACCGCCTCAATTCCATAAACAAATAATATCTCTAGCGTCATTTATGTTGCATTGAGGGTGATAAGGATGTTTTAGACTGTTTTCTTTGTCTCAGGAGAATTCTATTGCTGTCCAATGAGCCATTGAATCAAGATCCAGAATGGACGTAACTCGACGGTTTTGAACCAGTGTCGTCAGGCTGGTCTATAGACATACAATGTCCCTTCACCAAAAATGTGTTTTCTTGCATATCTGTAGAAAAAGGATGCCTGAAATCACCTGGAAGGAAAAGAAGTTGAGGCATTACAGAAGACGAGATCGAGTCATGGGTCAAAGGTTAGCCGAAAAGGGTAAGGCCCGTCTGTTCCAAAATGGGCTAGTGTATCTGTATCATGTGACACCATCTTCCTTCCTTCTGTTTTGTCTTTTGACTTCAGCATTGCACTTCATCAAGCTCTGATCCATCAGAGACAGCGGCGGCCATCTGTTTTTCACTCGGCTTGCCTAGCAGGTCGACTGCGCTAGCCCTGCTAGGGTGGTACAACGCCGCTGGTCAGTGTTGAGAGGCGTCTATCTTGAGAAGAGGAAGCAGATTAGTGAGAAGGATTTCATAAGGTCAGTAGTCTAATCGATGCACCTGTCTATTCTAAAAAACTGCAGATACTATTAGCTAATGAATATTCTATCGACAGGGTTCTGGTTGTATATCTGGCATGCTGACTGCAGATCTATTCCACCACACGACAAACCATCAATCACCATCCAGGATACAGGACCCAACTTCGAGTTCCCTCGAATCATCAGATGAGATTCGGACTATCGTATCGTTCTCTTGGTCAGACAATCTCGATCAGGGATATGGATGGAGTATACGACTCTCGGATTCCAGAGATCCGAGGCTGCACAAATAATAGACCGATCTTGCTCTGGATTCTCGGTATAAACAGCGTCTCCCCCGCCAAGACTCCTTGAGTATCTCAGAAAGAATCCAAATATCTAAAAGAAAGACCCAGCGCCATGAGATTCACAACTGTGAGTTTCCAGATATAACTACAAAATACAAGATGAAAAGAGTAATGAGATAACAACCAGATCTCCCTCTTTGCTCTGCTGAGCACCTCGATCACAGCCACCCCCGTTCCCACCAACGGATTGATCCCTCGCACCTGTATTGGAGGCAGCGAGACTGCCTGTCTCGAGGCCGCAGCAGGGACGTGCGACGGCGCCTGTGGAGCAAACTTATCTTGTGTGTCTGCTTGTCTGGAGGCTTATCAGGAACAGTGTGCGGAGAATTGTTAGATCTCAGCTAGTCATAGACGAGTTTTGATCTATATGAATATACCTTCTCCATACGTATTTTACAGTACATCATTGAGATCTACTATAGCGCCCAAGATGGCTGCAAAATACCTTGACCATAATTAGGTTGGTCTAGTGATCCTATTCAGGCAAGAGGTAATTTAGGGCTAGGGTTTAACAGGTACCCGTGACACCGGCTTTCCACACTGCACAGTCCATTTTCCTTCTTTTCTCTTCCCTTTACCATGAGACAGCGATTCTATCATGTCGGTCTTATTGTACGCTCGGGTTTATGCAACAGTCAAGACGCTTAGCGCTGGATCCTGATCAGCAGCAGCCTCAGCCCTCTTCATCTCTGCAAAATCCCGCTCCGCGTTCCACACGAAGGGGCTTTTATTCGCGAACAGAAAGTCTAGGTCTTCCAAGTGACGCCCAGCGGTTTCTATTTTTCATATCAGTCAGTATGGATTTTCTTTTTTCCACTCTATTCATAGCCAGCTTTTTCTTACCGATATAGAACAAGTAGATCGGAATGAGCATGACGAGATTCATCGCGGCAAAGAGGATCAGGACCCAATAGCTAATTGCGTCGATTAGGTACGGTACGATCTCGTTGATGATACCCCCTGCCAGCGAAAAGGCAACGGTCGCCAATGCAGTGCCCTTCGCACGACTAGCCAGCGGAAAGATCTCGGTGGGATATACCCAACTGTATAGCCTTAGCAAGGTACACCAGCATGGCGAACCCCTGGAGAACACTTACCATGTTGTTAGCCATGTGCCGCCATAGATGGCGGAATAAAGGTAGAGAACGGTGGTGACTCCCGCACCACAGCGTGATGCTAGCTTTGGGTCCGACTCTCTCTTGGAGATGACTTCATGTGACAAGACCCCGCCGACGAGGAGGACGAGGAACATCAACGAGGAGCCGATGAGGATCAGTCGCCGCCGCCCGACTCGATCAGCCAGGTAAATCGCCAGCGCCAGGGAGGCCGTGTATCCGAAGAAGTTCCCCCCGGCCAGCAACGCGGGCTTGTTCCCCGTGTATCCCGCCAGCTCGAACATCTCAGGAGCATACGTAGAGATGAAGTCGATGCCCGTGAACTTCTGCATGACCTGGACACCGCCACCGAGGAGAATCCGTCGCCGGGTGTGCAGCTTGTCTCGCCGAGTCATAATTTGCCAGTACGAGGGCTCCGGTTCGCTGGCCTCGAGCTGGATGGCGGCGACGATCTCGGCAATCTCGCGCTCGACCTCACTGTCGACAGGGTGGATACGTGCCCGGTGCAGGATCTGCCGTGCTTCCTCGATGCGTCCCGTGCGGACTAGGTGGCGCGGGGACTCCGGATAGAACGAACTCGCGACCAGGATGAAGAGCAGGAAGATAGTCTGCAGGGCGAGAGGGAATCGCCAGGCAAACGTCAGACTCTGCGTTTTCACGCATGCATATTCCACCCAGTATACCCTGTCCAGTAGTGAGCATCTTAAACGAAGACAAGATCAAGATAAATATACTAACATCGTTGCCCCCGTAAGTGCCAGGGTGAATTCCACAGCAACAAATGCGCCTCTAACCTGCGGATCCGCCAGTTCAGACGTCCAAACAGGCACGATCGTATTCAGATGGCCACATCCAATTCCGCCGATGATCCTCGCAAGAGCCATCCAGGTGATATTCTGCGCAGAAGCCTGAAGGATACCGCCGAGGAGGGCCCATAAACATCCTATCTGGATGGTCCGCAGCCGTCCAATTCGATCAGCGATGTATCCCGTAAGAACGGCGCCTATCAATTTAGCAAGATACTACATAGGTACATAAGAGGGACATCATATTCAGTATAAGAGAGATTTTTCAGCCTTACCTATTCCAAATCCCCCAAACCAAAGACTGACCAATCCACCCACGGCCGCAGAATCTCTTGCAGACCCGGAATCCAGTCCCATCAGGGTCAGATAATTGGCATTGGTGTTGATCTGGCTCATGCATGACGAATCATAGCCGAAGAACATGATCGCAATGCCAGCCAGGAGGAGAATGGCGTTGACCATCGCCCGGCCGCGGAAAGCGATGCATCGTTCTGGACTGTAGCCGGGGATGAAGCGAGCCCAGCTGCTTTCCTCTTCCGATCATCAGTTACCTTGCTATCACGAAGTATGATATTGCGAACTTACTCTGGCAGATTTGTGGATCAATTCCTTCGACATGCTGTACCTCGATCTTTTCCATAATGTAAAAATATTGCTATGATGGCTGGAAAGTATAACGAATCTGATATCTACTGGGAAAGTATGGGGTGTTCTGGGGTCCCCACAGATTAATCAAGTTCCCCCCATCCCCCAGCTTCTCCCCGGCGAGAACCCCGGCTTGAGGTCGATCACTTCGTTCGGGCGGAGATACTGCGAGCTCAATTCGGGCTGATACCGAGGCGGGGTTTCTTGGTAGATGATGTGACGACATTCAGTCAGCTCTTTTCTCTATTCTTGCTCTACCATTCATCACTAGTCTGACAGAACAGAACATTCTCTAAATACATTAGACTCCTACACTTAACTATCATGAGTATCATCTGGAGATTATTATCATTAAGGAGTGACATAAAAGACAACTAAAATATACTAATTTCAAATTAAGAGTGCCACCATGGCCATTAACAGAGCCAGGAAACCGATTGAAGGAACCCTCAGAGAGGATGCTGCCCCGGTGAGAACAGTGGTGGAGGCAGACTTCGTCGCTGTGCCTGGAGGATTTGTGGTCGGTGTACCATTGGAGGCATTGCTATAGGGCCCTGTAGACGCGGACCCTCCAGTAGAGGATCTTGTAGCTCCTGTAGACGCAGAGTTACCAGTAAGCCCACTAGTTGATGAACTGGATGAAGACCTGGTCACTAAGCTGGACTGAGCTCCAGTGGTTGATGATTGAGTGGAGGGTCCGGTGAAAGACCCGCTCGAAGTTTGCATCGCCTGGGAGGTGCTGCCCCCAGTGCCAGTGGTAGATTCTGCTTGTGTCGAGCCGGAGGTGCTCCGTCCAGTAGTCTGGGTAGTCTGGGTTGTCTTCGCACTAGCCGAGGTACCAGCAATGCTTGTACTTCCAGTCCCAGTGCTTGTAGTGGTAGTACTTGTCTGGCTACTCGTCGTAACCTCAGCTGTAGTGCTTGCCGTTGTCACACTGGAGGTTGTGCCTGTCGTCTTACTAGACGTGGTGCTTGTTGTCGTACTAGACGTGGTGGAACTTGTCGTGGTCGCCGTCGTCCTGGTACTAGATGTCGTGGTCGTCGCTCCAGAGCAGTAATCCAGCCACTGTGCAAACGAGGGGAGTAGTGTCGATGAATATGCAGCCGTCGGCGATGCGGCGTAATGGCTGATGCAAGTCTTACAGTTGTCCAAGTCCGTCATGAAATCCGAGCCACTGTCGCACAACGCGGGTGTCTTGCCTACACTTTCGCCTTCCAGCGCAACGTCGTTGCAATCATCGTAGCACACGTCCGGGATGCTCGTCGAGTCTCGCTTGGTCTTGCGGCCGAGGAAGAGGTCCCACAGTGAGACGCTACTGTCCCGCTTTATCCTGTCTGCACCTTGGTCCTTCGGGAGCCGGAAGATGGAGTAATTCAGACCAAAGATCTCGGGATCAAGGTTGAAATAATCGTTAGAGATATTGTAGTCGCCAGCTCCAGGCGCAATCCAGGATTGGTTATTGGGTACCAAGGGCGGAGCTGGAACACATTGCGATGGGGCACAGACATACGTGTCAGCAGGGAGACCGGCTTCTACGTTGCAGTTCGCACGGTCACCCGTATGCGGAGGATGGCAGAGGTATCCAGGGGGGCAGCCCCAGGTGTAATCAGTTGGCAGCGGGGCAGCAGGCGTGTAGGTTGGGTTGATGATGAGACTGGGACAGACCGAGATGGAGACAGTGGAAGTGCTATCGAAAGTCCGTGTGAGTGTGGTTCTATGGTCTGAAACAACGTCGGTCACAGTAGTAGGAACTGTAATGGTGGTAGTTAAGCCTACTAAGTGTTAGTCAGTACAATTACAGACCATAATCTAACGACATACCTGGAACTGTGACTGTGTCCAGTAACGTGGTTGTGAGAATCATAGTCACCGACACCGTTTCAATAGAGGATGCGCCAGTGACCGATACAATGTCTGTCGTGCCTGGAATTGTTCTGACAACCGTCGATCCAGGGATAGTTATAGTGCTTGCCAACTGTGTGATGATGGAGGTGATAGTCGACCCTGGTTCCACCGTCACCTTCTGTGATTTGGTGACAGTACTGGCGGGCAGCGTGATGGTTGTAGTAATGATGGAGGCTGGGATAGTTGTCAAAGAACCCGAAATCGTGTCAGTGGTCACAACAGTGGTTCCTGGGAGGGGCATCCCTGAGAGGGTAACTGTAGGGCCTGTCATAGTGATTGTTGACTCGCCGACAGTGATCGTCGCGGTTGATATATCAGTAACTGTTGCTGCGTGGCGAACAACAGTATCTATAATAGTGGTCTTGATAGTGGCAGTTATAGTATCCTTGACAGTGTTGGTGATAACATTGGTGACCGTATCCGTAAGAGTGATGGTACCGCTAGCTCCCTCTGTGACTGTAACCGTCACCGGTTCCAACATTGTTACCGAGTCTGTTTTTATGAGAGTAATCACACTGCTAGCTTCCTCTGTAGCAGTGACAGTCACTGGCTCCGATATTGTTACTGAATTCGTGTCCGTGATAATGACAGTCTCACTGGCCCCTGCTGTGACTGTGGTGGTCACCGATTCCAATACTGTTACTGGCACCGTGTCTGTGAGGGTGGTGGTACCGCTAGAGCCTTCTGTGACTGTGGCAGTCACTGATTCCCATATTGTTATTGAATCCGTGCCTATGATAGTAATCATGCTGCTAGTCTCTTCTATGACCGTGGTGGTCACTGGTTGCAATACTGTTACTGAATCTGTGGCTATGAGAGTAATAGTGCCGCTGGCCTCCTCTGTGACTGTGGCAGTCACTGATTCCCAGACCGTCACTGAATCTATATTCGTGATAGTTGTCGAGAGCGTCGTCAGGATAGTCGTGGGAATTTCAGTGGTGAAGCTTGATGTAAAGGTCGTAATATACACAGTCGGTACAACCACCGTGGACGTAGTGGTCACCCCATCAGAAATAGTTGTCGTGCCGTACGACGTGATAATTTGAGTAACGGTGGATAAGATCTTGGTAGTGCTAATACTTGTCACTGTGGTAGGCAGTGTGATCGTGATCGTTTGACCGCCACTGCTACCATGTGGCTTTGTGGTAGAGACATGCTGGGATGATTTTTTCGGCTTCTTAGTGGCTGTGTGCTCTGTTGTGTGTGTAGTCGTATGTGTAGACGTGTGCTCTGTTTTCTGTGTGGTCGTATGTGTAGACGTGTGCTCTGTTGTGTGTGTAGTCGTGTGTGTAGACGTGTGCCCTGTTGTGTGTGTAGTCGTATGTGTAGACGTGTGCTCTGTTGTGCGTGTAGTCGTGTGTGTAGTTGTTGTCGTGTGTTCGGTCTTGGTGGGAGGGGGCTTCGGATTCGAAGAGAGTGTGTGGGAAGATGTAGATGTGGTTGTTGCCGTTGTCGTGGGATAGAGTGGAAGCGTTGAGGTGAATATTTCAGTTGTCGTAGTCGTAGTCATTGAAGCGGACGTCGAATATGATGTTGAGGTAGTTGCTGTCACGGACGTAGATATTGAGAGTAATGTTGCGCTGGTTGTGAGGGTTGGTAGTGGCGTCGAGGACGATGCCGGTTGAGTTGTTGGCACTGGCGCAGTTGTATAAACAGCCGTTGAAGAAGTAGTCGACAGCGGCGTCGAGAGTGATGTTGAGCTAGTTGTTGACGCTGGTGGAACTGTATATACAGATGAGGCAGAAGTAGTCGGTACCGATGATATAGATAAGGACGTAGAGCTAGTTTTTTGCTCCGGTATGGATGTCGAAGCTGGTGTAGAGCTAGTTGTGTGCGCCGGTGTGGATGTCGAGGCTGGTGTAGAGCTAATTGCTGGCGCCGGCGTAGATGTCGAAGGTAGAGTAGAGCTAGTTGTTGGCACCGAAAGCGGCGTGGAACTTGTTGTAACACTGGTTGTTGAAACCGGTAGAGGCGTGGAGCTGGTTGTCGCCACTGGTGGAGTCGAAATTGATGTCGAGCTAGTAGTAGGCGCCGATGCAGTTGTAGATGTCGGTATGGAGCTAGTAGTAGGTACCGATGCAGCTGTAGATATAGACGTAGATGTGGAGGTTGAGGTTGGGTAAATACTGCTCGTTGACGTCGAAATACAACTCCATATGGTCGTCGTCACAGGCTATCCAGAGAGTTAGCCATCAACCTCCAAGCCATCACAAGCCCGAGTACACCCACCGTGCAAGAGCCCGAGCCTATCACCGTGTGCGTCGAAATGACGGTCTGGGTTTGAATCGTAGTCACCGTTGTTGTGACCATCGCTGTTGACCCTCCTCCAGTGAGATATGGAGGGCCCGTTGCCCACACGGATGGCGGCCGCAGGGCCACCAAAAGCGACAATGAAGCAAGTGAGAACCTCATCTTGACCACTCTCAGCACTACACACTCTCTGCAAGACTACACCTTGACGAGGGAGGTGAAGCAGAAGAGAGGGCTTTTTTAGTCGTCTCCCCAGGAATCAAACGAAAAATAGCTCTAGAGGCGCAGATCGGCTCAAGGACAAAGGACCAAGATCCTCAGCCTTGCCGCCTCCACCGGAAGAACCTATCCAATCCATAGACATGCTCTGTCCGTCCCTAGCAACATCCAGCGCTCGATTGCACGAGGCTTACCGCAACCTATCTTAGGTCCCTGCACCGCACGTATGCCACCATGGCACCATGTACGTACCGAGTCACCAAACAAAGCCGAGTCTGTGGACCAGGGTCCTAAAAGAGCTGGTCCCATTCGGAATTTTTGGGTCGCGACAACGTCTTGGCCTGCAGCCATGATGAGAAACCCCCGCTAGCGCTGACGGTCTTAAGTCAGCGAATTATTGCAAATGCATCCCTCAAGTCAGCTTCTTGAGCCGCAAGCACAGATACCCCTCATCCAGAAGCGAACGGAAGTGGAATACGATATCCAATCTGAGTGCACCATCTCACCACATCCTTCCCCCCCTATCGCCCTCGGGGATAGATTAATCGTCTGCCCCGCGAGATGGCTTTGTCGTCTATTAATCGCTCTTCGCCCCAGTGGATGCCACCTCGTATTTCTCTGCAGACCGCACCACCGTAAGCGTATTGCGAGCCATGTGCATGTATTCTGCTCGGTCTGGGCGCGGCGGACACATCAGTCTATTTGTGGTAATGATCAGAAAGGGACAGCTCCTCTCACACACCTCTAGACCACGGATCGACGTACCTCTGTCGCGTAGGGGGAGGGGGGGGGATTTGCGGAAACTGGTGATGGTGGTGGTGGTGGTCAGAGAGTTGTTGTGGGACAAAGAATGAAAACAAGACAAAGAAAGCAAACTCGCAGCACTTGCCAAAAACGGATGCTTCGTCCCTCCTCGTCCTCCGCCGTCCTCCAAGCCTCGACTCAACGGCCACCACATGTTTGCGTCAGCCGCTAGGAATCCCTGCAGATCTGCTGATACGACACAAAAGAAAAGCGGCCGAGCTGTCTGCAAGGCTGCATATTTCTCGGGTCGTTACGACGGCGTCCCGTTGGGAGAAGTGTTGTTGTGAGAGCTCGCGACGGCTGGAGATGACGAGACGAGACTGTGCGATCTTACCAGGACAGGATGTGGTTTCTCTTGGAGACAGTTTTGACCGTGCTGGCGGTCGTGGTTGACCGCACAGCGGCATGCTCCGACTGGGAGACGCAGATTAATATCTCCATGTGCAATTGGCAAGAGTTGAGAGGTAGGATTCTACTGCTGTTGTCGCTGCGAGAGTCCTGAACCGAGCTGACAGCAATAGCCAATGTCATCCGAGATATAATCTATCTCGATGGAGGGGAGCTGTGGTTTCAGCAGTAGGACAAAGCCCGTTGTGGATGGCCACTGGGTAGCACTGACGATGTATAGAGGATTTTCGGACGGCTGCGTCAACTACAACAACGATGGTAAGAATTTGATGGAATAGGAGAGGCTTGACCTTAAACACAAAGCTAATACGTTGTAGGAAATGCGGACGGCTATATATATTATCTCAACCTCTCCACGTCATTCAACACCAGCTCGAATTTCATGACCGTCCTGAGCAATTCCACCGTCGCCGGGGGTGCTGCCACTGACATCGCTCCGAATTACATTGACGGCTACATGTTCGCTAACGATGACGAATTCTATCTCTACGGGTCAGTAACATACATATCTCAATGAAGGAAAAAGGAGAATGCTGACTTTATATAGGGGTATGCTGCGTCTCACCAACAGTACCCAGTCCCCGTCGGGAGATGAAGTCATTGGCTACGAGGCCTATCAGTACGGTCCCTATCGTGAGAGTTTTACACCTGGATGGTATGAAGAAACGCTCTCAACCGGTGTCACACGGTACATCACCAACGGCGCGGGCGCGTCGGCGCCCAGCGAGAACCTGGGCTTCTACTTTAGCGGAATGCGAGCCCCAGACTGGGGCCCCTTCACTTTTGACGGGATGGAGTCGAACACGACGGCGAACACGCTTATAACAGTCGATATGTCAGTAATGCGCGACGAGAAATGGTACAATACCTCGCTGCCGGACTATATCCCCGGTCGGGCGAACGCAGGACTGGTTTGGGTACCCGTGGCCGAGTCCGGAGTATTGGTAGCCATTGGGGGAGTGGTTGATCCCGTTGAAATGTGGCAAGATACAGGGCTGAGCACAAACCAGACGGAGCTCAGCGAGAGCGTCAGCCCGACGTTCATGGAGACGGTCTCTGTTTATGACGTGAATACTAAGACATGGTATCTTCAGAACACAACGGGCGATACACCTCCGCAATTGACACAATTCTGCGTCGTGCTCGCCAGCGCCCCGGACGGTTCGTCTCATAATATTTACCTTTACGGAGGGTACAACGGTATCGACTATGAAGCAGACCCATCAGACGACGTATACATCCTATCTCTACCCTCTTTCCAGTGGATCAAAGCATACAACGGAACGAGCACACATGGACGCAGCGGGCACCAATGCATCAAGGTTTATCCAGATCAGATGCTCGCTGTTGGCGGGGTGCATGTCGGCCCGACCAACTGTCTAGAGGGAGGAATCATCGTCAACTTCAACCTCAATACGTTACTATTTCAGGATGACTATAATCCTACTCAGTGGAGCGATTATCAGGTTCCTGATCTCGTAATAGCGCAAATCGGGGGGAAGTGAGTATGAAGAAAACAGAAAACCCAAATTCACCACAGCTGCTGACAGGTCATATAGCTCTTCAGGAGGCGCAACCACCACTGCGCCGTCATCCTGGACCAACACTTCTCTGGCGAAGATCTTCGATACGTCATATAACAAAACTATTACGACGTACTGGCCTTATGGCACCTCCGACACAACTACTACTAGCACATCCGACCACAAGAGCGACGGCTTGCCTCATTGGGCGGCGGCAGTGATCGGCGTAGTCTGCGGTCTTGTCGTCGTCGCTCTCCTTGTGTGGTTCTGGTTCTATCGGCGCCGTCGCCATCAACGACGGGTTGCGGAAGCCGAAGCTGTAAAGGAGACAGGCACCACGGAGCAGCCAAAATGGATGTATGGGAGTGGCCCAATGGCCCCTGGACCTGGACCGAAATCTACATCCACCGCCGTCGAAACGGTGGCCAATGAATCTACGGCAGATGACTCGGTCGCCACGGCGGCTACTCCTGGAACAGTGGAGTCTGGCGGGGGCGTACTGTATGAGATGCATGGTAATACACCGACAAACCTCAGTGGTATAGATGGAATGCTGATTGCTATTTAGATTCGTCGCCCGCCGAACTTCCTGGGGATTACGGGATGCCCTTTCGCACACCTATCCTTTCTCCGCAGCCTAGCCCGATGTTGGACTCTCCATTTCCTGGCGACCAGCCGTCGCCCGTCTCGCCACAAACCCCTGCCGAGTCTGATTCGGGACAATCTTCTCGGCCGGGTCACCGCCGCAGCCCATCCTCGTTGTCGACGGTGCCATCCTTGTCAATTGACAATGTGGTGACGAGTCGGACGACCTATTTCCATGAAGCCTTTGATACCGGGAATATGCAACGAACACGCCATGGGTCAGAGATCTCAGAGGCGAGCGTCAGCTCTGAGGGGAGAGAGCGGTTCGGAAACGAGACAATCCATGAGCTTAACGAGTAATTGAAAGTATATCAGAAGGTACGAATTTCTCTTCAATATGATTTTCTTTGCGTGTCTCACCAGTAGTGAATGCTGTAGAATCCCGTGTATGGTGAATATCTGTCTCAATGGCTAGGCACCAACGTAACAGAGGTATAAAAGGCTCTTCCACCACCGCTCCAGCACTGGCTTCTTCTCTTCCTCCTACGTCTTCTCATCACACAAATATCCACTCCGCAGATATGGGCCAGCTTCAGACCTTTCAAGCAGGACTCTCTGGCTGGGCAAGTTGGATAGCCACTCAACCTTTTTCTTTCCAACGTCTCCTCATGACATACAGGGAAAGTAGAAAGAGGCGAATGTTAGGCCTCTGCACTCATCACCATCAACTTTCTCTGATCTATATACTCTCTCCTGTCCCGGTGCCAGCTCTCTTTGGTCTCTTGCCTTCCTCTCCTACCCGATACCAAGTCTCAGTGGGGTTGCCAGCTGTATACCTCGTCCTTTACCCCATAAGAATGCTGTTAGTTCATTCTTTTTTATTCCAAAAGACATGGAAGAGTGGGATTTGGTAGACCATTACGCTTATGTTGTTTATAACGTCCCTACAGCAAACATGGAATCCAGAGACGGTGTCTTTCCAACCTCAACTAGCCAAACGAATACAATGGCCAACGAGTCAAGCGGTGGGACAGCCCTTTCAGACAAGAGAAACGCCACTCGATCGAGACTCCAGAAGCAGGGCGAACCAGGGGAGGATATCCACCCGCATTTTGCTAGGTTCATGCGAGACGTAGCCCTCACGCTTCCATCTTACCGGTTTTCTTTCTCATTGATATCAGGCCGGGTGACTTTCCAGCGGTATACTTCATACAGTTCGAAGTCAGCGGTCAGGTCAATTAAAAGAGAAATGACACAGGGAGGCAAATTGTCACCAAAGCTCTCCAGCCAAGGGAGACAATGGAGGATGGCCGGAAAGGACACTCTTTGATGATCAAATAGTCTAGCGACTGTCTCTACTTGTGCCCCTGCAGAAGCAGACGCCAGACAAGCTGTTTGCAGAGGATCAATGATCACGATTAGAAGATTGTTTCACCAAGCGGCGTTTTCCGAGATGCCAGCCAAGACACAACTTCGACGCCACAGTCATCCCTCTCTGGGCGGATATCACCCGTACGGTTAGTTAAGCAGTAGAAGTCCACTGAGCGCATGCAGGCGAGGTTCGGGCTGCCATCACTATTCTTGTGGTGCTTTTTGTGAGTCGAGGGTCACCCTGCGGTCCATGACCATCCCAGGGGAAGGAAACAGGCGGTAACTCGGCTTCCTTGACGTTCACGACTGGGAAGTGATGACGGCATGCCTGCAGCCTGGGGGCCGTGTCAAAGTCAACTTGAGCACCACCTACCCAAGCCAGGAAAATGACTGGACGGCAGTCATCAGCGCCCTTCTACCACCCGCATGTCACCGCGCTGCTCACCGGGCCATATAACACCGAGACGTCATCTTGGCGGGAATGCGATAACTACAAGATGGAGCCACAGCCTATCTCACTTACATATGACGCAGAGAAACTGCTTTTGTAGAGATTAAATGTCAGAGGTGCGTGCCCGATTAGGCTTAGCGTCGCCTTGTTTGGCGCGGCCGCACTGCACAACCACCTGCTTTGCGTCTGAGCTGTAGCAGTAATAGTAATCATTAGTCATCTCTTCCCTTTTCTAGGCCTGCTAGGCCAACATGGTAGCATGTTATTTAAAAAGATAGAGCATACTATATTTAATAAATTCTTATTTATTTAAGATTCTATTTAAGTAATATTAACGTCTGTAAAACAATAGGCGATATAAGTAATATAGGTGATATAAATGGTTCCCCTAGGGCCAAACGCATTTAAAAAGATTAATAATAATTAAATTTAAAAAATCTACACCTACCTAATCAACAAATTAGATGTCAACAGGCCTATATAATAGGGATAGAACTAATTAAAGGTTCACCTAATAAGTAGTAGCTATATTAATGATTAAAGGTGTTAATTAGGTAACTAAAATTATGGATAGTCAGCTTATTCTAGATACTATTAAGAAGTTATAAGGCAAAGAGAATATTAAACACTAGGAGGACTATATCTAGTAGGTTCTTAAAGCTAATAACCTAAAGAATATTATTTATAAAGATATATCTAGACTAGTAGAGAATTCCTATAAATTTAATAAATAGGATTATATGTCATGACATGTGAAGCTCTAGCTAGCACTATTAATTAATAAGAATATTTAAAGTAAAGTTAAGATATCTGCATTACTATAAGTATATATAGATAATTTTTATTATGCTGTCCTAATAAGTATTAAAGGAATAAGTATTTATTAGGCCTCTTATAACTTTAGGAAACTAATTAAGATATATTATTTAGATTATTTAATAATTAAAGAATTTATTTAGGATCTTATTAAGAGCTATAATACTACTAATCTTTATATTAGAACCTATATAGGACCCTGCACTGCAACTATTATCCTTATAGATAAAGTAAAGGATAAACTCCCTATTTAGATTAATAAAATTAAAGATATTATTAATAGATATTTAAATATAGATAATATTGTGATATCGCGAGCGAGCGATATCGCGAACTCCCGCGCGGCCATGAGCGGGATCACCTCGGCAGAACGCCAAGGTGCCCGCTCACCGACGACGCGAAATCTCCCGACCCTGGTGGAGCGGTTATGTAGAGTTTTCGCTCTGTACCAGGGATTAATTGATTCTATAGAGTTCTATCACCACCGGGTCGCTCAGCTTTCGATGAGCCAAGAGGAGGTATATAGATACCTTCCCTCTAACCTATGGTAGCGATAGAATAGAGATTTCGGAGAGACCATTAGCTTTTAAATATTATATCTGGTAGTATGTCATATTAGGGGTTGGCCCCTATGCCGACCCCGACGGACTGCCGCTCCGCGGATAATATCTAAGGATCAATAGGATTTAAAAGCAGGATAAAAGGGACGAAAGACCCCTTAAGTAAAGAAAGAAGAATCATTAAGCATCTTTGCTGAAGAAACCAAGTGAATAAAAGACTTAATCTTCTACTATAAGTTAATAATAAACCCTATTAGTAATGTGCAGAACCACCTGTTGCCCGAGGTGTTTAAAATCCTCTCAGCAATTATAACCGCCAGGACAGATGAGACAGATGTTTACCCCCTTCTTAGACACCTAGAGTAAGTGCTCCAAGGCGAAAGAGGCTAAGTAAACCACCTAGTTTAGGAACTTGAGACCGCCCGCGCGCAGGTGGCTTAACTCTAGGATAACCTCTACTAAGCGACCGCTGGGCAGCCGGGTCCCCAGAATAATACTTAAGCGGCCACTAAGGAAACTGGCCATTAAGAGTCAACTAATAATCCTAATGACTGAGGTGGACGCCCCTACTAAAAGATCTTAGAACTTAACTAGATCCCTAAATATACAGGCAAATATTGAGATGAGGGCGCCCGAAAATGGCTGCAGCGAGTAGATAAATACTTTTAAGATAAAGAAGTCTTATGCAAGAAGTTTGCCACTAACAGAGAGAAGGTCCTAGTGGCAAAATAGAAACTTAATGGCAAGGCGCGTGAATAATAGAGGCATCTATAGAGCTCTGTCGATAACAAGCTCCGCGCCCCTATTGAAACCATGGCAGAATTTAAGAAGTAGATTACTAATAACTATACTAAACACCTCAATAAGGAACACCGCTGGGAGGCGTATAAGAGTCTCACCTAAGGAAAGCGACCCATTTAGGCATATGCCCATAAACTAGTGGAAGTTGCAAACCAGATTAACCCCCCACTGGCGGAGAATGTACTCATCTGACGATTTATTATAGGCAGCTGAAAACAACTCTAAAGGTGGTAGGCGCGCAAATCTAATAAACTAACCACCTTAGCTGGGGTTGTCGCAAAATTCGCCCTCTATAAGAAAGGGGTTGTCACTACACAACACGTCTATAGGCCGACAGGAGCGCTAGATGCCATAGACATTAACACCCTAGGGCAACTATATGCCCTGCCTAGGAGGCCTACCCCCATAAATAGATATGTGTCACACCCCCAACAATTGATCGCCAGCGCGAGAGGACTCTGTTTTGCATGTGGGAAACCTAGATATTATGCGAAGGATTGTCGACCAAGTAAAATCCTAATAATAACCCCCTTAATAAAGGCCCTAAGGGAGGGAAATAGAGTTGACCACTAGAACTAGAAGCGCTAGCGGCGCAAATGCTTAAGGCTTCTATGGTCCTTGATATTGACCTCCCCGATGTCCTGGACCCCTAGGGATTACCACCCCCATAAGGAGATAAAAAGCGAAAAATACGAAAAAGGAAGTATAAACTAATAACCTAAATAATACTAGCATAAATAAATGCGCTAGGCGGAGGGCTGCTAATCTTTAGAGGGGAGATTAGTACTGGGGAATAGGGGAAATTAAAGGTTAAATATATAATTAATAGTGAAGCCTCTAACAACTTTATGAGTAGTAGAGTACTTTAAAAACTCACCTATACCCCACCCCAACAGATTAATAAGGGCACTCAGCTAGATGTGACGCTGCCAAACAGCAATTATATTCTAGCTATACACTAAGTACGCCTCCCGCTACGCCTCGGCAGATGGACGAGAATGACCCCCACCTAGGTTATTAATAACCTTAAATATAATATTATCTTGGGACAAATATGGCTAAAAGCTACTGACCCTATTATCAAATAGTCAGAATTAAGGATGATTCTCTAGGACCACTGAGGCAAACAGTTCTCTATGCTCTTAAAGAATATTAAATAATAAGTCGCGATCACGCCCTATATTAATATAATCTTAGCATAATATACGCTACGCGTGCTGCATAAGGTGAAATTGAAAGGTGTTCTCTGTTTTCTTTAATAAACTACTGAGCTCCCAGATGGGCGCAAGCCATATATAAATCCTAGGGTGAAGGTAGTCCTCTAGAAGTATAATATCTTCCGCCAAGAACTCGCGGCGGCCCTCCCGCCTAAATGAGATATTATATATAATATTAATATGGGCGACGCCACACCCATTAA